GTTGTGGAATAGCGACTCGCCGTCCTCGGCCCAACGCACCGACGGCTGCCCACCCATCCGCATTCGCCACCCTTTCCCCAGCGCCATCCATCCGATGATGGTGCTGACGACCGTATGCGCGCCTACATACATCCAAACGGCATGTTGATCCCGGAACGCGATCACTGCTTTGATCCCGACCTCGTCCTGATCCTGGGGCTGGTCCTTGAACGCGGCCTCTAAGAAGAAGAGCTGGGACTACCATAAAATGGCGGCTAGCATCCCCGTGTATAAGTGCGGCTTGGTATACCCGAGCGGATGGGACCGGATCCCTAACGCCGCACAGAAGCAGAGCAGCGAGTTTGAATAGATATGCCTGCCCACCTGCGTCTTGATCGAAGCCACCATGAACAAGAAGACGGCCCGGTTGAGCGTGTCGTTGTCCTTCTGGGAATACATACCCTCGTCCCCTGCGTCGTCGTTAGCCCCGTCCTCGCTGTCCTGGTTGTTATAGCTGTGGTTGTGGCTGCTTGCGATGCTGCTCCTCTCCAGCTCGTCTGCTATATCGCATAGTAAGCTCCACTGTTTATCTGTAAAGCGGATAGCCTATCGCTCTAACGCCTCATCCCTTCCGATGTGGTGCGCTCGCCAGCAGAAGCCCAAATATCGATGTCCGACGGTCCGGTATTTGGCTATTGATGCCTCCTTGCCCTTTAGACCGAACGGCATCCTACTGGGAGTGGTGCTGACGATGCTGGTAAGCTATTGGAGCGTCTCGGTCGGCATGCCGTCCAATCGCCAGCTGCACCGTTCCACCTCGCGATCGAAGCTCTCCCCGAGACGCAGCAATATCAGCCGTTCTTGCGCGCCATCTTCGTCTTGCTCCCGGCCTCGTCCCGCCGTGGTGCTCTTCACCCGTATCCACTCGGCTACTTCAAATATGTCCAGTAGATCTCGAGACCCAAAGTGATTGACCCACCGCACCCTCTTCACCCACGACGAGTCCCGGTCCATATCTTCTTTCAGATCCCCTCTTCGAAGTCGCTCGGCATCCTCGGCATCCAGCTCAGCCGTACACTGGGCTACTATCAGCTCCATGGCATCCTTCTCTGACTTGTTTGCCGAGTCTGGCCACGCCTCGGCCTCGTTGCTGCGGACGATCTAGTATTGAGCATATTTCCCGCGCATCCACGTCTGTAATTGCACCTTTGTTGATTTGAGCGGTCCGGCTGTATGCCGAGCCTCCCTCTAATGGCGTGTGATGTTGTCTCTTGCTGTTGTGAGATATCGGCATATAGAGCAACTATAACCCTGTAAAACATTAAGCTGTTTGATGGCTAAGCTGCTATCTATGGGGAGAGCATCAACCTTTGGATCGGCTAAGTCCATCCTGCTATAGTAGTCCTTAATATCTCTGAGAACCTCTCCTTTTAACTGATGCTTGTGGCGGAAGTGTGACTTAATGCTGCCGCTGGGCTGAATAGCTGCCTTGCATTTGTAATAAATGAGCATTTGATGCTCCTTATTAATCTCAATAAAGCTATTTATAGTTAGTTAATACTACTTATAATCTTATAATAGTAAATAAGCTATAGATTATCTTTCTTCTCATCTTTTACTATTGAATTACCCCTTTTCTATAGATTGGCCCAATGTAACCCTAAGCCTGAGTCTCCACTTGGGGTTAAACACCACCCAATCACAGCTCCGTCCCGAGTCCAACCGATTCTGCTCTAACGCCTGGACCACCTTCCGCCATTTGTATGGCCGATTTTACTAGAATCGCCTGCGAATAATACCTAGGGCTATGGGGATAAGGGAGGAAAGTGAGTAAATAGAAAGAAGTAATAATGTAATATAATATTGAAAGGAATATCTAATTAGCTAAGCCGTGAGGTCAATACGTCTATCTATTGATTGGCTATTTCTACGCTTAGACCAGCCTCACGAGAACTGGGTGTAAAAACAATTATGAGTAGATAATGCTGAAATGAGGTGGTATAGAGAAGATAAATAGATATCTAAATTAGCCTAACTCTTAGCTTTTATTGCATGCTGGTTTGACTGATTTTACTGTAGAAAACCTCAACGGACTCTACCCCCTGTTATTTTAATGGACTCTACCCTATGTCTTCATTGACTCCACTTTTTTTAACGTGTGGTTTTTAATGGACTCTACTAGAGTCCGTCGTGGAAGGTATGTTAGGGCTTTGAGTAACTGCCGTGTTTTCCGGGTCGAGGACGAGCATGGTACCCGTAATGTCCGGTCCTGTAGGTGGGACAGTTACCGTTATTGGACTCAATCCAGTACCTCTTGCTGTAACCGTGACGAGAGGTCCTGTGAAGAGCCTGGGTTGTCCGGCTGGGTTGAGCAACAGCCTGGTTCCAGTCATATCGGTTGCAGCAGGTGGAACATCAATTGTAGTAGGCATGCTGCCTGTCCAGGGCAAGATCATTGTAGTGAAGGAAGTATCAAGGGGCAAGTCCTGTGGGAACTCGGCGTCTGCTGGAAGAATAACGACTTCTGTCCCAATCGCACCAGGGCGAGCTGGGAACACCGTCGCGGTACTGGGTAAAATAGTCCTCGTTGCTGAACTCTCTATGATTGGGCTGGTGAAAAACTGGTCGTCGGACAGCTGCGGAAACAAAGCATTCGGTGCGATATTAGGTCCAGAACTGTCAGTGTTTGGTGGCGCTGGGGTGAACAGCAACAGCGAGTCTTCCTCATTGCCTGGCTGTGCCAGGTCTGTAAACTCGTCATCGAATAGTGGCCCGTTATCCTCATTGAGCACGAACGACGGTGAGTCGGTAGGAGTCAGGACCAGTCGGGTCGCAGTCTCCTCAAACCCGATCGGTGGAACAGTGTAGATGGTCGTCGCAGTACCCGTCCAAGGAGCTGTGATTTCGACGAATATGGAGGCAAAGGTTCTCGGACTGTTTGCACTTTGAGGGGTCGTTGGTTGAAGAACAAGACGTGTCTCGACCAAGTTGCTGCCAGTGGGAAGGATTAATATAGTTGATCGTACTGTTTCGGTCCAAATTCCTGTCAGTGTTGTGATGGATGCTGGAGCCATGGTTTGAATGTGAGGTAGAGTCTCTAGTCGCGAGAGAAATCGCTGTCTGTCAATTGAGTATGTTTCCGTCGGAGGTAGGTCGAAGCTCTCTTGCCCGGGCAACGTACTGTCGCTGTTCTCGGGAATAGATGCTGCTATATTGTTGGTGTATGTCGGCGATGCCATGGAAGTGCGTTGACGGTGTCCAGGGAGAGGCTGAAAGATGACCTTTGTGCCAATCTCTGAATCATCTTGCGGGGGAACATTGAGGCTGGAAGCAGTAAAGCCGTATGGCAATACTCGAGTGATGGTGCTGAAGACGTCGTTTAAGGTCAGACTTGGGTTTCTGCGTCGGAGGTCAGCATCGATAACACATGCAGGGTGCTTGTCCCCGACTATACTCACAGGGTCTCGATGTACGTAACAGTGTTTTCAACCATAAAATTGGACAAGAAGATTGTTGGGGCGTTCGTCACTGGTATTGTTCTTCCAGAGATGGTGATTGTGGTGTTAAAACAGAGAGCGGCGCTAAGTTGGATCGGAGTTTGGTCGACAACCACAACATGTTGCGTGATGGCATCTTCTACATTCACAGAGGAGCAGCTCGCATTCCCAACAGAAACCCATGCCAACATGCAGAGGGCAATCAGGCTCACACGACATGGGAAGGATGTCATCCTTGCAACGTGTTTTCTCCAGGTTGAACTTAAGAATTCAGGTTAACAATAAACCACGAAGGATAAGAGCGTAAAGGTCCATAATAGGATATTGTGTTTTCCCCTGCTATGATGATATATATGAGCTTGGCCCTGCACAGAAGTCAATCCAAATTCAGGATGTGCTTGAAGGCATGTCGAATAAATCCCGGAGCCAATAGTAGCAACCCATAATCAGTGCATCCATCAAACGGGGCTCTGGACCAAATCCACTTGGAATGCAAACGGGAAGCCCTGTTAATCGCTAACGGCCAGTAGCCGTATGGTTCTATGTACTAACGGAAGCGTCCATTGGCCGCTGAGCTAACTTAAGGCTAAGATCGGATTAAGCTTAACGTGTCTCACCGAATGAAGTAGGCTGGAATATCTGAGTCACGGCTGAGAGTTATTAAATGTAACGGATTTAGCAGCATATTCTTTGCACCAGTAATGATAATTATGTCTTTAAGCCACTTCTTTAATTCAGCTGGATGCCAAATGTAACATGTCGTTCTAGTTGCTCGCCGCTCTAAATGAGGCTTGACTTGAGTGCTGCAGGTTATTAAGTTGAAGGAGATTAGATTGAGCTACGCACAACTCCACAGACAACGATTATGTATTATTGAAACGAGTTCTTTGGTACATAATGTATCCAGACTTCAATATTTTTCTGTGGTAGCCTCAAATACCTGAGAGATGGTTTTGGAACGATCGTCATCTTAGTGTGTGCGCCGCAGACCTGGTGTTCGGAACGCTTATCTCAATTCCCAGCGCCGGGGACGACGCTGCCGTGAGTAGTAAGACAGTGAAGACACTGAGACAGGAAGAAAAGTTAAATTTGTTCCCGAGACGTCCACATTCGATTATCATCCAATAAAACAGTGTATAATTATCAACGGACTTGAGGCTGAAAACCTCCCTTCTGCGAACACAGCATTTTCAATGAGAGAGGCGTTTACACTCAGCTGAAGAAACCCTCCCCCCAATGCAACCTATGTCCTTCTGAATCATTCAAATCTATGTCACCCAGACTCTTAAGTGACTGCGGGGTTAGATCAGCCACATAAACTCGTCGGTATTTCTGTGGCTTGGAGACTCCGCTTGCGTGAAGTCGCAGCAGGCCTTGGTGATTTCCAGGCTGCGTAAAGCGTGCTGGGCATCCAGCATTATTGGTGTTTGTAATTGCATCATCTGGCGAGTATGAACCCAGGCATACCTTTTCCCCAAGGGAGTACATGAAGCCGCAAACAGGAAATTATTATTCGCGGAGAAGACGGGGTAAAGAAAAGAAACAGTGGAATCTCCCGGACGTCACCGAATTTACATATTGATTGATGAGAACCACAGTGACATTTATTATCTTCTCTTTTTCTCACTCGCTAGCTTGGTTGTGAGCAGCTGCTATCCTTTACATCTTTCCGGATGCCAACAGTATGCGCAACAAACTGCTCATTTTCTTCCTCCGCATGGTCTCGGCAGCCCCTCGCGTCAGTCCTAGAGAACATGACTGTCCGACTCAAGTCCAAAGCCTTCATTCCACTACCTACACTATGATAGCACCCGTGCAGACCATTGTTATCGATCGAGTTCAAGCGGATGACTGCACATGGATCACAGCGATATTCCCTGCCGCTGCATCTCCCATACGGCCGCTGAGTCTTTCGAATCCTGATTTCAGCACACCGGATGGTGTTGATCAACAACCTACGCACAAACCTTTACCAGAAAACACATACGCTGTTTTCCCCACCATCATCCCACTGGTCAATAGGCCAAGTTCTGCAGGGGAGGTCGAAGGGCCGCGTCAATCCGCACCTACGCAAAGCATACCCAACCAACCATCATTCACAAACCCATCAACGAACAGCGCCAGCACCTATGTTTCAGACTTTCCCAACAGTAACTCAAATGGCCAGACCTCTTCAACGCTGACTGAGACGGAGGCGTCATCGACTTCCACCAATAACCCCAGCCCGGGAAACCGAGGTGATGAGCCTCCTCCCCGTTTTGTGCTCTTCGCTGGTTCAGGTTCCAAACTCTTAGCGAGGACTACCACCCACAAGATCGCAGTCATACTTATAGTTTTCTTAACTTTTCACATGTAATCATGGGAGTTCTTTCTATAAACAGCAGTTTGCCTCTAACAAGAAAGGATACGCACACCACGCAGGGGAACAAATCGAGAGGTGAGATGAATGGTTGGGCGCTAATTAACGTTAATATAAATTAAAACTAAGTGACTCATAGAAATATTTCTCATCCTCAATCCGTCTCTAAATCCCTTTTTTCTGATCTTGTTTTTGGTTTTATTATCGTTTGAGGCTGTATTGTAGTATGCTTGGCAAGTGACCTCGATGGAAACCACTTTCTCAAATAGCAAAACGAAATCTCGGGCTTTTCTCGCCTAACGCTTCGATCTCCTCCTCAGTTTTGCCTTCCAGTAAATGGTCCATTTTTCCTTCCTCTCTCAGTTTGTTCTGCCTCCGGAAATGCATGTGAAGCAGCACATTAAGAGCAAATGACACTGCCAACATTCCCATACTAGCAGCGTACCCAGGAACAAAGCTGTCGCCAGCAAAAAGAAATGGGGCGGCCACGCCGGATGAGTTTCCAATGGTAAGATGCATTCCCGTTGAGAATGCGCGTTTACCGTAACGTGGATTGTTGGTAGGAACCCAGGCGAAAGAGATCCCAGCCCCAGCAAAGATGCCAATCGAGACGAAAAATGTGCCGGCATAAGATACTGCGTTTCCTTTCTCGGCGACAAGCATCCCATACCCAACAACGGAAGAGATAATTGCTCCCATTATAAAGTAACCTCGGCGCTGGGTAAGATCGCTGATTCGGGCGCAAGCAATGTACACAATAGCACCGACAGCGTAAACCGGAACTGTCATTGCTTGCACTTCCGTGGCGTTCCAGGTCCCAAGGCCATGGATAATTGTCGGCAAGAAAACGACGAATGAGTAAAGCATGGTCAACAGCGGGAATAGAGCAAAACAATACGCCCATGTCGTCCAATCCTTGATACCGTCTTTGACGTCTTCCCATTCCATCTCACGCAGATTCCGGGCTCGGCCGATTTGCTGCTCATGGATCAATACCAAGTTTCGCTTGTCTTCGTCAGAAAGGAACTTGGCAGTCTCTGGGCTGTTGGGAAGAATGAAAGGTATGATGAAACCAGTAACGATGGTCGGGAGTCCGTTGATGAGGATGATCCACCTCCATGCGCGCCAGCCCGAGGTTCCGTCCATGAAACTAATGCCATACGCCACAAGCCCCCCAGCAACTCCAGACGCTGCCGCTGTGCCATAAAAATAGGCAATTCGTAGGGCCAGGCTCCGGCGACTGTAGAACATTGAAAGGTAAAGCACGACACCCTGGTGTAGTTAGTTCGCACATACTTCTCGCATCTGGGATAGCAGCCTGACTTACAGGAAAGAATCCTGCCTCAAATAATCCAAGCAACAAGCGACAAGCAACGAGAGCAGGAAAGTTTTGCACGAATGCGCTGAAGGTTGCCACGAAGCCCCAGCAGATGGTGAGGCCTGCGAGGTAGCGAGAAGGCTGTAGCCGCTTGATAATCATGTTGGAGGGGGCCTCGAACAGCTGTAGACATTCTATGATTAGCAATGTTTCGTCTCTTTGCCATAAGGTCTCCAAAACTCCACGGCAACCGTGGCTTACGCAGTAGGTGATGAAAAGAACGGAAACGGCAAGCTGGAACTGGCCTTTCCCAAGGTTAAGATCCTCCTCCATCCCGAATAAACGAGCATTTCCAATGTTAACTTTGCAAACCAGTTAGTGGCGTTTGGAACAATTTCTGAACGGGAGTTTTGAAGTACATCTGAATGATCAAGATTTCCATTCAGTTAATCATCTGAGGGTAAAAGAACCTACCTCGGTCCATCATGTTCATAAGATAAACCCACATAACCATCGGCACGATTCTATAGTCAAGCTTTCGGAGGACGGCACGCTCAGTTGCCTTATCGATAGTTCCACCGTCGTTCGATGATGCTTCCTCCACTGTCTCGACTTGACGGGATGATCCGTCGGTGATTTGTGGCCAATCTACCTTCTCATTGGGATTCTGGTGGTCTGCAGTATTCTGGACTCTCATTGTGAATACTTGTATCTGCTGAAGGGAGTTTGGAAGTTGAATAGTTCATTAATTTGTGCAAAGTCTTTGGGTTGGACAGAATGCAAATGGCTTTGCGACATGTGAGAGCAAGTGAAGGTGCTTTTCGAAAGCTATCAAAGAATGTGTGTCATATTTAAAGCTGGTGCACCTAAGATAATGCTCTATCCTAAGCCATTACCAGGAGACCGGCCATTGGACTCATGTCAGGACGGCACAAGACATGAACCTGCTACGGGCGTACGGAAGGCGCTGGCACCTACCAGCTCAGCCCATCCTCCCCGGTTTGCTGTTTGTTTCCAAAACTATTCAGCACTCATTTCTCCGTGTGGCCGGCTTTCATTGGCAACCATAAGAACAAAATCCATTTGGGCACTCTTGGACAACACCAAGATATTGGCATGCGGGGAAAGTCTTGGGCCTCACCGTTGCCCGGGTTAGGTACATGAGGGCCGCGTACAATGGCCAATCTTCTTCCCGTTCAGCTACTGGGATATTGCATTTGTTCCATGTTTTGAATCTTACCTCCCCGCGGCGTTGACGACGTGGCTGTTATGCCATGGCTCTTGGACCCAACGATAACTTCCAAGTCAAGAAGCTCTCTAGGCAACAACACCCACCGGGTCTGAGCGGTTCAACGGAATCGTAGAACCTTGGCAGTTACATGACTGCATAAGATTCTAGCACTTATTAGAAATGATCGTCAAGATCCTTGGTTCCCAGCTTGGTAAACGAGAAGTTGGCATTACCCGCCACAACCCGCCCAGCCTCGCATAATCATTTGCAATTAGATTTCCTGACGCTGGGACTCGGAATAGCACCAAATTGGATAAGAAGCGCCTTCTATCAGCTAGCTGCTTCTCAACTTGCTGTTGGATGCGATGTTGCAAAATACAGATTGATTCAGGAGCTCTGCGTCTGCACAGTCGGTCCAAAACATAATCTGGCACCTGTATCAGGCTTGTCGGTTGGAAGTCCGTTCGGTTTCTTGCGTGGCCTGCACTTCTTCCAACTCTTACATCTATCCAGTATAAAAAGCAGTGAAGTAAGGTATTGATAGTACATCTGGCCTATGCCGGTACATCTTGATATAACCAGCGGGAATACGTTCTAATAACCCGCAGTTACAATTCACCGCGCAATACAATGCAAAAAATTCTTAATCGTACAAATGATTGGGACGGACCATTTCCTAATTTGGGTGACAGGGGTTGCCTTCCCACCTGCATGCGCTTCAAGGTGCGCATTGTTACGCACATATTTTAACTTCAGACTGTAACGATACCTCTCACTACTACAAAAAATGGACAGAACATGATTCAGAAGCCACCATGTCCGACGATACAAGTTTATATTCCACGACTGGACAGCCTCGCCACGTGCGGACAACAATCAACTATTACAAAGATCCCGGCGATGGGACTGAACACGCACCCAGCATTGCTGGCAAAAGGAGCACTTTTACTCAGCCATCCATCGACTTCGAAACCATTGTTACGGACATCACGGGCGCCGAAGACAAGTATACACTTGATAGCCATGGTTTCCAAATTTACCACCACATAAGCAGAGAGACAGAGTTCACCGATGACCAGCGAATCAAAGATGTGTATTATCTCGAAATCGAGCAGCTGTTACTTAAAGTGTAAGTCGTGAAGCCCTGCAACCAATGGTAATTATTCATATTGAGAGGCATTCAGAACAGGCGCAAGTCGTGTTTTCATCTTTGATCACACAATCCGTCGACCAAACCCCACAGCGGCTCATTCAGACGAGGAGAGAAGGCCTGTCAAGCGAGCTCATATTGATCAGTCGGAGTGGGCAGCGACGAATCAAGTGACCAGACACCTGGGAGAAGAGGCCCCAAGACTTTTAAAGTCACGATTCCAGCTCATCAACGTCTGGCGGCCTATCAAGACGATTCTCAAGGACCCGCTTGCCGTCTGCGACTCTCATTCTGTACCGGATACGGATATCCTCCCGGTGAAGCTGGTGTATCCGGATTGGGTTGGGGAACCATGTACAATCTTTCCAAACAAAGGCCATCGGTGGTACTACAAGAATCGCCAGACGCCCTCTGAGGTCTTGTTCATAAAATGCTACGATTGGAAGACAGATGGAAGAGCGAGACGGGTTCCCCATGCTGCTTTCACAGATCCAGAAATGGCGGATCAGGAACCAAGACAAAGCATTGAGGTCAGGGCTCTGGTTTTCCATGAGGGGGATACAGAAAGATCATGACCACAGAGTACCAAGTAAAGCCATATCGGCACGCATCATAAATACGGAACATCATGCATAATGGCAGTGATTGATCGGTTCTCACTTGCTATATGTTTCAAGTTATTCAACTCTTTGTGAGATCCCCCGCAGGCACGGAGAGTAACTTTCATTCTAGTCTATGTCTTAGACTTTACTTCATGATATAAAAGGTCGCTGCATGAGCTGGAGTCTCAGTGAATTCAAATCCGCTTTCAATACCAAGACAGCGTCTCGGATTTTGCATATATACAGGACGTCTCTCGATCCTCGAGTGTTGAAATGTGCAGATAAAACGCTTTAGTTCAGCCAAGACTTGATTGGGCATAATCCTAAGAAAACTCTCGATCCGCCCGTCACTGCGAGCGCCTAAAAGGATCCGGCAAGGCCGTCCCCAAGTGACGCCGACCTCTAACGTATTAACTTATCCTAGCCCATTTGATCCTTCTGGTCTCTTCAATATGTAAGCACCCTCACCATGACGCTTAATTAGCGCTAAATCGAGCCTTATTCTGATTCTAAGGGTCCCGTGCCGCTATATTTAACTACTGTGAAGCCAACACAAATACGACCACATCAGATTCAGTCTCATGAGGAATTTTAATATCTCACTAGCCTTTCACTCAAAGTCCCTACATATTACGCATCATTTCGGCATATGGGGTGCTAGATTAGTTGATTTGCAGATCTGCTTACATGCTTTGGTTGAATTCAAAATCACCTGACTAGCGCTGCTCGGTGTTTCTAGAATAGGAAGTTCCCCGGAATCTCGTCCAATTGCTTTTCCGTCCCAACGAACTCTTCTTCATGATCCAAGACTAGCCTTGTAGTTGGAGAAGGTAGTGTTGCGCTTCATTGCTAGTACTCATACAGACATTGTCTCTTTTTTGAGGCTCACAAGTTACATTTCTAAACCTACTCGTTTGCCTCACGATCTCGGCGTACTAATTGAAGGTCACGAATACGGCAGTCGCACGATGGCATTGCCCAGCGCACTTTCGGAGAGGATTGCGAAGGAAGACGCAGACCTCAGGGTTGTATCACTTCAAAAGCTCATGGATGGGGATGATAGTGCCAATGACGACCTTTTGAAGGCGTGCACAGACCTCGGGTTCTTCTATCTCGATTGCCGGCATGTTGCCTCGGGCAGAGTCATGCAAGAAGTTCAGGACATGTATTCTCTTGCAACCAGCTTCTATGATTTACCGCAGGAAGCGAAATCCGAGTGGCTAGTTGATAGAGACCACGATGAGCACTTGGTCATGGGGTAAGGTTCTTATGTGCACACACGGCTTTTGCATAATCGTTCGTTAACGTTTCTTAGATATAAACCTGCCGGCCACGGAAATGGCCCGGTTGAAGGAAAGAAGGATGGCTTTGAAGGATTGATGGTAAGCTGCTGTGTTGAAGGATCAATCTCGATAGTTTTAAGGGCTAACGACGGTCAGCTATTCGAGCATCCGATCTCTAAAATTAGCGATCCTTCCCTTTTTCCTGGACCCGACGTTATTTCAAGCCAGCTCCTCGCTCTCAAACAGGCTATGTCAAGCTTTCGGGAGATGAGCGTGCTTTTACTGGCCCGAATCTCCGAGGCCTTGGGTTTGGACACCAGCAAAGCGTATCAACAGTATCATCGGAAGAATGCTGTTTGTCCTACAGCACTCGGTTTACTCAAGTACACACTTGCTGAAGTTGAGCCCGATAAAGTAGGACAAATCGCGCATTCAGATGCCGGAAGTCTGTCCATTGTCTTTACGGAGGTTGCCGGCTTGCAGGTCTTGAAGCCGAATGAGGAGACATGGTATTACATTGCTCCGAAGCCTGGCCATGCCGTTGTCAACGTTGGAGACGCACTTCGCTTCATCTCAGGAGGCGTACTAGAGTCGAGTTTGCATCGCATCATACCACACAAGGACGAGATGGGGCGCCATAAGTACTCCATAGTGTACTTGCTACGGCCTGAGATGGATGCCGAGTTTACAGACGCCGAGGGAGTTGTCTGGAAAGGACTAGACTGGACCAACAAAAAGCACGCTGTCTTTCGCGCATCGGCTGAAGAGCAATCGAAAGGTACATATCTGACAGGCAGAGATGGATTCGTTGGGCATTGGGATCCAGAGAAGGACTCAGAGGGTCAGACAATTACTGTTGTCTAATGGTTATCTATATATATCGCAATGCATGTTGTGTGAGACATAAGACAGGGCTCTCTGCAGTTTGATTATAATTAAAAATCTTGGGCGTCCGTTCGCGTATGTCTTGCGGCAAGTCTAATAAAATGGGTAGCTGTTTCTCATAGTTGAGACCGATGAGCCACCGCACTGATAAATTACACCGCTATAACAGGACCGAAACTTTAGTAATGCGCCCTTCCCAACTCGACATCACAAATTCACAATCGTGCAGGATTCGCGCACAGAATAAGGTCACGTAATGTTTTACCTTAAAAGCGAGGGTAGATGGGGATGGGGACAGGTCGGCGAAGGGCTGTCTCCGCCCGAATAGGCAATGCCCCGGGTCCAGTATTGTCTCGGAGCAAACTTCAATTACAGACATGGTAGTATTCGTCATTTCTCATCCATGAAAAAGGCTTCAGTTGAGATTATAGATGGTGATGCTATTAGTGGTTATCAACCATCGGCAGAATGACGACTTTGAACATTAGGGAAGACGAGCTTCCTGACTTGAAAGGGAAGACTTCGATTGTTACAGGTAGTAATCCAAAGCAGCCAGTTGGATTCCCACTGACATTTTCGGCAGGAGGCTCATCCGGCATTGGCCTTGCAGCGGCCAAGATATTGGCGTCTAAGGGATCAAAAGTTCTGCTTCTCGACATTTTCGAACCCGAAGAGAATCTGCCGGAGTTGATACGGTTCAGGAAGTGCGATGTTAGCCAATGGCTTGACTTACGCAATGCGTTTGCGGACGTAGGCCCTGTCCACATTGCCGTTGCAAATGCCGGAAGAGGAGAAGATGGGACTTATCTCACAGACTCGTACGATGATGAAGGGAATCTACTCGAGCCAAACTACGACGTTATTTCTGTCAACCTTCGCGGAGTCCTGAACTTTGTCAAGCTCGCCCTCAATAACATGAAGACCAATGGTATCCAAGGAAGTGTAGTTATCACGTCGAGCGCAACCGCATATGCGGCAGAGCAATCACTTCCCGTCTACTGTGGCACGAAAGCAGCGGTAAGTGGGAGACGACTTGAAGAACCAGACTCTTTCGCCTCGTTAACTCACGCCTCTAGTTGATCAACTACATGCGGGCGATGCGGTCAACGCTCCGTGATGCCGGCATAACAATCAATACCGTGGCCCCCGCCGCCACCATTACCAAACTTTTGCCTGCCGACTTGGCTGCTCCCATTATGGCTGCCGGTTTGCCTGTCAGCTCAGCGCACTTCGTAGGGCTGGCCATTGTTCATTCTGCTACTGCTTTGGAGCCGAAGAAAGTTCAAAGTTACGGGCAAGATAGCAACGAATGGGAAACGTCTGGAGGCCGTTGGAATGGAAGAACGATCCTCACGTTGGGGGATCGGTATACTGAACTAGAGGGTCCCGTGGCAGATTGCCGGTCATTGTGGTTTGGACAGGAAAACTTGCATGAAACCAGATTACAACAAGCCGCCACGGATTTTCGGCACAAGCTTTGAAATCAGCAGAAGACTCGTTCAATGTTTTATGCAAGCCCGCCCAAAAACAATTTAGTAGTGTAATCAAATCATTCACGTGGACATTTCGTTCAGTGTGACTCCGACTTAGACGTCTGCAAAAGGGCATCATTGACCTTGCCGAAAAATTGTTCGAAAAGCTTATCTAGGCCCAACCGTACTCTTCGCTGGCATCAAATATCACTACTCAGGTCAATTCAGTCAATCTCAACTGTGCAGAGTTGAGGTCTCAAGGATCTTTCGGAAACAAAATTCTTCTCTAACTGCTGCGGCAGATTGCCTTTATCGTTGCTGCCGATGCCTCAAGTCCGGGCCATTACTTGATTGGGATGGCAGGGATTACTGAACCTTCGGGTGACGAGTCTTAACCAAGAGTTTCATCTCAAGTACAGAAGTAAGTGACAGTTGCATCGGCAATTACAGGCAATACATCGTGGGTGATTCCGTCCCTCGGATGATTCAACCTACGTTCCCGAAAACTTCGACTCAGGTGGACGTACACGCTTCATTTAGCCAACATGATCTCACTCCATACCATCGCTTCGTTGATTTTCCCGCTCATAGCAAAAGCTTCAACGCCTGAAGAAGTGTCGAAAGACGTCCGTCCTAAGCGGTATAGTCCGAATGAATTCCTCATAGCATCTCGCTTCACGGCAAAGATTCATCGCCTTGAGCCACAGGTCTCCGCTGAGGTGAACCAATTCTTTCTCAAGCACTGGCCATTCGAAAATGAGAAAGCGCGGAAGAAGTTCGTCGCTGCGGGATTTTCCCGTGTGACCTGCTTTTATTACCCCGTTGCGTTGGACGACAGGATAGGTTTTGCTTGTCGGCTTCTGACATTGCTATTTCTCATTGATGGTCAGTATTGATTATTATCTCACCTTTTTGTGGTTCTATATCCTCCGGGAAAGCCGGCTGCGTTGAACCTCCGTGCTGATTATCCAATAGATCTGCTCGAAGATATGTCGCTGGAGGAAGGTTCAGCCTACAACGAAAGATTAATTTCTTTGTCTAAGGGCAAAGCAGAGCCTGATCGTGCCGTTCCGGTGGAATGGATTACGTATGAGCTGTGGAACGACATGCGGTCTTGCGATAAGGTGCTGGCGGATGCCATTCTCGAGCCTGTATTCACCTTCATGCGGGCGCAAACTGACAAGTCCCGTTTGAGCATCAATGAGCTTGGGCATTACCTGAATTATCGTGAGAGAGACGTTGGCAAAGCGTGAGTAACCTTTTATTTCGCAAACCCGCTCCAAGCGTCAGCTTACCATGCTTAGTCTTCTATCCGCCTTGATGCGCTTCAGTATGAAACTGCACCTTAGCCCAGAGCAACTGCATAGTGTTCACGAAATTGAGATGAACTGCTCCAAACACATCTCCGTTGTGAACGACATCTACAGTTGGGAAAAGGAACTACTCGCCAGCCAAAACGGGCATGAAGAGGGATCGGCGTTGTGCTCTTCTGTGTCCGTTTTATCTTCGGAGACCAATCTTCATTTCTCAGCATCGAAAAGAATTCTTTGGGTCATGTGTCGTGAGTGGGAATTGGTCCACGAGGACTTGGTCAAAAGACGACTCGAGTCACAGATTGCATGCAGCAGCGACCTGCGCGCTTTTATGAAGGGTTTGGAATATCAGATGAGTGGCAATGAGGCATGGAGCGAGTCGACTCCAAGATATCACTCTGTGTAGCACTTTCTGGTTCCTCTTCCTTTGATGAGGTGGGAGCATTTGCTGATCTGATCTTGGTACACGTTCTTCATGCTGTGGATCTTCTGTAGCTGTTCGCATGATATTTATAGATTTGCATCTGATAATATTCTCAACATTTCTTTTGAGACTGAAAACGTTTCTTTACGTTGTGCGCTTAGTGATGTAGAGATTGGCTTACACTTCCGGCACATCAGTGCGTAATTCGATCGGATCGTTCAAGTCCTGGTTCCCCTTAGAATGGCTTAACAGATTTTACAAGCACCCCAGGCATCAAAGTAAACCCCATGACAGTTTTGAGGCAAGAATGAGCTTTGTTCGCGCCACTGAAATTTTCCGCCAACGACTCTTATTATTTATACTTTCTGTTTGAAATCGATTTACTTGACTAAGAAGCTCTTCCTATGATGAAGGTGCTCGCTCTATGTGTATTCACCAGTTTCCAACATCCGTCTGACGACCCAACGGCACGTTAGCCTTGGACAAAGATACATCGGCATCAGCGAAGTCAAGTTTGCCGTTTGTCTCCAAGTCGACGTAATTCGCCTCAGCACCCGCCGAGGTTATCTTGGCCTCCAGTTTCTCGTCATGTGCATTCACAATGTCATCCGGCAACTTTGCCAATGCCTGGTCGAGATCCTCGATGATGTCTCTCACATCCTCAGTACCAACGGAAAATCGAATGAATGCCTGCAACTTCAATCAACGACTGACTTCAACCGACAACGTGGGAGAATTGGATTCTTACAGGAGTGATTCCAGCCTCTCGTCGGTCCTTCTCCGGCATGATTACATGTGTTGAATTCCACGGATGAGTGGCCAATGTCTTGGAATCTCCAACACTATGAGCTGTGTCAGTTGTTGAAAGCTCTTCTTCGGATAGTGCCGCGAACTTACTTCGTCTGGTGGGAGATAACTCGCACGTAATTCATCAGCATCTTGCTAGCAACATCGCCGCCCTTGGGGCCGAAGGCAAGTACACCTCCATAACCGTTCTTCAGGTACTTCTTGGCGTTCTGATGGTACTGGTTCTTCTCAAGCCCTGTTGGTCGTTTATTAGCTGCAATTCGACATCATAGCTGAGGCCTTTCTGTGAGATGCCTACCTGGGTAGTTGACCCACGCGACCCGTGGGTGAGCTTCGAGAAATCGAGCGATCTCAATGGTGTTCTTGGCATGTTTTTCACATCTCAAGCTCAGAGTTTCCATCCCGATGAGCAGCTGCTGTGCTGATGCCGGAGCCAGCGTGGAACCGACTTCCATCAAGATGTCGATTCTCATTGCCATGGCGAAAGTGATGGTACCGAAAGCTTTCCAATATGAGAAGCTCATGGGGCCTTCCTTTTTGATCATTCGGGGGAAACGCTCACCAGCCTTACCCCAGTCAAATGTGCCGCAATCGATGATTACGCCGCCTACTGTGGTGCCATGGCCGCCCATCCACTTCGTCGCAGAATGTAGGATGATGTCGGCCCCAAAGTCGATTGGCTTGCACCAAACGCCGCATGCTCCAAAGGTGTTGTCAACCTGTTTATGTCATCAGCAAAGTTGTAGCAGTTCGGAGTTCAAGCAAGGGCTCCAACTCACAACGAAGGGCACATTGTTCTCGTGGGCTAAGTCTGCGAGGTCTCTCATGTCCGGGATGCTGCATCTGGGGTTTCCAATGCTCTCGACGAATATCATTTTGGTCTTATCGTCAATATGTTTAGCAAACTCTTCTCTGGTTTCCTTCTTGGCCCATTTAACTGAAATGCCCAGCCGAGGAAGAAGCGTTTTGAAGAGACTGTAGGTGCCGCCGTACAGATTTATCGATGCCACAACATTGTCACCAGCCCCAGCAAGACAGATGATGGTGTTGAAAATTGCGGCTTGTCCGGATGCCGTGGCTACAGCTGCGGTACCCCCCTCGAGAGCGGCGGCTCTCTTCTCAAAGACAGCGACAGTGGGCTAATGGGGATCAGGTCAATTCCGAAAATTCCCCTCACGGTCATTTGTGTAGCTTACGTTGGAAATCCTGCTGTAGAAGTAGCCCGCTCCCTCCATGGCACAAACCCGCTTCGCATGATTGCTGTCGGTAAAGATGAAAGACTTTGGCGACGTTGTCAGCTATGCAGACTGTAGATTAATTGCGGCATATGATCACATACCACGCTGTTGTAGATTGGCACAGCTCGAGCGTGTGTTTCTTTGTCCGGTCTATGCCCTCCGTGGACCTGTAGGGTGTCGTACCTCAGTCCATCGTCGTATTTCTCGATTTTGTAAGGCTGAAATGGGTCATCGACCTCCAGAGCTCTCTTGCTCGGAGTAAGTTTGGTGCTGATCGGATCATCACGAATTGGCTCGCCCATTTTGAATCTGATATGTTGTTTGGAGGTAAAGGAACTTTTGTGACCTCCCTGATAAAATCAACAGGGTTATTGAAGAGTTTATCTTGTGTTTAGACGGTGATGGATTTCTCGGGGGTCTATTGCATTTCTCGGCGATTTGCCCCATTTGGAAATTCGCCTTGATCCGATGACTCGGTGGTAGCCGTCTTTGGGTCAACACTGTGTTAGTAACTCAGGCAAGAAGCTCCATGGTTGCGTACATTCCGGCGCACTCTCTGCCATCCGAACCTTATCTAGATCTCAACAAGCTAGAACTTGAAGCCATCAAACCGTAACCTTGAAGTGTAATTTCGTTTTGCTGGTAACATTTCTAGCCTTTCTTCGTCTGATAGCCAAAGATGGGGTCCCTGTCCGACGTTAAGACATTCATTTTGCGAACGTCAGCGGGCACTCATGCGTTTGGACTTCGCCTCTGGTCTTTAACATCTCTGGTCACACTCGCATGTTTGGGTTTACTCGTGTATGTGTACACTGGGACTAAAAAGCAATACTTAGCTCCTGGCGTGCTTGTTGTCGGCGGAAGAGATGCCGAGTCCGTGAAAAAGAACCGTGAGCGCTTCCGAGAACATGCGAAGGAAATGCTGGAGGAGGGTTATTCGAGTGTAAGTCAACTTCCCAGAATTCGAAAGTCTGTTCGTCTAATTTGTATATCAGTCTGGTGGAGGTTTTTTCTACGTCCCAAGTCCACTTGGGGAACGTTTGATGATACCAACCAAGTATCTTGAAGAGCTGAAAACAGCTCCGATTGATCATGTAGATTTTGTGGCCACGTTTATTGAGGTAATTGCGGGAAATTCTCTTTTGCTCTCCAAGTGAAACTGACGATACAGATGTTCGAAGGGAAATACACCACCATGGGAAGTCGATCGACCTTGCACCCTCGAGTCGTCAAGGCTCAGTTGAACCATCATCTTGGTAAGTTCATCACAAGAAATGTTATCGGAGATTCTAACTCAAGTCTCAGCCGATGTTATGCCAGCAGTTCAGAAAGAAATAGTCGACGCTTTCGATGACAATTTCCCCGCTTGTGACGGTTCGTATAATTAGGAAAGCAGCCAAGCCCTCGAATACGATGCTAACTGGAACAGATTGGACCCGCGTTCCCGTAGTGGATGTCCTCACCCAAATCGTCGCGAGGGTGTCCAGCTGCATGTTTGGTGGGACAACACTTTCTCGGAATAGAGAATGGGTTCAGTCATCCATCAACTTTGCAATTGATGGATTCATTGGTGCCCAAAAGCTGAAAAGCTATCCCGAGATTCTCAAACCACTGGCAGCGCGTTTCATTCCCGAAATTCGAAAGATTGCGAACCACTACGCTGCCGCAGAGGCTGCGGCTATTCCACTGCTTGAAGCCCGTCGACAATCTGGTGAAAAGATGACGGATCTGTTGTATTGGATGGCTGATCAGGCCAATGACGAGGAGAGAGATCCGAAGTTTCTTGCCAGCATCTTACTCAAGGTTAGTTTCGCTGCCATTCACACAAGTGCTGCAGCGCCTGCACAACTCATCTACGACCTCTGTGAACGGCCCCATATCATAGAGTCTCTCCGTCGGGAAATAGAAGATTGTACTGGCAGCAATGGGTTTATCGACAAGTTCGGCTTCCTCAAGATGAACATGATGGACAGTTTCATGAAAGAGAGTCAGAGGTTCAACCCGCTTCTTCTTAGTGAGTAACCCGCATCTAGATTTTAAGCTTTCTTGCACAAGATGACTAAAGATGTATCTTAGTAACCTTTGAACGCGTGGTTCACCGGCCATTCAAGCTGTCTTCTGGTTTTGTTATCCCGGCACATACGACTATCGGGATTCCAACTCATGCTATTACAATGGATGAGTCGCTGTATCCCAATGCAAAGGTCTACGACCCCTTCCGGTTTTCCAAGCTGAGGGACTCGCAACCTGATTTAGACGGGCGGGTGCAGTACGTTGCATCAAATCCTTCGTCGCTGAGTTTTGGTTATGGACGACATGCTTGTCCAGGACGGTTCTTTGCTGCGCAGGAAATCAAGGCCATTATGGCTTACTTACTCTCCAAGTATGACATGCGATTCTCGGACGGCCAAACTCGGCCTGAGAGTCTGAGGGCCGAGACGCAGTACTTACCAAACCCGGCGGCGACGATTGAGTTCAGGAAAAGAGAAATGCACCGATAGTCAAGCTAAAAGGTCTACGCCACAATGAAGTTCTCTTATTGCATATGGCAGTTTGTTCGATCTATGGGCCTCGACCCGTGACTGTCGTCCACGTTTCATGTAACTGGTCAGGAATTCTACTCATGTAGCAGTGTTCAAAGCACAGGAGGAAATGAAGATCTATCTCAAGTCATCTGGTATGCTATTAAGAGTCAGACACTGGAGAAACGACGGCACCTGCGCTGGATATGTCGTAACTGACCCTGAGTGTCGGATGGGTCACTCGGCACTCTTCCTAATGCAGTATACGCCGGCTACTCTCACAAGTCGATACCACGTGGTGATTACAATGACACCGCTCAGAATTAGGGTTCAAATGGCACATGTATAAGGTTACATGAGGCGGAGCTGTCATGCTAGCCTACTTAACCGCGCTATTGCATTCAAAGCGGAGTGAAGCCGACGGGATTTCTCCAACTGCCAAGCAAGGAAGCCGTTCCCACATTACAGTGGCACCTCTGAGGATGAAATGTCTCTAGATATGTGTTTCTGACGGGATTGGCTCTATGTTTTGTTACTTTGCCGTTTTCCTAAGCCGTGATCGGGCTTCGGAACGTCCTGATGAGTTGTTACTTCGGATTGGGTGTTATTTTCTACTCGGCTAAAAAGCTTGTCTCACTGTCGGTAAAGCGACTCAGGTTCAAACAGAGACTCGACGCAGTTGGTGTTGCGGATTTCACCCACACGGCCACGCGGCAAAATAGGGCGCTCAACTCACCTGGGTTTCCACTTGGCGACAAATAGCGCAAGGGGCCGGGCCGGGAGAAACCCTTGAACAACCTTTCGATCCCGGAAACCTTAAATCGTCACATAGACGAGTCTCGGCTTGCCCCACGTGGCCAGGTTCGCAGTCGTCCCAACCTCTCCAGCAGATGACTCGTTATTTCTGACTAGACTTTCTTGTCCCAAGTGAGCAAGTAGAATTCAAGATGCATGCGCTCACGGGAAAGGCACTTTCCAAGCAATTGCTGGGAAAGCCGTCGTACCATGGTGTCCCCATACCATGCGTGGAATCCCTCTAACAAGAACTTACTTAAGTGCATCTGGAATCAAGTAGGTAAGAGCTCTGTTTAAGAGTAAACAGTTGGGCGCAGTGTTCATCTAGCTAGATTCATTATTGCACGTGGCAGACTAGTTATACAACTAACTCAACCGGGTGGCGTGCCCCTGAGAGCTTCGTGCAAGTCATGAAGCCTCAGAGTAACGGGCCTTATGGCAGTCTGGTGAGACTCCCAGTGTTCTCTCTCAGCGGACAGCCTCAAACTTGTTGAAAGGTCAAGTAGTTGCCTGACTTGCAGGGTGACCAAGAAGCCGAAGACCTCGCAGCGCTCGTGAATAGTGTCAATCTGGTACTGTCCAATATGAATAGGAAGCCAGCGGTGAGCGTGTCCATAAATGTCCATCTGCACTGATTTTTGCTCTGATTCAGATGCCAGGGAGTTCGTTTCCCACACGGCGGCGATGTCTTCCAAAATCCCCGTGATTTTCTCAATCAATAAGATTAAGAACGTCATGACCCTGGATGGGCTACGGCATGATCCACATTGCGACAGTGTCTTGCATTGTGAGATAGATCTTTTCAGGGAATTCAGCGACTTCTCAGCTGAACAAAGTGTGGCGACCTTTGTGTGGCCTTGGATCTTCTCGAGATGACCAAGCGTAATGCCTATACACCGACAGGACGAGATCTGACTGGTTTGCGGCCTTCGCCTGTTTGACGTGATTTCTCTCGATTGGCGAAGCTGTTCAACTTCAACGGCAGGAGAGTCTGCGACTTTGAGGTTGATACTTGGGGAATTTGGTGCTGTAGTCCGCTGATTGAATGACATGCTGGTTGAAGCTCGTTTGGCTGCGACAAATACGGGAGAATAATCCTCCAGCGCTCTTTTGCTTTTGGGTTGGCGTATTGGACTCCAGTTCACATCTCCTGGCCATCAATTAGTCTCGGCTATTAAGTTGAAGGTCCATCCACCGCCAAGTAAGTAACTGCAAATGAGCTTACAATAGACATTTGTCTCAAGAAAATGACGATACACTTACCTGATGACGAATTACTGATGGCGAAGCTACTTTCGCGAGAGCTACTTGCGTCTGAGTTGCTCTGATTTTCTGAGGAGGTACTCGATGCGAATGCGCTTTCCAATCCAAAGTCGCTCGTATCTTGATCTGACAGTGCAAGATCTGCTTCCAAAAGCTCGTCCATATCGAATTCATGCATGCCTGACTCGATATAATCCGGAATCATCAATTCAGGGAATTCCGAGATCGCAGATATTGTGTCGGTTTCGGCGGATAACTGATTGGATGAGTCGGCAGAGTCTATAGAAGATTGAGTTGGTGGATTCAAAATATGGGTATCCTTGCTGTTCGCCGCATGCGACGGTGTATGCGCATCGATGCAACTATTTCCTTTGTCTTCCGCCAAACCTACAGAATGGCTTGAAATGCTACTCTTTTCTTCTCTTGGGGGAGCACACAATGAAACCATGGATTCCTCTGGATTCGATGATGTTGGTGTGCTGCAGGCTGATGTCCTGCGCAGCGCTGAGAGTCCTCCTGCTCTCCGCCGTCTTGGTTGAGAAGCATTCGTGTACGTGCAGACTAGGTTGCGCTCCCTGCACCTCTGGCAGCCAAATCTATGGCCGGTGCATTTCAACTAGAGGCATCAATCAGTCCAGGCTTCGAAAAAGTCAAGGGAATTCATCATGATAGCTTACCTTCTTAGCTCGGCACCCGTCACAAGCAAAGTGGTTCGTGTTTTGACCTGGTGCCGGCGGCAGATGCGTACTCGAGATACAAACTACCTCGCCATCTGCTTCTTCCGTTCGTAGTGTTGCAAACATGATGCTACTCGGTCTCGCTTTGCGGTCTCGGTCTCTGTAACGGATGGTAGTTGAGATTGAGGATCACTACCTTCGGCAGAAAAAAGACAACAAAGTTCCATTATCTTCATATAAGGTGTGAAGGCACCGAAGAGCTGAAGTACAGAAGGGTTCCCTGTCTAATGTCGCTTCAACTCAAGACGTGTCGTCTGTAGCATGCAACGCGCAGACAGCTCTAAACTCTATCCTTAGGTCTGAACTTTAAACAAGTCGTCCTCCAACTATGGAATGCGCAAATATAATGTGCGCTGTGGCGACTCGGTCTCCACCAGTCTGGGCGCAGTTTCCGACTGAACAACCTCGTTCGAAGTCCAACACTGAGGTGCCTTGCTGGTGCTGTTCATGGAATGTTACCACATGGATCCACGAGCATCAATGAATGGAAATACTCCGGAGCTTATAATCAGTTGGCAAGACACATGACTTCTTGATGATCTGAGCTTCTCTGCATGAGACCGCGAACCCACATCCTCATGTTCTGTTGCGATGGACTCGGCGCAACTGTTGCATTCTTGGTCTCCGGGAGCATTCCCGCATCTTTGACATGAGGTCTGACACTACACTAGCAAGCCCCGGACCGAACCCCCTGTCCCTGAAACTTTATCAACCTTTGAAGACCCATCGCGGTCGTAACTCCGCAAACAGTAAGACCCTGTAGATCAGTTAGCGTAGCGCGGAGGTTGCAGGGATCACTCCTGAAGCTTCCGCGGGCATCCGAAGCTTTGGCTGACAAGTTAGCCATGCTCGGCAGTGCGCGTCAATTAAATGAAACTACCCGCTTGTTCGGTATCACTAACTCCTCACCGCCGTTTGTCATACAACTCTCTTGGTTTATCATTGGAACTCAATGCGGGCATACCCATGCCAGTGACATGCCAGTATGGCATTTGCGAAACAGGGAATGTGCGATGGGAATGGCAAAAATCCGATGAAATACGACCCTTTCGCGCCTCCGGTCTCCACAGCACAAGCACGTCGGAATCAAGTCGGAAGACAAGATGAGAGCGATGGCTCCAGTGCTTCGAGAGAAGTAGAGATGAATGTGTGGATAAGACGCAGAAGGGTTTCCGGTACAATTACCGGTGAAGACTTGCAGGAAGATCTGCTCGGGTTGTGAGAATAACTTTGAAAGGAGTTTCCACCTGTCCACCGCGTGACGTTTGCACCAGTGACCAGGCATAAGTTTAGAAAAGGGAAGAATGGGGTTTATCTTTTTTTTGATAAGCAGCTCAAATAGCTTAAGAGGCTGAAAACTAAACATAAAGAATACTAGGTTCGCTCAACACGACCTGGCCACTCGGCCGGTTTATTGCGTTGTGTCTACTCAGCATTAGACTAAACCTCAAGTGTACTCCAAGACTCATTCCAACAAGGGTACGCATTCTTTTCTCTGGAGCTGAAAGCTTATTTGTCTTAACACACTAGTTGTTCATATCCAACATTGTCGTGATTATGAACTTTAAAATTATAACTTCTTACTGGAAATCGGACACTCCCCTTCAACAGCTGACTCAACGCTCTTTTTCGCGTGGAATAATTGACTCCGTCTGTATCCTAGGCTTTGGCGTCTCACACTGAGTTCGGAAGAACTCATCAACAATACCGTTGGATTTGTAAATGTGGACATCGACGCCAACAGAAACGTAGAATGGCATGCTATGGGAACTTAGATCCCTTGGTGCTAACAGAATTTCTACATATATAGTAAGAGCTGGACCCTCGACCTTCGCGTGGGAAACTCTGTTTATGGCATAGAGATACAAGCTCTTCCAGACATTCTTGAGAGCCGGCTACCAGTTATGTAAAGCATCACGGTGCATGCAAAGCCGAGTGGCTCGCCCTTGACTGCCATTCTAGCTTCGCCCACTTGGTCGTAACATTTCAGCTACGGCAATTCTCGTTCTGAGCGAAGAAAGCATCAACTGCCTGATGAGAATTTTCGCCGTAGACTCATACGACGGTGACAATATATACAAGTGATATTGGCTGCAGTTGACATTGAAGTGAGCTTTACTTACATTTATCGACAGAATGAACTCTCCACGCATTGACGCATCCTTCGTAGTATACCAGGAAAAGACTCAATTAATCACGTAATTCATAGGGTGTGCTGTGGGAGATACTTCTAGCGGTGCATCACGATCATACACTGGGCTTGTCAGTAATTAACAACAACGCCCGTGCGTGAAGCGGGGGTTTCCCGAAGAAGTAATCCGCCAACTCGCGGCTGATCATCGTATTGATCATCGTATTGAATACGACATATGTCTGCATTGTCGGACTACGGCACTTTGAATTAGTTCGCTCGTTTCCTTCGGTGCCGCCGTTGCCTGACACATCAGTGTACTTTGTGGCATCTTCGTTGGAAGCGAACAGGTCTGGTGCAGCTTTCCCCCCGGCCCCCGCTGACGATGGGAACCAGCTTGACAGCCGGACGAAGAGATTGCAATTAGATATCATGAATTCTATTCGTGCAATTTACTGCGAGTCCAATATCGCTATCAGCATATACATGTATGTTCAGAAGCAGGATGGTTCGCGGTATAACCGGCCAGTTTCTCCACTGGCCATTCCATGAGTTGGCGATCCTCAGGTCTGGTAAGTTCCCAAACGCCAGCCATGATATGTTCAGCCCATCCATCAGCTGGCCATCCAGATTCTAACTCTTTCAACACAATTGCGAACGTTGCAAGTACGGCCAATGCCAACGGTTCCTTTCGGCGCAAATGGTCAAGGAAATCATCCGGGACTCGATAGAGCCAGCCCAGCGGACTAGAACGATAAGGGTCATCTGGACCTGGCGTCCCATCTTTGTTAGCTTCTAGACTTTCCATCACTCTGAAATACCTTCCAAGGTCATTCAATGCTAGTATGTAAGATTGTCTTGCCGACGTTCCAGACAGTTGCTCAGTCTGGCGATACAAACGCCACATGTGATATTCGAAGCTTTTCTTGCACTCAGGTTCCGATAATGACATCGAGCGGTCATAAATACTCGATTCAGTACATTCGGACGTACTTTGATGTGTTTTGTGCTCTTTGTGGTATCTGATGGACTGCATTCCACGCAGAAGGCTCAAAAAGTTGGGTCCTGCGTGCTCGCTGAATGCAATGTATTCGCCCGGTCTGGGACCCATCGCGAGATTGATGAGACCTATCAGTATCGAAGAGGTATGCACTACTTCTTAATTGTCGTCGCTGATGTTTTCGAGTAGGCTGGTTGAGCTTCGAACTCCAATGACGTGATGCCGCTCAGCTTGGGCTGAAAGTTCGAGTTTCTCCTCCGGCTGAAGTCGTGCCTTATGTAGCGCAGCAAACGCTAAAATCAGATGAAGAAGATGAGGATATTTGAAGCCGAGTTTGGGCAAACTGAACCTCCAGAAGTCCTCACCCTGCTCGTTGTGGACCATGCTTGAAAGAGTGGCCGTGTGGTAATGATGTAGCAAGCCCATATCAGCATAGCTCAGCATGGGTTGCAAACACGCAGGCGCATATCTTTCCACGGTTTCTTCCATCCTCATCATTCTCCGATTCATGAGATCCAATAAGGTGGACTGTTCTGCGAGCATTTTGACCATTCGGGCTTGGTCGCCTTCGGTCTGCAACCCTTTGGCCTTGGAACAACAACCGGAACCCTTGCAGATGCAAGCATCGGACAGCTCGTTTGATGCGAGGTGCTCCGAAGAAAAGCTGCAGTCGACCTCCCTTCTTATGCAGTTAAGGCACGCAGGCCTGGTCTCGTCGCATTTGATTTTCCTTCTCTTACATTGCTGGCAACCTAATCTTGACTTTCTGTGGGGCCGTCTTTGCTTGATAGCACCTTCTGACGAACTCATTTTCGCCCGATCAATGGGTTGCGGGTAGTGAGATGGTGTCGCTGCAAGTTTGGCCTTCGGTGTAGGGTCGGGGTTAATCGGATAACTGGAGGTGATGCGGTGTGGTGGAGGTCTGCCGGCGCGATCTGACGAGATATCCGCGGATTCAATGCGAGATGAAATCTGGGCACGTATTAAATAGTCGAATCAAAATTCCTACCTAAAGAAATGATAGGGGTGGTCCGTTGACGTATGGTCCAGACGCTGTGTCACCACTGCCTTCGCAACTCCTAATACGGACACTCCGATGAGCTCCCGATCAGCCGGGTTGTCTGAGGTTCCACCACAGCCACATGGACAACGGGGAGGCTATCGATTCAGACATCATTTTAGCGGGCTGTGCAGGGCGTAAAAGTTCGTTAAAGGCGCATCCGGTACGAGATCATCTAGAGGCATCATGCAATCGTCTTTCTCGCATTATGCGGGAATTGTGATCACAATTTCGTCATCGCTCTTATGATTTGAGTGGAAATAGTTACTCGAGGTGCTCAGGGGGAACAAGGCCACAACAGCAATATGCTTTGTCTACTTCTTGATTAGCACGAGAGTGACTATCCTCAAGCAAAAATATAAAGTCAATGGCGAGACCTATTACGGACATCAATCGCTAACGTTGTTCCCATGATTCATTCTTTCCCCATTGCAAAACTTCTCCTTCGTTGCCATGCATTCGCTTCTGACATTCACTGTATCTGTCCTCGCGTTAGGCGGCGTAGTTCTTGCGGATGACTGCAAGTGTGTAAGTCGCCCTGCGAGATCCTGGACTACTTTGCCTTGCTGTCAATTATTTGCTAACTAGATTTGAGACTCCATCGGAACCATGTTGGCCTTCGCCGTCGAACTGGGAATCTTTCAACAACTCCATCGCTGGCAGGCTCATCCGCACCGTCCCCCCTGCTTCTGTGTGCTACCCTTCCGAGACGAACTACGACAACCAGGCCTGCGAAGCTGTCATTGCCAACTGGACTACTTGGACCTTCCATTCGGCAGACGCTGCGTCTGTCCCTAACCCCTCTTCCTTGAATGCCTGCGACCCGATCTATCCCAACGGAACCAGCATCACCGGCGATCCTGAAGCTGGCACGAAGGGCTGCTCGCTTGGGGCTCTCCCGCCTTACGTTGTTAACGCAACAGACTCCAACGACATTCAACAAGCTCTGGTTTTCGCCAATCAGCATAACTTGAGGCTGAGCATTAAGAACACTGGACACAGCGGCGCTGGGAGGTAGGTGCATTCCCATCATCTGAAACACTTCTCGGGTTAACAAGGAGGAAAGAAATTTAGGATTTGGAAGTCTTTCGTGAGTGTTCACTGTTGCAGCAACACTAATGACGTCCCGTGATCCTTTCTCACACATTCAACGCCAGAATCTGGACCCATCACTTGAAGCAAGCTATTTTCCACGACAAGTTTCAGCCTCAGTTGTGCTCTTCCAATTCAACGTGGAAGGGTAGCCAGATGGCCATCACGGTTGGGGCTGGCATTCAAGATGGTGAGCTTTACGATTTCGCAAAGAAGAACAGCGTCGTTGCGGTTGGTGGCACGAACATGGTTAGTCAGTCATGCGTCATTTGTGATATTGGGTTTCTAATTACTACAATTGCAGGACGTCGGCGTTGTCGGATGGGCCACTGGCGGCGGGCACGGTCATCTGACGGGAGAGTACGGCATGGGTGCGGACAACATCATTGAGGCCACATTAGTCACAACATCCGGCACTGTTGTGGTCGCCAATGCTTGCCAGAACCAAGACCTATTCTGGGCTATTCGTGGGGGCGGGGGCGGCACCTTTGGTGTCATCGTGAATATGACCGTCAAGGCGTACCCCGAGCCCAAGATGATACTGCAAGGGTTCAACATTGCTCTCAAAAATGGTACTTCATCCAAGGACTGGTGGAGGTTTGTGGCTGAGCTTCACAGTCTTCTTCCTGCGCTTCAGGACCAGGGAATCAAAGGCTACTACACTATGGGAGGCCCTCCTTCAAGCCAGACAATCTCGCTTGCTGGCTCTCTGGTTGCCTGGAATATGCAGAACAGCACCGTATCCAAGGCAATGACCCCTCTTCAACAACTAATCTCCCAGTACAGTGACACTGTCACGGGTTCTGTCCAGGTTGTTCCCATTCCGTCTTTCTACGACCTGCTCACGGCGTTTCAAATCCCTGAGCATGCTGGAGGATCGGGGATCAGCGCCGCAAGACTCATCAGCCGTCAAACCGTGACTCAAAACCAAGGTTTGCTTGCTAAAGTTCTAGAGGAAATTGGTCCCAAGGCAGTGGCACCATTGGTAAGAATTCTCTCCCATCGACAAAACGTTGAACTGCATGTGTTCTGACTTGCAACTGGCAGGATGGCACCCCAAATCCTTCGATCTCCGGAACCATGACAATATCTCACGAACCTGTGGACAATGCTTTGAACCCCGCTTGGCGTGATTCCGTCGCTCACCTCATCGTTTCTCAGTCCTGGGCGGACTCGCTTCCAAAAGCCAATGTCTCTCAGATTGTCAATGACATGACATATAACAAGCTGAATGTGCTTCGGGGGATGGATCCTACAACCGGGACTTACTTGAACGAGGTAAGTGGCTTGTTCTGATTCCAAACTGTTCAGTCTCGACTGCGCCATTGTTCTGCGACACCCACCCAAGCTGACAACATGAACCTTTTACCGATAGGCAAATGTCTTTGAGCCCGGATGGCAATGGTCCTTCTTTGGTCCCAACTACGGTCGGCTCCGTAGCATCAAGGACAAGTATGATCCGGATGGCTTACTTTGGTGCCCTCAGTGCGTCGGCAGCGAGGACTGGATTCAGGGGAAGGACGGCAAGCTTTGCAAGGCTTATGAACCATTCTTGTAATCGACCATCGTAAATGAACGGCGGACTGCGAATCTTCGCGCGAGTTTGACTTTGCTACATTTCCGTTGTAGATCCAGAGCTTTTGTGTGTCCGCCTATCGTTACTCAGAGTCCTTCTTTGATATGGCACGATCACATAGAGCTTCAAATAATCCCAAGGATTTGCTTATACACTTGAAGAAACAACTCTGCTTCGAGTTGATGTAATTTGCTGTGTTGAATGTGTCATTCCGCCGCAAATTTCAGTTACAGGCCGACTGCCGAGAACTACAGTGAAGACTCACCTCAGATTTGATGATGTTGAGCTGAAGTTTATGATGGCCCCAAGATGACATGAAACTGGATGTATATCAGATTGGTAGTCTCAAGAATCTACATTACTGTCCCAAAGTATCCCATCCCCCGCCACTGTAACAAATCCGGTGCCCCCAACTCTCACTAACTCCACGTCCCAAAAACCCGCAGTTCACAAAAATCAATGGATCCCCAATCCCACCACCCCGAAGGTGCTATTCCCGGCATCCACCTTGCCAGCAGGTTGGTTTCCTCCCACGCCTGGGCGATCCTTAGCCCATGCAGTCAACTCGGCCTTCGTCTTGCCGGTATACTTAAGCATGTCTTCCTCGGAGATCTCGCTGCTTTTGGAGCCGACCAAGCGTTGGTACAGCGACTTCTTCTTTTGAGGGGATGCGACTTGAGGGTTTTGGGTGTCTGTGTTGACGAGCGTTATTTGGCTGTCAGTTGTTCCGAATTGGTTGTTCATTTTTTTGAAGATCGGAGACTTCACGACGAAGATCCTGGCGTGTGTTGAAATTGGCGTGGTTGTGGATGTAGATGATGCTTGAATAGCTTTTCTTTTGCGAGGAGGCGTTGTTTGAAAAGATAAGGCTTGTTCTTCTGTTCGATGATGTCGTAGCAAACAACGAATGAATTGGTTCTTCGGGCTTTTGGTTCCTTATATAATGGCAGTCACCGAGTTAAGCTGTGCCGCATAACTAGACCTCGTGATTGCCTCGCTACCAACTGCAGTTGCTATCCCCCGTCTTCTAGAACACGACGCTAGAAACGGCCTTCCCAAAACCACCTGAGTGCCCCATTATGCCGGCCCGAGCAAGGCGAAGCAATTCTTGGAACGAAATGTTGGCCCATAAGTCACGAGCCTAGACTGAATGCGGATGCTTGTTGGTTGGCTTGGCCAAAATCGACTCTTGCTATTGGTCAGACACGAAGGCAGCAGGCGGGTTCGACAACACGTGAGTTGGTCGGGCAAAACAACCTTGCATTTTGACCCAATCTAGGCATATCGCTACGGCAACTCCGAGCATGTTGCTGCAACTCTTCAATGTAGTAGCCGAGGCATAAACCATTCACAATCAGACCATAACTAGAATGAGGCCTGCAACACTAATGTTGGGTCATGAACACTTGGACTACATGCTCAATATAATATAGTATAGTATTATGGTAATGATTATGGATGCATGTCAATCAGTCTAGATGGAGCTACTGTTTCTTTTGTGCTGCCCCATTCCACTACTATGAATCTCTCTTAATTCCTTGCCTGAAACCTGCTTTGAATCTTTTCGTGCCATCCATCTTCCCCATCCTCAATGTCAGGGTCAACAGAGTGGCCCATGATAATGTGGTAAACCGTGCATCCCAGCGCGAAGAGCTCCGTCCTAACGTCCCCGTTGAACTCGTCTTCCCGGGGACAAGAGAACCAGGTGGGCTCGCGGCTGCAGCCGTCAAGTAGGGCCGTCATTGACCCATCTGGCAATACCTGCCGTCCTTAGAAATCGGCAAGCTTGACGTGAAAATCGCTGTCGAGTAGTAGGTTTGTTGGGTTGATGTCACAGTGGAAGACCCCCCTCATGTGAACCCAGGCGACCGCCTCGACAGCTTCGCGGCACCAAGACAGTCGTCGATGCACCGGGGGCGGGTTCGCAGATTGAAGGTGCTGGGCCACGGAACCGTTCACAGCGCGCTCCAGGTAGAGGCCTGTCTTGGAAAACCCCTTCAATTCGATGATGCGTTCGTGTGGTCCAACGATCTCGAGTAGTTTTCTCTCCGTGTCCAGTCGGGTGAGAGTAAACTCATCACCTGCTCGAAGGGCATACTTGAATACAGTGTCGTCATCAATTTCTCCAATGAAAGCGCTACTTCCGACAGCAATGATGATTTTCACCCCAGGCGGGCAGTATTACTTGATGACGATAACTTCCGTCTCTTCTGCCATAAAGAAGAAGGACATGGAACGTACCGCAATGATGAGTGCAGTGGGCGGGACAGGCACTTTTGATTGAGAGGACTGGTCTGTGTGCATTGTGCCAAGTCTAGGTGCGTCTTGGAAATACTATGTACGGCGATCATAGGTGCTGTCCGGCTAAGTAGCTGTGTAGCTCACAACTCTACAATACAAATCTACAGTAAAATACGATCGCTGACTTCTCGTCGCTCGCTTTCAAGTACCAAAGGTCCGCCGCTGGGGCCGCTGGCGTCCAGACTCAAGGTGACCTTCTGGAAGTCGGCCACCACACGCACAGTCTCTCCAATGTTTTGGTAGTCGATTTCATGATGCCCATGTCCTTGCGTTGAATCATCGCTGTCCTCCTTTACCTCGCGAATTTCAACACTGGGGTAAGGCAGTCGCCCTTCCCGTAAGGGAACGAGCAGAACGGGAACAAGCAGCTCCGATTCGCCAAACTTGCCGTCGGACTTGTCGAGGCCTAAGCTCTTGAAGTGGCCACGTCTGCGACCACCGACGAGCCATGTTTCGGGAAGACCGTTGACTTCGTAGCTGAACTCGTAGTCTTTATTGATGCTCTTGCCATCACTAACAGCCGTGTCCCAAATGCGTGTCCACCGCAGCCGAAGGTTGGTAGGGAGGAGTTGGTTCACTGCCACGGTTGACCCAGAAACATCTTCTTCAGGTGTTGGCAGCTGGATATCAACCGAGTGGAAGACGGGGATTGAAGGCACATCGACGGGAATCAGTATCGAGCGACGTGCTGACTCCATCTCTTTAATCGTCAGTTTAGGATGGGCCGCCTGCCAATCTTTGAGCCAGGCTTTGAGCATAATAGAGGCATCTTCACCAGTCCCTGGCACGGCGCCTAAGCCGGCAATAGCACCATCTACCAATAATGGCGAGATGAAACTTGTCGGAGCTTCGCCAAGAAGAGCAGCACGTTCCAGCTCGTAGTCGGAAAGGCCAGATCTCACTTCCGCAAGCACGCGTCCAATGATGAAACCAGAGAATGTCGACAGTGGCAGTTGCTTAGTGGCTTCCGCGAAAACCTCCTCGATGTGGTCGATAATCTCTTCCAAGAGTACGCTGTACTGTAGCTTGAGGTACATGGTTCTCGGGGTTTTTGCTGTAATGACGTCGGCAGATTTACGGGTGATCTTGTACAGCAGACTCGCAGGCTGTTTCGGGAAGACGGTGACAATCCTCTTCGATACGGGTGCCGAGTGGGCCTTGAAAACATCCGAATCAAGTAGTTCCGTGGCAAAGAGCTTGAGAGGGCTGGCAGAGGCCGTGGAGACACTGAAGCGAGAAAACAGCGCCTTGTCCTTGAACACATCCTGGACGTTGACGCCCAAGGCGAGAGCGATGGGTATTGAGACAACACTGGAGTACTGGTAGGTTCCATCGTCTGTCGTGTAGGTAACCTCCACTCTTACAGAGATGTTGGGAACGTCCTGTTCAACAGTGTATGGGAAGCGCATCTTGATCGTCGATGATTCGGGAACGGCCTTGAAGCGGAAAAGGCCAGCCTCAGGGGGCTTTTCATACTCGAACGAATCACCGATGAAGCCAGCCTCTGTTGAGCTGATCCTGAGACCACCGGTCGCAGGCTTTACTGACAGTTCGCAAGAGGTTATTGAATTCCAGCCAGTCGATACCTCAAGATCCACCGAATTGTTTTTGTCGAGCTGTATGTCCTTTGCTGCTGTAAGGCGACACCTCAAGCCTCCTGCCGGGCGGTATAGTTGCACATCTGGCAGGCGGAAGACATGTGCTGTCTTGCTCGGCGCCTGGTTGGCATCCCGCTCCCAATGTAGATGGACGTTGTCACAGACGATGTCCGTCCGGTCGATTCGGTAGGGACCTGATACATTGGTCTGCTATGGGTTAGTCGAGCCTATCTGTGACTTGAGTGAATACTTACTGTGCTGACGAAATGCAATTTGTTGACGCCGGGCTTCAAGATGCTCGTTTCTGAGGTCTGTAGAGAAACCTCCTTGGTTCCTCCAGGTATGGTGCGAGTGAGCCGGAGTGTACCCTTCTCGACCTTCAATTCGTCCACGAGGAGACTCCTCAGGGTAATCGTGAGAGAGAAGCGGTCCTTTCCGTCGTGGTATTCCGGAGTTCCCACAACCTCAACCTGTGTGAACATGTGATTCAGAGGAACTCTGACCTCATTTGATAGAGTGGCTGCAACGCTCAAGAGCTCGTCCAGGAAGCCGCTGATCGCGCTTTTGGAAGGGTACTCAACCTCCTGGCGATGGCCAATGGACAGCGTCTTCTTCTGCAGCAATCTTTCGTTTTCTGCCGCGGCTGCCTTGGTCAAAAGCTTCAGTCCCACGCGCACAAATTCGTCCTTGCGTTGCAGCTCTCGAAGACATTGGGAGTACATGACAAGCATGGACAACTCAAGAAGACTCCAACTGTTCTCGCCAAAGAAGGGTGTGGTCATGTAGAAGAACGAAGCAGCTGGGCTAAACTCGCCGCGATGGTACTTGAGTACTGCAAGATCAGCCATACTAGTCTTTACAGCATGCGTGTGGTTTGCGACTGTGTAATGCCGTAAGGCTTTATCCGTGAGCGTTTCGTAGAGCCGGTAGAAGTCTTCTCGGCTGTCAAGAGCAGCATGCAAGAGACCATTCTCGATGCCGGCCAAGCCGATGCATGCTTCCGAGTCCTCGTGTGGCCGCCTCTCGTTGTCGCCATCACCATCAAGGCTGATTTCTTGAAAGTCGTTGCCCTCCACATCCCCGAGAACAGGCGCGGAAGTCCATCCACTGTCCCAGCCTCGCTTCTTTCCGGTGCCCTGTAGGACGTTCCGTGACAGAGCGTAAAGTTCGGCGCGTCGAGCGGCAAGTTCTTCAAGGCCTGCTTTCAAGAACTGCTGATTACTCGGGGCAGTGGCGTCGTCCGCACTAGCTCGCCGGCCTCCAGGGAAGATGCCAGGGCTTGGCGGTGGTCTTGTATTTGTCCTTACAGAGAGTGAAGAGTTTCGGGCAGGGTGCATCATGGTTTTGAGCTCAGGGATTGATGATTTGGGTTCATGACTGTCCACACCGGTCAACGTTGACGGCGGAATGGGGAGCGCCTTGGTAGAGGTCTGGGCAAGTGTCTGCTGGGCCACAGAAAAGGCAAAAGACGCAACGAGGTTGTCAATGGCCTCGGCCAGAGTCGGACTGAGAACCTGCGATTCCCCCTCTGAATACCTAGCCTTGAGCGCCGATAATATGTCTGTTCTCATGACCTGCGAAACTGCGGGGATGAATTCCAACGTTCTGCGACAAATCTCTGCCAGCATAGACAAGTTTTCGGCTTCTTCAGTCTGCTTCGGGGGCGGTGCTCGAGGGGCCACGCCATGGAGAACCGACTCTTGCTGCTCTCTAAGCTTCGCGAGAAGTTCTTCGCGGGTAGACCAAGCATTGCCGAGCCGGAGCAGCAGCGAGATCTGTCGCGCAAAGATGTAGCATCGGAAGTCATAGACGGACACATTGTTTGCGACTATCATCTCGCGATACGGCTTCTTGGTAGAGCTGATGGGAATCTCGTCAAACTTCTCCTTTTTGGGGGCATCGGTAGCTTGGAGGTCAACGGGTTGTTCGTCTTCGTCAGAAGCATCCTCGACCCCAAGGGCTTGTACAGCGGCTTCAGCACGCTTGATCAAATCCTCCGTGTGACTGAGCAAAGACCCGCCATGCCTCTCAGGGTCGCCTGATGTTGCCTGCTCCTGGATGACGGTATCAAGGCCGACGCTGAGCTCATCGTAGCCCACAAGAGCATCCTCGACCAGGCCTACACTTTCGAAACCACGTGCCAGGCCCTCTTTCAAGATGAAGAAGGTGCAAAAGTTCCAGCCCGGAAGAGCTCGCTGGGAGTCCTTCTCCCTAATGTCATCCTCGTATTGAGTGACCCGCATATCGAAGGACGACAGTATCAGCTCCTTAAACTTGGCAATGAGGTCTTCCCAAGCATTCTCGGCGTCCTGGCGCGACTCGGAGTAACCCGTGGGTGTCGCCGGTACGACTCGCGGAAGAACATCGTACGGGACATCATTAATACCGATTCGAATCTGCGCAACACGGTCCGGCGCGCTCTTGCTTGAGCTGTTAAAGTCGGAGCGTAGCTTTTCCATGAGGGTCGACGACCCGGATCCCCACCTAGATGTTCGCGACTTCTCGGTAGCATCGGGGCCCTTGCCGCTGACTCGTGGCTGGTTTGCAGCAGCAGTATTGGGGATGACGACGTGGACAATGAGCCATTCGAAGGCGTCGTGGTTCTCTTGCGTATTTGTCTTCCGCGTGGACTGAGAGGGCGGGGTGTGTTCCTTGATCCATTCCCGGATCTCGGCTCGAGTCTTGGACTTGTAGGTGTCGCTATCGTCGCATCGAACAAGGAGGACTTTGAGGTACGGCGTCCGCCTCAAGCCAGGTATCTGGTGCCGCCGTTGGGTACTGGGCTGACGCGCAGCAGCAGTAGGGGTATCGGCCGTATCTGTTGAGGTGCTCTTCCCTCCGATTTGTTGGGTCTGAAAACCATCGTCCTTGGTACTGGTATTGGTACTGGCACTGGCACTGACGGACCTTCTTAGGGATGGGGAAACGGTGGGCGACGCCGGCGCAGTCGGGTCTCCGTTGGCGGACAAAAGCTCGACGTGAAGTGTATCGATGGATCGCAGGGGGCCAGCGTGGGATTGCCAGTGAAGGTTTCGAAGGGGAAGACGAGGGACGAGTCCCGGAGCTATGAGCTTGTATACATCGTGGGGATCGAAATACTCGACTGCAATGCGCGTGTGCGCGACAAGTTAGTCGAGAGTCCGGTTGTACGACGAACGACACGTTGCACTGGAATGGAATGAAGTTGACCTACCTGTGACTTTGGAGGTTGAAAAAGGCCGTTCCATCTTGAACGGCTCCTCCAGCTGAGGCTTCAATTACATTGTCTGTCGCAACGACACGGAAGAGATGGAATTTGTTTTGCGCTGTGTCCCGCGATTGCGCATGCGCATACAATCTGTTGGTAAGGTACACCAAGGTACGGTAGTATGAAGCTTCGGTGGAGACCCAGCAATGCAATGGCGTGGGCGTCGGTGAAAGGACGATGCGCCGGGCAGCAGCAGCCGTTTGGACGTGATCCCTGTCCACGGTGTTCTTCAGGGGACAGCTCCACTAAACGTGTGACAGCTCCGATGATTTGCCGAAAGCGGTGAAAAGACACCTGCCCGAATGATTGGCCGTAAATGACGCCGCAGCTGCACGCCTAATGGAGGGGCACGGCAGAATTTTCAAGGTTGGAGGAAAATGCCCCTCCAAAGGTTCGGAAAGCTTGAGTTTGCGCCTGCTTCTCTGCATTGTCGTTTCTCGTGATACCCTCTTCTTGCATTTCCAGCAAGCATTCTTAGTCTTTCGATCTATTCATCATGTCCGGTCTGCAAGCTGTCAAGTATACTCGGGGTCACCTCGAGGTTCTCGACCAACTCAAGCTACCCCACGAATTCCACTACGATGAGGTTGCGACAAGCGAGGAGGCCTTCGACTGCATCAAGGCGATGAGAGTTCGCGGTGCCCCCGCCATCGCCATTGTTGCTGCTCTCGCTCTCGCCGTCGAGCTTCACAATGGAAGCTGCACTGCTACCTCCGCGCAAGATACGATTTCATACATCGACTCCCGCCTGGACTATCTCAAGGAGAGCAGACCTACTGCTGTTGACCTTACCAACGCAATCAACCAGCTCAAGACCCGCATTCGCAATGCGCCCCAGGAAGATGGCAAGAGCATTATCGCAGCTTACATCGAGGAGGCCGAGAACATCCTTCAGAAGGACCTTCAAACCAACCTGTCCATCGGTGGCCACGGTGCTCAGTGGCTGAAGGATGTTGCGAATGCGTCTCCCCAATCCAAGATTTCCGTTCTCACCCACTGCAACACCGGATCTCTGGCGACTTCCGGTCACGGAACCGCCCTTGGCATCATCAGGACCCTCTTCTCCAACGACCTCCTCCAGCACGCCTATTGCACCGAAACGAGACCCTACAACCAGGGCAGCAGACTCACCGCCTTCGAGCTGGTCTACGAGAAGATTCCCAGCACTTTGGTCACCGACTCCATGGCTGCGGCGCTGTTCAAGCTGCATAAGGAAAAGTCAAACATCGCTGCTGTCATTGTCGGCGCCGACCGCGTCGTTCGCAACGGTGATACTGCCAACAAGATCGGCACTTACCAGCTGGCTATCTTGGCCAAGTTTCACGGCGTCAAGTTCATTGTCGCGGCGCCGACCACCACCATTGACTTGGAGACGGTGACCGGTGACGGCATCAAGATTGAGGAGCGCAAGAGGGAGGAACTGACGCAGATTTCCGGTGCCGTTGTCCAGGCTGACGGCAGAGTCGACACTGCGCAAACAGCCCGCGTAGCGACGGCTGATCAGCGTATCAACGTGTGGAACCCGGCGTTCGATGTGACACCTCACGATCTGATTGATGCCATCGTTACAGAAAAGGGGGCTGTGGTCAAGAACAGCGAGGGACAGTTTGATTTCCGGCATATTGTGCCGGAGAGGTGGGCGCAGGTTGTTGACCATTCGTCCTCCTGAGTAACGATTCATGACGATGAAGACGTAGGCTTCAAATCACTGCGCGCGGGAGGGTATGTGTATAGAAAGTCTGATGCCATAATGAATACATAAACGCCCATGCGCTGAACAATCAAAGGCAGATTACTTGAGGGCATGCAGGATAAGCTTCTGAAAGCCTGTCACAGCCTCCTCGAGATCAGCAACGGTCAGGTTCTCGTTACGGCCATGAGCAACCAAGATTGTGCCAGGCCCGTAGAGATAGGGCGTGTGCGACCCCTTCAAGTTCGGAATATCGGTGCCGTAGTTGGCGACGAGCGTCTCGAAGCCTGAAGCTGGTGTCAGTAAAATACCCTACATCGGGCGGCGCAGGAAATAGGTAGCCCTTTTGGTCTCACTCACCCTCAACATCACAGTTGGCTTCCACCACACCATAGCCATGTGTGCAAGTCATCTCCAAATCCTCAGCATCTGTGTCGTCGAGAATCTTCTGGATTCTTCCCTTGACGATATTGCCGCCATCGGCTTGAGGGCCAATGGCAACGCGCACAGCGATACGAGCGAGAGAGGCCTCGGGGATGACGTTCTGGGCAACGCCGCCGACGATCTGACCAACGTTGACGGTGGTGTTTCCCCACTTCTCATTGCTTCCGAGGTCGGTCGAGATGATTTTGGCCAGTGCCTTGACCATGATCTCGTTGGCTGATTTACCCAGCCAAGGGTAGCCTGAGTGACCGGCGATGCCCTTGGCCTTGATGTCGCAAAAGAGGCCGCCCTTGTGACCGCAGGCGAGCTTGTTCTCTGTTGGCTCTCCGAAGATGACCGACTCAAATTGAAGCGGGGGATCAACCTCGTGCAGCGAGTCGGAAAAGAATCGCATGCCGTCGCCGGTATCCTCTTCGCCTACGACAAAGACGAGCATGACATCTTCTTCCTTGACCTTGTCCTGGCTGAAGAGATCCTCGAGGGCGATGATTTGAGCAGCAACGCTCGCCTTGGCATCTACGCTTCCCCGACCGCTGATACGAGTATCGGGAGTGATTTTGTCATCGGAAATGCCGTAGGGAATATGAGGCGGCACGACGTCGTAGTGAGAGGTGACGACGACACGAGGCTTGGGCTGGCGCTGTGCCGTCTTCCAGGCCAGGACATTGAAGCGCGGGGTCTCATTCGTGTCGTTATCGCGGGGAGGCAGAAACTGGAGATGAGAAACGTAGCCGCGGCCAGTCAAGTAATCGACCAGGAACCTGCCAGCTTCACTCTCGTGGCCGGAAATCGAGGGGATCTCAATAAGAGAGCGGTGCAACGACAGGAGATCGTGGCGCCAAGTGGGTGCGTCGGAGTTCACATTAGAGCTGGAGGAGGTTCCGGCAGCCGGGCCGTGAGTCGTCAGCGGAGAAGACTCGGCGCCGAGAGGTTGCTGAATGCGGGAAGCGGCAGCCAGGCGGAGCAGGGCGCCAATGGCCCCGAGGTAAGAGATGCGCATGGCTTTTGCTGGCGATTGACGTTGGTGGCAGTCAATTGGCGATCAGTGTGGTGTTGAGCCTCCAATGACTGGCGGGCAAGCGAGTACCACCAGCTCTGATAAGAAGCAAAATGATTGCAAGCGGAGCGAAGTCGGAATAAGAAGGTTGCAGTGGACGGAAACGATGTTTGGATCTGGAGGTGCGGGAAGCAATGAGGTCATTCCATTCCAGGCTTCTGTCATTGGTTCTAGCCACAAGCACGGATCCTGTCCGATTGATGCAACCTCATTGGATGTTTCTTGGCAGGCTCAAGCCACCCCCATATGCCCGCATGTTCGTGAACTGACCCGAGCTTCCATCTTCGCTGACAAACAACCATGCTGTTGACTTTCGCAACAAGAGATGGATATGGAAAGTTGGCTGCACGGATGTCTCGATATGTAACACAGATTGAGGACGAGCCAGGTTGCCAGGTCGTGTTTGCATCTGATGTGCAGGAGGATCTTGCTGGACAGCTCAGCTCAAGGTCAGCCCGGGTGCAGTAGTAGCAGTTGACTGGCTGTGACAACGCAACTAGCTTAGCGACGAACTGCTCTAAGGAAACTCTACACACGTCGAATCAGAAGTTTTGTTTCGGTAGGTGTGCATCTGCTGGCACGCAAACAATTAATTGTTCCATTGGAAATATCTCCAGTGGATTGAATGCCAAGTATCCGTACCATGGTAGGTAATTAAAGCAGCGGATGCAAACCCATGTCCTCCACTGCATTGGCAGGCGGGAAGTGGCGGCTCACCCACTGTATTCGTACAGCACTGCAATGAGGTGCACTGCAACTGAGCCGCCTTACCTAAGGTAAGGTACCTCTGACGTTGTACCTGGTCCTTGCTCGCCTCGCCTTGCCTCGCCTTCCAGGTTGCCAGTCCGAGGTGACTTGACAGCCCGTCCTGGGCCTTGACCGGGCCCGTTCGTGAATTCAGCATAGCACCAACCATCTCCCCAGCCATTCATCACGTCCCACACGACCCGGCGACCCTGATTCAGACTCGACGACAGCTTCAATTGCTCCCCCTAAACCCCTGCAACCGCCCTCAACCACGCGCGCGCCTCTCCGTCCGACTGCTATCCATCCCACCGCCGCCCTCCTAGATGCAGCCGGCACCCTCTGCGCGCAGCTGCTCGCCGAAGAGACGTTCCTCCTGATCCCGAATACCCTCACCCGACCTCACGCGGCCCGGACCCAGACCCCGAATCCGACTCGTCCTTTTGTCTCGAGTAAGCCCGCCGACAACGCCGAGCTTCGCTTCGGTCGGCCTTGACGTGCTAGTCATCGCCAGGCGAAGGCATGCAGGCGAATAGAGGAAATGCTGAGGCCCTGGGTCGAAAGGCCAAGGTGCGTTCCCTACTCCGTCATACCCGTCATTGTCACTCCGCATCGCGACCGTCCAGCTCTCCACGCTCGCTCCTGGCTGAAGCCATCAATTACCTCGCGCCCTCGCCTTCTCGTTGCTGACAGTACCACAGCTTGCTCGCTCGTACCAGGAACTTCTCGAGTAGGTTGCTACCTCAGTCGCCATGATTCTACCAGAGACTAACGCCCATGCTTTCCCCCAGCGAGTTTTCCAACAAGGACCTTAGCTCTGTCGGCAACTACACCCTCGGTCGTCTGATTGGAAAGGGCTCCTTCGGGAAGGTTTACTTGGCCACCCACAAGCTCACAAACGGCTCAAAGGTGAGAGGCATCACCACGACGACAACCTTCAACGTCGCCGCTAACATTGGTCTACTCAGGTCGTTCTCAAGTCCGCGAACAAAGGCGACTCGAACCTGGCCCGGGAAATCCACCACCACCGACAATTTGTCCATCCGCACATCGCCCGACTGTACGAGGTTATTGTCACAGAAAATCTGGTCTGGTTGGTTTTGGAATACTGCGCCGGTAAGCCCAATCGCTGTTCCGCTTTTTGTCACCTATTTCTGACGACAGACATCTAGGAGATGAGCTCTACAACTACCTCCTCGAACATGGACCGCTGCCCGTCCATAAGGTCCAAAAGATCTTTGCCCAGCTTGTTGGTGCCGTCGCCTACGTACACCAGCAGTCATGTGTCCATCGCGATTTGAAACTCGAGAACATCCTATTTGACAAACATGAAAACGTCAAGCTTGTCGACTTCGGCTTTACGAGAGAATATGAGGGCAAGTCGAATCACTTGCAGACGTTTTGTGGCACGATATGCTATTCCGCACCCGAGATGCTCAAAGGAGAGAAGTACGCAGGCGAAAAGGTTGACGTATGGAGTTTGGGCGTCATTCTCTACGCTTTGCTGTGTGGCGAGCTCCCCTTTGACGATGACGACGACAACGTTACACGGACGAAAATTCTCAGCGAAGAACCCAAGTTCCCCGAGCACCTACCCCTGGCCGCCATACCGTTGATCAAGTCGCTGCTGTCCAAACGGCCCCTGCTCAGACCCTCGCTCCCAGAAATCCTCTCGAACCCCTTCCTCGCCGAACATGCCCCAGCGCAACATGCCATACTCAAGCTACAACGGCCACCGCCATTTGCGACGATGCTGGAGAAGGAAACTTTGCAGCGCATGCGGAGCGCGGGCGTCGACATCGACCAGGTTATCGAGAGTGTTCTCGCGCAGCGATGCGACGCTTTGGCTGGCTGGTGGACCCTGCTCATCGAGAAGGAAGAGCGAAAGGTTCGCCGGAGAGAAAGGAAACGCCGCGAGAGAGAGGCGGAGAACAGGAGCTTGCGTCGTTTGTCCGCCGCCTCCAGCAGGCTTGAGCGGATCGCGCCAGTCCTCCAGGAGGTCGACGAGGATGGTGGACTGACAAACCGTTTCATCAGACTCGAAGACGCGCCGGTAACGCCGAGAACAAGAGGCCGTTCAGAGAGGAGGAGCGCTCATTACTCTGATTTTGGAGATCTGCCAGGCCTCCCAGAACACATCAAGGAAAATGGAAGCCCAAACCCGGAGGAAGCCCCACCTCCGATCGACAAGGACTCGATCCGATCTGCGAGTACGTCTAGAAACCGTCGCCCGGTACCACCCCCTAAGGAGGGTGTTATTCGGAGCGCGAGATCGCGGGGTTCGACCCTTCACCTGGTGACCACTTCGGAAGCTTTGGCGGCTAACGGAACGCCAGAGCGACCCCCTGAACAGCAACAAAAAGTGCGCAAGAAGCCCTCGCAAGCCATCATTGCCCACTGGAAGAACTGGACACACTGGTTCTTCGAAAATACCCGCAGGGGCAGGCACGCGAACAAGCGAGGGAGCCACTCGACGCCGAACCTAGTCGACAAGAACGGCGGCACAGGCGGAAGCAGCAGCAAGCATTCTAAGGACACTAGCCCGCGGCCTCAGACGAGTAGGCATCCGACAACCGACGGCGCCGTGATACAAGCGAAGGCTGGGCTTCCTCGTGGCGTCGTGGCCAACGGCCACGCGAATAAGACATCGCCTGGTCAAGGTGGATACGCAGGCTTCGGCAGCAGCCCAGCGTCGACAAGCACTATTACACCCGGGCACATGCCCTCCCGGATTGCGACTTCGTACAAGCGACAATCTCTTTCCCCGTCTCCCATGACGCCTCGGACTACTATGCGGCGCTCCTCGGCAGGACTGCGGGGCCGCAAGTCGACTTCTTCGTCGGTGTCATCCATACGTTCGATGCCTCACCATCATCACTCCCATTCCAAGGCCTCTTCCACAAGCTCAAATGGCTCCGTGTCGACGAAGAACACACTTGGACGTGGACAGTCGCCTCACCATTCTTCCGTCAAGGTTCTGCCCGCCACCCCGACCTCCTCAGCGTTTCCATCCAACATCCGCCTTGTGCGTGGACCAGGCCCTCCGGCTCCCCTCGCATTGTTCAATGAAGGCATGCCTTCGGCATCTGCGGGAATGCAAGCCCCGGGCTCACCTAACCCGTTTGCCCAAGGAGGAGGGATTATGTTCGCTAAGCGGAAGCGAAACATTTTCAAAGGCCCCATGTTGGCCTTTGGTGGAGGTAACGCAGGCGGCAGTGCCACGAGGAGCACTAGTTCAAGCCATTCCAGGAGCGCGAGCGCTTCCGGTGTCGGACGTAGGTCCGGGGAGGTCACCATTCAAGAGGAAGAGGAAAATGATGGGGCGGAAGAAGAAGTAGAAGAGGTGGACGCTTTCAGCCCCGTCGTCGGCGGTCCTGGAGAGCGCATCGAAGAGCAAATCTTCGAGGAAGGCGAGACGCCGGCTGAAATCCCACCCAAACAACCAAAGGCGACTGCCGATGACGATCCCCCCGTCACACCCAAGGCTGTCGCTCCGCCGACTTCGACATGAACGATTACTTATCACTGATTAAACTTCTCAAGCGTACTTTTGAAAAATACCAGTCTGGAATTATGTTTCTTGCGACTCTTCACTATACAGGCTCAAATGGAACGAGCCGAGGCAAAAGCTCTCTTATTGCTGTTTTCTGTATATTTCCCCTTCGGCGCCATGTACCATACTTAGAGGATACCTTGTACTAAACAGAAGGCGCTGATGATTTTGCAATGGAAAAAGATTCAAGCCCACGCCGCATTTCTTTCTAATCGTCGCTGCCGATTCATCAGTGTTAATGGAGTGTTAGCCCACCGCCCCTTTATGGATGCCTTGAATCCATAAGGCTCTTTCTTGCAATCGCAATCTTGTCAACAGTCTCATTAGTTGCGCACAACGAAGCATCAAACGGTTTCAAAGTCGAATCTCCCATGGTCGCCAGCGCCGCCAGCCCGAGGTAGCCGTGGTAGATATCGGGTGGTCCTCCGGGGTACTTGGAGAATCCACCGATTAGGTGTTGCGTCTTACTCATCAGGAAACGCCGGGAAGGCAAGTCATCGATGAGATCAACGTGGCCCAGCATCTACACTTGTCAGCTCACACCCTTTACTCGTCGAGAATAGCTTGAGCTCGTACCTGTAATGTTCCGCCCACCCACCAACAATAGCACGTATCCGCGACCTTGTTACACCGTCCGTTGAACCCTACGAAGCGCATGTTGTCGTCTATCGACAGCTGACCCAGCGTCTCCGGTAGGAGAAAGTTGGCCGTGTCGGGGTCGTCTGATTCCTCGTCCCTCTCCAAGTACTCGAACTGGCGATATGCGAGGAACTTGACCAGCAGCGGCACATCCACGATGCCTCTTTCGACGGCTGCGCTGCGGTACGGGGATGGCCCCTGCGATGACGGTCTGTCGAGCAGGTAAAGTGCGCTTACCGCACAGTACGCGTAGCCAGCTGCGCGATCCGAGTCAGCTCCCGTCCAACGTGCTCGCCGAGATAGCACATACCATGAGACTCCAGTTGCGAGCTCTCAGCAAGTCCACCATCATACGTTTGTCCTCGACGAATATGCCCAACCAACCCCTCGACGTCGATATCCTCCACCCAATCCGGGTCCCCCTCTCGTATGTCTCCTCTCAGCATCCACCGTATCGCGGCGGCGAGATAGCAAAGGCGCATGTCCCTCCCGCCCTCGATCTGTCCGTCATCCATCACCAACTCGCCAAAGCTGCCCTCGGACCTCTGTAACCTCTTCAACCAGCGCAGCGTCTTCACCCTGTCGACGCCCGCGAACGCAGTTTTGGCACCCTCCGACCCGTCAGCGACCATGGCCAAGATGAGAAGCGCAAAGTACGTAGCCGCGACATTGGCGGAGCTCGAGTGCCGCGCCTTGAGCACGCCCTTTTCGAAATCCCATCCAGCGTACAGGTCCTTCGGCAGGGCGTGGGTGGCGGAACCGCAGAAACCGCCGTCGGGGTGTTGAAGATTGAGGACGAAGTTTCGGGCATTCGTTCGATCGGCGGTGGTGAGGAGGTGCGCTGAGGAGGGGGAGGACGGTGAGAGGATGTCGAGGGCGGCGATGATGAAGAAGCTCAGGGCCATGCGCGTGCTGTCGTGGCTCGTGTACTGGTGCGGGAGGAACGTCTTGTGGCACCGCTGCCAGTACTTGATATGGCGCTCTTTCTCGAGCGGTACGGAGGTTTCGGCTGTCATCTTGACCGACGCGATTCAAGCAAGGTCGAGGTGGTTCGAGAGGCAGATGTTTGGCGAACGCGACATTCCCATCCACAGTTCCCAGAACACAGAAAGATGCCGGGACAGAACCCCACCCCCACTCAGCTCAGAGCTGAGCTCGCAGCTTCGGGCGCTAGCAGGGTACAGCCCGCCGCTGAAAGATTGCTGAAGTTTACCCCTAATCCAAGTTCATGGACGAATGAGAAGCTGCAATTCGATAAGCCATCCACCACGATAAGGCATGTGACGGATCTTTCGGGTGTGTCGTTTGACCAACATTTTGTCCACCGCGACGGCGACAGCGCCCCCCTGACTGCCTTCTTCTTGTCGCAACTCCATTCTCTTGAGAAGACGCTGGATCAACCCAGCGCAAACAACAAGACAAGATGGCGCTCATCTCAGCAAGGACAATCATCACCTCGCTTTCCCTCTTCCATGTCACCCTCGCCTTCTTTTTCCTCACGAACCCGGCGGCAATCGCCGACCAGGCTCTGGTCTATGTACTAGGCGAGGCCATGGGCATGGTAAGTCTCGAGCTGCCTTTGGTAATGGCAGTGACAGTCACTGACTCTTCTACTCGGCAGCCCCATGCACGAAGCTTCGAAAACAAATCCCCTGCCCTCGCCTTCCTCGCCGCCGTCCTTGGGATGTTGGGATTCAGCGATCTCGTCACCCTCAGCATGCCCGAAGAAGTCTGGGTTGACTACCACTGGGGAACGCAGGGTAAGTCCAGATTCCTACCTACGCCCAGACACAGAAAGAAACCCTTACTAACGGTAAACAGCTCCTGCACGCCTGTTCATGTCCCTCATGCTCGTCATCTACACCTTCGTCTTCGGCCCCTCCTCCCCGCTGTACGGCGGCTCTCGCGGCGGCCGTTTCGCCCACCCCTCGGCCCACGCGAAGAACCCGAACTACACTCCCTCTACCTGGGGTGGCGACGGCCTCAAGAATCGCGTGTTCCTCACGTTTGCCTTCCTCGAGATGGTAAGCTGGTTCTGGGTGTGGATCACCCTTCGCGAAGAGCAGGAGGAGATTGCGAAGCAGCGCATCAAGAGACAGGAGAAACACCCAGGCGCGCAGTAGGTTGAGGAAAAAGCCATATCATAAGGTCAGGGTCACACGCGCGAAGCACTACGAGGGGCCTAGAAGCCCAAAGTCGAGAGGACAAGTTGTCCTCGCTGCATCTGTGGAGTTATTGGACGACTGGCATCTTGGGAGCCGTATACCCAGCAGGCGTGTCATGGTGAGAAAAGGAATGGGTAGCATGACAAATCTTTGTCTTCTTTTTTTGAACTCCGTGCCTTTTTGTGACAGACTACCGCACTCGATCTACAAGGAAGGGGGTATGGTTTCCGCGTCTCTGCTTCCAGACGACATGTGATTCTCGCAAAAGCATTGGATCGGGCTCCAAGGCGCCTACTGCCACTGTACCAACTCCCAGCCCTTCACATTCGTCCGCCAGCTGTCGGCGACCCGCTGCGTCCAAACGCCAACGTGGGATCCGGCGACCTCGCGGATCTGCTTCGCCAGCTTGTCCTCCACCTCTGCCTCGAATGTCCACTTGCCCAGACGAGCATTGAAGGTGTCGCTCTCCTTTTTCAGAAGCAAAACGCGTGCCTTGCCCTCCGTCATGGCCGTCGCGGCGGCAGCCTCCAAGGCCTTCACCTGCACCATGATATCTTTGGGGATGTTACTCTGGCCCGAGCGGTCACGTTCCTTCTCGCGCTCATTAAAAGCGACGATGTGGGACATGGCCAGCTTCACGGCGGCGGCGGCATCACGTAGCACCGAGAGGCCATGCAGAGAGCCAAGCATCAGCAGCACCTTGGACTCTTCCGTCTCAGGGGACGTCGACAGCGATTGTGCACGAAGAACCTCGAGACCGGACTTGATAGCTGCGACAATGCTCGAAACGAGCTCTGGGGGTGGAGGGCTTCGGCTGGCCGTCACGGCGAGAGGGACCAGTGCGGTAAGAAGGGAGATAATGTCGTAGTACATCTCCTCATGCTGAGTGAGGTGCTTTCCTCTGGCGTGAAGGAATCTGCTCATGGAGGTGTTCAGACGTTGAAGGGACTCGAGGGTGAATGTCTGCTCGGCTGCAGTCGTTTGTGCGACGTTGGCAACCTTGTATGAAGATGGGGGCCTGTACGACAAGAGGTCGAAAAACGTCTCTGCGCTGAGAGCCAGATGGGAGCGTACGTTCTTTGCACGGATGTAAGCGCGACGTCATTTCCAGGAAAGGGACTACATACCGATGGATCCGGACCAAGACGCAAGACGTCGTAGATGGGCCGACTTGTTGTTGCCTCCAAGTTGGGTACAGATCCGTAGTCGATCATTTCGCTCAGCACAGTGTCGTCAACAATCTCTTCTGCATGCTCGTGTTATTATTAGAAAAGCGCGGGTCCACGGAGGCTTCCTTACCGACTGCTGGCTCATCGAATACAGGGTCGCTGTCGACGTCCAGAGCACGACCAGCTCTCGATTCTTCCACGTAACCCATGACAAGCGTGCAGCTCTTCCTCAGGCGGTCGATGTAGCTCGGGATGTCCAGAATAGCGGTATAGCTCTCGGAATCAAAGGCGTCAGCCAGTCTTCGTGGCATCCGGAGCTTGAGGGATGTTTGGTAGTGTGCCTTCAGGCCTTGCATTAGGGCCTTGTGTGGGCTGTTCGGCGGTAGCACCAGCGCGGGAGCAATGGTGGACAGGCGATCGAAGAAGTAAGGGCCGAGAGAATCAATAATCGTTCGCTTCACATCCGCCGTATCCCACACCTCTCTGGCACGGGATGCGCAACCCAGCACGAGATAGATGCGGACAAGGATAAGAGTGAGACGGGTGTGCTTGGGGGTTCTCGTGAGTTGGTCCTCGATAACGAGAGCGGCCTGGAGCAACCGATCGTGTCGGCTGCTCTTGGACGGAGATGTTGGGTTATCAATGCCCCGCTCATGCAGACCGCTCAGTCTGACGAGGCATGTAGATGCCAGTATGGCAAGCTCCGGTATACAATCGAGCGTCGGGCTAATGTCGAAGGAGTTGATGAGAGTGGAATATAAGGTCAAAGTTGCCTCGAGCACGCTCTTCAAACAGGTGATGCAGATGTTTGATTTGTTGGGGTCAGTGCAGACAATGCACTTCCAGTTGCTTGGCTTCTTGGGATCTTCGTTTTGGACGCGGACGACAGTTTTCCGTGACGAAAGACCCAGGTACTGCAGCTTGAAAGCCAAGGCCTTTACTGATGCTGACCTCGAGGCATCTTCGGACTCCTTTGCCAGCCGAGGGACGTACTCATATGCGAGCTCCTTGATTTCTTGAGGTGGAAGGCGCTCGGCAAAACCTTTGACGTCGTCGAAGCAAGCAGGCGACGCGCACTCAATGTCGATATATCGACAGAGCTCTTGAAACTCATTCGATTTTGCATCAGATGACTTGTTCAGCTGAGCGAACTGGAAAGCAGCCTCCACTCTGGCCAGGTAGATGTTTCGCTTGTAGATAGAACGGACGTTTTCCTGTTCTAGGAAGCGGTTGATGAGAGACTTGACCTCCTCAGAGATTCTGCGGGCAATGATTAGCGACATCTCCCATGCATGGGATCGATGATTCACTTACTCTTGAGCAGATTCTCCTATGCGACCAGCGGCGTTTAAAAACTTTTTCCACACAGCCCAGTCGCACGCCAAGAGATTCAGCTGACCCTTCTCGTCTGTCACAGATAGGCACTCTTTGCAAAGGTCGTAAACCGTCCTCCACTTCTCTTTGCGCTCGAATACGTCGATGCATTGCAGAAACAAGTCCTTCCGACCGGCCTTGAACTGGAAGACAGGGCTTAATGTCGGTCCTTTGAGAGCGCTATCCCACTCAGCATCTGAGGCGTGGGCCTCCAAGATGCGGTAGAACAGCAGGATCTCCTCCTCCGTCTTGATCGCTCGGTCCGGAACATCACCGTTCTTGTCCGCGCCACTGTGCTGTTGAAACGGTAAGATACTTGGCAGACGAGTACTGGCAGACCCCTCACCTGCTCCGCAAATTGCGCCGCGCGCTGCATTTGCTTCAGTGCCAACATGCCATACAGCTGCTTCTTGCCCGCTGGGCATTGGTCACTCGTCTGTTGGGAAGTCAGAGATGCCGCCTACTCTCCAAGTGCTGGAGAAACCTACCGCAAGCAGATGCGTGACGGCAATATTCCAGAATAAGAAGCTGCGCTCTCCGGGGAAGGACTTGTCTAGAACAGCCGCGATCTGTTTACGAGCATTAACACATGCTCATCTTGGTGGGAAACCAAGAGGACTCACTTGCTGTGCGCTGACTAGGTCCCAGTGCAACAAGCAAGACTCCAGACATCTCGTGCCGCCATTCTTGTCCTTGGGGAACGCCTTGACATAACGCAACTTCAGGGGTCCAAAGGTTTCGGAGAAGCTCTGATCATCAACAAACCCCTCCGAAGCCCACTCCAAAAGTTCGAGAGAGTCTGCGTCTCTGACGGCGGATGCATCCTTTACGAGCTTCTGAACGGCGATCAATGGTGAGACCTTCTCCACGGGCGACTCCAGATGGCTCTCAGCGACGATTTTGACGACCTGCGTGAGTGGTTAGATGTCGTTTCAGTCATATGGGCGGTGAGGGACAGAGTCAAACCTCATAGTAAGGATCATTAAAAGTCTTGAATCGCTTTTCAGCAAGGCGGATGACGTTGGCCCATTGTCCGTCGTTGAAGGCGGTCTGCAGCTGCAGATCGACGCCGCTCTTCAGCTGAGGCCGATTCCAGGACATGGTGATGCTTCTGATCGGATGGCGGGGCAGGATTGGCTTTGGAGGGGCACTGTGCACTGAAGGTGCAGCGGAAGCTAAGGCAAGCAATGTGGGATGCACGCTGGGATGTGATTGGCCCTTCGGATTTATGATCAACCGATTCTCCGATCGCCCCCGTCAGGCTCCCGTCCCCGTCCCGGCCGGACATCGGGGTCCCGGTCCGGTGTATCGACGGAAATCACGACGGGCGGAACGGGACCTCGAGTGCACTGGACTGACTTTCCATGGCTCTTGGTCTAGGTTCTAACCTTTTCAAGTCATGACGGTAACTGCTGCGACAGATATTTAATCGCAGATTCGCATGCATCGCTGAAGTTCCATACCCATAAGCTCTTTGGTGGTCGTCCGACCAAAGACGATGATCGCGGGGTAATCCGCGCCCACACTCGACTGCGTCTTAACGACCCCTCTCGTCGTTTTGCTCCTGTGAGTAGAATGATCTCCCAAAGCGGCGTTCTTAATCATACAACATCAGTAGTCCATCTCTCGTGTATATGTTTTACAAATTGTACAGTGTCCCATCCTTCTGCTCGATTTCTTCAGCGCAGCAGGCTCCCGGCCGTGACGGGCTGATTGTTGTTCTAGATTGTTCGGAATGTGAGGTTTGTTTTTTCGAAGTTGTTCCGTCAAAACCAGGCGCCATTCTTCTTGCGCTCTTCCTTCTTCTTGTCAAACTATTGGAGTGTCAGTGTCGTTTTCGGGGCAGTCGGAGTGATAGAGCACACGAACCCATGCCTTCTTGCAGTCTCTGTAGGCTCTGCAGCGCCGTCAGCATCTCGAACGTTATCGTAGTTGCAGATTATGTGCCGAAAACAAAGCAGGGAGGGAAGGCCCTACTGGAAGTAGTCGCCGCACATGGATCTGTCACCACCGTTGCGGTGCAGACATTTGATGCTCTTTTGCGCAAATTCTTGGCAAGGGTCGTAGTACTCGCTCTTATCCTTACTGTTCTCGGTGTCAATGGCCTGTGAGCGGGCTGAAATGTGTGCAGGATATGACGTACGCATCGAACTTGCGACTGCTCTCCTTAAAAGATTGGTCGACTTTCTCGACCACGGCCTTGGAGGGTTCGTCGGAGGACGACATTGCCGGCAGTGATTCGGGACTAGAGGGTACGGGCTTGGGTAGACGAGGCGGTCGAGTTTGTCGGGCCAATGCCGAGGTGTTCGTTGTCGTCGTCTTCGTCGTTATTCGTATCGTGACTTCACTTGCGACGGCAAAAGTTGATCGGTTGACGCGAGGACGTCACGGTTGGAGAGCACGGACCTTTCTGCGATAAGATAAGAGCTATTGCTGACAAAGACCATCTCAGTGCCTCTGCTTTCTCCAAAAACCGAAGAAAAATGCGACGGAAATCCTCCCGTCCCCGCACAGCCAAGCGAGCGAACCCGACAGACTGCACGGTGGACACAAGCTCCTTAAGATCCACCAATATGATCGCTACAGCGCAAACTCAGCAGCAACAGTAAGAAATCCGGCTACAGGTGCCGACCTGGCCGATTTTGCCGACAAACTGGCACTTTATGGACAATAAACTTTCTCACAAAGTTATAACTTTACAATTAAGGTAAAAGGGCAATATGGATGTAGGATCCCCTCTTTTACAAGGTGTTTAATCGAACCGCATTCCAACTCTTTTTCAACTTCCAGTCTCCACAACTAACTCTTATTGTCTTCACTGCCCAAGACCGATCGATTCCAGACTCCCCGCCATTCCTGGTCCCTTTTGCTTGGCACGGCAAGTCGGCGCCAAGCTCCGAACAGTGGAGAGCGTCTGTAAGAGAAAGACAATGTTGCTTTTCAAGTGCCCCAACCATCGCTAATCTGGCACATTCGATTCGTGAAGCGCTGTCATGTTCCCCTGTGTCTCACAGGCAAACCTTCATGTTGGTGCTCAGGTTGACTATCCGTACCTGAGATCGTCACTCTTGTACCAACTCCCTTCATGCCTAGCTGCATCTTGTCATGCATGAGATAGCGGTAAAGGGTCGACAGCGCTTAAGAAGAATACACAGGAGCAACGGACTTTTTCAACTCATCAGAGACTTCCGTTTCGTATTCGCCGCTCTCGGGAGACTCGGGCGCCAGGTTCGCCATCCCCATCCACCGAGATTGAAAGGCAGAATCCCTATCCCAGCAGCCACCGTCACAATTCAGGTCCAACAATTCCAACCTTCACCGCCACAACGGATATGAAGCGGGCTGCAGTACGGTGGACGCAGAAATTGCCTCCAGTCCAACATCAACGCGCAAGCATCTTTCACCACCGGATCGATGGGTGATGGGTCGGCCAGGTTCTTGCGAAATGAGGTCTCCTAATGCCCCCAGCACCCCCGAAGCCAAGTTGGCTTTTGCTCTCGGCCCACCTGCATTAGCGAGCCATCATTTGCTTGTTTGCTTGCCTGTTCATCTTCTGTTTTCCTTAGCCAGACTCGGCCCTCTTCTTCCTCGTTCTCTCCCCTTTTCTAGCGCCAGGTCCAGAAGAACTTCTGCCCTTCTTTCCCCCACTGGCTCCTCCTCTCGCTTGGAGCCTGGATACGGGAAGTAACGAAGGATCATGTAGCCTTGGTCTGCTTTGAGCGGTCAGACCTTTCCAACGGTCACCCCTCGGCGTTACAGACATACACATCACTACCGTGCCGTCATTCAATCCGTGGTTGCGAGGAAATGGGGTGCCATCCAACTTGCCGCACCACTCGGGTGGACTTGACAATCTGGGCAATTTTGGCAATGGCTGCAATCTGGATGCAACCAAGATGAAGATCATGCAACATGCGATCGTGGGACGACGACACTACAACAACGCGTTATCATTACGAAGACTCTGGAAATCGATGAGTTCAACTGCCACGTCTACGCCTTGTTGAAGATTTTCTCATTTCGGCCGAGCTCTGAGCTGTGCCATGAGAACAGACCAGTCGATGGGGACGGCATGAATGACGAAGAAGCACACGGGAAGTCTGAAAGACGGGTACTTCATCAATCTCATCGAGGCACTTGCACTTCATCTCACCAGCTCAGGTCAACAGAGGGCCCCGGCCGACTCGATCACCAATGATTGACGTTTGCCCGTCCGCCGCCCGCAGCCGGGTTCGGCCCCGACACAATTTTCGCGCATCAATTTCGGCTTGTTCATTCTCTGTCCTCCTTTTTCATCCCTCCCCTGGGTTCCCCTGGATGAAAGCGCCTCTCTGCTGCTCGCCGCCCTGCGCAGCACGCGATTCGAAGAAGGCTGTTGCAACGGGAGGCGAAACTTGCCCTTACACAGCGACGTCACGTTCAAGTGAACGTCTTTCCTCGAATTGAGTCTTGTAAGACTGCGAGTCTGTGATAAAGATAGACATATGGAGTCAACTTGCGAAGGCTATCAGTCTATCACCGACCCCATCACCAACAAGGCACATGGTCATGATCTGACCGGGTCCTCCGCCGACTTGGCTGACTGGTGATGACCGATGTTAGCGTTGCGTCGTGCATTAACGACCTGAAACTGGGCGATTAGTTGCTTCCTTCTGCTGTGTTTCCCCCAGAATGCCAAGTTGACCGCGGGTTATCGCCAACCAGAATGAGAGGCGTCTTCTCAGTTTGTCCCAGCATATTTCTCCCAGGCGAGTTGCCTTCGGGATCCCACGCCAGGATCCATCCCTGTTGGCGACCAGGGTATCTACTTTCGTCCCAACCTTGAGTCGTCTTCAACTCTCACTTGTCCAAACCCCGGGAAACCCAAGGCCCAAGAAAGTTGTTTGGGTTAGCCGCCGCTGCAGGGGGTTCGCTGCGATCCACTGTCACCCTGTTTGTCTGTTTCATATCCGCACCCTCACTTTAATCGCAACGGCTTCATTAATGAACCGCCAACGCCTTGTTCACGCCTCTCCTCGGCTGCCGCCGACTGACAGGGGCCTGCCAGACGCCAAAGACTGTTAACCCACCACCCGGCCCCATCAGCCTCATCTCATTCATCAAGTCTTGCAGCTTCATGTGGTCTTGGCAGGGGGGGCGGATGAGACGAATGTCTCCATCACCGCCCTTATGGCCTTCCTCTCCAGGGCACCCCATGCCCTCCACGAGTCCACATTGCACTTTACCACGAACTGGAGCCGCTGAATGTGTTGGACGACCCTCGAGCAGTCAGGGGCCCTGGTAGCCTAGACACTGACGGAATCGCCAGCTCTAGCCGCGCGATGGGGAGTCCAGATGCCCTTACACATTGCTTGCCTATGTCGACCTAGTGCGATGAGATGGGGCGACCACCGGAGATGGGCTTAGATGATTCGAGATTGAGGTACGGATAGCAGAGAGGAGGCAGAGATGGTCAGGAGATGTACCCGGGTGGCCCAGAAAGGGAAGGGGGGCCATTCCCACACATAACCTCATTCATTTCTTATAAAAGTCTTTCATCACCCACGCCTTCTAGCTCGTTTTCCTTCTCTTCCCCATCATCACAACTGGTGTCATTCTCTCATTCCTTGTACTCAGGTCTCTCTCTTGTTGGCTGTGCCATACACTCATTTCGAACTAGACGTTCATCCACGCTCACTAAGCACAACCTCGCAAAACAACTTTCACTTCTTCACTCCAACCTACACTCCTCACTTTTTGAGACTTCATCAACACCGTCAAGATGCGTTTCTCTTACACCGCCGCTGCTCTCGCTGCTCTTACCGGCCAGGCCGCCGCCCACGCCCGTGTCTACGCCCTGTGGCAGGACGGCGTTGAGGTCAAGGCCGACGGCAAGGCTGGCCTGGGGTCCTACATCCGCAGCCCCCCCAACAACAACCCCGTCAAGGACATCACCAGCAAGGACATCGTCTGCAACGCCGACCCCTCCGCCAAGGATTCCTTTGCCGCCGTCAAGGCTGGCAGCAAGCTCGAGTTCGAGTGGTACCACAACACCCGCAACGACGACTACATCGATGGCTCCCACAAGGGTCCTCTCCAGACCTACATTGCCAAGTACACCGAGGGTGACGGCACCGGTGCCATCTGGACCAAGATCGCCGAGGAGAAGTACGACGGCACCTGGCCCGTCACCAAGATGATTGCCAACAAGGGCAAGTCCCAGGCTGTCACTCTCCCTGCTGACTTGGCTGGCGGCAAGTACCTCATCCGTCACGAGATCATTGCCCACCACGAGTCCGACACCACCTACGATGTCAACTCCGCCCGTGGCGCCCAGTTCTACCCCTCTTGCATCCAGATCGAGGTCACCGGCAGCGGTAGCGCCGTTCCTCCCCAGAACTTCGACTTCCAGACCGGCTACAAGTACTCCGACTCCGGCATCCACTTCAACCTCTACAACGACGACGCCACCACCTACAAGGCCCCCGGCCCCGAGGTCTGGACCGGCGGCTCCAGCTCCGGCGGCAACGACTCTTCCCCCGCTCCCACCACCACCGCAGCCGCTGCCTCTTCTGCTGCTGCCACCCCCACCACCCTGGCTACCCAGGTCGCCTCTTCTGCCGCCGCTGTTACCTCTGCTCCCGCTGTTGCCACCACCAGCGCCGCTGCTGCCCCTTCTGCCACTCCCTCCAAGGCCCCCAGCTCCGGCTGCAAGCGCCGCCGTGCTGCCCGCAAGGCTCGCCGCTCTGCTCACTAAGCGCTTGACGCTATGAGAGAGAGAGACGAAGTTGTTGAAGAATCGGTTTCTGAGAGTCATTGATGGTCTCATGAGAACTGTAGAAAGGAGTTGTTTTTCCACCAGACACCAGATGTGCAATCCAGGCTTATTGCTTCCTGCCCGGTGCACGGTTCTCGAGGCTCGAGTTCGCTTTTGAATTCGGTCTCAAATTCTGTCTTCCTGTATATAGTACCTTGTATAGCATTAAGCCTGCATATACCATGATTTAAGCGTCCCAAACATGATCCAAAGGATGATTCTGTGACAGTGTCTCTCAAAGCCAAGTGTTTGTTGGCAATGCTTCTGTGTCATTCAATTGGAGGGTGTAATCCTCTTCCGAAAAATAATATTTCCTTGTAAGTCTCCTTGGCACTACCACACTCTTCAGCAAAGCAGTTCAAATGAATGGCCCTACCAGATAATGCCTCAACCATTGGCAGACCCATTCGTCGGCGCATGTAGTATATTGGAACAATGAGTACCGTAACAGGTTGATGCTTGTCTTATCGTGGGCCAACCTGAACGTTTCAACGGGATCCACCAAGGTCAATGTGGAAGTACATTCAGTCGAATGAGTAAGTTCCTTTCAAGTAGTACATAGTAGATTGACTGGACTACGCAATCCTTCTGCACTCCCAAAAATGGGCAGTGAGTGGAACGCTGAGATGTGCCTCATTCCATCTTGTTTCTAAATGCACTCCATTGTTTTGATTAGGTTTAAACACATCGCAAGCTTTGCTCGAAAACAGAATCCAATGCGTCCTCCACCACATTAGCTGGCACCCCATCTCATCTAGGAGAGTCCTGATATCGCTGGTCTTTCCACTGGCTTTCGACTTGCGACTCCCCCGAGCTCGACTGTCGAGAGGCGAATGAGCGTTCATCCGTAGTCTCCATCATCTCGTTGGGTAACAACGCCGTACTGATCACACAGCCCAACATAACACCACCGGCCAAGTACAAAACATTGTTGATACCGCCAGAACCCGACCCGTCCGAGTACAGGTGCTGCGCAATCAACGGGCTGATGATGCCGAACAGTCTACCCCAAAACCCGGCAACGCCGCAAGCCGTGCCACGAACCGGCGCCGGGAATGCTTCGGGGGTCCAGCCGTAGAGAACCGCATTGAACATGGACTGGAAGAAGTACTCCATGGCGAAAAGACCTTCGTGCTTGGGCCTCGTGTCAACTGTCGAGAAGAGAATGATGGAAATGCCCATGAGCGCAGCGGACAGCACCATGGTCCATTTCCGCCCAACGGCCGGGATGTGGTACATCAAAGCGCCAATCAAAACACCAACGATCCCAGGTGCATATGTGTAGATGTACGCCGCATACGTAGCTTTGAGCGGCACTGATTGCTCGCCGTTCTTCAGGGCCAAAATCGTTGGCAAGTAGTGTCCTAGGCGCGGGAATCAGTTCACGAGACACTTACGAAACTCCCGTGGTGGACTTACCTGCAACCGTAAACCCCCAGAAGTCCATGATGTACGTCAGCCATACCAAGATGGTCAAACGTGTCATTCGGTAGCCATCGAACAACATCTTGTATCGACTGAGCTCAAGCTTCACCTTCTGTGTCCACTTCATATCCAGTTGTTTCGCGCCAATGCCCAGGGCTGGCCTGGCACTTGCTGCACTGCCAGCAGATCCTTCCTGGTCGTCGCTTTCAAGAGACTTGAACATTTCCAAGGTGAGACCGCATTGTTTCCCATTTACCTCCGCCATGTGTTGGAGGGTGTTGATCGCTTTGGCGTCGTGACCTCGGTAAATAAGATACTTTGGCGTCTCTTGAAACTTGAAGATGAAGAATCGTAGGATGAAGACCAGAAGAGTGATTGCTCCAAGCGTGAAAAGGAGGTATCTCCAGCCCATGTTGTCGGCTCGTGCACAGCATGGCTCGCCAGAGGCTACATTGTTGCACGACTTGAGGGGTCCCTTTTGGATTTCGGAGAAGTTTGGCGAACATGAGTAAACAGGAATGAATCCGAAAGCGATGGCGCTGCATACGATGACACCGATAGGCTGGAAGACGGATAAACAAGCCAGCAGAAAGCGTCGATTCTATTGTATAAGTCAGGGACCCTGAAGTAGGCATGAAAACGAAGTCGACCAACCTGAGGGATGAATTCGAGTGTGATCGTGGTATCAATGGGAATATTCCCTCCAACTCCGACACCAACGAAAGCCGTCAAAACGAGGAAGGTGTTGTAGTTGTTAGACGCCCCAAGGCATAGTCCGAAGATCGAAGCGATGAGGCAAGTCATGTTGAAAGCCCAAGTGCGACCTGAGAGAGGTGAGTTGACGTGACCCAAAGCGGTTTATGGGCGATCGCTAGATCATGGACCTTTCGAGCCAGGAACGCGTAAAGATCATCATACCGATAATGTCTGCCAGAAAACCCCAAATAAATGCCCCGGCTGTCAAACCAGCATTGAAACTGGTCGCAATATTCCCAGAAGCGTCCTTCCCGAAGCCCATCTCCTGTTGCAGAGGACTGAGTACCAGACCGAATGCTTGAGCCCAAAGCAGGTCGAGCATGTACCCAAAGCCACAAAGTCCCCAGATGTACCATTGGTACTTCCCCATACCCTGGGAATCGATCTCGCGGTTGATGAGAACGCATTTCTTTTCGTAAAGCGTCAAACCATCGAGGCCGTGTAGCATAGGGCTGTCAGCGCGGCGGCTCTCACCATTTCCCAATCCGTAGGCTGGTCCGCCATCGAGGGGCAGTTTCGTCGTGTCGGTGGCGGGCATCGTGTCTGCCATTGATGTAGATCCTACGCAACGGAGACTTATCAAGCAAGGGGAACGTCGCGTTCAAAAACAAGACATCACATAAAGCAATATGAAGTATTGATAGAAGGCGCAGCTACGGCGGCACGATCGGAGTTTATCTTGTCGGCTGAGGCGTTTGAGGCGGCTCACATGGGACGAACCGTCGCCTTCAGAATCGTTGATGTCATGGATGGGGGACCATGCGGGTGAGATGTATCATCATGTCATCTAGCTCCCGCAATTGGCTCAAATCTACGCTATATGTGAGGAAATCCAATTGCGGACGGGATCATGCGAAAATACACAATTCGGTGTCGCAGCTCATCACATGGTTGGTTCTGTCTCACTCACCCACGTGGGATGATGTTCCATTCGATGCGCGACAGGAGCTGTCAGACTCAGGCTAAAAGTGGTGCGCGGTTGTACCGCATTTCCATGGACAATTTGTAGTCTCCCGCTGATCTACCGGAGCATTTGGAGCGGATGGAGCTCTTGGCTTAAACTGCGAGTACTCCGTCATCGACCGGTAGTCCTCTCAAGCTAAGCGACCCCAAACTGACGTGAGTGGTGTTCTAGACCCTTTGCAGCGAATGACCGACGTCTTGACGTGAAGGGTGTCACACCTTTACTTTCTCGATAACGACGACGGCTGACTTCGCATCCGGCATCGAGATCTGCCTCAATCGATCCTGGTAGTCAGCATCTGATTGTTGCGGGTGCTTTCACTGGTCCAGGCGCTGGAGTATTTGAGGTGGTTGGGTCAACTCCTGTACCAAAACCATGCAATTCGACTTGCCGGCTATCGGAAAGTTTGTATTGAAAAAGCTTTAAGATGATAAAAGGGTTTAAAAAATATTTATCAGTTCCCTACCACCGAAGACCGATATCCACCAAGGTAAATGAATGCTCACACCCATCCAGCCATATACGTTCTTTTGACTGGTTGAATCTCAATGGTAGAATCTCAATGGAGACACTTGCTCCGATTCAAAAGCCACGACGTAGTTTCTATGCGGTAGCATGAGATATCGCAGAAGTTGATATTAATGTGGCCATCACTTAGCCATTCAAGTTTCGATGCCTAACTTGATTCCTTAGATGTCAAAAGATGTCAACATTATTCAAAGTGAAGAATCCAAGAGTTAGAGTCCCTAATGTCAGAATATTCACACTATATCTCTTTGAGATCTTACAATTCCCAAATGACTGTCAGAGATCCGCGATATCAATGATTCTTGACTTAGTATTGAGGATGTTGGCTGTCAATCACCCTCGCGAACTCCTAGCCCGTTGTCGTTGATACGCAAGCGGCACTGAAGGCGGCGGGTAGTACATAGGCAAGGTTCTAGCCATTCGAGTTTTACGGAGATCTCCTCATGAATGATGAAATATCTCATGGGTTGGCGAGGAGAACCCCTTTAAAAAGCCGTTGCCAGGAGCACCACTGCCACCATCTATCATGCCACAAGATCTAAACAATACCGGGCGACCGTTTTGGCTTGTGGCTTACAGTGGCGCAAACTTGTTGATTCGTGTCTTTCGCCACCTACACTGACATTCTTTCGCAGGGCTGGATGTGGCGGTAAACACATCGACTAACATACCCCAACCTCCCCTCTGCAGAAGATCTCCCAGTCCTGTAGCCCATGCCACGAGGCGCAGGCTGATACAGAGCCTCCCGCTTTATCAACCTGACTGAGCCCTATGCAGCCCAAAGATTGCTTCAGATGGTTACACAAAGCAGCCGCCGACGGAAAAGTTTCATGTCCATCAATCGCACCGAACGGATAACGGTCGGCCTGTCGCAAGCCTCAACCACGTGCAGTCCGTGCTTCGCCACCGAGACTCGCCTTGGGAGGCGAGAGCAAAGCTCAGTTCGCAAAGAAAACGAGAGGCGCCTCATGTTTGAAGTTGGGGGGAACGCGCGCCCGCGCTCGCAGGAACCGAACCAAGCTAGAACGCATGGTCAAAACGATACTCGGGTTCTAGACAGAAACCTTCACTTCCGGGCCGCGGGCAGCTCCGGCGGGGACAGACTTGTCCTGTGAAGGTCGAGGCATGGCTCCTAGACTTTGCTTCTTTTGGGGGCGGTTCGCGATGATCTTGAGATAAGCTGAGGAATTCTCGCAATCTGTTGCCTCGGTGTCTTACTGATATGCGTTGTCGGGTATGCTTGTGTACTTAGAGTTAGTCTCGCATTCCTCGCCCGCAGATGTTAGACCGAAAGGGCATCCCGTGGCCCCATTGCAGGTCTCGCATGAATTCCGATCCAACTGATCTCGACAGTATTCTAGCGTGTAAGAGAACTCGTTCAGTTCCCAGATATGCTATGCGTACGAGGAGGGAGAAATGTGCTGCTCGGGACCAACTTCGGAGAGCTCCACGGTCCTCGCGGGAGATCGGACTCTACGCTTACACAAAAGAACGTGCTCCCACGCAGGAGCTAGCAAGCACAGATGAACATAACGTCAGAGCTTCACATCAAGAGGTTCCCCTCCCGTAAAGACTTTGGACAAAAATACCGTCTGATCTAGCGCCGTTCTAACAGTTCCCCAAAGGCAATCCCGGCTGGCTTAGGTGCTGACCACCCTGCGGCTCACCACAAAGAACCCTGAACCCTCATGGTTAGGAGGCCCAGTAGGATTGGGATTCTATGGCTGTTGCTCGGGGACACGTCCAAGCCGTTCTCGAGAATCCCAAGCCATGGAAAGCTCATTTAGCCGCAGCGGGATCGACTCGGCTCTGGAACCCGCGCACCCGGGGTGACCAATGCCATCTATGCCATCTGGTCTTTTTGACTCTCCCGGTGCATTGGGAGACGACAAGAATCAGCGGTCTGCTGCAGGGTCGTCGCTGGATGCAAGGTACGGTAAGACTGGCCTTGGCCTGACTGGTTCACAGATGAGACTGCCGTCTTCCTATTCGCGTATCAGGTGTATCATGTAAGACATATCTTTCTGATGTCTTTCGCAGAAAAGACAAAGACGGACGAATTCCTCCATCAAACATCGTGATCATCGTGGTAACCATCATGGCAACGACTATTCGGGAGTAAACAAGCCAAATCGATTTCCCAAACAAACTACTCGAAACCTTTTCCTCACTTGTCCACTACTTTTCCCAACAGGCCACACTCAGGACGGTCATGGCACGGGGCGTGTATGGCCGAGGAATGCGCCACCACGCAAGCGCCGCGCGCCGGTGTCTGCAGCAAGATTGCCCGAGCGGCGAAGAATGATAAGGGAGGCCGTGGACGACGAGACATCAACAACAACAACGCAATAGAGGTTAAAAGAAACCTTGGGTGCATGTGAATTTCTCGCGAAACGTTATTCCTCCACTTTGACTGAACCACCTCGATTCCTGCGTTCCCGGACTTGTTCATCGCGTCGTCGCTTGCATCTGGATTCCAGCGTCCTATTCCTCCTCGTGCTCATCCTCTTCAACTCGGTCCTCTCCTCCTTCGGGAGCTCTCGTAGCCTCGATGCCTTTCATCGGACACAAAAGATCACCAACAGTGTCGCCCAACATGCCTTGGCTGTCGAGGTCATCGTCTTACCAATCATCACCCTCTACATCGCCTCGTCTCTCACAATCCAACAGAAGCTCTCCGAGAACTTCACCACGATCGAGCTTGTGTGGACCGATAAAAAATTACGGGCCGTCAGTAACTTACGTACCACCACTGATCGATGGAGCTTGTGGAACCGTGCCGCTGGCTCAGAAGCCGACTTTCCAACTACTTCACGATGATCTGCGGGAGATGTGGCGGATGATGCCGGGACTGATCGCATCGTTGAGGACACACATCGCCAACCACCGGGCACACTTGTCCAGGAGTCACCTGAAGGACATTATTGTTCAGCTCAGCTTGGCCATGATCGAAGTCGGAATGATCACACTTGCCATTCCTCTCTTCGTCATACTGCCCGGCATTCTATTCGCAGCGTGGTTGGGATTCTCGATGAGCATGGTTCTGGGACTCAGCTGGTTGATGAATGGAAACGACATCATTGTCAACTGCGACGAGTTCGGTAACAGCACTCCTGAAGCTGAGGAGGATGAGGAAAAATGGATCTTTATCGGCGGCATGGGAACAAGGTAAGTTCTGCGTCTTGTTCTATATTCTTCCGGTCGTCGAAAGCCACTAACACCACAAAGTGCTACTCACTTAACACAATGTACTATCCCTCGGCTTGCACGCCTCTTCGGAAAGTCCTTCTGTGGTATTCAAATGGCCACATACGGACTCCCCTTCGACATGCTCCTCCTCGCTATCCAACGCTGCTTCCCTTTCGAAACCCAAGCCTCAAGAGCCCTCTACGCCGAAGTCCGCACCGCTCTCCTCGACGCCGCCGTGGTCCGAGTGGCTGTTCTCGCCCATAACAATGGAACTCTGCCAATGTCCCACGTCCTCGCGCGCCTTTGCGCCGATATCCCGGCCGAGAAGCTTAACAAGCTTGAAATTTATACCTTTGGTGCTGCGGCGTCTGAGTTCGTCGTGCCTCTCGGCGAGAGCCGCAGATCTCGCTTCGACGAGGCCGTCGTCGACGAGCGCGGCCCACACATCGAACACTTCGCTTACGCCAACGACCCCTTTGCCCAGATGGGCGTTCTCCGTGCCGTGAACAAGAAGTTTGATGGCCGCTTCTGTGGAGGCGTTTACATCATCCACAACCAGATCCCCCAACCCTCGGGCCACTGGATTCCCGACCAACGACCGGTCATGTTGCTGACAGACTACCTCTCTGCTCTGTTCCCTGACCCGTCGTCCCCCTCGGCACCCAGCAGTCTGCTGGACTACGTTATGATCATCGACCGCGACATTGCCGAGCGTCGCGAGCTCGCTGCTATGGCGAACCACGCCCAGACTAAACGAACCCGTAAGGATAACCGCCGCCTCAGCTGGACCGGACTTGGAGCGACGGTCGGCGGGAAGATTGGTATGATGGATGGTGTCATCGGCCTCGAGATGGCACGGAGAGGATGCCGTGAGTGTGATGGCCATCGCGGACGCGAGATCAGCTGGTTGAACAGGTATGTTCAGACCGGCTGGGTCGTGGAAAAGAATCCGCAAGTCGTCGACGCTATGGGTATCGGAGGATACCAATAACTGCCTACGCACCCCCTTTTCTTATGTTTCAACACAACTAACCTCCTATGTCTCAACACAAAACTTTCTTTCTTTCGTCTGAAAAAACAGGCTTCGAAAGATATCACTTGACGATGGTCAACGATTAATGCGTTTGGATGACTGCGTTTCCCATCAGCATTCGGCGTCGGGGTTCTCGGTTCGGACACTGTAAGAATCATGATGTAACGAATCAATGTATTATGAGATAGACGGGCTCGCAAGGATACGCTCTCTTTCTCTCTCAAAATTTGTAATCCGCCTGGATAGGCGCGGATGGGGTCGGCGCTCGGAATGGGCATATAGATCATGAGATTAGGCTAGTAAGATCAATCAGACACTTATATCACCCCAGTAGTATGTCTTGATGTCGAGCCCCAAGAATTCGTCCTGGTACACCCCGGCAACCTCGTCGTCGGCGGCTCCCGCGCATACGAGCAGGGGCATGAAATGCTCGCCGCCCCCGCGGGGGTGCATATCGTAGCTGTGGCTGAACTTGCGCCAGCCAGACAACGCCTTCGTTCTGTCTTCCGTCTTCTCTTTCGTAACAGCGTTTGTGAGCTCCTTGTTCCACTCGTTTACCTGCTTTCCCAGCTTGGCTGCAGCGTTGGGGTCTCCCATGAAAAGGAAGCGCATCTTGGATAGGTTGTGTAGAGAAGCAAAGCCGGATCCCAGAATGGCGATGTTGGAGTCTCTCAATGACGAAAGGGCTCGTCCCATTTTGAAGTGCTCTTCGGGATCCTCTGACACGAGGACGGAGAGTTGGATGATGGGCACGTTGGCAGCCGGGTTGACGAGAAGCATAGGGATGAACACGCCATGATCCCAACCTTGAGACAGTGAGTCACCGGCCCGATTTCTGTGAGAAGATAAGACATACCACGTCGAGAATCCAGTCTCGGAGTAAGACCCTCCCTTTCGAGGGCTTGCTTCAGCTCCTGTGCGATCTCTGGCGACCCTGGTGCGGGATACTTGAGTGCATAAGCTTCCCTCGGGAAACCACCATAGTCGTAGTACAGTTCATGGCTGGCTCCTGAGGAGATTGTGGGATCGCCTTCAGACCAGTGTGCCGTGACGACGACGATGGCTCTCGGGGCGTCTGGGGTGTTGAGCTTGAGAATCTTGGGAACGCGGCTCTTGAGTGATGCTGTAATGGAGGCATGACCAGGGTCTCCGAGGACTGGCATGGGGCCTAGCGACCGTTGTTAGTTGGGGGGGTTGGAAGCCTCTGGGCTGCATTGGCGGGTTGCATACCTCCACCATGAGAAACGCAAACGACTGCTGCACGTGGCATTTTGTGCGCTGATGTTGTCAGGGTTCCAATAAACTTCCTGTGAAATGTTGAGATGGATCTGGGAATGGGAGATGGTAAGCTTTTGTTGACAAGACGACTCGTCCACGATGGTGTCATTCGAACTTGGTGTACCGCTATTGGGCCTTTTCGTTCCCGCTGAGAAGAGAGGCCAGGGAGCTCAAATAGCAACTGAGTGCTTCCAGCTGGCGTTGTATCGGCTTCTCTAATTGGTCAGTTTCATCATGGCTCGGAATCTTTCACGGCCGGGATCAGATTGGTAATAACCGCGCGGGACCAAAACGTCAGACTCAGAAGACACGGACGGCACTGGCACCAATATCAGCCTGGAGCGGCAAATGGGCGATGACTGATGACTGATGACAGACATTCTACTGATAGTATTTCTTAGATCTTCTTCAAGGCAATCCTGTCACGCATCATTCAATACCTAGTGCTTTGCGAGCAAGCGCGCGCGGAACCAGACTTCCGAGCGTCGGAATGTCAGTGACAATCCTGTGGGTCACGACTCGGTGTCAGTCCCTTTCAGTGTCCATCGGCACTTAGACGAAAACCGACACCGTCTCACGGCCACTACCGACAGCACGGATTCTTCCTTCAATCTCAAGCGGGCTGCCCTCGTAAACGACAAAGTGTCTGGACTCCTTGGCTTGCGGCTCTTCGATGCCAAGAATCTTGTAGACGTTGCCGGATACCAGGTCCAATGCCTTCTTTTCGCTTAGCCGGCTGCCACCGTTCTTGTGCGCAATACCAGCCAGCAATCCCAGATCGCGAATCAACCAGTCTTCTTCAAGTCCAATGGCGGCCACGACACCGGCATCAAGTAGGGTGTCAATCGCAGTGCCGTTCGTGAGAGGCGCGCCGGTGAGAGAACGCCTCTGATCCCACGTGGTAGAGTAGGACTGGAAAGGCGATAGAACAACACCAACACCGGCAGCTGCCAGCTCAGGCGCAACCAGATGCGATTCTGCGCCTCCGATGATGGCAACCTTCAGCTTGGAAGATTCCGAGGACTTGCTCTTGGCGGCAATAGCCTCCTCCACTGCCGACTTCAGTCTTAGCGCCGCAATGATGGTATCCGCGCTGTGGATGGTCAGAACCAAGGGCAGCTCGCCGTTGACGACCTTCTTGAGGTAGACACCCTCCGAAAAGGGATCAGAGCCGGTGTCGTTAGACGCGACAGCCTCCAGAAGTGTGTGACGCAGTGCACCAATGGCACCAGAGATGGACGGGTTGTCGCCTCGTTTGGCGTCCAGCGTTAGAGTGCGGTGAAGCGCAACGTCCTCGCTCCAGACAGCGCCCTTCTGAAATGCGTGCAGTGCGCCAGTGTTGAAACCCACACTTGTTCCAGAGTGCGTCGCCTGTCCCGCGAATTTGGGTGCTGAGATAGCCTTGGTAACGCCATAACGAAGGGCAACATGGAGCTTCTTGTTGTCCAGCGCAAGTCCGTCGAGTCCACGGCTGAAACCAGGGCTGTTGCCATTGTCTGTATCTCTCTCGCCGTCGATCTCGTTCAGACCGATGCTGGAGCCGAAAGCAGTGAAGGAGTCGGTGATATAGCCATTCTTTAAGTCAATGACCTTCTTTGACGAGGATTTGGCTGCCGCGACTTCTTCAGCGCAAGTGCCGATGCACTTGATGTTGCCGTTGGAGACGACGACGTTGACAGACTCAGTGCTTGACGTTTGCTCTTCTCCGGTCAGCCAGACGTTAGAGACTCCAGTAAAGACCACGTCCTTCAAATCGGTGACATCCTCAGTGGTCTTTGCGAGCTCCGGATCAGGAGAGATGGGCCCAGTCAAGGGTTTGTCCAGCTCAAAGGGGTCAGAGAACTGAGAGGTACCATCAATCCAAACCTGCACAGGTGCAGCACCGACACTGAGGGGATCGCTGTCCCACACGGCGATATCAGCATCAAAACCGGGCTTGATTTTCCCGATTCTTTGTCCCAGACCCAGAAGCTCGGCAGGAGCAGAGGTAACACTAGCCAAAGCCGCGTGGTACGGGAGACCGTACTTGTAGGCTTTGGCAGCTTCGAAAAGAACGTGCTGGGCATTCAGCACCGGGTTGTCGCTGACGTAAACGGGCGTGAGACCGTTCTCCCAGAGAATCTTGCCAGCATATTCAGACGCAACGTAGGACTCGGATTTGTAGTACATGTTGTCGGCAAAAAGCGCGGAAGCAGGCGCGCGGCCTCCCCAGGTTCGCTTCAGGATCTGCAGTTTGTGTTAGCCCTATCACGTCTGCGGCACACGAGAACGGAAGCTATTGGCTCTTACCTCGGGAACCAAGTACGTTTGGTGAGCGTGGTGGAATGCTCGCACGGGGAACTTGAACTCGTTGGTGTGATCAACGAAGGCCTCGAGATCGGGAATGGTGTAGCAGTGGGTGTTGATGTGCACCTGGCCGCGCAAAGCGGCGCTGAGACTCTCCCACTTCAGCTCCTGGGGTAAGTACTGGCTCTGGCTCTTAACGCCATACTTCTCGGCAGCATCGCACCAGTCGTCTTGGTCCCGAATAAGCTTTGCAGCCTGCTCAAAAGCGTGGCGGAACTCCCAGCTCTCGCCGAGACGAGAGAAGGGGCTGTGGCCAACCTTGCCGTAGACGCGCTTCGCATTCTCTCCGCATGCCATCTTCATGTAGCGCCAGTTACGGTCGGGGTCGGCCAACATGTCTTCCGCCGAGAACTCAGTACGGCCGTCGGGCTTTCCGACAGCGTGCTTGATGACAAAGGCCTCGCCGCCAATGTTGTTACCGGAGCCCGGTAAAACCAGCGAGGTAGTGACACCGCCCGACTTGATGACCTGGATCTGGGGGTCGAGAGGGTTGAGGCCATCGATGGAGCGCACGTACGGCGTGATGTCGCTCGACATCTCATTGACGTCCTGGTTGCCGTTGAGCTCGGGCAGAGCGCCAACGCCAGCGTGAGAATGCATGTCGATGATGCCGCTGGTAAGCTGGCGTCCCTTGGCGTCCCAGACTTGCGTGTCCTTGGGAAGGGAATCGAGAGAGATGTCGGCCTCGACTTTTTGGATCAGGCCGTAGTCGATAAGGACGTCGGAGGTGATCCACGAATATCCCTTGCCGGCGCGGTCGTCCTCTGGAGACGTACCCTCGGCGGGCTCGCCAACCCAAATGGTGGCATTGCGAATCAGGGTGGGACGCTGTCCGTCGACATAACGTGCGTTCTTGTCTCGGCCAAGACCAATTGGGTCTTGCGGCTTGTGTCGCAACTTGGCGCAAGTTGCGAGGTCTTGTTGCAGACGAGCGGCGGAGAGACTGCCTGACGGTTTGTTGCTGGGCAAGAACGAGAGTTGCTTCCATTGGGCGAAGGCAATAAAACCGAGGCATAGCATGATAAGCTTCATGCTCCGACTCGGTCGCAGCCAGCGCTTGGAGCGCATGTGGTGATGATGGTGCGACGAACGCCGCGGCTCAGAGGCCAGCGGAACGTCGCTGTAAGGCGGGAGGCCGTTCTTCTCCGGGTCCATATTGTTGACCATCAGCGGGTGATCAATTGGATCGAAGACAAGTAAAGATAGTTGGAGATGGGAAGAAATGGGTTCCGAGTCAGGCTAAGTATCGATCCCTTGTCTCAGAGGATTCCGTCGTCCTTTGCCCGATAAAGAAGGTGGCAGACGGCCCGGCTGGATAATCGGCCGGCGTTTCAAACCGAGAATGCAAACATCGCCGGCTAGACAGAGCTTAAGGAAGCTTGAGGGGCAGCTATCAGTGCTCGTCGGTCGCGGTTTCGGCGTTGTGAATGGTCAATGACATGGATGATGGTGAGAGCGTGGAGCCGAATGAGGAGCTCTCCCCTGTAGATTCTTTTCGGAGCTCGCGTGATTACGTAGCTGCCATGATAAGCTTCTGCTTATGTAACAGGGAAAAGAATGGGGTTTGTGGTTCTGGAAGCACGCCGTCTTATCTTATCAGCTCGGCGGGGTTTCTCCTCATCGGATGTCATCGTGACTTTCTGCCCAACTTCACCCCGATCTCGCAGTATCTCCTCGTCGTCCGTCGCACATCCAAGCTACAGTTATTGTATGCTTTGAATATTGGAGTCGAAAATGGCCAAATGTTGATTTGACCACTACTCTTCGACTTCTACGCCACCATGCAATCATGAGCGCCCTCAATATAGGCAGCGGCAATCAACGGACAGCTCATATCACTCATTGCCCTCAAATGCGTGGACAGGACTCAATAAGCGATTTTCCGGCAGCTGATTCATTCGTTGAAAAGACTACTGCCCATCGAATTTCTCGTGTGATATGCCAAAATGCGGCCCGCACGATCGTGACCTCCACACCGAGAACTGGCGGGACTGTCATCTAGATCTCGCGACAAGCAATCAAAATCGTCTATTACGTACAGGTGGCTCAATACCATTAGCATCGTTCTTCAACACCACTCTCTCACGCTATGGAGGTCATCCCAGTTCCTTGCCAGCGTGGCGTGCGGGGAATCGTCAGCGCCGTGACCAACGACGTACCCCGCGGATGACAGCTCACGCGCGGAACCGGCGTTTCCTGGGGATCTGAAACGTTGCTGGTCCTCATCTTCGGGCGTATCTTTCTTGTTTGCTGTCTGGACGAAATTCAGCAGTTGAACCTCTCTTGGCGGACAAACACGCCAATCTCGCGCGTGTTCCATTCTAGATTTGCCGGGGGGTCTCTTTTAACCATCCAAATTCGGCACATTGAATGACATCCTCACGCGTGGGTTGACTGGATGGGGAAACTATTACCTAGTGGAGGCGCGGTATGATATCTGGCTGGCTGGGCCGATAACGCTTTATCTTAACCTGGGCCCTCGATGTCTACTATAACAAGGACCCTCCATCTTGACTCAAATCATCGGCCAACTTGAGTCACGTCTGAAGCAACTTCACTACTGTTCAACCTCACAAGAATAACTCAGTGCTTCGAACATATATCTCGCGATTGTTTGCGTCTAAGACCCTCGGCTTCAATCATGTACTCTCTGGCAGCTTTGTCACTGGCTATTGCTCTCCTACTGATATGGAGATGGAAAGGACGTCGCTTCGGAAAGGTGAATCTTTCAAATTCCTCATGGCGAGTCAATATGCTAACAAACCCCTAGTTAACATCGGGCGGGTTTGCGCAGGAGGAGAAGTTCGATGAGAAGGTCTCTGTTGAGCCTTTGAGAGATTTTGATTGGCAACAGACCCCGCCAGCCAAGCATCGCCCGTTCAAACCAGTCTATCACATCACAATGGGCAAGTCGAAACCATCATGCAGCCTACATGTCGACTCCGAAGTTAACTTGTTCTTATGCAGCTATCCAAGCAAGCCCTCCAGATGAGCTCATCATTATGGACAGCAACTATCTTAACCGTGTCACCGAGCGCCGTCAAACCATTCAACAGAACATGCCCACGGTATTGGGAGCTGTACCTGAGGGCATACCAGCTCTCCACGAGACATGGTCGTATCTGCTTGGAGATTACCTACCCACGCGTTACCCAACCATGTTTTCACTGTCCGAAGACGGCCAAACCTTCCACAACAACGTCACCAAGACCTCGTTGCCTCTAACGCCGCCAGAAGATCCGAACAAGGCACTGCAAGCCATAGGAGAAACTGTGGAAGATGATATCTTCCTTCTGGTCGAGACCCCAGAGGGCCACAGGGCAGTTGCGTTCGTCTGTTGCCACCCGGCCGGATTCGATCCTTCTGATAAGCTGGGAAAGTTACTGAAGGACATCCATACGCCAGTGCCATCGTATGAGAAGATTGGTGCGAGTATGGAGCGCTTCTTCAGCCGTCTGCAAGTGGGGAAGAGCGTCAAGCGGATGAACGTGAGTTGCCAACCATGTCTGTTGAGAAGCTTGCACTAAGTGATGTCTCAGTGGTCAATTTCTACAGATGAGCGTCTGTTCAGTCCCAGCGGGCTGCACATTTACGACGGTGACAAGCATGAAGAGGATGAGGACATCGATATCAGCAAGGTTAGTTGTTTGACTGCCGCTTTTGGAGAAGGCGAGTAGCTAACAAGCTGCCAGACTCGGTTGAGACAAGAATTGCAGACCTTGACTAGACTCCCGAAGACAGGCGCCATCATGTTCTCCTTCAAGACGTACCTGACACCACTGGAGGAGATCAAGGACGAGGGCTTGGGGCCACAGGTTGCGGACGCCATCGAAGGGCTCAAGACTGGCAATGCACCAGGCATGTGGGTGTATAAGGGAGCAACGCGATGGGGAAAGGGTGCTTGCGAGTATCTACGCTCTTGAAACCCGAAGACTCGGTAGATATAAGGGAATGTTCAGGGGGTTCTTACAGCCATACGGTCAAAAGCATCAGCGTAGAGCCTCTTTCATAAAAGTAAATGATGAACTCCTGTACACGAGGTTAACTCAGTCCCAGCGGGCAAAAGATTCAGCGCAATAAAAAGCAGAAAACGACAAAAATGAAATCGTCAACTCTGAGGCGGAATTTAACCGCTTGTGCTCCCCGAGGTGGGCTCGAACCACCAACCTCCAGATTAACAGTCTGACGCGCTAGCCAATTGTGCCATCGGGGATGTTGAGATGTTTGAATCTGACATGGCAGCGACGGAGCCGACTCAAGGCCCGCGCAACCGGGGCGGAAGGTGGGAATCTCGGTGCGTCGGACCCGGATATGCTTGTCGCTATTGGGCGATCTCCCGTCACGCTGCAAAACCGAATTGTGGGATGTCTCGGCTGCAGCACACGTCATGACATGCATGGTGCACCCGTAATCTGATTCTTCTGCCGCCATCTGTTCCGTGCTCTTGTCTAGATGGCAGTTCGAACCTTCCATGACAACCGGTGGCTGTTCAGAGGCTGATTTTGACGTCTTGATTGAGGCGCAATAGCGAAGCAATTGACTTTTGGGGCCTTCTTGGGACGAACTTCACTCGATTCGTTCTCGCCCGGGGGGGGGGTCCCCCAACGGCCCAGGAGGGAGTTCCCGGGATTGCCGAATAGGGGCGCGGCGACCGGGGTTGAGTCGTTTGGAGAGGCGCCCCCGATCAAGTCTAGCGGCCCCGCACCGAGCCCCGTGGAAATTTCCCAAGTGAAGCTTCAACAAACCCCCCTGCCTCTGCTGCTTTTTCTCCCATACAAGCTGCAAACGAGATGTGGACTCGACTTCATTAACACAAAGCGCCCACTGCCAACCCTTGATATTTGGTTCCCGCCCTGCTGGCGTCGAGAGGCAAGAGTCCGTCCGTCTTGCCGTCCGTCGAGTCCAGGCCCTGGTCTGTTGGTCGTGTTGAATTCCTCCGGGCCACTGCGAGCTCGCCGTAAACGCTTCCGTTGCCGCCGTACGACTGACGGACTGCATGCATGCATGCTGCTGCGGTGCGGTAGGGCGTGGCATCATATCGCCCATGGCTCACCTGAAGTCAGGAACATCTCCGCAATCTAATTTGTACCTCCCAGGCGCATTCAATGTCATCTTTTCTGTCACCTTGAGCACCCGCTCAACCGGGTAGCCTTGCCGTGAAACAAAGTGCTTCTGCAGGCCCATTTCCCCCAAAGGAGTCCATTCTACTCTATTCCTCGCAGCTAGGCCTGCGGGCCCATCTCCTTTCTGGGAACCACGGAGCGAGATGGGCTCGATGTCGGTTCATCCCATCGACCACGAGGCCCTCCCCTCCTACATAAGGATGCTTGCCCACCAACGTGTGCCAACCCTTCCGTCCCCCTTGGCTCTTGAGCTTATCTTCATTCTCTCGTCCACTGAACTTCCAGAAGCAAGGCCAAGGCATCGATTGCTGCGACCTGCGTCCTCTCTTTCTTCCCACTCTCATTCGTTCAACGCTTGAATTCAAGCTTTTTCCAAGCCGACCGGATCGGATCAGGCACATACACGCTCACTTACAGTACCACCACAAGTCTCTTCAGACAACCCGCAGAAAAAAAAGAAAACATGAAGTTCAACGCTCTCAACATCGCCAGCGCGGCTTTGCTGGCCACCCGCGCCCAGTGCGCCATCGTCTGGGATGGCCGCTTCAACGACATGACCACCTCTTCCGATCTCGACAAGTGGTCTTGGAGCAACCAGGTCGGCGCCTACCAGTACTACATCCACGGTTCCGGCAAGACCACCGAGTACGTCAACCTGTCCGAGGACTTCAAGAACCCCGCCGATACCGCCTCCAAGCAGGGTGCCAAGATCTCCCTGACGAGCACCTCTTTCTGGAACGGCCAGACGATGCGCCGTACCGAGCTCATTCCCCAGACCAAGGAGGCCATCGGCTCCGGCAAGAAGTACTACCACTTCAGCATCAAGCGCAGCGACACCAACGCCCCTTCCCTGAACAAGGAGCACCAGATCGCCTTCTTCGAGAGCCACTTCGTCGAGCTCAAGTCCGGCTGGCAGTCCGGCGCCACCGGCACCGAGGACCCCCTCCTCCGCTGGGTCGTCGGCGGCAAGACCGAGTGGAGCGTCAACTGGGACGCTGACGTCTGGCACAACGTCGCCTACGAGATCGACTTCGACGGCGGCTCCGTCGGTTTCTGGCACTCCACCGGCTCCGAGGCCCTGAAGCAGGTCGTCGCCCCCGTCACCGCCTCCGCCTCCAGCAACGGTGCTGACTGGCACGTCGGTGTCCTCGAGCTCCCCCGTGACGGCTACCCCGATGAGACCGAGGACTTCTACTTCTCCGGCGTCTACATCGAGGACGGCGAGATCACCACCGCCGTCGGCTCCGGCTCCGCTGACTCTGGCTCTTCTGCCCCCGTCTCCTCCGCTGCCCCGGCTGCCTCCTCTGCCCCTGCTGCCACCTCCTCTGCTCCCGCCGCCGCTGCTCCCACCACCAGCGCCGCTCCCGTCTCCTCTGCTGCCCCCGTCCAGTCTGAGGCCGCCTCTTCCGCCCCCGTCGCCACTCCCGTCTCCTCCGCTGCCCCCGTTGTCTCCGAGGAGCCCTCTGCTCCCGCTGCCACCACCCCGGCTGCTGCCACCACCAGCTCTGCCCCGGTCGCTTCGGCCACAGCCAAGCCCACCAAGACTTGCCGTCGCCGCCGCCGCCGCAACAACCAGCAGCGCAAGTAAGCGAGGCGGCTCGTTCGAGGCCTAGCCCAACTGTAAGATGAACTCCCCGTCTCCTTCTGGTCGTAAAAGACCTGGGAGCTGGAGAGAGGAGCGACAATTCTCATGTACATATCTTTTCTGCACATAAAGACTTGACACTGTGCCTATTGGATTTAGTTTTGAATATATTCTTCAGTGTATGGAACTTGGCTTTTTATTGTTACTTGCATGTGACATGTCCATGTTAGTTTGTGTAACGACTTCCCTTCGTGGTGTCTGCAAGATTCTGTGCTCGGGTAGGTTCGTAATATCCCGCTGTCGTCCGTCCGTCTCTCCTTTCAGAGATACTCCTTCACCTGTTCTTCTGACCATTTCCAGAAGTCTTCACCAAGCCCAGTCCCGCCCTCCTCGCGAGACTTGGAACCCTGAACTAGATCTTTTCTGATTGAATAGAGACGACCCCAAGGAACAACTAGGAGCCACGGGTTAGCCACAGCAATCATTGATTTCGTGTCAAGACCTACTCCAGCCTCCAGTTCTTTCCGAGGTCACCTCAGGTGAAAGCGCAGCAAAGAGTTCGGTGTAGGCACCATTGATGGGAGGATAAGTTGTCGCTTTCCTGAATAGCTGGGGAAGCAGTGCAGTGATGTGGCGGTCGAGATCAGACGAAAGATTCCCGGGATTCAATGCCTACTCCGATGGTCAATTTCGTCCGAATCCGATTGCCTATTCGTTTCATACCATGCTGATGACACCATCGGCCTTGTGCCGTTTCGCGAATTCCGTAGCGTGGAAATAGTTGCCTGCCTTGCTGATTCCGTACTTGACTTCCTTCAACCTATCTCGCTTGTAGTCGAGGTTGTCAATCTCGATGGCAGGAGTAGGAGCGAAGACCTCGGCGGCGGAGCTCGAGACCCAAACAACGCGCACGCTGCCTTTCGGCGCTGTCTTGGCCGTTCCTACCAGACTAGGAGTGAGCAACTTCGTGAAGAGAAAGGGGCCGACGCAGTTGGTGCCTAGCTGCAGGTCGTAACCCTGGGCAGTCTTGCTGCCCTGCGGCGGCATCATGACAGCTGCATTGTTGATGAGGACATGGAGCTGCGTCTCTTTGGAAAGGAAAGCCTCAGCCGCGGGCTTGACGGTGGTCAGGTCGGCCAGATCAAGAATCAGCAGCTCGAGCTTCCCTTTGGATGAGGGAACGGCCTCCTTGATGGAAGCGATGGCAGCACGCCCCTTTGCCTCGGAGCGAGATGTGGCGTAAACGGTAGCGTTTTTGGAGTAGAGGATCTGCGCGACCTCTTTACCGACTCCCGTGTTGGCTCCCGTCACGATGCATACCTAGGAGATTTGAGCTACTGCAACAACGGAGACGACGAAGAACAAACCCTTCCGGTAAGATCAGATATCTCTTTTTCGGTAAATTGCGGCCGCGGCGGAAAGGCCTGAGTGAGCATGCTAAAGGGATTCAGCATCGTGGGAACCCATAACATCGACATGTCTCCCTAGGTTGGACGGAATCTGTGTTGACGTATACGGCTGTCTTGGCTGAAGAAGAGGTTGGGAGATGAGGCTCAGGATAATGCAACAGTCGGCGACGTAATTAACATAAAAAATCATGAACATTGGCAAAAGGAAAGGAGGTGTAGAAGATCACACCTCGCTTGGTTGCGGGGAGTCGATTGGCCCGAAGCTAAACCAGACGGGAGGAGTGGAGCAACCTTTTGGCAGGCGACGAGCTCGCTGCCAATTCTGGAAGGAACGGACCCTTCACCGAAGGGAAGTCAGCGATGATTGGCTTCTCACACCGAGATGCACCGAGATGTGCGCTGTAAGTATTGTCAAGGTGCTGACAGCGATCGACCAAGATCTAGTTGGCTACCCTAGATTGACTCTACACATATCGAGGATCGATGAGATTTGAGTCCATATCTCCCTTATCTTGTGCAGTGGATTTTGTTTCCCCGGTGAAGAGACATGCGCATTCTTGCTGAAAAGTCCGGGTTCAAGAAGCTTAAGTGGGGTCAGTGTCCAGCTTACGTAAGTCCATCGGCAAGTGAAACTCCACACTCAGTGTTCCCCGGCCGTGGCAGCCGAGCCACGTGATGCCAGCCGACAAGTGTGGGGGGACTGCCGACAGCGACATCAGGCGGGAACCAATTCGCGGCTCTGATTGGCGTGGCGTCATGGTCTGGACTGCAAAAGCACGAGCCAACGTCTAATGCAAGACCAAAGACCGCTTTTTTTTGTGAGCCAACGAGTTGTGTTAGGTTGCAGGTTGGCCTAGGTAGCGGGTTGGGTCTATTCTTTCCAGCCACACAATTGTTGCGCTTGATACCTACCAACCTACCAACCTACCTACGGCTACTGGACGGGACCGCGCTAGAGTCCGGGAGGAAATCCAACGCTGAGTCTTTCTGCCAGTCACTGCCAAGTGCCGCTGCAGCCAAACAACGGAAGGAGAGCCTCACCTTACCTCAGGTCACTAACTGACCACTGACCACTGACCATCGTCGCCGTGCATCACAACACCACCACCACTACCGACCTCCGCCGACCACCTCCCGTCTCCTTCTCGTCGTATCCGAAGACCATTCCGGATCACCGCCGTCCTCCTCCAAGATATTTCACGGAGTATTCGAATCAACACGAGTTGCGCAGTCCGGTCGTCGCATCTTCGCGTCTTCGTCGTTACGTCTCCCGCCTTGGCATCCACGCCCCACCAGCGATCGTCCTTCGGTCCCTTTTCAGCCTTGCGTGCATCCCGTCTTGTCCATTTCTCCCGGGTTGATGCACCCCGTCGCCGCGATACGATCTGTCAAGAGGCGTGGATTGCGCTATCCTCCGCACCTTCCCGGTCCCGCTCGATAATTCGACCTTTCAAGTTTGTCGCGACATCTATTTCCGTTAGGTACCAAGAGATGCTTTGACCCGAGGTTGCGAGTCTACCCATCTCTCACCTCCCCTCTCTCTACCTACCAGCTTCTCGCCATCTCCGCCCAGATACAACTCTGCATCTGCTCGATATTCTTCGGCCAATTGTACAGCCAAAGTACGAAGCGATTCGGGCCCGATAGTCGACATAATCACAACATCATTACCGTTGCATCGGTTACCAATTTGGCGGCATCATGTCTCTCCCATGTGCGTTCCTGCCGCTTCGGCGCTGCCTGCGTTATTGACTGCTGACGTCGTTTCCACAGTAAGCGCAGAGGAGGAACACCAGTACACCTCCATCATCGACGGTATCCTTGCGACTGCCGACCTGACCACTGTCACCCGGAAGAAGATCCGTCTCGGCTTGGAGAAGGCCCTTGGCGGCAAAGACTTGAACGAGCAGAAGGTACGCTCCACCACCACAGCCGCACCTGCGAGCTGGCGGCGCGGCGTAGCTCGCAACAACAGCAAGCACGAGCTGACTGTTTCTTCTACAGGATGCTATCAAGGCACTGATCGAGGAGCGTTTCGATGCCATTTCTGGCCAATCACAAGATGCCGCCCCCGAAGAATCCGCGAGCCCTCCTCTGAAGAGAGAAGCCAACGGCTACGACGATGACGAGGCCGACGGGAACGGCGAGATTCAGGTGTCTGTTGCCCCCGTTCGGAAGAAGCAGAAGCGCGAAGATTCCTCCGAGGACGCGGACGCCAAGCTTGCGGCCGAGCTTCAGGCCCAGGAGAATCGCATGGCCCGAGGACGGACGACCCGCGGCGGCAACGGTGCCACTACAAAGTCCAACACAAAGAAGAAGAGGGCCGCCCCCAAGAAGAAGAGTGCCACAAAGGTCCGCGACAACGACGACAGTGACGTTGATGGGGGCGAGGAGGCGCCAAAACGCAAGGCCGGTGGTGGTTTCCAGAAGCCGTTCAACCTGAGTGACCCTCTGGCGGAGCTGGTCGGCGAGCCCCAGGTATGCTACGTTGAAGCCCTGCGGCATAAGACAGTACGTTGGCTAACGGACAGCAGCTCTCTCGCCCACAGGTGGTCAAGAAGCTCTGGGAGCATATTAAGGGGAATGATCTGCAAGATCCCGACAACAAGCGACAAATCCTATGCGATGACAAGATGCAAGCAATTTTCAAGCAGCCCAAGGTGGACATGTTCCAAATGAACAAGATGATCGGCGCCCATCTCTACCCGGTTGAGGAACAGTAAAAGCAAGCGATGATGGGGAGGAGGATGTAAGTAAGCACAGGCGTCTTTCTGGTTTGGGGTCAGCAACTTTACAGGTTCTTTGGTTGGGCATCCGGGAAAGGATGGCAAATGGACGGCAGTTCGCGATGGTGACTAGAGGTGTATTTTGAGGGCGCCAACGTCGGCTGAGTTGGTAAGCCGGAGAGGAGAGGCTGCGGTACATATCACTCGCAACTGTCAGCTGATGAGAGTCTGCACTCTGCTGGGCCTTGTGAATAGGCCGGCACTAGCCTCCATCCTATCTAAACGTATTTGAGCAACATCATGCACGTCCAGTGATGCGATCGAGTGCATCTGTGGTTTGCTGCGACATCCTCCGTGGCTTGCCAGGGCTGATATTGTCATCAACCAGTGAAGAGCTGCGGCAAAAGAGTCCAACAAATGAGTCATTCTGCATACATTATTGCCAATGCGACCAACGATTTGGGCAAGCCATGCGCATGTTGGCACTCAAATACACTGCCTCTTCTATTAAAACGCCACCAAAGACCAAGGTAGATATCAATTTGAGATATTGTCTGAAGGTAAAGAGCTCTGGCCGATGACTCTGAACTTTTGTGCCAAACTTGCATAAATACCTTATGTAATCAACAAACACCCCACCGGAAGCTTCCAACAGAGCTGCACCTGTCAAGCAACGGCAAGGGTGAATGACGCACACCGAGAAGACGGAGAAACCCCGGCAGCTGTCTCTTTTTTTTTTCCTCACCTTCCTTAGGGGGAGCATTTGGTAGACCCCGCCATCTCGCAGCTGTGGGCGTCCACCAATTGCCAGTCCCACCCACTCGCAGTTCCCTGGGGAGCCACACATAATCATAATTTCGACGTCCCTCGTCTCGCGGCACCTCGAATAAAACCGTCCGGCTGACTGCCTCACTGCCGCCGTGATCCTACCCTCCTCTAACTTCACCTTTGCTGCCATCGACGGACCTGAGAATCTGCCGGCGACCTAGAACCCCAGCCGTTCTCGCTCAAGAAGTGCATCGTCAACCAGAATCTCATTTTCGCGCATCGACAAGTAGGCCCCCAGGACCACGGCCAGCCTCGACTGAAGTGACCAGCCGACGAGACGAGACGATACCGATCCTATAACCCTACATCCAACGCTCAAATTACCCAAACACCATCCCTATGGCTGACGCGCAAGCTCCTGCCAACGCCTCTCGGGGCAATCGCAACCGTGGAAGAGGCCGCGGAGGAAGTGGTGGTGGAGGAGGAGGGGGAGGGGGCAATGCTGGGTCTCGCGGCAGAGGACAGAGAGCCGGTCGTGGCAGAGGCGGTAACAACGCTGGTGCCGCGACTCAGCCCGATGCTGCGAACACACAACAAGTTACACCGAAACCCGACACCAAGCCGGTTGCCCGCGCCGCGGCGGACGCCGACGATACCGCAAGCACCGACGGCGAGGTGTGCTTCATTTGCGCCGAGCCCATCAAGTTCCACTCCATTGCGCCCTGCAACCACAAGACATGCCACATCTGTGGTCTCCGAATGAGAGCCCTGTATAAGACGAAAGACTGTCCTCATTGCAGAGTAAGCGCCGTTTCCTTGGAGGTGGAATGAACCAAGCTGACCTAGGCCCAGACGCCCTCCCCCTTCGTTATCTTCACCGAGGATGCGAACAAACGATACGAAGAATACTCTGACGCCGATATAACGAGCTTCGACAGTAATATCGGTATCCGCTACGCAAATGAAGAGATCGTCGGCGACACCGTCGTGCTCCTCCGCTACAACTGCCCAGCAGACGACTGCGTGTTCGCCGGATTGGGCTGGCCAGACTTACACCGACACGTCCGATCGACCCACCAAATGAAGATGTGCGACCTATGCACCCGCAATAAGAAACTCTTCACCCACGAGCACGAGCTCTTCGCCGACAAGGAGCTTGAGAGACACATGAGGCATGGAGACGACAAGCCAGGTGCCATCGACCAGACCGGATTTAAGGGTCACCCGCTCTGTGGTTTCTGCGGCTCACGCTTCTATGACGATGACAAGCTCTTCGACCACTGCCGCGAAAAGCACGAGAGATGTTTCATTTGCGACCGAAGAGACTCCCGACACCCCCACTACTTTGTGAACTACAATGCCTTGGAGAAGCACTTTGAGAAGGATCATTTCCCGTGTCTCGACAAGGAGTGCTTGGAGAAGAAGTTTGTCGTGTTCGAGTCGGAGATGGATTTGAAGGCACACCAGCTGGCGGAACACGCCAATTCCCTATCGAAAGACGTCCGCAGAGACGCCCGTGTTGTCAACATGTCCGGCTTCGACTTCAGACCATCATATGAAAACGAGAGAAGAGGTGGAGGTGGAGGAGGCGGCGGCGGCGGCGGTGGATCAGGCAGCGGGCGGCAGGGACGTGGACGTGGTCGGGACCCTAATGCGGAACCGATCCCCCAGAGCTCTGCCCAACCTCTTCGCCGTGACGAGCTTGCTTTCCAGAGGCAGATGGCAATCCATTCGGCACAGTCCGTCTCGAACCGAACCTTTGGCGGCCAGCTCTCCGCTCCCGCCGGCGCGTCACAGCCGACCTCATCCCGCCAAGGCAATGCATCCGCGCCGTCGACTTCTCGCCAGGCACCGGCCCCGGTACTTCCCACCACCGCAATGGAGCAGCTAAGTGTGACCGACGTCGCCTCATTGCCTCCTCAAGAGCGAGCAATGATGCTGCGCCATCAGTCGGTCATTGAGCGCGCCGAGAACCTGCTCGGCAAGGATGCGGCCAAGATGAATACATTCCGCGAGAACATCTCATCCTTTAGAAAAGGAAAACTCTCGGCACCCCAGTTCGTCGATGCCCTTTTCTCCCTCTTCGCCGACACCTCATCAAACGCCCTCGGAACCCTCGTCCGCGAGGTCGCGGACCTGTTCGAGGACAAGAGCAAAGCCGAGGGCCTCCACAAGGCATGGCAGGACTGGCGCGCAATCAACGAGGACTACCCATCCCTCCCGGGCCTCGGCGGCATGCACGGCGCCACCACCTCGTCGAGCGGCTGGGCCAGCGCCGCGACCGCTTCTCCCGCGACGCCCTCGGCGGCACCAAGCCAGAAACAGTCCAACCGCGTACTGCGGCTCAAGAACAGCACCCGCGCAGGCGCCGCCGGCCCCAAGCCCGTAACACCATCAGCAGCCTCGACCAACTGGGTATCATCCACGGCTTCTGCTCGCCCGCCAACATCCAACGCCTTCCCAGCTCTCCCCGCCGCCTCGTCGTCCTCCTCCTCCTCCTCGGCAGCGGCTCCTCGGCCGTCCTGGATCGGCCCCAACAACCCGTCATCCAGCGGGAGCGGCAGAGCATCCGGTCCCGCGCCGCGACAAGCCCGACCGGCCACGGGCGCCGACAACTTCCCCGCCCTCCCGCCCGCGCAGAAGCCGCTGACGACAATCTTCGGCTACGGCAACGGCAGGGGTGTCCGCAGAGACCTCGGGGGCGCTTCGAGCAGCTTCAGCTGGGGTTCGGCCCCGGGAAGCGGCGCGGCGAGCGAGAACGCGTCGGAGAGGGAAGACGAAGACGCAGCCCCGTCCGGCGGCAAGAAGAAGAAGGGCAAGAAGGTCCTCGTCCAGTGGGGATGATTTGAATGAATGAAACCCCCAACCAAAACACAACGTGAATTTTGAGAATCTCGTATAAAAATTAGATGTTGTCCCTCTCTTCGAGTGCCGAGAGGGGGAAGGATGCACCTTAGAATGTAGTCGTTGACCACACCCGGTCCGACGTTATGAGTATGAAGGAAAGGGGGGAAAAGTAAAAGTAGGGAGCACATAAGTAGATCAGAGCAGTACCTAGCATGATCAGCATAGTGTTGCATCTGGTAGATTGTCTACTGTGAGGAAAATGAGAACCCTGATAGACCCATCTATCTCTGTGCTACGTAATACTGCTGCATATCGGTGGTGATGGACACGCTCGAATCTCTTGCGCCTTGCGAGGCTCTTTGAGAGCTTGAACGTCGATGCTGTGTAACGCCATCACACGAAGAACAGGGCGGGACCAACGGAGCCTACATGGACTCCGAACACGACAGGACTGAAGTGTGCACAGCAGGTCATGACGGGATGGCGCAACGTGGAAACTGGCTTAGTGAAGCGGCGGAGTAGGAGGGGGCACTGGAAAGAGAATTGTAACAGTCACGTCGAGTTCGAAGACAAGTGATGTGAACAATAAACGCCAATCAATTCAGAGACCTTGAGGCTCATAGTACTCCCTAAAGCGATCCAGGGTTTCCCACTGCACACTCCAAATAACCTCCCAACAGTCGATCAACAGTCTCGGGAACCTGACAGCCCAGAACGACAAATAACCCTCCGGCAACGGGCCCACAGCCCGCTTCAAACTATCAGACATGTCCTCGTAGTGGTTCTTCTTGTTCCTCAAGGCACGCAGCAGGTCGAGCATCCTCGATCCAGTGTACTTGCGCTGCTTGCCAAGGGAGTCGACAAACTCGCGGGGCAACTGGCGGAGGAAGTCACCCTTAGTGATCTCCGGGGCGAGCGTCTCTAGGTGTGCCAACTGGTCACTGGGCGGGTCTCTGGGCTCCTTCTCGAACGAGTCCGATACGTCACACAGGAAGGCCAGTCTCTTTTTGGCAGGCCAGAAGAAGGGGTGGGCCAAGACATCGCGCGCCGTGGGTCGTTCCTTGGGGTCGGCGTTCAGCATCCACGTTATCAGGTGCTTGGCCTCGGGGGCTGCGTCGCCAAGCGAGTCCAGAGGAGACAAGTTGAAGTTGCCCTTCCGAATGTTCACCTCCCTCATGTACCGGTCGCCGCAGTCGAATGGATGAAGACCATTGGTCAAGACGTAGAAGAAGACCAGACCCAGACTGAAGATATCGATGGAGCGAGTAGCACGCCGACCAGAGACCATGTCAGAGCCGACAAGAATCGAGCCAGAGCCACTGTTAATGCTGTCGACCATGGCGGTGTGATTGGCATCATCGTCAAGCAGTAGCTCAGGCGCGCGCCATCCTGACGTTCCAGCTGCGCGACCCGTCGTTGCGCCAAATGACGACTGCCCGCCTTCCAACTTTTTACACAGTCCGAAATCGGAAACAAGAAGGCGGGGTCTGCCGTGCTTGTCGACATTGACTAGAATGTTCTGGGGCTTGAGATCGCGATGGACGATGCGAAGCTGGTGCAGATGGTTGATGCCGTTGGTGATTTGGTACAAAACACCGGGAATATCCGCCTTGCCCGCTTGAGCGAGCTTCCCAAAATGGTGGGGCTTCTCCACGACGTCGGCGAGGGAGGCCGCGCAACGCTCGAGAGCGATGTACAAGAAGCCATCCCGGACCTGTTGAGCGTAGTAACGAATGACATTGGGATGGTCGTCACTTTCTCGCAGTAGCCTGGTCTCCTGTGAAGCAATGTCGTAGAACTGGATAAGCATACGCTTAACAGCAACCTCTCTTCCGTCAAATTTGCCAGCGAAAACAAGCGTTCCGTTGCTGCCAGTGCCGAGTTGGTTGTCGGTGTCGACCTCGATGTTGCCCATCCGAATGATGGGACCGCTCACGGCTTGCATGTCATTCGTCACAGTGACGACGTCGGGCTCGAGCTGCGTCATTTGTCCGCCGAGCTTCTTGGCTTTGTTGACGGCGTCCTCGACAGACTGGGGCGGGTCGTCCTCACGCGACTGCGATGCCTCTTCCCTCTTCTTGCCCTTGCGATGTTTGGTACCACCACGGCGGCCGCGATGAGCCGGCTTCTTCTTCTTGACCTCGGGCGTGCCAGGCTCGGGAGGGGTCAGCGACTGGTCATTGGGACTAAGAGCCTGCTGAGGCGCGGTCGCAGGCTGAGAGGAATCATCTGCTTGGCCTGCGTTTCCGGTCGCACCAAGAGGTGGAGGCACCTCACGGGCTGCAGGGTCAACAGAAGCCGACTCGGCCTCAGCCTCAGGCTTGGGCTCAGCCACCGGCTCCTCAATCTTGGGAACGGCCTTGGGTTCCTCTGTTGTGGGCGGCACGTTGTCGTGGATCGTGGGCTCCGGCGTGACTTCGCCGTTGTCCTCCGTGTCAGATGTAGCCTCCTCCCACTTGTACCATTTCGTAGTCTTGGTCTTGTACCAACGGCGCAGGTCCTTGTGGTAGAGGAACAGGAGAGACCCGATGAGAAGGAATAGCACAGGATTCGAGAAGAAATCGATGAAGCTGTTGGAGACCTGCTGCGGGATTTGCTTAACCTTATTAACGATGGTCGTCTCCATGGGTTCCTCGGGCAAAGGCACAGACGTGGGCAGGACCGAGTCGTTCTCGGGATCCACGTCGGGCACCTCTTCTCGGCCAGGCAGGCTAGGAGTCTGGTAAATCTTTCCTTTATGGACAGCGTCCATGTTGTGGGTGCCGATCATGGCCCTGATGCGTTGCGTTTCGTTCATCTTCTCCCACGGGTGGCCCAGCTGGAGCCAGTCTGGCTCAGAAGTCTTTGCCGTAGGAGCCAACACCATGAGGGGGTATGAACGCCCCGAGAGGGCGTACCAGTTCCCGGTCTCGGTCTGGTTGACAAAGATGCGCTGGTTCCTGACACGAGCAATACTGTCGTCCTTGGCGGGTGGAACCGGCTGAGGCAACACAATGAGGTCGGGGTTGCTCTCGGGAAGAACTCCCCAGGGCCTGCAGACGTCGAAAACCTTGACTACCGGCGCTGGGAACTTTTCGTTGCAGAAGAGTCCTTCTTCAGGTCGGTCATGCTCGAAGTTGACTCTGTTGTAATCGAGACCGTAGACTCGCCCATCGTGTCGCGTCGTGTGGTAACGATTGTCGATGGATTGATGATACTGGTTCAAGAGGTCCCAGTCATTCGTGTTAGGGGTCCAGTCAAAGTACTTGAGGGTCGCAATCGGGCGGCCGTCTTTGCGGGCAATGCCGACCTCGTACTCGGTGCGGCCAAGGGTAATGGTGCCTGTGGAGCTGCACTCCTCGTTGTTCTGGTCGTACAAGGCATTGGGACGCAGACAGCTTTCAGCCTCGTTGACATGAGATCCGCCAGATCCGAACCATTTGAGTACGCGGCCGGTGGCGGCGTCGAGGGTGATCATGGTGGTCTTCTTGGTACCAGTGTAAACGATTGGTGGGTTCTCCAGGGCCGAGGCGCCCTCGTCGACCATCTGCTTCATGGTCAGGCCGGTAGACAGCAGCCTGGGCTCGCTGGCGCCAGGGACCCAGTAGTATATGTCTCCGTCGCGGTTCGGCTCGATGGCCCAAACATAATGATCGATGAAGTTGTAGTCGTCGTCGAGATCGGAGGCGTTGAGGCGGTAGTGTTTTGTTTCGATCATGGACTGGTCGACCTCGAGATGCCAGCGTTCGCGAGCGGTGGATCGATCGCTGGCGTAGAGGTGTCCATCGACGGTCGCCAAGAGGACGAAGTCTTCCACTTCCCAGTCCTTCAGACTCCGCGCATGGTGCTGCGTAGAGATCCCAGAGGCCCCGCCGACACGGGAGACAATGGGTCGATGTCCAGAAGGAGATGGTGCTCTGACGGACTGAGCCGGAGCCAAAGTTGCGACGGCGCTCGCATCGTTAGGAATAAGAATGTTGTCGGGGTTGCTCCGACGGTGGTGTTGCTTCGAGGACGTCACGGTGCTTTTACGTCCCGGAGACACGACAGCATTGTCGGCCTCGAGTGTTGCGGCCCAGTGGGCGGCTTCGGGGTGGATATCGTGGATTCTCTCATGTTGACTGCTGCCAGCGGCGGGCTGTCATTCGTCGGTCAGTACGTGCTCAGGACGAGTGATGGACGGTGAAGGGCCAGAGAGCTGCATGTTCCGACCATGGAGAGGCAGAAGCAGAGAGGCCGGTGAGGGTACGGGAATAGGCGTGTGGGTGCGTGCAGTGCACAACAGAGGATTCTTACCTGGACTCGTTGAACTCGGTGAATCGCTTCGATGGGTTGTTGGTGTGGTTGTTGTTGGGCGTCGGCGAGCGGGATGCAGGAGATGGCGAGGAGAGCGAGAGCGAGGATGGACCGCTGATTGGCGCCGCGCCTCCGTTCGCCTGGAGGACGTCGCAGCATTGTTTGTTGTCGTGATGCGGGAGGGATTTACATCAACGGTTCCCAGTCGTTTTGGAGATGCAGGCGAGACATAGGAGCAGCGGTGGTTGTCGAGCAGAAGGTCGTGATGTTGGCAATGACGGTGGTTCTGGTTCTGGATCGAAAGAGCGGGTGGGAATGGACCATGTGAAGGTGGGTTGGGCTAGCGAACTAAATCGGAGCCCAGATGGTACAACAATGCAATGCAGACAGACAGACAGACAGAGGGCAGCGGATGGGCCGACTGTGGGTATCGTGACGACGCAGGTCGGGTCGGGCAAGGTAGAAAAGGTGGTGATGGTAGAAGCACCTTTTGGTGTTGAAGGTTGAAAGATGGAAGAAGTGCGGGATGGTAAGCACGGAGAAGTGGTGGTTCGCTCGGAAGGAGGGCGTGACTGTGAGAGGACTGGACTCGGGATGGCTGATGCTCTGCCTCTCTGTACCTCTGCCTCTTCTTTTTTTTTTCTTGTGTTCCCTGTCAGCTCTCTGGGTTTTTTTCGCTTTTTTTGGCTGAAGCACAAGCCCAGCCCACGGCAGACACAGGTGTTCAGTCAGCCAGGCCAGCCCGTCGCCCGGTACTGGATGGCCGGTGCTTCTGAAGTATCTTTTCGGGCAAATTGAGTGAGACAGTACTTGATACCAGCAACTACCATGTAGGTAGGCGACTTGAAGGTGTCGACGGAGGCTTGCGTGTGGAAGGCAAGGGAAGCAGCGGGACTCGTACCACGGGCGACCAGGATGAGGTCTGGAAGGGGGGGCCGAAGGGAACCTCAGGGGAAGAGGAAACACTGGAAGCGCAGGGGGGGGGCTTTCAGTGGGACAGTGCGGAGACTGGGCGGACAGTGATGCCCAGCCAATGATTAGGGGCAGTTCTCACAGTAGGCGAGGTATTCGACACGGTAAAGATCCACCATTCCCGTCAAGCGAGATCCACCCGCTGTCGGTGGTTCAGCCAGTCAGAACGTGGCGTTTTTCCCCCAGTTTCGAAAGGGAGGAGACAGCCAAACAGCGCCAGCGCTGCTTGTCACGGCTGTGATTTGTGAGGAACGGACGCCGGACGGGATGCATTTCCAGGTCACCCCCTTCTGAACCTCAAACTGTGGCGAACTAAAATCGCGGGGTTTTCCAACTTCAACCGCGAATATCATCCGCACATGTGGGCAGCAGTGGACATCCAAAAAGGCTGATATGGGGTGATGTGCGGGTATGAACATGGCACATCGTTATCAACATCATCATGCACTTGTCGTCAAATCCTCTCTATCTCTTCCTCCCTTCGTTTCGCGGAAGAACATCGCCGCTCGCCAGCGATTATCACGGCGACATTTTCAGATCCAGGGTCCTGTTAGGGCTCTCCGACTCCCGAACCCTGGAACCAGCCCCCCCTAGCCGCGCAATCTGGGCGTTCCGGGCTGGACTTAAGACTTCTCGACTGCCTAGCGGCCGGTGTCGCATCAGCACAGTGTCTTGATGGGAAACTCACCAAGACAAGACCAAGACCAAGACCAAGTCAACTGTCTCTGTCTCTGTTTCTGTCCGGTCTGAGGTGAGGTGATGCGATGTGATGTGCGGTGGATTCTTCAGCCATCCGCGTGGGTGTGGTTGGCCGGCAAATCGGAGGCCATCCTCATCCTGAGCCGTTGCTCTTTCGCCCCCCTCCTCCAGACTCCATGTCCAAAGTGTCCATCATGCAGCGGATCTTTGGCCGACTCTGGAGTTTGTCGACCATTCCCCCATCCCTCGCTGACGGAATCGCTGATCACCTTGTGCCTTTTTGCCAAAAGGACCAGCCCGGGACGATCAGACACAGTGTCCTCAACTAAGGCAGCTACATCATATGGTAGTGCCTAGATGATGAGATGATGTCGGGTGTTCCTGCAGCCTGTTCGTCACTGGCTGAAGCGACGGGCTGAGATTTAGGCTAACTCCCGTCGACGAGATGGATGGGCGGAGCGGGAAGCATACTGCGAAGGTAGCAAGCCATCTCATTCTCGTCGTCGCGAGCCTATCACACCGTGTCATTCTCCTTAGTCATCTCGCAAGACACTGTTTTCAACTTGATGCTTCCATGGATGGAAAGTTACGGCAAGGAACCGAGTAGTCTCACCTCTACCTTACCAGGTAATGCCCCACCGGTTAACTCGCCACCCCCTGATACCTGCCCGTTCATCTTCAACTCACTCCGTGTGGCTATCTCTCACAAGACTCACTTTGCGGCCGGCCTCACTCAGACACGCAGATACGGCACGACGGAACTCAGACCCAACCTTCCTTCTCGCGTTTGATCTCTCACAAGGTGGTACCCGTAGAGGCGCACCGTTCGACATCTCGAATGCCCCTCATCTTCCCTTCCTTCTGGAACCTGACAAGTGACAAGACGAGACACCCCAGACATAACCCTCCTCCCTACCGTCGCATTCCTTCTCACCCAAGAAAAGCATCCTCCCTCTCGTCCGTTCTGATCAGTGATATCCCTTGCTTCGCACCCGCTCACCACAAACTCTCTCTCTTTCTCGGACCGTAACCTCGGACTCGAGGATATCGTCACACACATTACACACCCAAACTCTTCCCATATCGTGCATATGTCGTGTGCCCGCAAACCGCTTTGCTCCCCCCCGGAACATTCCAGCAAACTTTCCCAAAGCCTCCGTCCGTACGCGCGCTCTCGCCCACGGACGACGCAGGGCGCGCGACTCGGGAGACTTTGACTCCTGCAGCCCGGCACGTATCATGCAGCCGGCCGAACGACGTCCTTTTTTGATGGGGAACGACACGCCTCAACAGGAGAAGCCCACATCATTCATTCATTCACTCTGATTCTCCCAGACCGCCATTATCGTGAAAAGAAAAGCACCGACAATCATGAAGCAACATTCCAACTCACCCTTGTCTGCCGGTCTCCGCCATTTGGGCCCGAGAGCGAGGTCGCCGGTACGACACGGTCCCAGGTCCCACCAGAGCTCCCAGCGGCAGCGGGGCAACAGTGTGTGATTCTCGGCCATCTCAGGTTCAGGGCCACCGTCTGGCCTCGGCCCATCTCGCCATGACTGGGATGGGATTGATATCAATCTTCTTCCTGACCTCTTCCGTCTGTCTGAGCCCGCCCACGTGATTCATATTCACAGAGCAAGGCCCCCGCTCGAATATCAAAGGTTCATTGAGAGATGGGTCCGTTTATCTTGCTCAGAAATAAATCGAAGCGGCCATTTCCAACAACAGCGAAATGCCCGACGCCGCTGCGCCATCTTCGTGTCGGAGGCAACGGCCGCCCCCCGCTCGCCCTTGGAATTGCGGCTGATGGCTTGCATACTGCCTTGCATACCTCGCCTCGCTCGACCACAAGCGCCGCTTGGAATTATGACTCCCAACCAACAACTGCTGAACGTCACAAGCTTCTCATTTCAATTGCCGCCCCCTTGATCGCCAACTGTCTCGGCTCGGATGAGCTCTTGGGGGCCGAATTGCTCAGCTAGACCGAAGTCGTCAAGTCACCAGATGGCCAAGAAGGTAAAGCTGAACTAGATCATCATGATCTTCTATCTCTATCGTGGAATGTCTATCGGGGCGGGATATCCAGCCCTCATTGGTCTAACTAAACATTAATCATTAAGCCCGCCCATAGTATGTAAGGAGCACACCAGAGGCCGTTGGTATCCTGAAATCTCAATATGGACAAGAAGTATTTGTACAAAACTCGTCTTTCAACTTTTGGTCGCCAGATCATGTAGCAACCTGATCTGGTCTTTCACCATCGCCGAGTGCATGCTGCGCTTAGCAAGCCTTGCCAAGGTTGACAGAGTTGGCGAACAGGCAGTACGTGTCGGCATGGTTCTGGTTCTGCGCGGAAGTGAGCTTCCTGATACCATCGTAGCCGTAGACGCCCCAGTCGAGCGTGCCCTTGATCTGGACAAGGTGCGTCATCTCGTGGAGAGTGGTGGTAGCCTGCGCAACTCATGTTAGTCATTGAAGACGCAAAGCGTGATCAGTTTCATCGAGGATTTCACATACCTGATCCTGGCCGTGGCAGGACTTTGTGAGCGGCGTCAGCGCGGTGAAGTACAACGGGCAGTTGACCATGAGCGCCACCGAGGGAACGGTGTAAGCCAGGACGCCCGGCTTGCACGCCGCGTAGATGTCGGTGCAGTACAGCTTGGAGACGCTGCCGGCCGTGACACGGCTGGCGCACTCGTTGGCGACCTTGGTGAAGACGGCGCTGATGGCCTTCCGGGCCGTGTCGTCGTTCGTCTTGAAGAACTCGAAGGTCTTGTTCTTGTCCAACATTGCCGAGCGGGACGCATCCTTGGCCAGATTGGTGCAGTGAGTAAGCGCGTCTGCGACGGCCTGGGCCTGAGTTCCCTTGCAATCGCCCTGGACGGCCGTGCGCTTGGCCTTCTTCTCAAACGCGCGCTTAGCGATGGAGGCCTCGGTGCCGTTGACCGAATCGATGAGTAGCGTGTTGCTGTTGTATCCGAGGTAGCCTTCGAACGCTGTCGAGTTCTCCGTGGCGTAGGGGATGCCGCCCATGGAGGTGACGTTGAAGTGGCCGCCCTGGCTGACGTCGTGCCACTTTCCAAAGTTGAAGTTGAACTCGGCCGTTTCGTTAGGCTGGAAGATTCGGAAGGATGCGTTGGTGATCAATTCGGGAGGTGCCAGGCGCAGGCGGATGCCCTCGAAGGGGATTCGCATGTCTGACACGTCTTAGTTTCCGATTACATACGCGCCGAGGAGGGGTATTACTCACTGCCTTTGTAGACGGCCAACTTCTCGACGGGAGTGCTATCCAGAATGGTGCCAGGGGTAAATAGCTTGAGCGAGGAGTTTCCGCAGTTGGTGAAGTGGGCTTTGATGCCAGTGTTGCCAGTTCGGACCAGTTTGAGCTGGATCGGCGAAGTGCTTTTCCTCTCAGTGGTGACTGGGCTGGCGGACGGGACTGGACGGGAGACTGAACTGGAGACTGGGCTGGAGACTGGGCTGGCGGCGGCCATGGCGGCCACGAGGGCGAGGGCGGCGAAGAAGGATTTCATCTTGACTGTTTGAGCCGGCGGCTGCTGAGTGTCGAAAGTGATGAGTTGAGATGGCTTTTTGGTGTTGAGGGTGATACTCCAAACAAGTAAGTCGGATGGGGGTGGAACGGAAGATGTTCTTATATCTAACTGATCAGAGGCAGTCCCACGCCCATCTCTCTCTCGAAATGGGCACGAGAATCGCTCCCAACGCGGGCAACAAAGATACCACCGACGGTAGCCAAGCCATCCAGGCTGGTGCGATGGGCAGCGCGTGGAGGCTCAAGTGAACGCCGGGCGTTCAGGAAGGGTCCAAAGAGACGCTCTGGCCATCTCCAAAGACGGGGACGGGTTCGTGGGGACGGAAGGCGTGTGCCATTACCAGACTGGCGCCATGGCAGAAGAAGCCACTGGAGATCTACAGGGGAGATGGAAGACCCCGTGTGGGCAGTACATGTGAAGCTTTCACCGGCAGTAAGTACACGCCGTACAATCTACCAAGAGACCGAAAGGGCGCAAAAGCCGGCAAGGGCGTCCAGCCCCGGCGGTCAGGCTAGGAGACTACGGTTCCAGCGGCTAGGATGGGCAGTTCAGGTAAGCCACAAACAACAGATGCGGACAATTCATTGAGAAGCAGGACGCCTCCAAGTAATACCCCTATACCCGGATTACATCGTCCCTGACTTCAATGGCTATATCCTCCGTGATGCAATATCTTCAACGCCGCGTACAAGTCTCTGTATGAAGATCGTAGGATTTTCAAGTCTTGGCTGCTGAGCGCAGTTCCTGAGGGCCACGCAATATCACTTGCCGGCCGCTGCACCGGGACTTGATCTGCAGAGCCATTGATATTCTCCTAGCGCACTACGTTGTCTTCCACGTCCGGCCCCACCTCCCCGGCCGGAAACGGCATCTGTCCTCGCGGACATAAAGAAACGGCCCATGATGAGCGCCAACTGTAGCCTCTTCCGCTGCGCCAACTACACCATACCCTGCCAAGTGGTCTCATTACCACAAGGCCCATTTATGAGACAGGCGCACTGAAGGTTCACCCTAGGCGGGCGCGAGACATGAGCCTGGCTGGTGTGCATAACGATTAATGAACGTTCTTGCAGGGTGCCACAAAACCATCTCACGTTGCGAAAAGAAGGGTCTTTTCTCACGAGTTTCCAGAATATCCGTCATCCACGCAGATCTCCCACGTAGGTGCGAACCTTCATGTTGCTGTGTCTTTGGCAGACATTTTTGGCGTGATTACTCGTTGTGAGACGCAAGGTCTCGGAATCCAGTTACCGGGTCCGGAAGCGTCCGGTCGACTGCCGGAGCGGAGTGGGTCGGATGACATTGCTAGGCTCGGCGCCCGTACCGACCTCCGGCCCAGAAACCCACCACTCATCTTCGCGGGCGGCCGCTAGTCGACCTTCCTTTTTCGTGCATGGGCCGAGCTGTTTCTGAGTGCCATCTCCTAGCGCCGTCCCATGTCTGCAACTTGAACTGGCTGTCAAGTGACGGCATGCGCTGCAGAGTGCGGGGTTTCCCGCTGTTATCCCATGTTTGAATGCGTGAGACAACTGTTCATCCTTAGCAATTAAGTTTGAGGACCAGTTGGCATCGACTTTTGTCCATTAGAGCACAGCGCATAGCCACTACAACAAACGCACCTTGGGTATAATCACCACAGTCCATTAGAAATTCAACTCGTGATCTTGAACGGTTAGACTGGACCCGACAGAATCGCACACTAATCTCGCGTGGCTCAGTCCGTCTTTTCCGTTCAACATTCCACGGCCACGGCTCTTGCTATTCCCAGGTTAGTGCGTTCGTCCACCTTTCCTTCCACCAAGCTGGATATCTCGACGGAAAACCAACATCTGCCAGCCGGGGAAAGACCGCGTTCAATCGTTTGACGTCATCCGGCATCTTCCTTCCTGCCTGCCGCCTTGGGAAGCCGTTCCGTCACACAGACTCTGTCTGCGTTACCTGTCAATATCTGCAGTTGCCTGTCGCATCACAACCCGACTCAGACCCTCTCATCACCATACCAGCCGGCGCCAACTTATCAACCACAATCTCATGAGCAACCCAGCTGGTCGCTCACTCTTCCGCCCCGTCCTCATCGTTGTCGTCGTCCTACTCATCCTCTTCTTCCACACCCACGGCTCTTCCCGAGACGCCAGCACCATGTCCCAAGAACCCACCCACGACGCCGGAGCGCTATCCAAGCTCACCGTCCGGATCCGTCAATCCTCGACCTCTCCTCCCACGCTGACCCTGTCCGTGACCAACGACCACACCTCCCCCCTCACCATCCTCCGCTGGAACACGCCCCTCGACCCCGTGGCCCTCGCCGTCGGAGTCCTTTCCGTCACGCCGGAGGGCGAGGACACCCCGCTCGAGCTCGACCTCATCGCGCTGAAGCGGCTCATGCCGCCCCCCGAGGACGACATCGTCACCCTCCACCCGGGCGAGAGCAGGGAGCAGGAGGTCGTCCTCCGCGAGCCCGCCCTGCCGTTCGACAAGCTTGGCAAGAAGCCACGGATCGCGGCCAAGGGCAAGTGGCAGACGGTGTGGCCCACAACGGCGGACAAGCTCAGCAAGGAGACCATAGAGAAGCTGCAGTTCGGCGATGGCGTTCTCTCGGGCGACTTTGAGACGGAGGCGATTGAAGTCACCCTCCCGTAATTAGGCTAATAATTGAAGTCAAGTCTACACCTATAATTTTCCGTTTCTCGGCCGGTTCTCTCTCGTGATAGCTTTACCAGCATCCACAAGTTGTCTCTGAAGATTTATTCGGTCTATGCATATCCGTTAATCATCAGAACGTGGTTTCGGCGTGGTTCGAGACATGCGCAAAACAAAGTGACGTATGCTCTGGTCTGGAAGGGTCTTCAACAATGGGAGAGACATTCGGGATTCACGGATTCAGACGTCCTTGGCTGCGGCGCCATGTCGAGGTCCAGTCTAACGCACTCGAGACAATCTCTTAGACCTTTGTCTACATGTAGCTCAGCCTCACGGGCACTACATCCCTCTTACTGTCCATAATGCCTTCAGGCCAGTTCTGAATCGTGCTCCATTCTACAGTTTTAGCGTATTATTCCCCATGCCTTGTGCCGAAACCCGAGAGTTGAAGTGTGCGATTTCACTCTCGCTGTCAACAATCGAGAAACTAAACGGATGAATCGCGGCAAACTAACCAAGCCATGGTCAACGTACACCTCAAGATCTCTGAGGCGCAGAACAACTCCCGACCATCTGGGCCCCAAAACTCCTCGGAAGCACACCATCTTTCCGGACAAACCACCATGCCAGACGGCTCTAGCACCGGTCCCAGAAGCCCGGGATCTCAACATGGCTCCCATCTCGCCATCTTGCCGCCCGCACGTTTTCTCGACACCGCGTACTATCTTTCCAGGCTTGAACAATATCAGTTGGTCCGACTCCACGTGCAGCCCCAAGTCCGAGCCGGTCAAGGCCCGGTCATCTCGCGAGGGCCACGTTAGCCGCGCGTGAGCAGCACACCCTCATCTCTCGGAATCTCTGCATGCGGAAAGTCGATATCCCGTTCTTCTTTGCCATGAAGCGCATGGCATTCTTTGACGGGAGATCCATCTCTCGAGGAACTGACTCTTGTCCAGAGACTACGGGATATCGGCATCTAGATCCTACAGTTAGTGCTTCGTTTCGCTCCAACACTAGATGTTCTCCTTAAGGAAGCCATGCGAAATCGTAGAGAGGAACTATGTTACCGCATTCATCAGCTTTGCCACGGCCCATGAACGTGGGAGGTCTTACCACGATGGCCATGTGCCATGTTACGGCAGTGTGGCCCTCGAGATCGCGGCGCGAAGATATTCCCATGTTTTCCAGACATTTCTCAACTGCCGTCCCCGAGACACCCTCCAGAGCATAGGCCCGGCCTCCCGCTAGATGTGATATCACGCCACTCTCACCGATCCAAGCTTCGTTCCGGGAACTACCCCGGCTGGAACGGCATCAGACACGTTCGATTTCGCGCAGTTCAGGAATATTTCCCCGGAGGCTTCGATCTCGAGCGTCGCGTTGACAAGAGGCTAGGCTTCAACGCGAAAGTGAAGTTAGTCAAGTGCCTCACCACTCTGGAAGACGTCTGCCCCATCCAACACCCTAGATTGGACTAACAGATACATGCCCATCATCGATCTTTGGTCTTTGTGTTAAAGAGTCAGCTCAACGTTGAAGAGGCGTAAACTTGGCCCAAGTCCTCAAGTAGGTTCATGAGTAGCTTCACATGCATACTAGTGGCAGTTCCTCATCCATTCGTCTGCAGCTTTGTCATGATGAGCCTTTCTCTCGTCAGGATGGGTTAAAATCGCAGTGAAAAATGCTGTATGACTCTACATGGCACTTGTATAACCCCAGACGCGGCTCTTGCATGATGCAGGAGAATTCTCGAATCCTACTGGTCCTGCATTTTGCCTTGGACATGTTGATACATTGCCTGGCAATGGAGTGTTTTCGCGCTGGATTCACACTTCTCTGGTCCTGGGCGCTGCTTTCACCCGGAGTATACCTGGCCTCAGCGTCCATCCTTCCTACAGTCAGAAGGCGAGAGACTCTGCATTACAGTTCACTTCAGCCGGCCGTAACTCAAACAACCCGCGCAGTCGTCACAATAGAGACAAGTCTCACGGACGACGTTGAACCATGTGACAAATCAACTACAACCAAAACAGAGACAGAGGGCATGTCTCCAGAAAACAGACACAGACCTTCAACTCGGCGAGTTGGCCTCGTACGAGCAATACCAGGTCGGACACGACGTCCCGAAGCCATCTCAACCAAGACAGCCCGGTTCAGGCTATACACCTGGCCAAGCTATCTGTACAGAGCCGCAAAAGCCCTACCTTATCCTCCAGGAAGCCCGTACCGGGGACACAGCAGAAGTCTACATCAGAAAGGAACCTCACATCACCAGCCAGCCACAATACTGTCATCTGTTTTCATAACCCAAAGCACACACATCTCCCACAACCTCCTCAAAACCGTGCCCTCAACCCACGCGGAACCCCGTTGACCGTTATCCCACGCATCCCCCCTTACCTCGCCCGCTCCCACGATCCAAAAAAGCACGGCTCGACCGCAGCCATGTCTCTCATCCCACGTCCGAGCCATGCATCCAGAAAACCTCACCTCCCGCATGCGGCCTCACCCGTGACCGCGTGGTCCAGAGCGCTCTCGCCCTCCACCAAACGGCCGACTTGACTATATTGAGTGATGTCGTCTCAAATTGGTCGTTGGCATCAGCTGATTTTTGAAGGGTCGAGTTTTCCTAAAAGCGCTTCTGATTATTTCCCCCGTTTTCATCACATCTCGCTCTTGATGATAACCAAATCTTGTAGCATGAGCTTTTCAGCTGAAAACCCACCTGGGTAGATCGTGAAAACTGCCGTTGACCAGATCAAACCACTACCTGCTACCCATCCAAGGAAAATCGACAGAATATTCAAGTCGACGTCAAAATGACGGCCTCGGAGCGGAGGTGTGCCCCGACAAATACTCGGACCCGGCCGCGGCGCAAAGTCATCTCGGTTAAGAGAGCTCATGCAGCTCAAGCTTTGACACTAACGCCCTGTACCCAAGAACGCTGCTGTGTTACCATCAGACCGCTGGCGATTTGGTCCATTGATTCGCTTGTTCCCCCGCATCTTCATCTCTACCATATGGAAAAGTGATCCGGGACATCGTCCAAGCTCGTGTGGTCTGTTTACAACAGCACCAGGTTGAATATTGACCTAAATAACGACCTCTCCGTCAAGACGCGATAGCGATAGCGATCGCGGTTGCGAACGACATACTGCATGAGCGTACACGTTGAGCCAGGAGCAAATTTGTCAAGTCACTAATGATCGATGCGTATGATTTGGCCGGAATGCCCGGATGCTGCCTTTCTATGCTCTGTTCTTCTACCAATATTTCTCTTTAACGTCTATCCATCTGGATCGGTATAACCATGCTAACGCCTTGCGAGATTTGAACCAACGCTCCTGTACCGGAATATTCGACGCGGCTTCGACTTGCCCGTCTCGACATTACCGCGGTATCTTGAAAAGATCGCGCATTAACGAGGCGTGACTGTCGGACCCTGGGCTTGGTGAACTGACGATCGCGGGATCGTCGTACATGCCTTCCGAGGAACCATGAGAAGAGGGCCGCCCAGGACCGGCTCTTGGATTGACACGACCATTACTTTTTACTCATTCGACCCGCTGCTCAAGATACCTAGCCCTTCATGGGAGGAGTACCAAGTCCGTTGTGGTTGCGGAAGAAGAGGACACCCTTGCCATCACCCTCTGCCTCGGCGCTGGGCTCGACCCACTGGCAGAAGCGAGCAGACTTGTACAAGGCCTTGATGAAGCCAACCGGGCCATCCTTGACGTCGGCGCGGTAGTGCTTGCCCATGACAGGCTTGATGGCCTCGGAAGCTTCGTCGGCGTTGTAGAAGGGAATGGTGCTGATGTAGTGGTGGAGGACGTGGGTCTCAACAATGCCGTGGAGGAGGTGACGTCCGACGAAACCCATCTCGCGGTCGATGGTGGCAGCAGCTCCGCGAACGAAGTTCCACTGCTCACCAGTGTAGTGAGGCAGGGTGGGATCGGTGTGCTGGAGGAAGGTGATGGCCACTGCAAACGAACGAGTTAGCGATCAGCGGGAGGCGTCGAAAGACGTTGAGAAAAAACTTACCGAGCCAGTGGTTGACCCAGAGGTAGGGAATGAAGTACCAAACCAACAGGTTGGACCATCCGAATCTGTTGCCGAGGAAGACGAGGGCGCTGATGGTGATGGCCAGGCCAATGTCGGACATGACAATGAGCTTGGCGTCCTTGGCCTCGAAGATGGGGCTGGAGGGGTCGAAGTGGTTAACACCACCGCCGAAGCCGTTCTTCCTGCCCTTGCCGCGGCCCTCACGCTGGCGCTCGTGGTAGTTGTGGCCGGTGACGTTGGTCATCAGGTAGTTGGGCCATCCGACGAGCTGCTGGAGGACAAGCATGATGAAGGTGAAGATGGGGGTCTCCTCGGTCAGCTCAGCAAGCTCGTGGACCATGCGGCCGGCACGGCTGGCGTGCTGCTCGCGAGTGCGGGGGACGAAAACCATGTCACGCTCCATGTGGCCAGTGGCCTTGTGGTGCTTGCTGTGGGAGATCTGCCAGCTGAAGTAGGGGACGAGGAGAGCCGAGTGGAGGACCCAGCCGACGGTGTGGTTGAGGGTCTTGGAGGGCGAGAAGGCCTGGTGACCGCACTCGTGAGCAATGACCCAGAGACCGGTGCCGAAAAGACCCTGAAGGATGGTGTAGATGGCCCACAGACCAGCGCGAGCAGGTTTGGAGGGGATGTACTCGGGCGTCACATAGTTGTGGAAGATGTAGAAGGTCGTGGCCAGGCAAAGAATGTCCCTCGCGATGTAGCTGAAACCCTTCAAGGCGGAGCGCTCGAAGCAGTGCTTCGGGATGGCATTGTGGATGTCCTTGATTGTGAAATCGGGAGGGGTAAACTCGTTGCCGTACGTGTCGTACAGCTTGCCGTAGGAGGACTTCTTCTCGACGGTCTCCGAGGCCAGGGAGGACAGAGAGGTGGAGGAAGCCGAAGGACGGGGAGAGTCGATCGGCGAGGCGACGGCAGTCGAGGGCACCGAGGCGTCGGTGTCGGTGGTGGTGGAAGTGACGGTACGGCGAAGAACGGGGTTCTTGGCCGCCGGCGTCGACGAAGTGGTTGAAGCCATGGCAAATTTGTTGTGACGGAGCAGCAACAGCGGATTGTGGCCTTTGGGTGTCAACGGCTAACACACTTTGAAGGAACGACGACAAAGTTCCAACGACCCTCGGAGGAGAAAGGGCTACCGGCTGGGATTGGGACTCGGGGAGGATAAAAAACGAAAGGCGGGACGGAGGTGAAGGGAGGGGATTAATAAAGGAAGCACAAGGGGGATGGAGGAGAACGATAATCGGCAAGGTATCGGGCCACAGCGGAGGCAAAAAGACAAAATAGTTAGCAAACGAGATGGACCGGGACGGGACCCGTTGTCAACTGCTTGGTGCGTGGTCTGGGTGTGTGTATGTGTGTCTCTCTCGTCCTGCCCGCCTCCGTTCAAGTGCCAAGCTAACAAGGGCCGGTCAGGTACCGCGACTGGTGGTACGTGGAGCGGAAGGTACCTCGATATGAGGGAAGACTAAGAATGAGTTGAAGGCAAGACGAGGTTATGCGGGTGGTGTGTGCTCTATTTTTTTTTTCTTTCTCTCCCCGATGGTGTGTGGTTACGGTGGTCGGTACATCCAGGAGGTATCTATCTGTAAGGCATGTGTCTCTTTCGTGAAAGTCACCCAGTCCTCTCATGCTATGCTGTGCTGGCTGTATCCATAGGTACTGCAATGCCAGCAGCAACAGTTTGTGTCTGTAATACTGGTGGCCAGCACCTCAATTGTTCCTCGGTTCCGTTTTTGTTGGGGACGAACTGGAGATGCCGCTGATGGTCGTCGCGGGGGTTTGCAGGGCACGGTGCAAGGGGAGGAAGGTGGCAGGGGGTGGGCGTGGCAGTTGTTTCCGTTGTAGGATTTTTGTTAATTTTTTATTTTTCGATGGAGTTATCCACCAGTAGGAGGCAAGAACTCGGGGTACAAAGTTTATCAGCGGTTTGAGTGCGGGAGACCAGGTATCTCCTGCTCTCATCTGTTAAGGCATTTTGAGGTCGGCGGAACGGAGGACCACTCGAACTGGAGCTGAACCGAACTGATCACGCCAGGAGAAATCGTGGTTATGCGGATGGAGACGAACAAGTGAACACGGGCTTTGCTATCAAAGGCCCTCCAAATGTATCTCTACGCACAGAAATGGGTGATGAGGTATCTGGCTCCAAGGCTTGACATCCTCGGTCCATGCTGGTTTCGTGCTGCTTAGAGGTAAGGTGACCGCCGTTCAAGCCAATCTATGTTATCGGCGAGTGGCAGTAAGATCAATTTCACAAGCCAAATGCCGTATGAAGACGGGAGGAATAAGATCGGCCGAAGTATTTTTGGGACGAGGTTGGCGGTCTACCTACACAGTAGAGGCAGGCAGGGTAAAGCGTAAACGTACCTGCTTCTAGCGTCGCAAGGCGAGGCAGGAAGTCCCTGCCTTTTTCCTCTGTTCCATGCCGCTTCTTCTGTTCTCTGCATTGCTGCACAGACCGAGGCCAGAGCGACCTCGAACCTCCAGGTTCTTGCCGAGAATTTCATCGACGTTGAATTCTCGCTAGAGCTTTGGCTGTGGCCACCGCTAACACCAGCTGAGGAACTCGCATTACAACTCCAACCCCTTTCTGCCCTTGCGGGAGGCAAATCACCAAGTGTGAGGTGAGGTGGCCACTGGAACATGACACTCCTAGGTGGAATTGATCTGCTGCAGCAAGGCGAGACCGACAGCGGTAATGCGACTTGAGGCAGGCACAGAACACACCGCGCAGGGAAATCCCCAATGCCCGGATGATGAGGGGTCTTTCCGGCGGGAAGGAACCAGGGAGCCTCCTTTCCATTCAACCCCACCTTCCCACCTTCCATTCCCACCTCGCTTCGTCCAATTCCAGGTACCAAGGTACATCCTCGGCTGTGCCTACCTTTCTGCACCTCTCTGCAGCCCCAAAACTTACTCTCGATGCATCATCGCATCCTGGGCAAGATACCTCACCGCCTTTCGATCCGGCTGATTCTTCCGTCCTGAATCCGACAACATCAACGACCCTTGGGCGTCAGTCGTACGACCTGATTCGCCGATCTCTCAAGATACCTTTCCAACCACGGGCATATCCCTCGACTGCTTCGAGGCTGAATGTTGGGGCAAAGGCAAGCTTCCTGCTCCGGTTCCCAAGGTTCGCTGATCCCGAACTCGTGTCTCTGTGCTGAGTTGGTCATCCGCTGAGATCAGCCTGCTGCGCTGATTCTTTCGATATCCGCCTTGGCAGTGTGGTGTCGGTGTCGATGTTGGTGTCTCCAAGCAAGAAGAGATGTAGCCGCAATCGTGGTACTTGTCTGGCCGTGCCGTGTCCTCACTGCGCTTGCTGACGTCTGTCTTGACCAGGCATGTCAATCTTTACAAGCCAATTGGTCTTGTTTCTGCCGGTACAACAGCCACAACGGGTCATCCGTCGTTCAAGTGTCGAACCCCATCGCATCCAGCCCAAGCCAGCCGCCGTCTGTGCATGTGAAGATGGCACTTGCTTGCTCGAGGTCAGATCTGAATCGGAAAATCCTCCAGGCGTCGCCGCTGGTGCTCGACACAGCGGTAGTGTTGTCGAAGACGAGTCAGATCGGCGCAACACTTGTCAGTCAAGACACGAGCACAGGCTGTGCTTGCCTTCGTCCAACATGCCCGTCGTTGTTCTGCCGATTCTCTCCGACCAACTTGACGTCAGGAGATTTGGACTCATTATGGTCTGTCTCTGGGGTGAGGTCTGATATTTGAACATGGCGGAGATGACTCTCTGCGCCGCAATGACCAGGGACAAAATCCAAAAAAACGTTGGCTATCGTGTTGACAGGATTCAGGAATCATTGGGGAAACCATCGACACAGCTACGAACGATGACAAGTACTCTGTACTTCTACGTGCCCAGGTTCCCCACGCCCCCAGTTGACGGAAGGGGAACACCTCACGGAATACGTACCGCTCGTCTTTCTTGCTGTCTCCAACCCCACGAACCAAGCCGCCACGACAGACTGGAGCTCTTCGATTGGCCAACATCATCTTCTGGCAAAGCTGCAGCCAATCAAGGGCAGAGCATACCGCTGACACGATGGACCAATCATGGTTCCCCAGCTGGGGAAAGGCGAATCTTGAATTGACGCCCGTTTTCAACGACGGTCGTCGTCAAGTGTCAATTGTCAAGAAATGCATCTTATCGTGGCGTCTCCCGAGTCCTGAGCCCTGAGTCGCGATGGACTCAGCTCCATACTCGAAATGGTAAAGAACCACCGAGGGGGCAAAGTGTTCGACTCGGGCGAAACCGCGAGACACTGGGATGAAACGGCCTTTGGATCGAGTCGATTGATGGCAGATGGGGGGCCGCGGCAACATAGGTGGGCAACATCTACGTGGATTTGGACACTGAGACCCTGAAACAAGGTGCAGTGTGGGACGCCGTTTTCTGGAAGCTTGCGGCATTCCAGGGTCCAGTTTTGCCTTGCTTCGCTTCTTATCCAGAGTCAGATTGGTCGTGGTGGTTGTTGCTCCTTCTCCTATTTTTCTCGATTCTTTCTCTCGAAATTTTCTGTTGGGGTTCGAAAATTGTTGAGATGGTAGCTGGCCAGGGCCGGCCTTGTCACGACGCACACCTCCCGGGTACGTACCGCGTCCTCCCCCACTGGGATGGACCAATGGAAAGCCTGTGCTCTTCCACTTTCGCTGCTCATCGCGAATACGTACCTCGAAAGGACCTTTCGATCACTCTTCACGATGCACTAACAACCAGCTCTCAGTCATCAGCTTTTCCACATTACCCATCAACGAGCCCTGGAGATACCGACATGACAGCGCTTCAGACCATCGTGGGGTCCTTCGGTATTCGCACGACAGACCCAGAAGCTGAGGCCATGAAATCGCGGGCCAATCCCGAATCACCCAATTCCCACGACAGGGAACGGGGAATCTTGAGGAAGACAGAGCTTCGATGGCCCAGTCCTGTGCTCACACCCCAATTTGCAATTTTCACATGGAAATCGTTTACCCTTGGTTTCTGCGTCCAAGCCTGGGCAAACATCCGTAATAGGAGCGGCCCCAGAGGCGCCTAGGGCGACTATGCATCTCTGGGAGTTCCAATGCCATGATCAACCACGAACAAGTGTATCCGCACACGAGGTTTTCATTGACAAGTGTCCAACGCAGCGACATCGTCTCGTGCTTCACTCCTCCTTCCTACTGTTTCCGATGCTGACCTCCTTCTCGTGGACAACGAACTCGCTTACATGTGATTTATTCGGGCGACTGGAGGAGGATTGCTATGCACCAGACACACGGAACAGGCTGCCTCAGCGTTACGACGCTGCTATTTCTCCTGGTAGCATTCGCATTCACGTTGTCGAGCAAATCAGGGAACCACGGCGTTGGCCTACTGCTGATACCTCCCCGTCTCGGCAAAGTGCCCTGCGGGTTGACGCACCAAGGCGACCATCGCGGGACGAAATCACCTGGTTCTGCAAAATATTACCCAATCCTTCGCCCCCGCGTTGTGCTCGGCGGCTTATGATGACAACTACACCCCGCGAGTGATGGCTGGGATGAGATCAACGACTGTCAGCCAGCCACGGGTTTGGCATTCTACGGCTAGAGCCTCATACGGCTTTCAGCTGATGGCAGCTGTCCTCCCGCTGCCAGTGAGGCTGGGAAGTGTTAGTGCTTCCCCCGATGACAGACAGCTATTATTCTGTCTGCTTGACACGTTTGGGAACGCTAGTTCCTGGAATGTAGCTCCTAGTTCCTCCTCCGTTGAAAAGCGGCGGCATGCGCCTCGAACTTGCCACAGTCAAAGCCCAAAACTGGACAGGTGGAATGAGTGCCGACGGCATCCCGTCGTCTAGTTGTTGCGTCGTCTCATGCGCATGTCTCCCACGCGCCGCTCCCTTTTTCACCGCCTAGCCCGCAGCAGCCATGAGATGACGGGCAACGTTGACCGCCAATCCGCGCGTGAAACGCCTCGTTTGGGGTTTCTGGACGAAGCCCATCGCTCTTGTCCGAATTGACTCTGTCCAGATCACGGTCCAAACCCGCATCTTTCCATCGGGCTTTTCTGCAGTGAGAAGGGAGGCGGCCGAGTCGGCGACTGCCTCGGCGTATGCCTTGGGGTATCCGCGCCCACCTACTCCTTCTCAACGTTGTGAATCAAAAGAGCCCTATATCGTTGAGACTCTGCATTCGCCGATACTTGCCAACAAGTCACAGAAAGTTCTGTCTTGATTTGCAATGATGTCCCGAGCTTGAGTTGTATGATGCAAAACCACTCAAAATCTTGGGTTTTCAACGTTTCCTAGAGGCCATATCCTTAATGGCTTTGATGCCGAGGCAACTGGTTTACCCCCTCGTCCTCAGTTGTTGCTGATGAGCACGAAACTAGGTGGGTAGCAGTTCTCACTTGTTTCCAGATGTAACGGCGAAAAGACAACCTAGTTCCGAAGGCTCGTAGCTAGCAGACTGTACACAGTTCGACGTTCACTTGATACCAGAAGAAAAGTGAGTCTCTTTCAGCTTGGCCAACAACCAACATCGCCACCTCAACGCATTGCATCTTGTCAGGATGCTGGGTTTCAATCGGTCACTGGCATGCCAGCTTTGCGAGGCCCAGATCTGGATAGGCATGCCAGCCATTGGTGGTTGAACCAGTTCTAAAGACGCCGCTCGTTGTGTTGAGCACGTAGAAGCCATCAACTTCTAACGTCTCCTCGTCGATGGTGGTAAAAACACATTATTGCCGGTTCATTTTCTCCCGCACAATCAAGTAAGGCCACAGAAATTTGATCACTGACGACGAGGTGCCCCTCGTCCACATTGAAACCCGTCACAGACGAAACCACATATGACGTATTTCCGATGGATGTCACGTTTGTTTGTGATCCAACAACGACGCCAGGTATCTACGAGGCCATTCAACTGTCGCCCAGGTAATAGTCGGACTACCATACTTCCGATGTTGGTCTCTCCATGGAAAGTGGGATGTACCGGGAACTGCGCTATCTGAACAACCCCTCACTCGTTGGAATGTTGGTTCCCAATCCAGCTGCGCGGGGCCATGGAGAGGATGATGGGCTGGATCAGAAAGGAATGTTGCCTCTCTCCAACTAGGCACCTCTGGATGAAGAACTGGGCGGAATTCCCATGTTGATTGATTGTCGCCAGCACCCTTCCTGCCCGTAAGCATGATGGTGAGTCGAGATCCAACTCGTCACTGTACGATGACGCCGGCTCAGTCGTAGCAGCGTCCGGGCTTCCTTCAATCTATCAATGAACACATCTGATGGCCGGCTAAGGAGCCTTCTAGCTAGACATGCTGCTCGCATCTCTCACATCAAACAACAGATGGTTTGAGATATTATATCATTCAATCTCTAAGTATGCATATGCCGTCTGTTCATAAATACCCAACCCAAAAGCATCAACGCCATATGCAATGCTGCCAAAACCGTACATATCGGCCATCATACCAGACGCAAAGGTAAGAAGAGGGGGTATCACGCATCACGCCTTAAATCCAAGCTCCTCCCTGCTGTCATCCACCAACCGCCCCCATTCCAACAACAAGCGAAACATGTAAATCCTCATATCCTCCCTCCGGAGCGCCTTACCCGCCCACTCCCTCCCCTCCCCCGCGATCTCCCCCGCCCGGATCCTCCCCTCGTAATCCGCCCCAAAGAACCAAAACAACCCCCTCAGCTCCCCGAGCCTGACGTCGACGGGCACGTAGTGCCGCCACGCGTGCACCCTCTCCGCTAGCCACGTCCTGAAGACGCCGCTCCTGTACACCAGGCTCCTGCTGCGCAGAAAAGGGATGAAGCGCCCGCTGAAGCCCGCGCCGTCGAGGTCCATGAGGTGCGCGTACTGCCAGTGCTCCTGGAACCCGATCTTGTTCTTGTCCGGCTCGTCGCGGCCGGCCCAGAACGTGTCCTTCTCGGCTTCGCAGTCGGCTTGGTGGCACTTTTGCCAGTTCCCCACGAACCCGACGTCGAAGGACGGTCCGTCGTCGGAGCGGGCGACCTCCCGTTGCGGCGCGGACGTCTCCCAGACCGAGTTCGCCGCTTGGACGAACCTCGCGCGGAGGAAGCTCTGCCATGAACCCCTTGCCGCGTATCCATCCGTTGCAGATCCTCGCCAGAACATGACATTCTTCTTGTTTTCGTACTCCATGTCCTTTTCTTCGTCGTATTGAGCCTTGTCATCGAAGTTCCATGGAGAGGGTATCAGGATGTCCGCAAACCCGGACGTCTTGCTCTGGCTGAACACGGGAAACGGCATCTTGGTGAAGATGGCTACGGCTGGCGAGAGCAGGAAGCCGTGCAGGTACGCCAGATCTGGCTGATGACAAAGATCCGTGGCCGCGGTCCAGTTCGAGACGACGGGTTGGTTCTCCAAGGGGGTTTCGTAGACGCGGACGGCGTGGAGGAGGAGGCAGTCACGGCAGGACTCTCGTCTACTCCACCACCGCGTGTTCCTGGCTGCTGAGTCTGGAGGGCACGTGGGAGCGATGAAGTCGTAGTATATCTCGTCGCGGATGTGGTTGGAGAAGTACGGTGATGTGTCCTCGGGTCCGTGGATTGTGTCGTTGTTGCTCCAAAACTGCTTTGAGTTGTCGAATGCCTTCGTATCTTCGTTGGACAGGAGTCTTGCTCGCGAGTCTAACGCGTTTCTCTCAAGTTCCTGCATATCCTCGAAAGGCACGGCCGTCCGAGGCTCGTCGTTCAGATTCATGGCGAAGTCCATATCAGGCAGAAACTCCGCGAACGGCTTCACCATTTCCTGCATCGACTCCATCATCCACCTATGCGAACCGGGTGTACCAGGTGTAACGTCGACCTTTCCGCCGCGGATCCGCAAGCCTCCCATACCGAGCTGGGGAAATTCCAGGACGTGGGTCGTCCTCTGCCTCAGCACTTCCGGCGGTACGCCCCAGAACGGGAGCAAGTCGTCGTTGATCTGAGTGAAGTCGTCGATAATGGGGGACCCGTTGGCGACCGCGTACTCGTACCACTTGTCGAAGTTCGGCGGCGGGGGTATGCCGTAACGGTTTCGATAGTTCTCGACTGCCTGGTTTAACGACCTACTTTCGTTCGCCTGCGCCATCCAGGCGTCCGACTTGGCGTTTTCGACGGACAACAAATCCGGAAACGAGAGCGTATCGGTGGAAGCAAAGTCGGGATAGAAGACGAGGTACGTGCCACACAGAAAGCCGACTAACACGACGTACCACCCGGCTAGAAACCTCATCAGTCGATGGTCGGTCGAAGATCCCGAAGAGCCCGATATATCCTTGTCGTAACGCAAAAGCAGCCCAACGCCGGCAATGGTAACCCCGCCAGAAATCATGTACACCAGAGAGTCGTCCGCCAGTGCAGCGGTCTGCAGCATGCGGACGAGTTGATGCGCGTATACCCCTGAGGCCGTGGTAATCATGGCCAAAGTGCTAGGGTGAAGATCAGCCATCACGTAAAACCCCGACGAGATCGCGATGGCGGCGACGGTGCTATCCGCCAAGAGGTCTCGAACAGCAACGCCATGCAGTAAAAACGCCCATCGTATATTCCGCATGTTATGGAAGGAGAAGCAGGCGAAAATAGCCAGTACGCCAGCCGAGCCCAGGAATAGACGCGACGCAAAAGCCCACGCTTGCGGCGCATCTTCAGCCGTATCCTGTCGCCATCTCGAGAGGTGGACTATCAGCAGCGCATCGAGAGCGACGGTTACGATCTGCGCCAGAGGAATCTGTCTTTCCCAGCCGAGAAAGCCTACAGGACAGATTGCGCCGGCTGATTGGGTCGACAGGGCAAGCGTGGTTCTCGCAGCGGAGGCCCAGACAACAGCGAGGAAAAGATAGCATATGTAAGTCACGCTGAAGCAGCAGCGTCGAGAACGGCCATAATCGCCGATTGTCTGTTGAAGTTTAATCGCAGCCGGAGATGCGGCAGTGTACAGAGCGATGAAGGCCGGGAGGAACGTCTGCGTCGCAACATGTAAGCATCGAATCATGCGAGCATTGATTGAAGTAGATCATTTGTATCATACCTCGAAACTCTCCCACGAACAATGGACCGTTCGGATTGTCCGCCAAAACAAAAGGGTTCGCAGGACGATTGCGCATCCGAGTAGGAGAGAGGGCGAAAGCAAGAAATTGCAGACTCGTTCGAACTTGGCACCACTTTGGAGATATCTTTGCCAGCCTGGTCTTGAGTTGTCGAATGTTGCGAGTTGGTAGTCGTCGATGTGTGCGCCTCTTCTTTGTCCTTGCCATCTACAGCATGCTGCGATGATGAGGCCGGCTTCGAGGAGAGTGAGGATGGAGAAATGTATTGGCCTTTCTGTTTAGGTTCAATCGCCGTTAGTATTAAGCATACGTGTAGCGAAGCTGTTGAGATGAAATTGACTTACCAAAAGCAGCACTGCTGTTGTATCTTGAAGATATCCAGGCGGTGCAGGCGAGTAACACGACGCTGATGGGTGTTAGTCGCGAACTGGACGCCTATCAAAATGCCATAACCAATAAACCATAACGCTAAGCTCCGGTAGAATCAACCAAAGACATATGGAATGAAGTTTATTGGAAATATGGTGACATGAACTGAGACCTAGAGATTGAGGGTGTCACTTACCATGCCGCCAAGCCGCCGTGTCTCTTCAGCGGGGCCGCCATCGGGCTTCACAGTTGCCCTATTCAGAGCCGGCCTTGGCACGCGGAGGTACGGAGGAGAGCGCGGGACGAAACAGAGCGAGTCTGATATGAAGGGTAGAGAGTAAACGTCGTGAAATTATCGCATGCTTGAGTATGTAAACAAGACCTTCGCAGGGTTTTCTTGAAGCAACACGAAAGGGGGGAACGGAAGATGGAAGCAGGTCAAAGCAGAATCAACGGTCCATGAGAGAAGAAAGAAGAGAAAGGAACGTCGCCGGCGTCGAGTAGCGTTCACTACTAGCGCAGGCCTGACAGCCATCGTGTTGGCTGCCTAGGATGTCCGTCATCCATGGCTCAAGACTGCACATACTACGCAGTACATACGACACAAGGACATACCAACGACTCCGTTGGACCTTCTTTCTACCTCTGACCGTGGTGAGAGCCAATCGCAGGTTGCATGCGGCGCGGATACCTACGTAGGTGTGCCGCAATACCGATCCACCGGGTACGGGATGGAGCTGTTTATCCCCTGCTCGGTTTCTATATCCCGTATTGACGTTAACCAAGTAACGTAGCTGGTGCATGTGTTCAATATTGCCGTTGTTAGCGAGCCCTGAGAGAGTTCTCGACCGAGGCCAGTTTCTATTCCAGGAGGGGGCTGGCGTCATGGCCATGCTCCAGCGAAAGAAAACAAGCATATGGGACGGGGATATCTCCCGTTGGCTTCCCCAGTGCCGTCGTGTAAAAGCGTGGATGGTCTTCCAAGGCACAACGGCCACAAGTGCCAGGGGTCGCTCCAAGCGCAAGGAATAGTGCAACGCTGGCAGCGGCTTGCGCGTGTCCTCGGTCCCGGTAGTGAAGAGGCAGTGTTTTGTGTGGAGAAATAAATGCGATTCAGTGCCGTGGACAATGCTCCTTCGCTTCGGCTCCAGACCTCGACATACCGATCTGCGGGTCTGTGGACCTAACTTCATTCGGATGCCATGTACATGGGTCTTAAAAGGAGAGCGAGAGACATCATGAGATGAAGAACTGCAGTTGGACATGTTGAGACGAACATCGCAGTTTGTCCAGCTTGGAAGGCTCAGCTCAGGGGTTGCGTCTCAAAGAAAAGTCCAGTTTCAGCGTGGTGTGCGGAGAACCCAGTTGGCTGAATTCAAGCGTCGATCTGGCCTTGCCGGCTAAGCGCATACTCCATAGCGTGCCGTCTAAGACTACACTATGCCACGTTTCTTGTGCCTGGACGCTTTCGATGTGACTGCTCCCGAGAAGGCATGTCATGCTGAGTGTTCGTAGGGTGGCTGACAGCTTCATCCAGCCAAGCGCTGCAGTCGAGCAGAAATGCGTATCAAAACCCGATGACCCGCCCATCCTATCCGACTAGTTCTCACAGAGCGATGAAGTCGAAGCTTATTGATGACACTGCCATTGATTCATCAGCCCTGAGGTCGATCCCTACGTCTATGGTATTGACTTTTTTCTTCTCTCATTCGTCAACATGCAAACGTGACTCTTTTATTCATTTTGGCCTTCTGCCTCCCAATCCTGCCGGGAACTGCTCCGTACTGGTCATTGCTGTGTCTCAACTAAGCCCTCTCCCGTCTTCTGGGGGCTGCCCGAATAATGTCGTCTACGCGCAAAAGAAGCTATGCGGTGTTAGTCGCCTGGATAACCGGAATTAGAAACCATGATGAACATACCTCTGCAGCCTCGCTGGCAGATGACACAACCGCTCTCTTCAACTTGTAGCTCTCAACGACACCCAGGTCGCGCATATCGGCAATACCGCCACCAGGCGTCAGCAGGTCCAATCCGTAATTCGTCATGCCGTCGTAGATGGCCTTCCTGAGGCGGGCAACAAGCTCGCCAGAGTCGAGACCGGCGTTGTCAGCCAGGATGGTAGGCAGTTGGCGCAGGGCAATGGCGAAGCTGCTGACAGCCATCTGCTTCTTGCCCTCCACGCGAGTAGCAGCACCCTCGACGGCCTTGGCCATGACCATCTCGGCACATCCACCGCCCAGGGTCGTCCACGGCTCCTTGACCGTCTGCGACAGGACGGCAAGAGCATCGTGCAGACTGCGCTCCGCCTCGTCCAGGAGCTGGTCGGTAGCGCCACGCAGCACAATCGTGCAAGCCTCGCCAGCGGCGACGCCAGAGAACTTGATGAGGGTATCTTCACCAATAATAACCTCCTCAATCACGTCGCAAGAACCCAGCTTGACCTGGTCGGGGTGGTCGAATGTTGAGGCAATCTCACCGCCCGTAACCAGCGCCAGTCTCTCGATACCGTCAAAGTCGGCGTGCTCAATAGACATGATACCCGCGTCAGTGAAGAGCTGCTCGGGCCAGTTGTAGATGAGTTGTCTGTTGATGAAGCAGTTGATGCCGTGCGCCTTGATCTTGTCCACCTTGGCCTTCATCTTCTCCTTCTCCGCCTTCTCGAGGTCGGCCAGCTTGCTGGTCGATCCCACCTTGACACGAGCACCGAAGATCTTGATCTTGTCCGTGTCCATGGATGTGTTCGCCACCAGGATCTTGGCCTTCTCGAGGCGCTTGGGCTGGTTGACACCGATCTTCTTGTCGAGGATGAAACCCTCGTCGAGGTAGGAATCGCTCAGCTTGCCACCCGCCTTCTTGATGATCTGGATATGGCTCAGGTCGGAAGAGTTCTTGAGTCGCAGGACGGCATCGGTGGCGAGCTTGGAGAAGTGGTCGCGGTCCTGGGCCAGGACCTTGGAGCTGAGGGTGGTGCGAGCAATGGCGCGCAGGTCTTTTCTGAAGGCCTCGGGGTTGTTGCTGCGGTCGACAGCGGACTCGTTCAGGGCCTTCAGGGCAGCCTGGCTTGCTATTCTGTAGCCCTCGATGATGGTCTGGGGGTGGATCTTCTTGTCGACAAGCTTCTCAGCTTCGCGGAGAAGCTCCGCGGCGAGCACCGCAACGGAGGTGGTGCCGTCACCGACTTCGTCATCCTGAACCTTGGAGATGTTCACCAGCACCTTCGCCGCCGCGTTGTCGAGGGCAATAGACTTGAGAATGGTGGCACCGTCGTTTGTGACCATGATCTCGCCGGTCGAGCTGGAAGTTCGTTTGTCAGCCAAGGCGGTGGACCCCTAGATGATGCTGGTAGCGGGGTACGGGGTTGAACATACGCAGACTGCAGGATCTTGTCCATACCCTTGGGGCCGAGGGTGCTCTTGACAAGATCACCAACGGCGATGGCGCCTACGAAGGCGGAGAGACGGGCGTTCTCTCCCTTCTCCTCGGTGGTTCCATCCTCAAAGATTTGTGTCGGGCTGAAGGACGACTGAAGATGCCAAAGTCAGTTGGGAGGTGTCAAAATCCCACGAGAAGGGGCCTCAAACGAACCATGGTGAATGTGATTATTCAGACACTCTGTGACGAATCTAGACGGTGACTGAGTGGGTGGGGGAAGTAAAGTGTCGTGGATTGTACGGATTCCTCAGCCTCGGGAGCTCTTCTGAGAAAATCGAACCTCGAAAATTTGGGGGGGTTCAGCCTGGTGAAGTGGGGTGGTCCTGGGCAACAGCTTCCAGGCGTCGTGATTAGCGAAACAGAGCTGCTAGCTTATGCCGTTGGGTTTCTACAGACGTCCATCCTCCACTGACTGCGCTGTGCACAGGGCAGCAACGCGCTGGTGGGGGAAGAAGCTCAGGTGGCGGGCGGTGAATGTCACTTTTTTGACGGCAGAATTTCCACGTGACTCAGCCAGGTAGGCGAGGGGCTTCTTTCGGAGACGGAACATTGAGTTATTCCAGCCCACACGTTCGCAGTTCAGCTATCGAAAACTTTCCAGACGGCGCCCAAATTGTATCGGTCCCCTGGTATTTCGACCCCTTGAAGCGCAAATAAGAAGTAAAGCTCATCGGCACCAGATTCACCGACCTGCTCTTGTATTTTCAAACGATCGCCTTCCCTCTCGAGACCTGTTCAGAGCCAGGCGAAGCGCTCCGCAGCCCGGAAAAAACCCTCCCTCGAAAAAATCGCGGGGCACTTTTTTTTCTCCCAAAGAAAGGCGACCGAACCCCACATCTCACAACTGGGCACGGCACCTCTTTTTTTTCCCACCACAGATCAAACCGCCATCGCACCGCAAATCGCACCCTTCACCGAGACACCACGCCCCCTCCCCCTACCACCACAGACCGCTGCCAATTTCGACTGTACTGTGCCCATAGGCCGCCGCAATCATGGCGCCCTCTTTCGACCATCTGCGTGAGGCAGATCTCGACGACGACGAGTACGATGAGGAGGAGATTGACATTTCCGACCTGCGCGAAAAGTACGAGGTCCAGTTGGAGCAGGGATACGACACCTTCGTCGTCGTCGACGGCCTCCCCGAGGTCACCGAGGAACAGAAGCCCAAGCTTATCAAGTTCTTGTTGAAGAAGTTGAACTCTGTTGGAAAGACGAGGGAAGACCTGATTTACATGCCCATCGGCGACAACGGCAAGTCGCTGAGGTACGTTCGGCCTGGTGGATCCGCGCCTCTTGGCCCCCCCTCCCAGGGTTCAGAGATGGCGCATAAGACGCAACACCATGATGCTGACGAACCCTTTCCCCCGATAGATTCGCTTTCGTCGAGTTCTCCTCCCCTGGTGAGGCCGCCGCCGCCGTCCGCGGACTGGACCAGGTCCCCCTCGACAAGAAGCACACCCTCCGAGTTAACAAGCTCACCGATATCGACCGCTATGGCCGCGAAGGCAAGATCCAAGAGGAGTACACGCCGCCTCAAATCGAGGAGTTCACCGAGAAGGAGCACCTGAGATCATTCATGAAGGACCCCAGCGGTCGCGGCAGAGACCAGTTCGCCATGTACCGTGGCGAGACCGTCGGTGTCTTCTGGAACAACGAGAAGGACCAGCCCGAGAACGTCGTCGACAGGCAAAACTGGACCGACAGCTTCATCCGCTGGTCGCCCCAGGGAACCTACCTCACCTCGGTCCACGGCCAGGGTGTTCAGATCTGGGGCGGTGCCTCGTGGACACGGCAGCAGCGTTTCGCCCACCCCGGCGTCATGTTCTGCGACTGGTCCCCCGGTGAGAAGTACCTCGTCACCTGGTCCCCGCGCCCCATCTCCATCCCCGAGGAGGGCCACCCCGCGCTCTCCATCGACGAGGACGGCAAGAACTACATCATCTGGAGCGTCGAGAGCGGCAAGCCTCTGCGTTCTTTCGCGAACCTCGACATGCAGGGTCTCGACGAGGCCAAGCAGCGCAAGCTCCTCTGGCCCGCCTTCAAGTGGTCGGCCGACGAGAAGTACGTCGCCCGTCTCAACTACCAGACCGGCATCTCCATCTACGAGCTCCCCCGCATGAACCTCCTCGACAAGACCTCCATCAAGATCGAGGGCATCATGGAGTTCGACTGGGCCCCCGCTTCCCCGCAAAGAGAGGGCGTCAAGCAGCACGAGCAGCTCCTTACCTACTGGACCCCTGAGATCGGCAGCAACCCCGCCAAGGTCGGTCTCATGAGCATCCCCAGCAAGGAGGTCGTCAGACAACTGCCCCTCTTCTCCGTCTCCGACGCCAAGCTGCACTGGCAGTCCGAGGGCGCCTACCTCTGCGTCAAGGTCGACCGTCACTCCAAGTCCAAGAAGTCCCAGGCCACAACGCTCGAGATCTTCCGCATCAAGGAGAAGGGAGTCCCCGTCGAGGTCGTCGACACCATCAAGGACACCGTCATCAACTTCGCCTGGGAGCCCAAGGGCGACAGGTTCGCCATCATCACGACGACGGAACCCGCCGGCCCCACCGCCGTTCAGCCCAAGACCTCCGTCGCCTTCTTCTGCCCCGAGAAGGCCAAGGGCAACGCCGTCGGCAACTTCAAGCACCTCCGCACCCTGGACAAGAAGAACAGTAACGCCATCTACTGGTCCCCCCGCGGCCGCTTCGTCGTCATCGCCACCCTCCTCAACCAGCAGAGCTCCGACCTGGACTTCTTCGACCTCGACTTCGAGGGCGAGAAGCCCGAGTCCGACAAGGACCTGACCGCAAACCTCCAGCTCATGAACACGGGCGACCACTACGGTGTCACCGACATCGAGTGGGACCCCTCAGGTCGCTTCGTCGCCACATGGGCCTCCTTCTGGAAGCACACCGTACGTCTCCCCCCTTCTGACTCACCACTGACTCGTCTGACTCATCGCTAACCTCGTCACACAGATGGAAAACGGCTACCACATCTACGACTTCAAGGGCGAGGCGCTTAGAGAGGAGCCCGTCGAGAAGTTCAAGCAGTGGGCGTGGCGCCCGCGCCCCGCCACCCTGCTCACCAAGGAGGAGCAGAAGCAGATCCGCAAGAACCTGCGCGAGTACAGCCGGGTCTTCGAGCAGGAGGACCAGGACCGCGGCGCGTCCGCCGACCGCGAGGTCGTCGAGAACCGCCGCCGCCAGCTCGCCGAGTGGGTCGCGTGGCGCGAGTCCATCGAGCACGAGATCGCCGAGGAGCGCGAGGACCTCGGCCTGCCCAGCGACATCGTCGCCCACCTGCTCTCCAAGAAGGCCGCCGTCCCGGAGGGCGAGGAGCAGACCATCGAGGAGATCGTGGAGGAGGTGCTCGAGGAGTCGGAGGAGATCATCAGCTAGAGAAGGGAGAACACGCAAAAAGAGATTTCTTGTTAGTTTTTTTCTGGTTTAGATCATCACCCCGGCCGCCGCCGCCGCCGCCGCTACGGGAAGTATCGGGGACACGCAGCGGGAGAGGATGAGACTTGAACGAAGAGAAGAAAAAGTACCGGGGGCCAGCCCCTCCCCAGTTGTTTGTTCATTCGGGCGGTTAGGGCGGAGGATGGAGGGCGGCAAAGGACGGCTAATTCATTACGGATTTGAAAGAAGTCAAACTCTCCTAAGTCTCGCAAAATGGGTGTTGTATGAGCATGAAAAGGTTCACCATGTCTGACGCGCATACGAGGCGAGGAATCGCGAGGATGATTTGGGACGACGAGGAGGGTGTTGGCTGTTAATCAGTATCTCCTCATGTTTTGATTCCTAAGTTGATGATAGCGGTCAAAAGAAGTTCATTTCCCACTATATGAGCGGCTCGTCAGCTTTGCACACTCTTTCGAAAGAGACTGGTTCGGGGCAGTATGAGAGGCCTCGACCCAAGCAGTGGCTGCATTCGAGACTGAGCAAGAGGCGACTCGTCACTGCATCTTGTGCCTGGCCTATGGGAAGACCCTCCTCTCAAGCAGCATTTCACGAAGCAGATAAACGCCTGCATGGCGCTATATGCTGTGTGGATTTGGGCGAAGAAACATACCTACGACCAAGTCGAAAGCAGTAAGATATCACGAACGAGTTGATGAGACGGAGTTCTTAGTTGAGTATATGGATTTTTCTTCTACAATACGACTACCTTACGAATGGGATATCAAGAAGCCAAAAGGTAAGAAAAAGTGATCAACACCTTTCAAGATGCACAAGATGTCCATAAAAACCCCGCCCGGTTTCCAAAAAAGAGAGAGCACACAGAAAAGGTACCCCAAAAAATGCGGATCGCAAGCGACGCTGAGAAGGTAAGCAGATGGATGGATGGATGATGATGACAAAACAAAGACCAACTCCGTTTCGTCGTCCCCGCGTGCCTGCGGAGACGAAACGATGCAGAATCTATACAGGTATATCGAATCCCGTTTTATCCGGGACCAAAGACATTTGTGTGTGTGTTTATCCACAGGGGGCTAGATCAAGCCGCGCGTGATGTGTATCTACAACCCGTCCCAAAAATCTTGCGTTGCTGGATGCCCGCGCACTGCGAAACATCCAGTCAACTGACAAGTGGAAAAAAAGTGACTCCTCCCAGAAGTGAAGAAAAGACAAGAAAATGCTACAAAACCAGCTCCAACAAAATGATGTGTCCCATCGCGCCACAGACGCCGGTGCTCTCTTTATACACGCCCTTCAAACCTGTATCTTACGGGCTTGGTGTTTTTTATGTGTATGTTGTGATTCCCTCCGATGGGGGGTTCGGCCTGATTTGACCGTGCCCAGGAGATTAGATATAAACAGTTAGGATCATGTCGTATGTTCCGAAAGTCCAGATATTCATCAAGCGTTAAAAACGGGTGACATCGCGGTGCCAAACTAGGCCTTCCCCGCTTCCCGGACAAGTTTCATCCAGCGGTCTTCGGCGCCGTCGTCACCAACGACAGCCTTGCTGGCAGCACCCCCTTCGATGTACTTCTTGGCTTCTCCGGGGGACTTGATGCCGAGCAGCGCCATCTCGTGGCGCATGAGCATTGCGACCGCTGCCCGAACGAGGACCGCGTCGCCTTCGAAAATGTACACATCCCAAAGACGGGCCGCCTCGTCCATGGCCAGGTGGTTCGTTCCGAGACCCATGAAGAAGTTACCGAGGTAAAAATCCGCGTCGCCCTGGGAGATGTCCTTGGTCAAATGCTCGTGCAGCTGAGCGGACTTGGCGCTGAGAGTCTGCATGACAAGGTTGTAGGCAGATGCCTTCGCGCCCGGGTCGTCGGCGTAGAAGCTGAGGGGTACCGGACGGTTGAGGACGTTGGCGAGGGCGATGAAGGCCACAGCCGGCGACGGCAGGTTAAGCAGAAGCAGCGCAGCAATGGTCTATGAGAAGTCAGTATAAGATCCGATGTGTGCGACTCGGAAGTACTCACGTTACACCCTCTGACGTAGCCGATGTCGCTCCGGTACAAAGCATACGCAGACAGCACGTCTACGAGGCTCTGGTGGAGCGGGCCGCCAACCTGGAAGATTCGGAGATCCTGCCAGGTGTGCTCGGCCACGTCCTTGCGGATGCTGGCGATCCACGCCGCCTTTCTGATGTCCTCAGAATCACCCCTACCACCATTGACGCGCTCCTCGAGCTCCTGTGCCCGTCCAAGAGCAGCCTTGTACGACGTCTCAGACAGGCCGAGTTCGTTACCAATGGCTCTTGCCCACACGGTACCTCTGCTGCGCGGCGCAATTCCTCGCCACCAGAGCTCGCGGGTGCGACGCTCACGAATAGAGTCGGTCCACCGGGGAATGATGTCGTCCTCCCAAATGCGCATCAGACTATCCGCAGTGGTGTCACGTGTGGTGGTCTTCTGCTGACGCGATACCTCGCGACGGCGATCTGCCTCGGCACTGCGGGCCATCATCCTCTTGTATTCGCGCAAGTGGCGCTTCTCCTCCGCTGGGTCCTTGGGTGGAAGCCATGAGGGGCGCGTACGACTCAGGACGGCCTCCTTCTCCTTGGAAATTGGGAGTGGGTCGATCATGATGTTCGTCTGGTGCCGGATCGGCGGGAGCTCGGGCAGCGCAGATTTGACCCTGGGCTTTTGCGTGTGCTGCTCCAATGGCTTGCCGCCCCAGGTGTTTGGACGTCCAGTCGTCGGGTTGGCGTTTTCGGCGGCGCGTTCGCGTACGTAGTCGGAGTGCTCTTCGAGCTTCTCCGTCAGGGCCTTGGCCTCGGCGCTGAGGTCGGCCAACGCGAGGTTCCAGCTTCTCGCCCGGGTCTTGAGCGGCTCCGGCGCGTGACCGTCCTCTCCAATTGAAGAGAGGGCTGTGTCTGACTTCCATGAGGGGGATCGCAGACATCCTGAGTCAACAGGGACAGGGGGTGTTCCGTTTCCAACACTTCGAACGCGCTCTTTTTGCTGTGGTCGATTCGGCGATCTCGACGCCCCTGACGAACTCGGGCGGCTGGGTGTGCGTTCCGTTCGCGGACGGGGAGAGATGGGAACGTTGTCGAGGATGAGGCCATCGGGGATGTCGTCCGTATCGTCCTCGTCGCACTCCTTTTCCAGATCGAATACCGATTTGCGGTTGTCTTGTTGCGACTGCCAGCTGCCCCGGCGGGGCTTGATCGGCATGTTAGGGTCTCTCGGGAGTGACGAGAAGTTAGGGCTCGGACTGCGTCGGCGAGGGAAGGAAAGGGAAGTCGTCGACTGGCTGGCGAAGCTTCGGGGGTTCACCGGGTTCACCGGGCTTCGACGACGGTCGGGAAGGCGGCCAGCGCTGGGGCTACGGCCGTTGAGAGCGTGGCCATCGGTCTTCAAGGAGAGAAAAGGAGGCCGTGAATGAGATCGAGAATTGGGTGCGAGGTCTGCGTTAACATTCGTACTCCTGGGCTTGGCCAGGTCCCGCGTCACCGGGGGGGAGCGAGAAGGAGGGCGCTTCCATGGCGTGGAGCGGAACTCGTTGGAGTAGGACCTCGAGTAGGGCTGGCCGTGAGGGTTCTTTACGGCGTGAGGATCGCGAACGCGGGCGGCTTCGTAGTTGTTTGCATCGTCGTCGAGACCGATATCTTCAAAGTGACTAACGTCATCCAGGACGCTGTTGTCGTCGGAATGGAAGGACTTGAAGGAAGAGGACTTTGATGATTTTGAGGACGTCATGCCTGGCGGCGAACCTGGACTGGGACCGCTGAGATCAACGTCTTGATGCCCGTATATCATCATTGCATCGTCGGGCTTGGAGTTGAGAAGGGGGAAAACAAGAAAAAAAAAAAAGCTTGTTTGGTGGTGACAATGGTCGAGCAGGATAGTATGGCTCCTATGCCGAGACCTCCTGTTTGGTCGCGCCTGGGGGAGGACGGGGCAACAGGAAGCAGAGCAGGGTGTGGATGTCAGTTCCCAGGGTTGTTGTATTGCGGATTGCGTGGAGCTGAAGAGAAGGCTATGCAACGCTGGATGCTGGGTAACAATAGAGTGAAATTGTATGGTGTAATGTTGATGTGCCTCTGCGGAAAGGGTAGAACCTGGGTTCGGGGTGGATGGTCGCGGGCAGATCCCTGGCGCAGGCTTGGCTGGTGCTTGGTCGTCTTGTCTTTTTGACGAGGGATGATGAGACGAGACGAAGGCAGCGTCTGTGGGTACGGACCCCTTGATGCTCAGTGTGCGAGAAGCCCAGGTAAAGTGTCTCGAGAAAGGCTGGGATGCGGGTAGCGGGGTGGCCGGTGTCAAAGGTCACAAGGTTTGGAGTTGTTGTCTGTGTCGAACAGGAGACTGACGGAAATAGGACCTCGGGATTGGCTGTTGCTTGCTTGATCTTCCAAAGCGGTCTGTCTTGTCGTTCAAGAGGAGCTCGTCTCAAGAGGACGGAAAGCAGAAACGAACGGCGGGGTGAGGGTGAGGGTGAGGGTGAGGGCGAGAGAGGCCTGGGCCTTGTTGACGATCCCGAAGTCGGTGGACGGGCACGGATTTCAAGTCGAATTAGGGGTAGCGAGCGGCAGTTTGAGGGATAAGAATGCGAAGAATGTTGATGACCTTTTTGGGTGTTGAGAATGTACGGGATACAAAAACGGCCAAAATGGTGTGTCCGTGAGCGGCGAAGGGAAGAAGCGAGCGACAGTGCCGTCAATGGCCGGAGAGGTGGTGAGGTGAGAAAAGGTAGAGAATGCTACAAACAAAACAGGCGGCCTCTAGCACGGACAGGATAGGGCTGTGATGATTGACGAGAGAGGAGGGGTGAGGGAGGAAAAGGAAGAAGAATGTGCTAAAGCAAGGTAGGCAGGCCGGAGGTCGGACGGAGGAAGAAGGAGGAGGAATTAGCGATAGCTAGAGTCGACCTGACCGCAGGCTGTAGCGGATGGGTTAAAAAAAAAAAAGGGACGGGATCGGGATGTCCCCTCGATGAAGTCCAAGGTGCGATGCAGATAGCGATGGCGATGGTAGTGTGCAGGAACCGGAGACTGGAGACTGCGGGAGATGAGGAGGCCCAGACGCAGATGGCAATTGGTAGATGCGAAATGACGGCAGATTGATGGATGCAAAGCAAAGCAGCAGCAAATGAGAGACAATCAACGACCGACTGGCAACCTGCAAAAAGTCAAGTTTACCAACAACAGCAAGGACCAGGAAAGCAGGGACGAGACAGGACGAACAACGTGCCGGCGGTGTCGTCAAGGAAAACCAGGTCAGGAAACCAGGAACGGGGCTGCAGCAAGAAGAAAAAAAAGGGTTAAGGGGGTGTGGAGGGGGAGGCAGGAGGGGAGAGGGGGAAAACAGGATCCGATGCTGATGTGGATGTGATGGGATGGGTGCACCGCGGACGGTGGACAGTGGACGGGGACCTGACAGATCATGGATGGGCACAGTATGGATTCGAGAACGGGAGAGAGGCACAGCTAGAACGAGAGAGGAAGATGAGCGACGTCCGGCCAGCGGGCTGCGGACGGCGGAGGACCGGATGGACCGGTGGTTGCTGGTGTTTCTTCTGCCCTCAATCTCCCGCCGCGTAGTCCAGACAGTCCAGACTGCTGATGGACTTATTGGGGGCGGGACTGCGGTACTGTCATTAGTACGTATCCTCTTACTTTTGACCGAAGCCTGAAGAGATGAGTTGAGTTGTTAATAAATGATGATTTGTGCCTGCGCTAGCTCGGTGCGCAAGTGTGTCGGGCATCGAATGGAGTGACTGAATAAGGCAATTAGTGCACATTTTCATGACGACGGTTATGATGATGGTCCAATGTCGGAGATCAATGCAGCTGCAGCGACGCAGATTGGACGAAATGCAGGCGGTGCTGATTTAGTGCCCACCATCTTCCAAGACGCATCCATGGATTGAAGAAGAGGGTGTCATTCTCTGAACTGGTGGTGGTCAGTGGGGAGAGAAACAGCCGCCGACCTGCAGAAACTCGAGCGAAACATGCACAGCCAGCACAATCAGTCATTAATCGCCGTTTCCTGGTAATAAACAGGATTGGCGGTGTTGCCCTATCCTCAAGGTAAAGTAGGTAGATTGAGGTGCTGAGAGGAATAACCTAAAAGGAGGTTCATCCTAGGACCGAACCAATCAATCCCCAAGATGGTCTTGTGCGCCTGACCCACTCGGACATTATTGAATATGTATCACCAGTAACCATCAGAAAACAAGACATTCATGAGTGACAGAGCAGAGAGCAAAAGAGAAGACGAAAAAGAAATCAAAAAAGGAGAGGAGAGCGGCCAGAAGAGTCGAGACTCTGGAAAGCGCCCACCTTGCGTGCATGCCTCTTTTCGCTTACCTTAGGTACATGGGTACATGCCTGCAAGTACCGCACTCCACTTTCCACCTCACCCACCTCACAGGTGCCCCACAGTCATCCCACCGGGACCTTCCTTCCATTGGCTGTGATGGGACTCCTGTCAACCGCGAACCAGGAACGGAACTACCTTTAGTCCGGCCGCAGTTCTTTCCATTCCATTGGATTCTGACGAGGACGGGATTACCTAAGAAAACCTCAGACAGTGGTCAGGCACTTTGCACTTCGCACTTTGCACAGCCAGATCGAGGCGCGCCTCCAGTCTCGCCATTGAAACGAACCCGCCGTTTCTGATCTCCATGAGGTGATCTGCCATCATCTGAGGCCCGCCGTGCGACGATGCTTATTTCTCTCCACGTTTTACTCTCCTTCGAGTCGCGTCTTGGCTGACACCGCCACAATGACTTGTTGTTGTTCTACCATTTTTTTCGAGGTCGTCACCATGACCGGGCGAAGCCGCCTAACCACAAACACTTCGTGAAGACGGGTCCTGTCGCGATAAGAATTCACTATCGAGTCGTATCATGCAGGCCTTCACTAAGCGCTGTCGTGAACGGCAACAACGGCATCGTTCTCAGATTCGCCATATAACAACGCATTCGACCGTTCGAAAAACCAGCCATCATGATCAATAGTAAACCATCTGTTATCACACCAAGCGCAACGCCTCCACGTCCTCCGCGATGGCCCCCAAAAGATCAGCATCAAGCACGGCCCCGCAAGCCGCCGCAAAATTGGCCCTGATCATCACCAAGCTCAGCGCCATCGCCTGCGTCCTGACCCTCCTCATATGCGGCACCAGCCTCCTCCGAGGAAGCCATCCAGGGAGAAACGCCCTCCTCGGCACTTCTTTCTCAATGGTCTCGGTAAGCGGCTACCTTACCTAAACCTCCAAAGTCATAGCCGCCCAATACTCCCACACGCTCTGCCAAAAAGAGCCGCCGTTGGAGGCTTGCCGCTCATCTACATCGAAGCCTGCTAACTAGCAGACGCCCAAAAGTTCTCCGGCATCGCAGCCAAAGCCGCCGGCTCCGCCCCTCCCTACGTGACTACTATGCACTGGTTCATGAACTCGTTTGGCTGGGAATGGCTTCAGCCCACCACGGAGCTCGACGCCGCCAACTATCTCTTCGTCCAGCCCACCCGTCCACTGCAGATGCCACGCGCGCTGCATGACGTTGCCGACGCGCTGTACCGCGCCGGCCACATGTTGGACACCTGCCAGTCGGCGTCGGCCACCGAGACGTGCATTCGCGCCAGCAAGCCCTTCTTCGCAGCCTTCGACTCCGTGTCACCCATCAATCTGAACAACACTCCGGCCTTCGTCTTTTACCTCTTGGCTCTGATCGTCGATGTTGCCTCGCCCGCTGTCTTCAGCTGTCTCGGTTTCTTCTCAGATGGCGGCGTCGAGAGGCGTCAGCCGTGGCTCAGGACCGGTGCGCTGGCACTACCGGCCGCTTTTCACGTCATCTCGGCCTCAATCTTGACGTTCAACGCCAGCGCTCTCGTCGCGTATCTTAATCAGTTTCCGCAGATTCCCGCCAACGCCACTATTGGGTTCCGCTTCCTCATTGTCTCCTGGTGCGGTGTCATCGCGGAGATGCTGGCGGTCGTCCTCAGTGTCATCCGCGTGTTCTTGCTACAGCTCCAACAAGTCAAGCGCAAATCGCAGAATGTCAGAAGCATTCCGTCCGGGTCTCGGATGAAAGCAGAGCATGTATGATGTCTGACGTCTTGCGACTTGCACATCATGCACATCACGCATATCGTAATGTCTGATTCCTCATACCATTCCCTGACCGACCCGGTTCTCCGCAAAAGAAATTCCCGCGCCGTAGATCGTCTCACTGCCCTGAAAATAGCTCAGGGACAGACACTCTGAGTCAAGATTCGACTTGAAGAATTCTGATCCGTCTCGCATTCCGCCCTGCGTTCGGGTCGCGGATACCGATGATCATCTTGCACGGCAACTAGGCCGAGCGAGACAAAACAACACAATTAAGCTCTTCTGGTGCTGAGCCTTCCCTTTTCCAATTGCTGAATCGCCCAAGAAAGATCCGGGTCCCTGTCGCTGGTGATGTTGAAAATGTTGCCATTCCCTTTCTTTTGGAGATCGCCATGGACGCACGGTTTGGCCTTGGCATTCCGTGATCACGGGTTATGGCGTGCGCAACCCTCAGCTTGGCGAGATGGAGTCACCATAGACTCGGTGTCAATTGATAAAGTATTGAACGCGTAGAGTGTGTAGTCATGAGATGTTGCATTAGATACTAGTAGATCGCACTGGTATCTCGATAATGCTCTCTCCATCGTGGGAGAACCGCCTGCGAAAGACGGCGGATCGCGCAGCAGATGTCTTCAAACAGAACTGGCATCTCGGCCTCACCGCATTTGGAGGACCACCCGTGCATTTCAAAATCGTCCGTAGTACTCATCAAATACCGAATATGGCTCGCGCTAATAGGGTCATATCAGCTACATGATCGGTTCGTGAAACGGCTTCAATGGATAGACGAGCAAATGGTATAATCTCAGAAGCCCTTTGCGCGTCAACTCGAGTCAAGAAACTAACTCATCATCAGTATCAAGAACTCTTCAGCATCTCCCAGGCGCTCTCCGGCCCCGCGAGCACGAAGATGGTCTACTGCATCAACCTAATCCAACACCGCCCGCCAGGTGCTCTCCTCGCCTTCTTCATCTGGAGGTTCGTTTCGCCCCGTGACACCATCTCCCCTCAACGTCATTCCTGACCTCCATCGCCAGCCTCCCGGGCGCGCTGGGCATGCTGGCCCTCTCCATCGGCGTCTCCAACATCGGCTCCTCGCTCCCCCGCGCCGTCTACGCCCTCCTCTCGGGCCTCAACGCCGCGACGGTCGGAATCATCGCCCTCGCGGCCGTCGAGCTCTCGCACAAGGCCGTTACGGACAAACTCACCCGGACGCTCGTCTTCCTCGGCGCCGCCGCCGGCATGATGTACAACGCCCTGTGGTACTTCCCCGTGCTGATGGCCGGGGCCGGGTGTGCGGCGGTCGTCCACGACTACCGCTGGGTCCACCGGCCTGCGAGGAGGGTGGTCGGCATGGCCAGAGCTTTACTTGGGAAGAGGAACCGGTCCGAGAGGCAAGCAGTAGAACTCTCGGAGAATGTGGGTGAAAGGGGTGGTCGAACGGCAGCAGCGGCCCCGGCCCCGGAACACCGCGAATCCCGGGATGAGCCAACGTCCGCGGCTGCCAGCCGGCCGGACGACGAGCCCCGCATCATCCCGAAAGAGTTCCGCCTAGACTTCTCCTGGAAATCCGGCACCGCCATCATCCTCACCTTCTTCGCGAGCTTCATCGCCGTGATGATCGTCCGCGGCGTGGTCAGCGACCTACCCATCCTCTACAGGCTCTTCTCCAACCTCTACCTCGCAGGCACCATCATCTTCGGCGGCGGCCCGGTCGTGATCCCCCTGTTGCGGGAATACATCGTCGCGGAGGGCTGGGTATCCCCGCGCGACTTCCTCATCGGCCTCGCCATCGCCCAGTCCTTCCCCGGGCCCAACTTCAACTTCGCCGTCTTCCTGGGCGGCCTGACGGCCCTCAACGCGGGGAACTCCCCCGTCGCCGGCGCGGTGATCGCGTTCGTGGGCATCTTCACGCCCGGCATGGTCCTCGTCCACGGCACGATGGGCGTCTGGGGCGCGCTGCGCAGCAGGCCGTGGGTCAAGGCCGCCGTGCGGGGCGTGAATGCCGCGGCTGTCGGGCTCATCTACACGGCCGTCTACCGCATCTGGCAGGTCGGCTACCTCGACGAGGGGTTCCAGTCCGGGAGGAGCCTGGGGGATGATCCGTGGTGGGTGGTGGTTACGGCAACGGCGTATGTTGGGGGGCGGTACTACGGCATCGCTGCCCCGTTTGCGATTCTGCTTGGGGCGGCCATGGGGTTGGTTCGGTATGGTGTTGTTTCGGGGCGGGAGTGAAGACGGGTGGTCGAAGATGAAACACGTCGGTCTACTGGCATATGCGCTTGGTAATGAGCTGAACAGCTTTACGCGCAAATTATTGAGAGTCTAAATTCGACATCCTTAATGATCATGCTAATGACATGCCGCGAACAAAATAGAAACAACCGCAGAGGCCACTTGACGTCAAGTAGACAACTCAATCGCCTCTCTGATAATCCCAACTTCCGTAGAGCAGTCCGTGGGGAAATCGGATCCGACGCATCCATCCAGCCCTATGACAGCGGACTTCCCGCGAGCTTATTATGCGGCTTATAAGAGGCTCATCGACTGGAGTAGCTTAACCACGTAAGGCACTTTTCCGAGAACTCTCAAACTGTAATAACATCGGATGATATAGATGGGACGCGTGGTCCGCATGACATCACCGACCAATCTACATGCAGGAACCTTCTAAAAAGAGGTATATCGATCCTTGAAAAGCAACGCACGAGCTTCTCCAGAACCTTTGATGGGGTCTGCCCGGTCCTAAGTGATGCTGTCAGATGCACGGGGCCGCGGATGTTGGCAACAGTGTGAATGTCGCGTACAAATGATGCCGCTGACATACACCACTGTGCTTGATCTGCAAAGGAGTACACGGTGTTCATGAAGACTTGCCGCATATGACCGTCGACAGTCGGGAGGCCTTGGTCGGAACTTGTAGAAAATGTGCCTTCTGACAACATTATGGCTGGGTATAACAACCTCGCGGAACAATAGGGAAAGAGTTAATGTCCTGGCGCTGCCATGTGACTGACGAAGAGGACGAAGACGAGGATGGCCATAGCAATAATAATGACTACAATGAATACACCAAGGACGACGACGACGACGACGACAACAACAATAACAACAATAAGGACGACAACAACGAGGGCAACAACAACAAGGGCAATAACAATGGACGACAGCAACGAGGACGACGGCAATAAGGACGACAGCAATAAGGAAGACGATAATAAGGAAGATAATAATGAGGACGACGGCAACAACAGGAAGAAAAAAGACAACAATAAGAATAACAGTAACGACGAGGGTCACAATAAGGATAATATATATAATGCTCATAGTAGCAATAGTAAGGACACAGCTAAAATAGTTATAATAGAAGCAGTGCCGCCGACTACAGTAAACATCATAAGAAGCTATAGTTAAAGGGGTTGCTCTACGAGATCTGCCTTAGTCATACCAAGTTGAGAGCTTACAGTAGGAAGCCAACCGCAACTTTACTAAAGAAGTGTTTATTTTGGACCAAAAGGCGCGCTGCATGTATGTGCTCACTACACGAAAGTGTAGTGAGAGAGAATCTGTAGCTCACATGGTTCCAATGGCCTGCTCATCATCACTTCTCAGCGAACCTGGTTGAGCTGAACCCAGCAGTCCATGAGAGAGTCACAGAAAACGTTGTTAAGACGAAGGCAGACATCACAACAGGACTACGTCAGACACCGGGAGAAGAACAACCGAGATACATAACACATTGCGGCGTAGGTAGGCAAGTCTCGGCATCCAACTGGGAGTAATTGCTTTGAGCGCAACGACAAGGATTCACCTTCTTCAGTAAAGGTGACTTGAACTTGAGGCGAACATCCGTCATCTACCTCATCACACACAGTCGATATGACGATTGGGCAGTCAAGCATAGCACGATTGGGTTAGATAAGGGCGGTGGGGGTTCGCAACTTCAATACCGTCTTCATCCGTCAAGCTGCGGGCTCGTTGGCAACGTACGCATTCTCATGCGCCGAGTTGTTGATCCAGCGAACTGGTTGCCGCCGCCGCCATCCGCGGGATGGAGGACTGCAATGCATCTGCACAGAAGACGGCGAAGAACGATGTGAGGTTGCCACACTCATCCAGGGACTAATCGAGTTGCGCCCGCAAGAGGAAGCGAGAGCTGTTTCTGGCTTGGGAGTTGCCAAATGGGCTCTTACGAGTGTTTCCGAACGTCTCCGAAGTGAGCTCAGTCAAGAATCCCTACGGATCCTGTCGCCAGGTATCGGCCGTTTACCCCCCCTTGTTGTCATGTGTTATCGAGGTTCGGCTCAGCCGAATCGACAGGCCTTAACAAGTGGGCGGATCGATGTCCATCCAAGGCGTGAGAGTGAGGCCTCGTGTACTCTGACCTGAGCCATACCACGCTGTTACCAGCTCGTTGGTCTCGTAAAGTCGGCTCCAAAGAACTTGCGTCTGCAGCAAAGCCCTGTCTGCAGCAAAACCTGGAATGTTTGCGCTTGGCTACCGCATGAAGAAGTCAACTCCGAAGCTCAAAGGAAGGCCTACATTGGCCTGTCAATGTGATGATAGGTGTGGCTGAATGTGATCAGGTGGCGATTGTGCCCTTCCAGATTCGATATTCAGCCAAATATCGTTTCTTCCCGTGCCGCATCATATGGCGAACGTTTGTGTCGATACCACATCCTGATGGGGGGATTGTCGTGATGTCGTCGATCTTAGTGGCGATATTGCCAATAGGATGAACATTGGTTTATGGCCACAAACCACCATGGAAACTCCGTTGACGCGGTGAAGGGCAGTCTGACCAGGCTGTCGGATGGAAGTCGAATCTCATGGGCGGGGGCCGTTGTTGGATTGAACCTATATCCAACTCACCATGCCGGCGAATCTGATTACGCGATGTATGACAGAGGTGTTGACATCCTGCAGTATCCGTAATCTTCAGGGTCTTTGGTCCAGACCAAAGCGGCGTCCAAGACCGAACGAGCTAGGTGCGATGCGTGGCCTGTGGGTCCACGGAGCTACCCAACAACATCCAACATGAATGCGACTGCGTAGCTGCACGAGCTATCTCTGTCGGGAAGCTCCCTTGGGTAGTAATGCGCGGCAAGAGGTTGGAGGAGTCTGCTGATATCTGCCGCGAGGTTCGTCGCCAATGTGGTTGGAAGTGAAGGACGAAGAGTTCTGACGAGGGTAATCTGCTCGACAAGCCATCCTGGGTGCTTGGCAAGAGATTACAATAGGCCCAGGGTGGGTTGACGAATCGTGGAAGATACGTGACTCTCAGCTGAACTGCCGTCTTTCCTGAGCACCTTCCTCTTCTTCGTGACGCACCAACGTCATCTGCAACTTGACAAGCCTGACCCATCAGACATGAGAAGCATCGGTCGATGCCATCGCGAGGCGCTGACACCGGGCCATTGGCAGTAGTTGATGGCGATGCTGAGGCGAGGCAAGAACGCTGGTGAGGGGTGTTGTCGGGAGGAACAAAGTTTGGCAAAGATAGGCCAGAAATGCCAAGAAAATTACGACGCGGAGAGGGCGTCGATGCTCGACAACTGAGGGATTGGATAAGGAAGATAGAGCAATGGGTGGAAGTCCAAGAAATTTCCAAGACAAAACCAAGAAAAGCCAAGGAAGTGGTCGTGCCGACTTTATATAGTTGGAGTGTTATCCTCCTGCCCGAACGGGACATGAGAAGCAGGATGGAAGTTTGCCTATGCAAAGAGATGATTCGACTGGAACTGGGCGAGATCTGGGCACTGCCGATAACCGCCTATTGTCGAAATGCATGGGGTCGAAGAAGAGGGGTGATTGCAGGGGTTCATGACGGCCGCTAGAAGGAAATCCGCCGGGACCAAAGACGACCAACTTCCCTGAGAAGATATTGGAGGGATGTTGGCGGACGGCATTGGCCTGCCGTGCAATATATCTCAGTCCGAGGGAGAGACAGATGTGGCCGGTCGTCTTGGACAGAGGATCGCAGGATACGCAATTGGTGCTCCTGTCGATTGGCTAATTCCAGTGGTTCGTCTCGCTTCTCGAGCGGGGATCATCCTTTGTCTTGAGTCGCAAAAGTCCCTGGTGTGCTTCGGATGGTTGAAAGTGTACGCGTGACAGCGGCGTTGCTAGAAGCCCTCGTATTATTTCATATGAATGATGGAACATTGGATTTAGTTGGGAAGCCGAAGAGAGGAAGATGATGTCGATTGATGAAATGTCGACTGGGACCCTTTGCCAGCTGACAGTTCCTGGCAAAGCGAAAAAGGCACTGGACGCTATCAAATGGTCCGTGTTGGCGCCAATTTTAACCTTAAATGCCCACGTCCGAGACACGTGACTTCTGCATCACCCCTTTGCCTTTACCTTCGCCTTTCTCCTCCTTGCTGCGACACCACTTTGACTTCCGCAATACCCTGAGGACCTCCATGAATTCACCAAACCAAATCCAAGCCAAGAAATAACTGTGAGCTTCGGCGATGTGGCTTGGTTGAAGCTTTCGCGCTCCCCTCTTGGGCAAAGTAGCTGCGCATGCGATAAACCAACAACCCACAAGGCATACTCCTCCGAGGGCCTTTTGGAAAGCTGGGCGCTTGTGCATCTCAGCCTTCCGCTGTCATTTGGGACCTACCCTTGCTGCCCTACGTGAGTGGGAGTAAGCCTGTCCGTACGGGCGTCCTCATGTGTCGTGGTCCCTCGTTCATCGCACCTCCGTTTCTTCAAACTAATTCTCCGACATGGCTTGCTTGCTTTCGCATGACGGCATCCGACTCACCGCACAAGGCATCATCAGCACGTATCAAAGCCTGTGTGTCTTAGTTTGCAGCAAATCATGACATCAGTTCTCGTGGAGGATGTCATTGCTTCGCCTCCTCGCTGAAGATCTAAAGATTATCACCAGTCGCAGAAGATGCGAAAGCCATACGATGCTCACAAGTCGCGACCCTCCCCCACGTAGGCGAATGTAGCACGCGACAAGGATACCATGTCCCATCCCTAGCTGCTCTTAGTCCAGCTTGCATGCTTCCCCGCCTCTTTCATTCTTAATCCAGCAGCCCAGCAATTGTCCAATATCAACACGTCCCAGCTGTCCCCTGCGTCTGGGTAAGGTCGTACGTCGCCGAGATTTGTTCTCGAAGAGAGGCAAGTGGCCTGCTAAGTGCGAACCAATCTTTTCTCTCCTGCATATCTGCGCTTCACACCCCTTGATATCGGCAGCATACCTGACCTAGAAGGTGATCTTCTCAAGACGAGAGCCAAGATGTCGCCCAGACGGCCTGGACTGGGTTTGCGTCCGAGAATCACCACCAAACCTTGCCACTGTAGACCAGCCCGCTGCCATCTACCTGGGCTGGCTGTCCATCGTGTCCAGAGCAACCCGGCTGGCATCTGGGCGCCGACCGCGTGGCACCGCTGATAAGCGATGTCGACATCCTCCACACAAGAAACCTTTTAATATCCAGCTCTCCCCCGGGACTCAGATCGTTGCTCAGCTGTGTAATCTTACCATCTACCACCAATTGCCATACGGCTTTGTCGTGTCACAGCACAATGGCGAACGAGAAGACCGACTCGCCGGTGACCCCCATTGAAGTTGGGAGGACACAGGGCATATTGACGGGCGAGAAGCTCCCAGCTGTCAGTTCCATCAAGGTTCCGATAAACGCCAGCAGATAGGCTGACAACATTTCACAGGACGCTCACACTCAAGAGCTCCATCGCCTAGACTCCGAGGAGCATGTCTTTGAATCGTGAGTCGCAACCCAATTCTACGTCAATGGCATGCGCTGACCTCAAGAAAGACACCTGAATGTCACCGAGGACGATCTCGTCGAGGCCAAGGCCATCGCTGCCACCCTCTCCCTGGAGGGAGTGCGCAAGATGATGCAGAATGTGCTCAAGATCCACGACCGTGACCCGAACTTCCCTTACAGTGTTCTCATCAAGATCCACGAGTTTCTGGGTCAGTGACCCTCACAGGCCCCTCGCAGGCATTGCGCTGATGTCGTTACAGATAACGATGATGTCCTCGAGAACCCCGAGAAGCACGAGGAAATCATATGGGAGATGAAATTGGAGGCTGCCCTAATCACCAACAACAGCCCCTACGCAGAGGTGCGAGCTGTTGTCGATAACAAAGACGACCCTTCAATGCCTTGCGGCACCATTCGTGCTTGGACTATTGGTGTCTTCTTCTCTGTCTTCCTTGCCTTTATCAACCAGGTGAATACGCAGCGTCTCCCAGTTCGGCAAACAGCTGCTAACAAACCCCATAGCTTTTCAGCGTCCGCCAACCGCTCATCAGTATCGAGTCCAACGTCGCCCAACTTTTGGCGTTTCCCCTCGGTAAGGCCTGGGAGAAGTGGATGCCCAATACCATGATCCCTCTTGGCTTCGGTGTCAAATTGCCCCTGAACCCCGGTCGCTTCAACAAGAAAGAGCATATGCTCATCGCCATCATGGCAAACACTGCCAAGTCCTTGCCTTACACGCAGTACATCGTCTGGACCCAGGTTTTGCCTCAGTACTTCAACCAGCCGTACGCCAAGAGCTTCGCCTACCAGATCCTGATCGCGCTGTCTACCAACTTCATCGGTTACGGACTTGCTGGTGAGTTTCCGGAAGGGAGTGATGCCAAGAAAGTGACTAACAGCACCCAGGTCTCACACGGCGATTCATCGTCTACCCCTCCTACTGCGTGTGGCCCGCGTCCCTCGTCACGATCGCTCTCAACTCGGCACTCCACAACGAGACGAACGTCGCTGTTCCCGGACCTTTCAAGAAGCTGTATTCGATGACCCGATACAAGTTCTTCCTTTGGTCTTTTGGCGCCATGTTCATTTACTTCTGGTTCCCCAACTACCTGTTTGAGGTCCTTACCTTCTTCAGCTGGATGACGTGGATTTCGCCAAACAACCATAACCTGGAGATCCTTACCGGCTTCCGAAACGGCCTAGGCTTGTTCAACTTCTGGCCAACATTCGACTGGAATGTTATGCTGTTCGATAGTGTCGACCCTCTCATGGTACCCGCCTTTTCAACCTTCAACCGCACGCTGGGTATGTTCCTGCTTGGATTTGTTATCATGGGTATCTACTTCACCAACGCGTGGAACACCGGCTATATTCCCATCAACTCCAACCGTGTTTACGACCATTTCGGCAAGCTCTACAACGTATCTAGAGCCCTTGATGACCGTGGTATGTACGACCACGAAAAGTATATGGACTACTCGGCTGCTTATCTCGGCGCCGCCAACACCCTGGTTTACGGCTCGTTCTTCGCCCTGTACGCCGCTGCCATTACTCACGTAGCCATCTTCCACCGTTACGAAATCATTATGGGATTCAAGAACATGTGGAACACCATTCGGCGGAGAAAGACCACCAAGGAAGGCGAGGATGAGGGAGAGTACAAGGACATTCACAACCGACTGATGGCCAACTACCCCGAAGGTAAGTGATTGATCCTTCTAGAATGATTTCGAACCAGCGCTGATTCTTCTCGTCAAGTCTCTGAATGGTGGTACCTTGGTACACTCGTCGTCGCGTCCGGCTTTGGATTTGCTGGTGTTGCCGGCTGGCCTACGTACACTACCCCTGGTGTTGTTCCCTATGGTGTCTTCCTTGCCGTCATTTTTGTCATTCCGATCGGTATAATCAAGGCTATGACAGGCATCGAGGTAACCTTGAACGTCTTGGCTGAGTTTATTGGTGGTATGTGGGTTGAGGGCAATGCTCTGGCTATGAACTTCTTCAAGTCTTTCGGGTGAGTCTACATGCGTTCACATTTCACGAAGCTTTTGCGCGCGCCTGGCAAGATCCGTCAGGGCTGGCGCCAAGTGGTGACAACATTCGACGTATCACTTGCTGCATTGTCGCTTCCCTCTCTTTTTTTTTCCCTTTTTTTTTCTTTTCCCCCATCACTCGCGATAACCTCACTTTTCATGTTTCCGCCATACGCTTGAATACTAACAACCATGCCCCAGATACGTCACCTGCGCCCACGCTGTTCATTTCGCGAATGACCTCAAGGTGGCACATTACCTCAAGATCCCTCCCAGGCAAACCTTCGCCTGCCAGATGATTGCAACTCTGATCTCGACTTTTGTGTGCACTGGAGTCATCAACTTCCAGGTGAATATTAATTCTATCTGCACCCCAGACGCGCCGATGCGTCTCTTCTGCCCCGGTCCCAACACCTTCTTCACAGCCGCCGTCCTCTGGGGTACCATTGGACCGATTAAGGTGTTCGGCCACCAGGGTCAGTACAACTACCTGCTGCTTGGCTTCCCGGTTGGCATCGCTCTGCCCATCATCTTCTACTACTGCATCAAGTTCTTCCCCAAGAACCGATATCTCCGCCAGTTCCACCCCGTCGCTCTCTTCTACGGAGGTGTCAACTGGGCCCCGTACAGCTTCTCGTACGCCTGGCCCGCCGTGCCTATCGCCTGGCTGTCTTGGATCTACGTCCGTAGCCGCTACCTCGCATTCTGGTCAAAGGTTCGTCAAGGCCCCCGAGTCTGTCTACATGTAGGTAAGCATCAAGTGGCTAACGTCTTTAACAGTACAACTTCGTCTTGTCTGCCTCCTTCTCCGCTGGTATCGCCATCGCCGGCATCCTCATGCTCTTCACCGTTCAGTGGGTTGGCGCTGAGGTCTCTTGGTGGGGCAACGAACAGATTGCTGCCGGCTGCGAGGGCACCGCGTGTACCCTCAAGACCCTCGCCGAGGGCGAGCGATTCTACCCATGGTGGAACCCATCTCAGGTCCCGGCTCCTTAAGCTACTTGATCGCAGCTTGTCCCACCAGGTTCTCCTACTTTGGTTGGGCATGAAGTGATGAAGGCTAGACGACCGAGCCATATGGGTTGCCTACTCCTTGACGATTTATGTTCGCACGCACTCGTTGAAGATTTGAAGTTTATTCCGACTAGCTGAGAAAAGCCCGCGGGGAAATGTTGGAAGCCGTTGTTTATTGATTCCCCCACACGCTTGTAACATGAGATCATCTCTCTTATAATAGCAAACCAATACCAATCTTTGTTTACCATACCTTGGCTTCAAGCTGGGCTTTCAAGAATTACCGACTGGATTTCGCAAGTGACTGTGGTACCACTGACACTAGCGCTTATACCGGTGATGGTGTAGTTCGTGGCTGTGTTGTAGTTTTGAGGAGAGGTGTTGCACCAGCTTGAGTCTAAGCTACCCTCAGATGTCTTCGCAGTGTGAGACGAGTGAAACGGTTTGTACGGCAAGGCTCACTCACAATGACAATGTTCTTGAACTCCAAAGGACCGAAATCCCAAGCTACATCGTATCTTGAAAACCATCAACAGGATATCACTTGAGAATCTGGCACCAACCTACAGCTCAATGGCAAACAGCACTTGGTTGAATGACTTGTCGGCTACAGCATTTCATCAGCCCATAGTATCATCCACTGAATGTCTCGTATAACGCACCCAGAGCAAAGTCATTGGTCACAGTTTGACCACCGGTCTGTCTTGTGACTGTAGTACTCCACGCAGAGTTATCTGACTTGAGCGTATTCTCAAAAGACACCGTCTCTCCGCCGTAGGTATTGAAACCACCGCCCCAGGGCAGGCTGGGGTTAGAGCAGCACCATCCGGATCCGAACCACCACGTCCCACTTCGACCATCTAGCACGTTTTGGTAGACACCCGTGTTATCGGTTGGCTGAAGTCCGGGCCACAGATAGTAAAAGCCCGCCTGCTGCAAAGTCGGGATCACCATTTCACCGGAAAAGGACGTAAACTTTTGTCCAGAGGCGGGATAGTAGCGGAGGAAGTACCAAGTGACAGCCGAGACCGGGCTGGCCAGCAGGAACAATGGCAACAACAAGAATATGCGGTGCATCATGATGTCGAAGTCGAGAAGCTGGATGGGTGTAGAAGAATAGTCAATGTCGAATTCTCTTGAATGCGTTGGCAATATTGATATATCTCGCTCTTCCCATTCCACCTGCCGTATTCGGCAACGGCGAGATAACGGCATATCGCTGTTGAGGTGGGACGATAACCTGTAGTCGGATACTTCTCAAGGGAGTTTCAATGCTACCTTTACCAGGATGAGGTGCTCTCTTCCTCGTCTGATGCGACGCAAAGCTGCCGGCCTGCCAAATCGTCTCAACTTCACTGGTCTTAGATTCTTGACCTCGGGTTCATCCAGTCTTGATAACAAGGTCTAATTGCCGCGGGAATGACACTTGGCGTGTTCCCTGCGTTTGCCGATAAGCTTATCTTCACCCAAGGCCGGAAATCAACATATTCTGAGTATTTTGGAAGGTTTAGAGACATCACGATGTGCCAGAGCAATGGTAAAATAGCTTCGCTTGACTGCTACTGGACGGAGCTTTTGCTCGGCCGCTGATACTGACTGGACAGCATCAGAGCTTCAGTCGTGTCCGAAATCACTTTCGAGTCCTTCCGCTAAAGGTAATAATGAATCTTGATGTATTTACTGATCTGTTCATCCCACGCCCAAACAAAAGAGATTAGCAGCCAAAACGGCTGGTCAAATTTCAATACCTGCCAAAGGTGATTGAATTGCAGCATCGCCATAAACACCCGTCATAAACAGTCTTCTGTCGTAATTGCCCCAGCTCGACGTACTGTACTTCCGTCTTACATCAGGTGAGCCTTGGTGCCACCGCCGAATCGCTGCGTAGCCAGCGTGCGTCCACAGCGCATGCAGTTGTGGCGGACGTTCTTGAACGGCTTTGAGGAGTAAGGCACGAACACCCCAAGACCGGTGGTGAAGAAAAGCATGACCGCCATCCAGCTAAATCGGGGAGTTAGTGGCTGTATCTTGAAACGAAGACCACGCAGCTGGAGTATGACATACTGCGTTCCCTTTCCGATGACGTGCTCGGTCGTGGTGGGAGAAACTCCCTTGCAACCGGGGCACTCCACCAGAGCCGGCCATCTACCAAGCATCGGCAGAGGCACCATGTTCGCCCTGGAGCCCTCGTTGAAAGTCTCTCCGCGGTTGCATGGTTGAATTTGTGCGTGACAATGGGCGGCGTTGCATCCGCCAGTAGAGTGACAACCGATGGTCGATGGAGGAGTGTGAATGGACTGATAGAGAGGCAATGGAGACCGGATCGTCTGCTCCTCGAGGTTCTGGTTGTTGGCCATGATGTCTTCAACATATGTCGTTAGTAATATGACAGGAATTAACGCTAAATCTTAAGACTGACCTGTGTATGCTTTGCTCATATGTGCTTCTAGCGAGAGACGAGTGTAAACGAATGAATTGCTGTATTGCTTGAAAGTATAACAATTGTTGTTGACTTCATGAAAAGGCCAACGGAAAGATGGCATTCAAATAGAGATACAGACAGCAAAACATGGTATCCCGATCAACGGAAACCAACTCCGTCCACCAATAGATCAGGCTTGCAGTTGTTATCCCCACGATGAAACATGGAGAAGTGGTGAACGCGTCACTGCATGTCTGTTAAGGCACTACCCGTCAACTGTCAATCACATCAGATCTAGTCCAATCGAATCGCTGCAGCCAAACATCCGGAATGCAAAACTGAGGCTTACAACCACTCGAATTCTTCTGCCTGGCGTTTGGTTGCCTATTCCGGAAATCGAATCCTTCGGGGAAGAGTAGCGCTCTAAATGCTGCTGCCTGGAGCGCCTCAAAATAGCAGCCAAACCTCGTGTTCCCTGACGATCCCGGCCGTTTTCACCTGCATGGCCAAGACTTGAACGAGTTCAAGTGGATTTGTTCGTCCAAATTAGGAGTTGGATTCAAATCCCTCAACTAAAAGAGCTTTCACAAGTGCGAAGTATGGTTGGAATCCACAGATAACATCTCATGACCTATTCAACTTGGCATATGTGATGCTCTTTGCGTACTACGAGACCGAGGCAAGGCTGAGATGAACGGTGGTGTAGCCGTAAATCAATGGAATTGAGGAATTCAAGGATCAAACTCCATTTCGCAACAGTGCCGTGCCGGCGGGAGCATTTGATCTGGACAAGTGCGGCGATGGGGTTTCTACTGGCCGCTGGTAACTTTCATCATCGCGCTGCCACAGGGGCGCCTAGTTTCAAACTGCACAAGTGATTCTGTCTGTACCCAGCAAACCAGTCTCTTGAATCGTCCCCCTGTCTCCAGACGAAGTGACGCGGCCCCAACCACCCAGGACATTGCTTGCCGGCCTCAAAAACCGGCCCTCGGCGCCCGTTAAAGCCACACATATGCAGCCAAGACTTCATTGATCTCGTATCTTCCAAGTTGACTATTTTGGGCAGTTGTGCAGTGTGTTACCGCAGCAGTTGATTGCCATTAATTGGTGTCTTCTTGAGGACATCGAGCCGTCAGATGTTCACTCATCATACAATGAAACGAAGCACGGGTGTTTATGATTGCCTTGATTGGTGACTGTAAAAAGCAACAGGAAGTTGCGATTAAGTCAGCAGTGAGCGCGTGTATCAGTACGATGGACGCTCAAATAGTGATGATTGTTGCTCATTCCGAACCTTTCCTTAGACGTGGCGGCAAAAGAAACTTCTCCCAGTCAGTCTCGTGACTGTTTTTACATCGCTTCCACGTTAATTAGATGGATCATGTCAAAAACGGAGTTCAGTCAATTTCAGAAAAATCATCACTGCCTCCAGCCTCTTTTCATCAACCGGCTCTGCTCGTTATCTCTGCTATGCTGCCCATCCATAACTTGACCACGAGAAGCATATCACATCTGTTTCGTGCTCTCTCAGCCGAGATACCCCAAACAAGAGCTGGTGGGTGGGATTCGACCCCAACAAATTGATCAGAGCCAAGCTACCCAAAACACGACTTCACAAAGCATGCTGGCCTGACCCGAGATGTGCTAGGTTGCTAACAAGCTCACATCATTCTCTCTGGTCTGATGATGCATCATCTTTCGAATGTGTCTAACAGGTAGATGTCAAAGAAAATGACGCGGATACAACATGGTGTTCGTAACTCTCGGGAAATCACAGTACTTCCAATGTAGGTTTTGCCCATATCTAATAAACAGACAACATTTCAAGTGCCCTGAGTAGTATCGGAAGCCGATGAGAAAGTTGGGTGGTGTGGACCAGTGGTTGAGGGTATATGTAGCTATCTAATTATTACGACGTCTGAATACAAAACTCGAAATCCTTCATGCGCTATTATACATGTTCCATGTGTCTCAAACAATTTACGATAGTGTCACTCTTGGGGTTTCTCGTCAACGGGCTCCTCGTCAACATGTTCCTTATCAAGAGGCCCCTTGCCATCCTGGAACATCTCCTTCCACCACTCCTCATGGCCTTCATTGATGCACAAACTATTCCAGTCCGACTCAGGAAGGCCCTCCTCCTTCAATTTCTCGTTGTTAAAGATGCGAGTCTTTCTCTTGTTTTCATCCGCCTGAGGTGCCCAGTAAACGAGATCTTCGGCGCCATGCTGGCCGGCGATCTTAAGCAGAGGCTTCGGATTCTTGGGTTGCCCTTGGATCTCAAGCAGTCGTCGCAGGTGCGGGAAAAACCACGTTCTTTTCCACCATTCCGACAGCCTGTGGTCTTTTAGGCCATTGCGGTGGGCGTTGTGATGTACAATAACTGGAACGGACGTACTCCAAAAGTCCGTGTAGAGCGGCATCTCAGACCACTCCATTTCAGTGTCGACTCCGGCTCCTGAGATGGGGTTTCTGACACCCAGTATATCCTCCGGTACACCATGGACCCGAGGAGGGATGATGACCCGGTCTTCAGCCGCTTTGAGAAGAGCTGTTTCGTTGCTGAGAACGACGTATTCACCGTCGTCTTCCTCAAAGACAGTCGGCGTAAAGAGGTCTTGGATGTAGTCCAGACCGATGCCATACTCAAAGCGATCGGCTTCAAGCTCGATTTCGGAGATTCTGGATGGGTCTTCCTTCGCTGAGGCTCGATATTGTCGCTTAGACGCACGCCACATCTCCTGCTCTCCAAACATCTCCGCAAAGATACCTTGATCACTGAATATATCGACACCAGCCGCGCGCTTCTCATCGACCTTCTCCTGAGCTCGGCGAAGCATGCGACGCATATCGCCAACAGGACCCATGAAGCTGCCACTGTTGACGTAGCGCGGGCGGACGTCGTGGAATTGCTCGGGGTCCTCGTCCGTGTGCGGGCCGTAAAGGTCTTCCCGTGCCGACGACTCTGGCAGCTCATCGCAGTGGGGATCAGCGCCGAGCGTAGGGTCAGGCCAGCACTTCTTCTGGGTCGAGATGATAATGGATTGTCGCGGGATGAAGTCCGTTTTGTTGGAGGTTGAAGAAAACCAGGAGTTTGAGCTCACACCCCATTCCTTGAGGATGCGTTGGTCTGCAGCGTGGTTTTGAGCCATGTACCTGCGAACAAGCAGAGAGGGCGGCAGCTGGAACCACAAGTCGTAGGCATCAACCACAAGAACGAGGTCATCTGCACCGAGTCGCTCGTCTTTAGGTGCCCTGTCTGAAGTGATCGCATCAAGAAACTCCAGTGTGCCATCAATCTTTCCGAGGTGGGAGCCCCCGAACCAGCCAGGACTTTTATGAAAGTCGCGGCCCCAGTTGACAATGACTGGGCTGGGGTATTCGGACACAAGCGCGGACATGAGCATTTTGCAGAGATCTGGCGACGGCCCATCCGCTGGAACGATGACTCGCAGACGGCGGGGACCGCCCTTCTCTATCGCAGGGAGGGGCGCGAGGTTGTTCTCATTCTTCGAGGCTTTTGCGGCCGAACTCTTCCCACGACTCTGATCTGGTCAGAAATCCGTGCGAACGCGGGATAGGAGAAGGACGTTGACTTACGACCATGAACAGCAGGCCCGAAAAGAGCAAAATAGGTGCCACCAGCAGAAGCAAGGCCTTGGGCGATACGCGTTGGAGCCATCGAGATGATTTTCTGGTACGAAAACCAGGAGATGGAGGAGGTTCGGTGTAATCGTCAGCGTATATCTTGCTGTAAGCTGGGGAACGCCGTTTTGAGGTCCACGAAAGCAAGTTCGTTGCAAATTCGCTGAATGCTGACATTTTGGAAAGAAGGTATCAGAGCCAACGCGTTGAGAACTGAGAAATGGGGTTTCGAGGCCAGAGCAGTTTCATGACGAGCGAGCCAACGAAGAAGGCGAGGAAACCACAAGACCTGGATATCCTCCATCCTCCACTGTTAGTCCGCCCGGAGCGGAATCAGCCCAGCTTTGTATCAGACACATCATCATGAGTCTTCAGACTGATACACATGTCTTGTCTCGGAAAAGACTCTCGCAAACTTCGTCAAATATTGGCATCGAGGAGGTCGTCCTGATAGTCCAATCCTGTGTCTTCTCGCCCTGCAGCCGAGAGTAAGAAAGTCTTGTCGGGCGAAGACATCGCGTGCGTAACCTTAAACGGGCTCCCATAGGTTGGTCTCACTTACAAAGGGTGCACAGAACTAACCCAAAAGGGGTCTTGTGCAGTGGCACGCTGTGTGGTCAAGGATGTCGTTAAGATTGGAGCAATAAGAAAGGCGATTCCGCCCGTAGTTCCGGGCGCCGCGGCGGGACCCGGCAAGCTGGAACTTGGCGGAAAGTTAAGTTCGTTTGACAGCAGGAAGAAGTAAGATCTTGGATTCTTCGTCGAAGCTTGGCTTTCGGCTTGGTCAAATGAGTCCCACTATGGAAGCTCTCCAACTTCGTTCAAAATCACAAAAGTTCTCAAATTGAAGCTAAATTCTTGTTATGAACTCGGGCTACATTTGAAACTGCTCCAGGCTGCTCGATGAAGGGTATCTTATCTGATTATCTTTCGTGCGACCAACTCGGCCGGGTGCTTCCAGCCGACTTTGACGAGGAGCAACGTCGCACGAAGCCACTATACACCCAGACCGATTTTGCCTCAGCTTGGCTCATTTTCTTCCAACTACATGAAGCCCTTACATCGCTGACTTAGAGCCCATCAGCCCAGCTTTACCCCTGCGCAAATGGAGGCTAATGCTGTGGGGGTGTCTCAGCGATAAGAAGAGCCTGAACGGTATCCATCAGGCTTCGACAGCGCTTGCCTGGACTCGGGGCTATCTCACTCGCGTTCTTATATCGAAATGAGAATCTCAAATGAACCTCTAGTTGATTATTTTGAAATATCTTCCCCGCGTCAAGACCAATTTGCTGTTGGGTCATTCCCGGCCTGCCCTTGGCCGAAGCCGAAGCCGTATGTCTCAGGCTGCAGCGGCTGAGATCCAAGCGGACTACCTGGCTTGCCCCCTTCGAAGGGAGTGCCGAGCAGGTGAGCCAGTCTTATAGTAAGACTCTGGTCTCGGTTTGGTAGGTTACCCATGAGTCCCTGGATCAGATACATAGGGTGAGTTGCCGCTCCGAGTAGAGACTGTAGAGCCTGCGCTAGTGTCAGATACTTCTTCGGTTGCACTTCTCGCCTCTGTCTTACCTGCGCGTCCCCATTAAGAGTGAAACCGGGTATCATTGATACACTGGCGCCATTACTGGTTACCATGTTCTGCGCACGCATGGTGTTCTGGGCGTCGTCGACAGCATACTGTGCTGTCCTTTGCAGCATCGCGCATGCTGTCAACACACGTTTCAAGTCGCATCCTTCCGTTTTCTCGAATCTTTGGAGGAAATGCGCAAAAGACCTTGTGGCTCCCAAGTCATTGCGGGCGCGAGATGAGCCTGGACTCTCAAGCACATCCGTCAGGAGAGTCATACTTGCGCAGAGAGGGTAGCAGAGTATCCGCCTTAGTTCGTCAGGACTGAGTTCTCAATAAACTGAATGCAATCTCTTACCATAGATCAGAGTACTGCGGTGTGGAAATGGTTCTGAAGAGACCCAAAGTAGCATGCGCAGCTGTTCGACACCGCTTTTGGGAGAACGAAAGCTGGATGTAGGGCATCTCGAACCCAGCTGGTGTTCCAAGAAGAACAGCAACGGTCTTGAACTGACTGTGCCTCCTCGCAGCCCAGTGCACCATCAGCGCGCATCGGTAGAACGCCAGATGCAGGTTTAAAACGTCAGGTGCAATATCAGAACCGGTCTTCGGGACATCATATGCTGGCTGAAGGTCTATCGGTAGACTAGTCCTCCACTCCTCAAGCAGGGCGTCAAGGTCAATGATAGCCTTGATTACGTCGTCATCCGTCAGGCGAAGGCCCTTGGCTGTGTACAATCGTCTTCTAATTGAAGATTCAACCATGGCCAGCTTGGCTCGCAAGTTGAGAATATCGACTCCTTCCAAGGGACCACTCGGCAGTTCGGTTTCAATGTCGTCGTCGTCTTGGATGGAGTCCAGCCCGTGGTTCAGGCCCATTTCTTTATCCAAGATGTATGCCGCCCAGAAAACCCGGCTGCGGGCCTCAACATCCTGCAGGCACATAGACATCATTGTGCAAGGCTGTCGATGAAGCCCGATATTTTGCGATAACCTGACTGCGGCAGATGAGAGCAAAGCTGCCGTCCGAGAGCAGGTCGTCCCTTGCATGTAGACTGCCATGCCTACGAGCGCCTGTACCGATAACAGATCGCAGCCTTTGACCATCAATTCCGTGAGAACTGAGAAGGCATTTTTGAGAAATGGCCATGCCAGTTGACACACCTCCTGGAATGAGCTATTGATGGTTTTCCACCTTGTCCCTACCGCAATTACGGTGTTCATGTAAGCCCAGCCCGAAGTGCTGTTGAATGTGTCCTCAGCTTCTGGCAGGGTTTCGAAGAGATGAACGAAGTAGTGAAAATTGAGAAGCGGATAGTTGCCAATAACGTCATCGTACAGAGGCATCAGCATTGTGATGGCCTCTTCTCTGTCGAGACGCGGAGTAAAGACCTGTCTGTTGAATGTGGAACAGTACGAAGCCGAATTGATTTCCCTCATTCGACTTGCAATCACGGCAAATACGGGCATCTTTTGAGCCACCTGCCTCGGCGGCTCAAAGATGTGTTGAGGTGCATGTGCCTTGGGAGTGGGATGGTCGGATGAGTCGCTGGGATCTACCGCAGTCGCGGCTTGCTGTGGCTCTGCTACGTCGATCATGGGTTGGTCTGTCGACATTTGATCAAAGGAATTGTCGACTCTGGCTGAGTCGATCCGGCTTGGTGCACCACCGGTACCGGGAAAACCCGGAGGAGCTGGTGCCACAGACACCGAAGCTGCGTCGGTCTCTGATGGTGATACTCTCGTGGGAGGCGCATCTGGGCGGGGCAGGCCAGCTTGGTTGAGAACTGCTTCCATCTTTGAGAGGCGCTCTTCGAGAGCTTGAATGTACATTTTACTGCAAAATACTGAAGTCAGTCTATGGTGCCTTGAATAGACGAAATGGACGATACGGCGTACCTCCTGCCTGGGCCACGTCGCCTCTGCACTTGCTGATACTGACAATCGTGGCTACGGGTTGTGCAAGGCGTGCATGATGGTTGTTTGCCATCGCACTTGATCTTTTTGGATTGGCATCTTAGGCAGGCCTTGGTCATACGGGTTAGCGGTCTCCATAACACATTATCATGTGTCTCTTGACAAGAATCAATACATACCTGTCCGATCCGTGCAGCCTTATCCCGTAACCGTCCGTCTACTGATTCCGAGCCCATGGTTGTGTGGAGACTTTCAAGCGACCATTCACCGCGTCTCGGGTATTAGCTTCGGCAGCGCGTCCGATGAGCCGGATGACAGGTGACCCACTTGTCCGGCCCGGCGGTGTTGTGTTTGGCCCGAAGTATCTCGGACGCGAATAGCTACCGGAAGGCCGCGGTCAAGGGATGAACTGGAAATCTGCACAATCCTCCTGAATCTCAGCAGGGTAGATTTCAGGAAGGGTCGGTTCTAGATTGTTGACATTTGAAAGACGAAGAGAGGAAGTAGTTTCATGATTGGTCCGGTCACGTAAGATCCGGATTCAAAATGCCTCCGGCTAGAGGCCACCTTAGGTAAGTCTGCACAGACATTTCTTAAGGAACTTCCCGAGTGCAATCTAATCCACGTGGAACATCGCTGCATTAGGCACTTTATTTACTCCGCTGGCGGACTCAGGCGGGAGTAATTTGTAACCAAGAAGCTTCCATGCTACTGCTACAATTCCATTGTGTGCTGCCCGTTACTGTAGAGTACACCGCAGCACCCCTTGTTCTAAGTCCAGCTTAATACGCGTTACAGCGAATAACACACAAATCCACAGACTGCTACACTCATTGGCCTTTCCGCCGAAACTTGCACTAGGTACGATGGCGTCAAGTCCGCAGCGCGCGGAAGATTAGGTGATGAAACTCAGAAAAAGATCCGCCTGGACAGGCGGATTCAATTGTAACAAGGGTCGCGATCGCTAGTATTGCTTCAAGAGTTGTATATATTTGCACTTACGTCGCTGCATTGAGCGTTACCTTGAAGCAGAACAACTTGAAGTTGAATCGACAAGCCGCGTTTCAAGACACTACCAGATCACACTTTTTTGAAGACTTATCTTCTCACCTTCTCGCAACAATGGCAGTCATCGCAGTCGCTGGAGGAACTGGCAATGTTGGCCGAACCATCGTTGAGGCCATCGTCGCTGCCGGCAAGCACGATGTCAAGATTCTGGCCAGAAAGGTATGCAAACTCATTGTACTTTGAGTATGAGACTGACACAGGATTAAAGGCCAATCCTGAGTTGGAGAAGCAAGTAGGCGCATCCATCATTGCTGTGGACTACGCGAACATCGAAGCCACCACGAAGGCTCTTGAAGACAACAACGTGCACACCGTTATCTCAACCATCAACATGATGCCTCCGTCGGGTGAGGCGCCGCCGGAGATTGAGCTCATTCGCGCTGCCGACGCATCCAAGACGACGAAGAGGATCATTTCCAGTGGTTGGGGCATTCCTCACAACGAGGGGTTAGTTTAGGAAGCCTACAATCTCTTGGTTGAGAGTATGTATGTGCTGACATTGACGCAGGCAAGCCGGCATGTTTCCGTCGGTCCCAAACAAGCTCAAGGCTCAATCTTTCCTGAGAAATGAGACCAAAGACCTTGAGCACACTGTGGTTCACAATGGCTTCTTCCTGGATTACTGGGGTCCTCAAGCCGAAAAGTCGAACATGACCCCCGTCACTTTGTTCTTTGACATTCCCGGAAACGCCGCCGCCATCCCTGGTTCTGGAAACACACCCATTGCGTTTACGCACACAAATGATGTCGCCAAGTTGGTAGCTGCGTCTTTGGACTTGGAGAAGTGGGAGCCCGACACGTACATTGTGGGCGACAAGGTCACTGCGAACGAGTTTCTTCAGCTGGCAGAAACTGCGAAAGGTCAGTGCAACCAACCAAGTCTTTTGTGAAACGAGAAGGCGAACGACTGACTGACTCTGTCTTAGGCACTAAGTTCGACGTTGCTTATGACAGCGTCGAGAATCTGAAGGCTGGAAAGCCCACGGAACTTCCTGGACAGATCCCGGCATACGCCTTCTTCCCTAAGGAGGCTTACCAGGGTATGGCTGCAGTGTTTGGACTGTGGTTTGACGATGGCACTTTCGATATCCCGCCCGCTGGTCAAAAGACTTTGAACGATGTTTTCCCAGAGATCAAGGCCTGGACGGTCAAGGACATCCTCAACAAGGCTTGGAAGAAGGCATGAGTGGGCGCAGCATGTTTCAACTACGCCTAGAACAGTCTTTTTAAACCATGTTGTCTACTTCTTTGCTAGCAAAATTGAGCTTGATGTCCCACCCCTGGTGATTCGGGACCAATATAACGTCGGGTATGTTAGAACTGGCAACAACGTGAGGATATTTCAGCATCGCCTGAGGCAACCTAGTCTCAGTTCACAATCACATTAGAATCTAACAGTCCCTAACATCTAACAGTGACCAATCATAAAGAGCCTCATTCCGAGTACAAGTCTTTGCTATATTTCCGCGCCCAAGTGTCAAATCGGGATTCGGTTTCCGCAATCATGTCTTGATTGGTCGCCAACTTACACTCTATGAAACATGAATCCACCAACAGGGCGTAGCATAGAATAGAATGACATGAACGATGAGATATTTTAACCCAGTAAAAGCTCCTGTCACTTTGAACGCTCTACCACCAGGTAGCGTGGCCGCATGTCTTCACTGTCGAATATGGATGCTCAACCCTTCATACGCCCGGGCATCTCTCAAGGTACAGTGCCACTGAGTTCCGTTCCTGAAGAAGTAGCTCAAATTTCATGTTTCTAGATGTTCCGTTGATTCTGCAATTCATACGAGACGCCGCAGAAGAACAAGCTCCAGGATCGATCGTCGGCGCGACGGAAGAAAGTCTCACACGAACACTTCACCTTGATGCGCCAACGAACGAGACTGAATCAAATGGAATCCCTCAGCGATTCGCATGGCCCTTGCTCATCTATTCGCCAAATGGCCAACCAGCTGGCTTGTTGATCTACTTCTACAACTTTTCGACCTGGTCAGCGGCTCCAGGTCTCTGCCTGGAAGAGCTTTACGTCCTTCCTGAGTATCGTCGCCACGGATATGCAAAGCTGCTGTTGAAGGCAATGGCAGTTGAGGCACAGAAAGCTGGCTGTATCAAGATGGACTGGGTCTGTCTTTCCAACAACGAAAAGGCCTTGAAGTTCTATCGGAAGTTGGGAGCAAAGACAATGGAGAGTTGGCAAGTCCTGAAAATGAACCAAGAAGGCATCAAAGAATTAGCTTCGAGTTGAGGATTCAATAGTATGGATATTGGATGAATGACATCCATAAGATTCGGGTGCGCCATATTGGCGATTATAAGACCGCAGACCTGGGAAGTAGCACTGTCTGTCAGAAATACCACGAAAACATTGCAAAGTCAATCAACCATCTACCAAGACATATATCTAGATTGTCATGTACTTGTGCACAGTACATAGAACTACCGAATCGGGCAATGTCTCTACATCCAGATTCTCCAATGCCAAGCGGGACAAGACGAGACTAGCAAGCACCAAGATCCCAATTATCAAAAGTTCTTACCCCAAAAGTTGCTTTACGGTCGATTGAAATGCGCTGTCAATTTTAGACATGGCGTACGACCACTGGACAATGTGCTACCTTCCAAGCCTCGAACATCAGCACTAATTGCGCCGCGTCTCCAACGACGTCATGCGCGACAACTACGGGCTTCCGGATCTCGAATTAAACCTCCGTGTCCGGGGTAAAGCCCGCCCCCTTGGTGGCTGATAGATGGGATGAAAAGCATATAAAGCCGTCATCCATCAACCTGGTTCCTCGCAATTAACGACAAACGGTTCCTTGTCTCGCCGAAACCCCCGCGAATGAAGTCTGCCGGTCCATTTGCAGCCGCTTTCAGCTCATTTGAGGCGCGCAACTACACCAACAGCTGTTGGCAGGGAATCGGCTCCCGACCCACCATGGATCTGGCCAACTTCTGTTGGGAGAATGCGCAGAGCCTCTACGCCAAGAATCGCCTCTTGTTCGAGATATTCTGCACGACGAGTTTCTGGGTGCCGTACCTGTTTCCATCCTACAAGTATGTGCGGTCTCGGAAATTTGCCAAGTATGCAAAGTTGCCGTACGAATCCCTCGCTGCTCACCTGATTCTTGGAACCGTCGTGGTAGCCCGGTACTACTACCTGTATGCCACTCTCGGAGAGTCTCCGGTCCCAACCCTGTTTGATCTCGTCACCGTTCTCGCCTTCTCGGCCACCGGCGTCCAGCTGTCCGGGTACGTCCACGAGGGAAATGTCCCCGTTCTCATGGCCAGTTTCAAGGCAATGGCGCTCCAGCAGGCGATCGCGACCTCCATGGGGTACGCATACGGGTCCGCGCACTGGCATCGCGCCGGCGTCAAGCTGATGGACGCCTTCGCCTGGGTCCGGTGGATGAACGAGTACGGAGGCGTTTTCCAGGGTTTCAGAACGTACGGGGCACGGTTCACGGCGTCGGTCGTGATCTCTCACCCGCTGTGTCTGTGGGAGGGCGATTACCCCGCGGGGATGCCTGCGTATCTCGCCATGTTGTTCGCGTTCCTGGCCGTCGACAAGTGGGCATCACGAAAACTAGACGGAAAGTAAGTTGCACTAGAAAACCATCCCGAACCGCACGCCATCCGATGATTCGCTGACCTCGCCGTTACAGACCGGGATCAATCCCCCGCGCTCTTGCGTTCTGCGGGTTTGTGACCGTGGAGAAGAAACATCGTGACGTGAAGCTGGGGAATGCGGAGAGTGAGGAGTTGACGGGCGCAAAGCTGGAGTAGATGTTGAAGATGGCACAAAACATGGCACACGAAGGTCGAAGAAAGTTTCTGGGCACGTTGCGGGTTCCCCAAGAAGTTTTGGTCACCACACTCAGAAACAACAAGACGCAGGGTGGGACCTTGGCCGATAATTGACACATCGTTTACTGTCACGTAGAAGTCATCAGAACACTCAGAAGGATTCCACGTTTCAAGATTTTTGTTCTTGGCTGCTCCTTGTTGAGGCAGCGTGGACATGAAGATTTTGCTTTTGATGGATCGTCACCGCATGGTTGAGTGGGCTCGGTAATCCTCCGAAGACTGAATGCAGTCAAGTCGGGGCGGGTGGAATACCGAAATCTCGCATGTCGAACCAGGTTCAATCCCAAATACCGCTTTGCTAACAGAAAAAGGTTGCCATCTCCATCGGGGAATGGTAGCCGCGAAAGGGGCGACATGAATGAAGCCGATCGGCTCGCTCGTCGCGTCTTTGGCAAGCCTACCAGGGTCTCCCCTCTGAGCTGAAGAACACGAGGGCAAGTCTGAGACTTAAATACTTTCAACGTCCCTCTAGCTGAATGAGGTCACTGCTCATCTGAAAGTACGGAGGGGCCATCTCTTTTATATGTTATGCCGCTCTTATTGTCGCTGTTCCAGACGGGATAACTGACGTTGATCGACTTAAGCCGTTATCCCCGTCGGCTTCTTCGCCTTCGCGAGTCAGCCTGAGTTCGTTCGTGACGTGGGGGTTCGGCCGGTTTGCACAATCCACTGATGTACTTTGTTCAATGTACCCTTAGGGCAATTCTTGGCCTACGCTCGCGCCTTGGCGACCGCGGTCTGCCGTCTTGGCTGTGCTTAATTTTCGCCGCATTCCATGGCGTTGAATCTGTGCTCCGTTGACAACTTCAACGACATTTCGTCTGAAGCGCGATATGTCGTCCTGTGTGGAGCCAATACCTGCCTTTTTTTTCTTCACCGAATCGTCCATTGCATCCGACTGATACTCAAACGTGCATTGAGGCTCGTACGATGGATCTTGGTAACCACTCACTAACCCCTTATCCGCCCTGAATGCCGACTCCGCAGCTGTGAGTGATGGCGAGAGGGAATAAAAGCACCAAGGCGGATCCCAGGAGGAGCCTTTCTGGACGAGGCGACGAATGGGTGGGACGACAATTCGTCTGAGCGTCTCCACGAAGGAGGTCTGGTGAAGTTATCGCCGTTACGCGGACGGGAAGGGTGTGGTCCTCTCGGTCGACTTCCGATGTGAGCCCTGGCCGACTCACCCGGTCACTCACAACGGAACGCGTTCGGCATTGACGACACTGGCCCGCCTTCAGAGCTCCTCCAGACTCCGGTGCTCCTCCAGACCTGTCTCTCTCCTCAACGTTTCTCCATCTTTTGGCCCTCCACACGGTCCAGCTCTTACACACGGAGAAGTAAGCTGCTTTGGATTATGAATCTGGCTTTACGGCCAGAATCCCGCGGGGTCTCCGCACCTCTCCCCACAAGGGTCATGATGAGATGAACGCGGCCGGTGACTGAAATTCTTTAAGAGAGAGGTCGTCCTCGCCCTCAATCGGCTCCTTCTTGCCTCTGGTTTCTTATCCCATCTTCGTCGACTGCCTGTTGCCCTGTCCCGTCACTTACACACACCGGCTGCACTTTCCCTTTCACCAGAGTTCGGGCAACCTCCGTGCGTACACAACATCAGCCGTCGACCATGGGCGCAAACTTCTTCGGGCTCACGGGCAATGCCCTGACCATGCTCCAGCTTGCGCTGGTCGTGTGCCCGTCATTCATCCTCTTCGGATACAACCAGGCAGGCCTTGGTGGTCTTCTCACCACCGAGGACTGGGTGAAGACCTTCCCCGAGATCGACACCGTCAACACTGAGGGCGCTACCAAGAACAAGAACTCGACGCTTCAGGGCTTCGTCGTCGCCACCTTCACCATCGGTGCCCTCATCGGTTCCCTTTCTTGCTCCTGGTCCGGTAACAAGTTCGGTCGCCGCAACGTCATCTTCTTCGCCGGTGTCTGCTCCCTCATCGGCGAGGTCCTCGAGTGCTCCGCCTTCTCCCTCGCCCAGCTTATCGTCGGTCGCGTCATCGTCGGTCTGGCTATCGGTCAGCTGTCCTCCATCGTCCCCGTCTGGCAATCAGAAACCTCCGGCGCCGCGAACCGTGGTCGCCATGTCGTTCTTACCGGTCTCTTCACCTGCGTCGGCTACGTCCTCGAGAGCTGGATCAACCTGGGTTTCTGGGAGTTCAAGACCGGCCCCGTCACCTGGCGCCCTCCCATCGCCATCGCCATCCTCTTCTCCCTGATCCTGATGGGCAGCATCTACTTCCTGCCTGAGTCCCCCCGTTGGTTGGTGATGAAGCAGAAGTCCGAGCAGGCCCGTGGCATTATCGCCGCCCTCCGTGGTCTCGACGAGAACTCCATCGAGGTTCAGGCCGAGCTTGCTGGCATTGAGCACTCCCTCGAGGAGACCACCGCCAACGCCGCCAAGCTCACCGACATGCTCAAGATGGGTGACGACAAGCTCCTCTACCGCTTCGGTCTCTGCATCCTCCTGCAGTTCTACCAGCAGATGTCCGGCTCCAACTTGGTCTCCGTCTACGCTCCCATCCTGTTCCAGCAGAACCTTGGCATGAAGAGCGAGGCTTCCCGTGCTCTGGCCGGCGGTGCCCTCACCTGGAAGTTCATCTCTTCCTTCGTCGCCTTCTTCACCATTGACCGATTCGGTCGCCGCGTCGTCTTCATCCTCAGCGGTATCGGCATGGCTGCCTGCATGATGTCTCTGGCCATCACCACTTCCTTCCCCAAGGACAACCAGGCTGCCCAGATCGCCGCCGGATGCTTCATCTACCTGTTCAACACTTTCGTGCCTATCGGCTTCTTGGGTGCCAACTTCCTCTACTGCACTGAGGTCGCCCCCATCCGTCTCCGTATGGCCATGTCCTCCATCTCCACCGCCAACCACTGGCTCTGGTAAGTATTGTCTCAACCTGTCACATGTCACGCATCGACTAACAACTTGTCCCAGGAACTTCATTGTCGTCATGATCACCCCTGTTGCCCTCAACACCATCGGCTGGCAATACTACATCATCTACGCCGTCATCTCCGCTTGCATTCCCGTCAGCGTCTACTTCCTCTACCCTGAGACCATGGGTCGCAACCTGGAGGAGATCGACATGCTCTTCCGCGAATCTCCCTCCGTCTTCGCCACCGTGCGCTTCGCCAAGAACCGCCCGGTCGCCATGCCCCAGGAGTTCGATACCGAGAAGCCTGGTGACAAGGCGCAGTACGTTGAGCAGAAGCCTGAGGACTCCTCTGCCTAATTGGATAATACGAAGTAATGTGTGTTTGGGGTTTGTGCAGGTCACCCCATGAAAAGTCATAGCATGAGCAAGCGGTAGTGATTTCAAGAATACAGTAAAAGTACCGATTATGGTACAATTGATACCACATCAAAAACATCTGAACAGGCCTCATTCTTTTCGTGAACGTGTCCAGATTCTCTATGTGCCAAATTGCAATGGCTGGCAATCAAGAACCCCGGCCAAGGGACGGAGCAATTTCCGCTCGGTTGGAACGAAACAAATGAGCCAGACCAAAATAAAACTGGGAAGAAGCAGTCCACAGTCCAATGAGAGGATCTTCTTTACAGAGATGCACCCGCTCCTTGTCAACCATGTGCTGCAGCATTTTCGGCGAGGTTGCCGGCCCACCAGGAACCCCTGCCCCGACATGAAGGCCCTTGGCAATGGGGATCTCTAGGTTGTTGAAACCAACAGACTAATTATACACCTCACGTAGCATCGTTTGTTTCTTCTGTCGTTTCTCGGGGTCGATGTGACCTTTGTGCGTTGAAACTTTTCAGGACGCGTCAGGTTGTCGGATCTATATATGTTCGCATCGGCCCCGCGACGAGTGATTCAATTATTGTGATACTCAATGGTGAGAACGCCAAGACGTCGCGCAGAGTTGCACTCAGAGCCTTGCAAGAAACGTGAGAAACATGAGATCCGGCCGTGCGGGAGTTTCCACAGGTGAGGTGTTTCTATCACAGCTTAATCCGACAGTCAAGCTGGCGCTGCATTCACACCTCAGCCGCTTTCAGATATGTTACTTGAAGAAAAAGCTGCTTATCGGGGAGACCACAGTCTAGCAAATCAATGTGAATCCAGCTCTCTCAATTGACGCACACGAGCTGCCACAAGGTGCGATGAGCAAGAGCGAACTTTTGTTCGGCCACACAGCCAAGTTAGAAACCAACTGTAAGGTCCAACATAGTAGTTGAAATTACAACACTATTCACAATTCGTCAACGTTATGCTTGTAAGATCAAGCCCTCTAGCTAAACTCTTCCGCAAAGTAGTGTCATCAACCAACCAGTGGGGTTGTGAGGACCTTGTAAATCCATATCCAGAAATGGAATTTGAGGGTATTGCTATTGGCGGAGGCTTCGGGCATCTTTCCGTGTGATTACCCCCTCGGCTATTTGTTGCGAAGCGACTACCGTCTTATTGCCTGCAGGTTGTAAGACGTTGGTAATTCGCTCTTCTGAAGCGGTGAGGAAATGCATCGCTAGAAGCAAGCCTTTGCCCACCTGACATCGTGGCATAATTTACACAATAAGAACAATCGTGAAGAATACACGTAGATGTGTTACTGATCAGTGTAGAAAGATACAAATAAAATATTGATATAGATCGCTCGCAGAGTCAACGCTGGCTCGCTTGCTTTACGAAGAAATTTGAACAAAATTATAAGTAAACCGCCCAAACCCCCAATCCGTTGGTGTATGTGTCTTGATCCCCAACACATGGGTATTTCCATCTGTGTCCATTACCCCGAATCCCATTCTTTGTACACGACGCCCGTTTACCACGCAGTCTTGCCGAACACACTATTAGGCCACCTGCGCACAGCGTACTTCCTCGCCTCGTCAATGAGCAGGATGCCAAGGCCGAAGGTCATGGGCAGGAACCAGTACTCGACAGGCACGATGGCGGTGCCGAGGGTGCTCTGGAACTCGGGGACGTACAGCCAGAAGAAGACCATGACGAGGGAGAAGGCCACCGCGGGGAAGAGGTACAGGTTCTGGGTGCGCTTGTTGCCGATGGGCGGGTGCTGGAAGAGGGACAACCTCCTCGTGCGGACGGCGAGTAGGTTGAACCACTGCATGACGACCAGGTTGACGAAATAGATGGAGCTCGCGACGTTGAGCTTCTGCTGGTAGAAGTCCTGGTCGATGCCCGCGGGGAGGTTGCCGAAGGAGAACCAAATGTCCCTGAAGCTGATGCCGTTGCGCTCGAGGTACCAGTACGACATGGCGAAGGAAGCCAACGTCTCGAGCACGCCGACAAGACCGTAAGCCTGCACGACGAGCTGCCAGTCCACGAGGCGGTCCTTGCCGGGAACGCGGGGCTTGCGGGTCAGGACGTCGGCCTCGGGCGCTTCGTAGGCCATGGCGATGGCGGCGGCGGCGTCGGTGAAGAGGCAGATGATGATCATGAGGAAACTGCTGAGGATCTGGGGGATGCCGAAGAGCACGTTGGTCATGACGGGCCAGAACTCGGAGAAGGAGCCGGCCGGGAGCAGGTACGCGACGGTCTTCTTGAGGTTGTCGAACATCATGCGGCCGTACCGGAGAGCCTCGACGACGCTGGAGAAGGAGTCCAAGAGAACCATGTCGGCGGCCTCGATGGCGATGTCGCTTCCGGATCCGAGGGCGATGCCGACATCGGCCGCGCGCAGAGAGGGCGCGTCGTTGACGCCGTCACCGGTCATGCCTACGATCTGGTGGCGGGCCTGGAGCTCACGGACGATGCGGAGCTTCTGCTCGGGTGTGGTGCGCGCGAAGACGATTTCTTGGTATTGAGCCAGCTGGTCCCACTGGTCGTCGTTGAGGGTCATCAGCTCGGGGCCGGAGAGAACGATGGCGTGACGCGGGGAGGATTCGAGGTCCTCGATCACGGCCTTGATGGAGGGGTCGACGGTGGTATTGCGGTGAAGGGCCGAGATGTCATCGATTTCGGAACGGGGGACGCTGATGATGTTGCATTCGGCTGCGATGGCTTGGGCTGTGAGGGCAAAGTCACCGGTGACCTGTACCAGTTAGTACTCCATCTCGACAGAGAAATAGATTCAAGTTATCAGACTCACCATGAAGATGCGGATACCGGCGCCGCGGAGAGTGTTCATAACCTCAGGGATTTCAGGGCGAGGAGGGTCGACGATACCGACGATACCAACGAGAGTGAGTCCAGATTGTGCCTGCTTGTTGATTTCCATCTCATAGGCGCTGTCAGAAGGGTTGCTGGGGAGGGCCGATCTGGAGATGGCCTTGCGAGCGAGAAGCAGGACTCTGCGTCCCTGAGCAGACCACTCATCCTTGATTCCCTCGATCGAAGCGCGAGTCGCGGGGTCCAGAGAAGTAGTGTATCCAGAGGGATTAACGTAGTTGCTCAGTCTGCTCATGAGAATCTCGGGAGCACCCTTGATGGTCAGAAGACTACAAGAACACGTCAGCGTCTCGTTCTCATTGTTAACGTTGGACTGGTGAAGAACTTACACGTCACCAGGCTGGAAAACCGAGGCGGTGTCGGAAGGCAAAGCAAGAGACAGACCGTCGGGGTGCGAGAGACCAAGCGCGCGGATCATGTACTTGTTCTTGCTGTTGAACGCAAGATCGTACTTCGTCGACCAGCAGCGCTTCAGCTCGGCAACCTGGCCCAGACTCTCAGAGAAGCGCAGGATGGCTTGGTCCGTAGCGTCACCGTGAATGACACGCTCGTGAAGAGGCAGGCGCATGGTAGCCGCATCGAACTGTCCAGCATTGCACAGACCGGCGATGGCGCGGAGCTGGTCCAGAGCGTTGTTGTTGGGCGAGGAGTGCTTGTTTACCGCCATGGTATCCCGAGCACCCTGAGCAGTCATTTTGTTCGTTCCGATGGCGCATTCGGTGACGATCATCTTGTTCTACTGCGCTGTTAGTTTATGTTCTCCTTTTTCCAAGTTATTTTTTCATCAACGCACCTGTGTCAGAGTGCCGGTCTTGTCGGAGCAAATGATGGACACAGAACCAAGGGTCTCGACAGTCTTGAGAGACTTGCAGAGAATCTTGTTCTTGCGCATCATGTTGGCGCTGATGGTCATGCTGGCCGTCAAAGCAACAGGGAGACCCTCAGGGATGAAAGCCACAGCAACAGACACGCAAGAGATGATCAAGTTGGGGACGTTGATCCAGTTGGGGTACTTGACTCTCAACCACGAAGCCCTGCGCGATTTAATCAGCAAACCGTCAAATTCAGGGGTAGGCACCGCGACAAAACCACTTACCAGACGATCAAGACGAGAACAATCATGAGGAACATGATGGAGCAGATGATGAGAACGAAGTGCAGGACTTCACGTTCCAGCGTAGTCAGTCCCTTCTTGGGCTCGTTGGTCAACTTGGCGATGCGTCCGAAGATGGTGTTGTCGCCCGTGGCCACGACCACACCGGTGCAGGTTCCAGACACGCAGTGGGTGCCCTGCAGACCGATGCATCGGGTTTCGAGGTAGTTGTTATCCGTAGAGTCAACCGCAGCGGGCAAAGGAACCGATTCTCCTGTTTTCACGATTCTCGTCAGCGAAAATATTCAAGCCTGGCTATTAAGACCACAACGGACAAAACAAGGTGGAAGACGTACCAGTCAAGATCGACCTGTCAAACTTGGCATCCGAGGACACCTTGAGGAAGCGCACATCAGCAGGCAGCTTGTTTCCGGACTTGATGATCAGAATGTCTCCAGGCACGATCTGGTCAGCCATGAGCTCGATCTGGTTGCTATCGCGGATGACCATGCAGTGATCCGGAAGCATCGTCTTGATCGAGTTCATGACGCGAGAAGAGGACCAGTCCTGCCACATGTTGAAGGCGGCCTGGATGAAGAAGACGGCCAGCAGCACGATGGCGAGAGCCAGGTTAGCGACGGCCGGGGGGCTGCCCAGGGGCTTCCACGCGATGAAGACGAGGATGGACGCCACGAGCAAGACTGTACCGAAGCCCTTGAAGAAGTATCCGAGGATTCTCTTCGTGTTGTGCGAGGGGGGAGGCGAGGGCGCGTTCTTGCCATAGTGGGCGATGCGGCGCTGGATCTGATCCGGGGAGAGACCGTCGGTGAGGGAAGAGGACAGGCGACGGAGGACTTCCTCGACCGAGAGAGTATGCCATTCGAGTTCGGAGAGGTCTATGAGAAGACTCACGTGTTAGTTTCGTACAATCTCCAAAACATCACAACAACGAAAGCTTTTGTGTGTTGACACATACCTGTTGCGACATTTTTGACCTTTTTCGTCTTCTCAGCTTTAGACTTGAATTCTTCAATCTCAATAGACCTTTTGTTTGTTTTCACATCAGCACCAAGCCAATGACAACAACATTTCCGTTTTCCTCTTCCTGAGTTGTTTTTTCTCGAGAGAAGGGGTTAGTAAGATTGGGAACCGCGCTTACACCGTGCGGTACTGGATGGGCAACTCGGCAGCAACATCGATGGAGTTGCGTCTGGACCGGACCGAGTGAATCGACATGGACGTGTTGGAACGCGCATGATGCAGAGCAGGCCCGGTGCTCTGGCGATTGGCCTTCCTGCCGGCCTCCTCGTCGGCGTCCCAACGGATACGTTCACCGCCGCCCTGGGCCGGAGCCTGGGTCTTGAGCTCAGACTCGTCCATGTCTGGCATCACGCTTTCTGTCCAGCGGAGAAAAGATACAAGAAGGAGTTGTTGTTGTTTCTCACGACGAGTGACAGAGAGGAGGATAACCGAAAGGGAAGGAGAGAAGGGAGGACGGAGGAGGAGGAGGAGGAAGATGAGGATGTGAGAAGTGAGAGCGAACTTGTGAACGGATCTGCACTGCAACACCCTTACTTTTCCAAGCTGGCAGGGTCTTATATACACTTGGACGCTGTCAGGGCATGAAGGAGGACCGGACGCAGAATAGAGACCGTCTTAACCAGATCTAGGATAGGTCTTGGCAACTCTTTTCGTCCTGCCATATGTTTTACGAGAGACCAACCGAACTCAGTCAGCCTTCAGGGCTGGGGGGGAGCAGCAGCAGCAGCAGCAGCAGCCGTTGCGAACGGAGATTGCGGCACCCGCAGAACATCACATGGCATGGTCTGGGACGCCTTGCTTGAATTGTACTGACTTAGTTGGGACGGTAAGTAAGAGGTAATGGAAATCAAGCAAGGTGAGATTGGGGAGGGGGCCACGGCCACGGGTCGCGGATGGAGGCGCGGCTATTTTTTTTTCTCTCTATACGTCTCTTTCAAAGTCTCTTACACCGGGGCACTGGATGGAAGAGGAATGGATGGATGGATTGGATGGGATGGGATGGGATAGGATGGGGGTGCACAAGTTCAAACAGGCAACTCCAGCCTAGAGGGAGCCCGCAACTCAGCCCAAAGACAAATAAAACACACAAATCCAAGAGGGAACGTCGAGAAAGGTCAAAATAAGTGATGACAACGACGTGCGAAGATGGATGGAGGCTAACTTGGGGGTTGTATCTAAGCGCCAAGAGGCGGTGAAATGGCACAGCAAAGGCACAGAGAATCCAACGTGCTCGCCGTACTGTGGGAGAAGAGCGGGATGCCGCATATTTTTGCTTCAACGCGGTCAAGGGGACTGGAGAGTCAGTCAGGCCAAGCTTGCTGCTCCCTGGGCTAAGCCAGGCCGGGTCGAGAAAGCCGGATTGCTTGTTTTGAAATGAGAAGCGCAGCGTGTCAGAGAAAACAACGTTGCGGCGTGCGGCCGCAAGAGAAGGAGGCGCCGCCTTTGGTAAAGAGAACGTGGAAGCGAAAGAGGTAGAAAAAAAAATAAATCGCTCATAGAAACGGTGTAAGTGGTGATGCGAAATTACAACGAGTTGAAGTCGTTGGAGTTGGATATCCAAGTATCTCTTGGCGCAAAGGAGGCTCTCCTGTGACTTGCCAGTGACAACCAATCAAGGTTTTGGCGCATCCTGCCCCGTGCTTTTTCGTCCTCGACTTCTTTTGCCCTAGACCAGAGGAGAGAGAGGCATGGCCATGTTCCCCGACCCGTGAAGTGCCTAGGTAACGGACGGGATGTGATGGGATGGGATGTGGATGTAGCCGTAGAGCCCACACCTGGACTGGGGCCTTGCGTCTTGTTCTGTTCCCCCAGTCGACGACAGGCCTGCAGAATGAGAAGAACTGAAGGAGAGAGAGGCAGAAGATGGCGGCGTCGTGTGAGAGAGTCTGAGTGAGAGGAGTGAGGAAGCTCCCCTTACCCTTCATCGTCTACGCCCTAGACTAGCTCACTCACCCCCCTCCCTCTCTCACCCTCGCTGCCTGTCTACCCTCCTTTCCAGCCCTGCATCTGCCTTGAATCCAGTAATTATGTGGTCAATGTTCTTTCCTAGCCTGGAATTCATGACCCAGAGAGCTTGGGGGTCTTGCAACTGTGCCGGCGACAATATCTGCATCCCGCCGCTACTGTAATCCCTCACTCACTCTCGCTTGCTCTGCGGAGTGACGTGGAAAGAAAATAAAGATAAAATAACGATCAAGATCTTCATGTCTGATTGGCCAGCACTGCCACAATTTTGTTTCTCTCCCCCCAAATTCTTCCCTCATCCGTCTCGTCCACCACATCACATCGCTCACTCACTCTCACCCACTCTCACCCCTTCACTGAGATTTGAGCGCGTGCAAAGTGAGACAGAATTACACGCAACTCTCGGTTTGCTGCAATCAGTTAGCACCAAAACACCTCCGGGATTCCCACTTCGAGGCCTTGCTCCCTTAGGGCAGCTCTCGAACTATATACCCCTCGTCACAAGCTCCTTGTTTGTTGTTTAGCTGTTGCTGCTGTCGTGAGGCGCCTTCATCTCAAATTCCCTCGTCTCGTCTCGGACCCGACGCGTCATTGCCAATCGGAGAGAACCTCATTCACGATACACCCCTTCTCTCGTCTATCGTCTATATTACAACGGCATAGTAACCTACCTAGGGCTGAAGGAATTCATGTTTATTTCTGTCCTTCTATTCTAATTTTTCAAGTCCTTCTTTGTGCGGTCGGCCACCACCGATTTCTTCATCACCAACGCCGCCGCCTCTAACCGTCCGTCTAAACTCCCCGCGGCCACCGCTCATTGAAGATTTCATAGCTCTCAAACTTCGTGAAAAAGATGACGGCTCACAGCGCCATCCCGCTTACTCGGCTGCTTAGCTCGCCCGCCGCCTGGGAAAACTCGGCTTGCTCCCGCTCACACCTCTTCTTCTTTGCATCCTTCAACTTTCCTTTGCCCCCAGCCGGCCAGCCAGCCCTCTCTCCGCAGGTAGGTATTCGCCGTACCTGCAATTGCAAAGTCATCATGGCGCTGGTGTAACCGTGATTATCACGCTCCCAATTGGCTCTCTTTCCCCGTCCCTCGTCACCTTCAATCGATGCACTCATGTAATCTACGTACTCTCACTGCCACGATTCCCCCTCATCTTCAAGAGTATTCTACTGTGCAGTACTATGCAAGTACGTATTGCCTCGACCTAGGTAGCTAGTCCGATTCGAAGAGAAAGCAGGCAGCGCGTGTAAGTGCAGCAGCAGCAGCATCTGCTCCGGGGGGCACCACAACCAGCCAGCCACCCACCGGCCGTCAGACTTACAGTGCTGACGAGGGAGAGGAGGAGGAGGCCAACCAGTAAAGGCAATCCCCTCGCATTGCCTCGCTCCATGCCGTCACGATATGTATGAGCCTTTTTTCGTGAACATACATCTGTAACCTGTCTGATATTGAAAAGAACAAGCAGAAGACGTCCCTCTCTCTCTCTCTCCCGAAAAAACTAGTGCCGATCTCATCACGCGGGCCCCATACACACTAGGTAGGCGGCCTCCTGGGCCCTCACCACCCACACCCCTGTTCCTGTTCGGCTGCACTTGGCCCTTTCTCCACGATTGCCCTTGTTCCTCCATGGTACGGCAGACGAGGGAAGCCAGATGGATGCTGCACCACACCCTTAAAAAAGTCCCGCATGCCCAGACCGATATTCTGACAGAGAGAGAGAGAGAGAGAGAGAGAGAGAGAGAGAAAGAAGAGAGGGACTGGGAAGCTGCTGGCTGGCAGGACGCGTGGGTAGGGGTAGGTAGGGTTTCTCCCCAAAACCCCCCCTCCCTCCTCCCCTCATCAAAGGGGTCCTCCTGCTCGCGTGAGAGGGACGGACCCGACAGGACGAGGACCCCGGTCCCCAGCAAGCAAGCAACCACAAGACGGACGAGAGAACTACCCCGACACTTGACTTGACCTGACGCACACAGCATCTGGGCAATTGGGCGCTGGTGCTGGGTGCTGGTGCTGGTGCTGGCTGCTGAGCATTTACTGCTTCCAACGAGCTGCGTACGCGATATACGTACATTGCCAACGTAGGCGCAGTCATCAGTCACAGTCCAAGTCAGCCAACCGAACACACCTGGAGCATCCAAGCCGGAGCAGCCAGATGCAGTACTCTGTACCTGACGGGATAAAATGTACGCAACAGCTGCTAGAGGCAAAACTAGTCCGTCAGGTACCGAATTTGCTGCTGCTGCTGCTGCTGCTGCTGCACGGGAAGAGGGGCGCAGAAGAGGAGCAGCGCTCGTCAATACCCCAATTCAACACCGGCGTACGCCCGCAATCCGCGTGGGCCACGCACACCGTACCGTCCATCTCCCAGCAGTCTTTTGTCATGGAATTCCCGTCCGTCTTCTTTCTTTGATGACTTTTGGTCCCGTCGGGGTCTGCCGACACCAAAGAATCAGACAAGAAAAAATTCGCTCCGCGCCACGGGCCACATGTCTAATTCTGGACCTTCTCGGTCAGTGCTTTCGTGGGCTCTCGCATGGCATGGCATCCTTCTCCAATTCTTGTTTGTCCTAAGAAGAGAAGGTCTCAAGACGGTAAAAGCGTACTGAATTGCAAGTGTATTAGTTCCAGACCAGCCATGACTGACAACCCAGCAAAGAGAAAGAGAAAGGACCAGGCCAGGCCGAACCAGCCTCTCAGAGGAAACTCGCTCGACTCGGTGCATCCTGAAGCCGATTCAATCCAATCCATCCCTCATCCATCATCGTTTCTTTCGAAGGCGAAAAAACGTCCAGTTTCCTACGGCACCAATATCCGGTCATCCCATCTCCTTCAGTCCATGAGAAAAGCACTCAAAAACTCAAAAAAAGTTCCCTGCTGGTTCGCCGCCTCTTGCGTGGCGCTGCTCGCTTTGCTGCACTCGACTTGCACATGGCTCTGTCCATTTATCCGATCCCAAACGGCCTCCTCGTCAGGTTCTGATGCACAAAGTGCTTCCCTTCCCTCATCCCATCTCATTCTCACCATTTCCCGAGCTGTTTCTGTTTCTCCCCTTTCCCCTGGATTTTTCCCATCTTCATCGTTTTCCGTTTCCTCGGGTTTCTTCTTGTCTGCCATCGTCGTCTTGGCTCGAAATCGACGGCCGTCTCCAACTGAATGACGTCGTTCCCCAAAGGGCCGACTCCGCTGCTACTGCTGCTGCGCCTCAATCGACCAGGACCCTACAGCACCAGTTAGCTGCACCACCAAGTCAGTCTGCTGCGTCTCGCGTCCTTTCTGTGGTGCCCTTCCCCGTCCCAGTCCCCGTCCCCCGTCCGGTCAAAGTCGGTCCAGTCCAGTCACCGGTCGATCCAGCTCCATTCGATGCACCTGTCGCCTTCGGAGTAAATTTTCGCCCTCCGCACGCACGCGCAGTGCCCAGAGAACCCAAGTCAGGTCTTCTGTAATAGTGCCCGTCGTTCGCACGTCGTCCTGGCCGTCGGGCGCCCCTCTCCCCTCTCTGTGCGACACTCTCTCCCACCTTTGCCGGTGTCTTTGAGTTTGCGTGCATTCTCACCACCAAACCCACCAAACCCCAAACACCACACAGATTCCCTCCCCCCCAAACAATGGCAATCGGTTTGCTGGGCATTCCAAGGGAAATCCGCGACTTGATCCTAGATCAAGTCATCTTCCTTCCCGACCGCGATGCGCCGCTGAACCCCTCCGTCAGCCAGGATCGGAAAAGGCGAGAGTACAAGGGTAAAGGGTTTTTCGACGGCCACGACGTCTGGGTCGAGAAGCAGCAAACCCGCGAATCCGCCCCGCCCGCCGGCACGCCCAACACCGCAATTCTGCTCGTCAATCAGCAATTGCACGATGAAGCCAAGGCCCTTCTTGCGTCCAAAGGAACCCATTGTCGACTGGACGTCATGTACGTCAAGGAGTGTGGCTTGTGGCCGACTTGGCTTGCCGTGCCAAGAACGACCCGCCATGCCGACAGCGTCCACGTCCAGTTCCGCATTTTCGACCCTCCGAAAGACGTCGACCCGGACTGGAAGAACGCAGAACAGTTTCGGGGTGGTGATGGCGGCCCGCCCTTTATCGTCTGGAATTTTTACGCCATGCTGTCTGGCTACCTGCGATACGGGCCGACCGCCTTCAGCAGCGTCGTCGCCGACCCAAATAACTTCACCATCAAGAAGCTGATACTCGACGTCGTCGCCCCGCCGGCGAACGAGAAGCACGACCGCCTAGTACCCGGAGATAACAGCCGCGCATCCAACCTGTTTGAGGGCTTCACTCATCTGGTTATGGATGCGGAAAAGCGCGAGCGCCGCGGGATCACTTGGCCCCGCCCGGCGGAAGGAAAGGAGCACCTCATACCGGCTGAGAAGCTTGCTTTCTTCATGTGCAGCCAGATCGGAGGGCTCCTCTCCATGTATCGTGACTGGGCCGACTACGGCGCCGCCCTGTACGAGGGCATCGGCAGCATCCAGATTCGCGTCAACGGCGAGATACGCCGCGACTTCGACATGGACGAGATGCTTGCCAGGTTACCCATCCAGCCCATTACGGCTTGGAACGAAAAGGAACAGCAAAAGAGACAGAAACGCTTCGACGACTGGAAGGCCCAAGCGACAACAATAAGACGGGCTTGGAAGAAAACGTGAGGGAGAGAGAAATGTTTGGCAATGACGAAGTAATGAATTTTTGCTTGGCCATACTGGCCACGGAGGGAGATACCCCCCTTCCTTTGCATTGGGCGGCGATACCACCGGATAGAAGGGTCCTTTCTTGGATGGGTTTTCCTTTGGTGCATGGTGCATAGTACAACCACGTCGGAGGCGAGGTCGGTCTCGGGGCGGGAGGAGTTCGGTTCGGACACGGCGCCGGGAATTGAGGGCCGGTACTGGGGGCCGGGCCTGAGTGTGCTCTTCCTACTTTACCGAGATAGGCTTTCTACCGCAGCCCGGAGCCTGGCGATATCAGAGTGGCTTGCCTTGCAGCATCCACCCACAACAATTTGTTTCCAAATACCACGAGATTCCGCATTCGCGACCACTTGCGTGAGCTGATCTTCCCAAGAGGCGGTGGGTTGACTGGATCCCTGAGGAAGTTCCCATGTCTGAGTGGTGGTGTTGTAAACCTCCCCGTTGGTGCCGTCCGGGTAGAGAATGAGGGCCGGGGCCTCAGTGACGACGCCCTCCGCGATGAGGTCCTGAACGGCCGATTCGAAGCCCTTGACGAGAGATTCCAGCTTCCAGATCTTTGTGCAGTTGATGCCGATACCCCAGGGAATACTCGCGGCGATCTCGGGGCTGAGCATGGCCCTCACAGCCTCCTTGATCGAAGATCCATCCGGCAGACGCTCGTCCTCGCCAGGGAAAAGTGAGGCAATCCAAAATGGAATAGCAGGCTTGGCAGCCACGACGCCGCTCTTATCCAGAGCCTGTCTCACAGCCATAATCTCGTCGGCGCGGGGGATGGTCTCAACGGCGACGTAGCCAACAGGGGACGAGAAGGCGCCTGCCTTGTCGAACAACTGCAGACGCTCCAGGTGCCAGTCGCGCAGCTTCTCAAGTGAATCGTGATCGGTGTCATAGGCGCCGCTGTACTCCTGGCCGGGAATCATGCAAGCTCCATAAGGGCCGATACTGAGTGCGGGCTTGGCGCCGTTTGCCCGCCCGGCATCATGGGCAATGCGAATGGCGTCTTGGATAAAGTTGCCAATGGTGGCTCGGTCAATGCCATTGGGGAACTGGGCGGTGCGCGTGTTGGCGAATCCATGGATTGAAAGCTGGTACGTCGCGGTCAAAATGATGTCGACAGGCACATCGCCAAAGTCCTTCTGGCAAGAAAGAAGCGTATCCTGGCCTTCGACCAAGAGATGAGTTGACCAGAGAGGGGTGACGGCCGAGTTAAACTTGATGCCATACTTGTCTTCGAGAGAGGTGCCGAGACCTCCGTCGAGGATAAGGACCCTGGATTTATTCGCAGTCGCGTCGGCCATTTTTTTGCGATCCGAGTGATAGGAAGGTCTGGACCTTTACAAAGGCGTATCCCGATTCAAGCACAATTTGGATTGGGCAGGGCGGAATAATAAATGAGTCTGGAGAAAAAGAAGACCAAATTGAGTATGGGAAGAATTGGACGCGGCGGGCGTGTTCTTGGAGGCTTGGGGGCTTGGAGGGGGACGTGGAATTTCTTGGGTCTTGGGGTCTTGGGAGGAGGAGCTGGATGGAGGGGGGTCACGGGGGAGGAGGAGCGGAAGGGAAGGCGGCAGGCGGCAGGCGGGCTCCTGGGAGGGTTCCACCCTGGAGGAAAAATTTGGGAAAAGATTACGACGACTTCTTGATGACTAACACCCTTTTGCTGCGTTTTTGGGAAGTTGCCAAGAACCACCGGCAGCAACTTCCGCGCGAGTGCATCACCCTTTCCCTTTCCCTTCCTTCCTTCCTGTTCATTTTTCAGCTTTTCCATTCGCTTGGATCACGCGGCCAATGATGAAGATGAAGTGAGCCCTAGATACGTCACAGACACGGCTCGAGAAGAATGCTCATCTGAATCTCATGCGCTCTCATGGCACATGTTCTTAACCATCGTGAGGCTCGCTCGACCCGGGATGCCTTGCCGGCGGCCTCATTCGTGCCAAGACTTTCGCGTATTTGGAGCTGGAGGGCCTCATTTTCAGTCATTTTCTCACAGACTCACAGAAATGACCGACTTCGCTTCACATTCGGACTGACTATCTTCACCTATCAAACGCCCTGCCAAGACGTTGAACCTTTGCGCCGATGCAACATGAATTAGACTTCTGTCATCTCATGTCGGGACGGCGCCGAAAGTTCTACGGCCTGCGCTACTGAGACCTAAGACGAAGCTCACCTCTACGTCCCATTCGTCCGAGGGAATCGAGCTGCTTCATTGAAGATATGAGCAGTGAGTCCAAAGCATTTTATCTACTGATAGATCACCACAGCGGGGGAATAAGCTTATTCGCTGAGTCGCGCACGACCTGCTCCAATCTCCAGATTTCGGCGCCCCTCATTTGGAGATTCGCAGAGCTGAGACCTGGACATTTGCCATACGTCATTGCTAAAGCTCTCAGATTGATGGAATAGAACTCACTCCGATAGACCGCCATTTCACATATCTCACAGCTCATCGTTCTCATTCATAGCAAGACGAAAGTTAAGGGCAGGTCACATTGGAAAATTCTCTCAGAATGTTGCACAGCTGGCGAGCATCTCATCGCGCTGCTCACTCAGCCTGGAGGTGTGATAGCATAATGAAATTTCGAACTCTTGAAATTATACATATGCACCATATCCGAATTTAAGTACCGATACAACACATAGATCAAACACGACGTGAAAGCAGGTCACGCACAGGGCTGAACTTCTACGCAAAGACACCTCAATATGCGATCCGCGCTCCGCGGGCTGCAGCAACTCTAGCTCCCGGTGACATGGGTCCCAAAAGTCCGCCCGCCGGGCAACGGGGTCCATATGCAAGCCGATGTAACATCGTTTGCAGTAAGTTCGACGCCGATGAAGCTGAAGAGAAATCCCCCTGAGATTTATTCCCGAAGGATTCACGACTTCAATCTTGAAGTCGCCTCTCATTTACAGAAACCGGTTTATCTTGTGCGCAATCATTGAGGTTGCCTGAACCGTGGGCTTGGCATCGTCGTCGCTGCTCATCATGAGGTCGCCTCGTTGACTCCAATTGCTTCTATTACGTTCCGGATACGCGTACGGAGTAAACGCCAGATCCCTTATCTAAAATGACCTCCATATCACGCCGAGCCCGTCAACCAACACAAGATATCATCGGACAAACCGGCCAACGACCCCGGTGCGCCTTTGCCCCTCCGCCGAGACGGGAGCTAAAATGTAAGACGGTGCTTGTCGAAAGAAGGGCGTGTTAGGCGCCGGTGGGTCCATCCAGATTTCACCTCCCGTCGCCGGTGTCGACTCACTCGGCGACATCAGCATTTCCTTATTTCAATCTCGACAATTCATTATCTTACTTCGTCATTCATTAAAGCCAAGTCCACCAATCTAGCACCTCACAATGGCGACGACTACAATAACCACAACAACAGCATCCGCCTCCACCTCCGGCGTCGAACTAACACCGCTCCCGCCCCATCTGAACCACAAACCCTCCCTGGTGACCCCTTCCGAGACAGAAAATGAGAATGACAGCGGTGATGACCCGGTCCTCCAAGCCTCCCGCCTCGCCGACTCCGCCGTCCCGGAAGGCGGCTACGGCTGGGTCGTGGTGACGGGCTGCTTCATCATCGCCTGGTGGATCATCGGCACCGCGTACTCATGGGGCGTGATCCAAAGTGCCCTAGTCGACGAGGGCCTCTCGACCCCAGCCGTTCTCTCCTTCGTCGGATCCCTGGCGACTGCTCTCATCTCGGCGCTGGCCATCATCAACTCACGCGTCATACGGCGGTTCGGGCCGCGTAGGACGGGGCTCATGGGCATGGCTCTCATCGGCCTGAGTGAGCTACTGAGCAGCTTCGCGGTGAAGAATATCGGCGCGTTGTTTGCGACGAGTGGTGTCATGATGGGCCTGGGCGTCAGGTGAGTTTGCTTTTGATTCAAAAATCAAATCATCACACTAACCTTTGGTTCAGCTTGTGCTTCTCAGTGGGTCTTGGCAATAATCGCGCAGCGTACGAAACAACTAACACGTTCAGATCGTCTCAGTCATCCCGGCGCAGTATTTCAGCCGTAAACGCGGCCTTGCCAACGGCATCGTCTTCGCTGGCGGTGGTCTCGGCGGTGCCGTCAACAGCTTCGCCCTGGACGCTCTCCTCCAGCGCCTCGGTCCAGCCTGGGCATACCGAGTCCTTGCTCTCATGACCTTGGCCACCGGTCTGCCCGCTGCATGGCTCGTCAAAGAACGCGTTCCCGTTCGAAGCTCCGGCTTCGTCGAATGGTGAGGCATATCATCCTGAAGACCCTCATGCGACGTGCACTAACATCCTCAAGGCGTCTCTTCAAATCCTTCACCTTCCTCGTCATCTTCCTCGCCGGAGCAGTCGGAACCTTCCCGCTCTTCGTCCCGCCTTTCTTCATGCCTCTTTACTCCAAATCCATCGGCCTCTCGTCCTCGACGGGAGCCGGCCTGGTGGCAGGCTTCAACTTTGCCTCGGCCATAGGCCGTATCTGCTGCGGCGTCTGCTGCGACAAGCTCGGCGCACTCAACGTGCTTTTCGTCTCCATGGCCCTGTCGGCAGTGAGCATGCTTGCCATCTGGCCCTCTTCGACAACGCTTGGTCCTATGATTGTCTTTGTCATCGTGAACGGCATCTCCAACGGTGGCTTCTTCTCCACGATGCCCACTGTCGTCGGTAACGTGTTCGGTTCGGCCCGCGTGTCCGTTGCGATGGGTATGATCGTGACGGGATGGGCCGGAGGGTATCTCATGGTGAGTTTTCTTTCCTTTAAAGATGGATCGAGAAGCCATCCAAGCTGACGGAATCCTACAGGGCGCGCCCATCGCCGGTTATCTCTTAGAGGCGTACGGAGGTGCCGATAAAGGTCTCCAAGCGTATCGGCCTGCTATGTTCTACGCCGGATCGCTGTCATTGGCATCCGCTATCCTTGTTGCCATGGTCAGGTTCCGCATGAACAAGAGCATCATGGCCAAACTTTGAAGCAAGCGTGTGGATGATCGCATAGGTTTGTATGATATTGTATCGGGCCAACCACAGGTAGTATCTGTCGGGATCGACCACACATGGCCTATAGACGTGTATGATAGTGTTGGAATTGGAGACGGAAGAATTGCATGCATGGTTTCCGAAGACCGGCCGGCGGGCATAAAAAAGAGTCGGTGTGACTCGGATGCTGGCAAGGAAAATGCAAATATCCTCCCTGTACTGTTCACGCAGCTACACACAATCTCGCTGGCAAGATGTGAATATGCTTACATCGCAATCCTTCCGCTTTAGCTGTCCCATATCAATCCTACAAGACCCTCGCAGATTTCACAACGCAAACACCACTACCTGCCGAGCCGCTGCTGCCTGCGCGACCCCGCTATCCGGCAGCAGCCCGTCAACAACTCCGGCGAAGGCCTGGGGCTGGATCTAGATCTGCTAACATGGCATATTCCGCTAACCAAACCCAGAATAACCGAATTCCTAACCTGAGTCACGCCGATCTATCAAGCTGGCATTACACACGTGCCGTCGTGCTCCCCTCGCGTCTGCGTCTAGCCGGAACGCGGCAGCTGCCTTCACCGACGCGCTCCGCGTCTGGTAGCTTGGCTAGCTGAACGCCTTTGACGCCATTGGAGTACATAATACCCCGCCAATCTCCCTTTGACCTCGACTTCCCTTCCCTCGATTCACAAGCAAATCAACCACCAAGCTTTCTCCCAGCAAAACATCCAACCGCAACCATGTCCGTCGACCACATCGGCCTCTACGTCCCCGCCGGCATCTACAAGGAAGTCATCGAGTGGTACCTCGGCGCCCTCGCCCCGATCGGCTTCAAGAAATTCGTCGAGCCGAACGAGTACGCCTGCGGTCTCGGCGTCCACGCCCCCGACTTCTGGATCGCGTCCCACAAGGTCGACGAGGCCAATATCCCGCTTCACGTCGCTTTCAAGGCCGAGAGTAAGTAACCATGTGATGCTTTTCGCGAAATAATCAACTGACAGTCGCTCCCAGATCACAAGGCCGTCAACGAGTTTCACAAGGCCGCTCTCGCTCTCGGTGCCAAGGGTACCAAAGACAACGGCGCTCCTGGTCTGAGGCCGCAGTACCACCCGAACTACTACGCTGCTTTCTTCATCGACCCTGCCGGTAACAAGGTCGAGGTGGTCTGCCACAAACCGGAGGTCATCAATGAGTAGATTGCTTCTCGACGGATTACGTACGAATGATGATGCATGAGTGGAAGAGTATGTAGGGAGGGTCTACGATTCGCTGCAGAGCGTTTAGAAGTAGAAGTAAGTCTATTGAAAAACATTGAGACAAAATTGGAGGTCATGGCGAGCAGGCGTTGGAGGAGAGACCGGGAAGTGTCTGTTGAAGTGGTAGTGAAGATGAACTCTTGTTAGCCCTTGCGTCTACAGGGTATCTTGATGACCTTTCTATGAAAGATCGGATGGTGAATGCGAGGCATCTGCCGATGGTCCTCGCCATACTTTTAACGAGAGACAGAAGGTACAGATAAGCACGTCTGGTCGTCCACGCCGGATGCCTGCACGCCAATCTGGAACCGATCCATACGTTAATGGACTGTGCCCTCACCAAACTACTTTCCAGTCAACAATTTGCACCTGACACGGGTAAAAGTGACAGATGCGGCGTGTAGGCCGATCAGGAGACTAAGCCAATCAAGAGATGCCCCACGGGTCTATCTGCGGTCAACATTTAGTATCCGGGGAAGGCTTCCGGAAAGCGTAAATCTTCACTGCATTCTTAACCCACCTCAAGCTTACGAACTCCTCTTGGTGTAGCCCAATCAAAATTTCTTGTCCTCTACAGAGAGATTGATTTGGCATGATTTCAGTGACTAGTAGGTCGAACTGATCTTCAACGGCTCGAACCCGGCCTTACTAGTCAAGTCCTTCCACGTAAAACGCAGGCACATTAAAGAGACTCGCCCCGCGATCCGTCTACCACCGGCTCTCCAGTTTCCTTGGCTGGAGATGCGTCGAATCAGATGCTTTGGGAAGTCCATGCCAAGGTTCGCTTATACCGGAAGTCTTAAAGCGTCTCCCCGGTATGACCTTCACAGCAATTTGATCCCCCCCCCGAGGCCTCGCGAGCAGATAAGTGAACCTACCAAGACTCATCTACACTGCATTCTCAACCCCTCTCAAGCGGACAACAACGAGCACTGCCCTTCCAACGACCAGGTAGCTGTGGCTGATTGTCTAATAATGCCGCAAATGGAAACCTACGGCATAAAAGATTCTCCCTCTTTTCTATGCAGCTGATTTCGTTTGATGATCAGTGTCCCCCGTAACTTAGTCTTACGTCCATTACTTCCGAGCCGGATGGATAACTCACAAGTCGACACTACAAGAACTGTTGCCATGTACTCCGATCCGCTTCAGCACGAGCTCGGCCTCGGAACCCGCCAGACGAGATCCCCTACTCGACTCCTTAAGATAAAGCAGACCGACCATGCAATACTAACGCCCCCAGTACCCGCCCGGTACGCGCTGGTCCCAACTCCGGGCCCGACCGTAAATTGCGGGGCCGACCTCATTATCTCCGCCCGGATCCCGACCCGGAGGCGGTTTATACATGTAATTTAGTGCATTGCTTCACTTACAACTACGATCTTTCTGTTTCCCTTGGACTAGATTTGAAAGCGATTGAACCTGAAGCAAGAAAACGTTTCCATAACAGTCATGACAGAGTATTTGCAACATTACGCGACATCATGTCTGATGGATTTTCTCGCTACCAGCCAGGTCGAAATCATTAGCAGAGCGAAAAGGCTGTGCCTGTGCCGGCCGATATTTGGGGCCATTCATGGAGTGTTTTTGCAGGGCTTCACCGCATTTGTGACCTACCTCAAGAGAAAGCCGCCAAGATGATCTTCTCAGACAAACGCCTGGCGGCATCTAAGCCCATTGGCCCACGTCAGCGCGAGTACGCGGTCCCTCAAGCTGACTATGTCATGTCGCCTTCACTGCATTCTTAACCCATCCCGAGACGATGCCGCTTGGTACAACCCTTCGAAAAATTTCGACAACTTCGTCGACGACGATCCCACGTTCTCCAGAGATTCTCCTTGAGGAAAATACTTGCCCCGTGAAATAATCTCTAGAAGGGCTGCATCTCAACATCACCCATCTCTCACCGGCTCAGTTCTTACACCTGACCTACCACGCATACGGCGGCGAAGTCTTAGTCTTGAGATTGAAGAAAGCGTCCGTCTCGATTTCCACTACGGGGCCTTCTGTGATCAACTTTGGTCTTCCGGTGTTCTTCGACCAAGAAAGCACGCTCGATGAAGGATGTCTGCTCTAGAGAATGAGTACAAATGAGCGCATTAGTAGCTATGTTATCTGATTTCGACTGCGCGAGAGCTCCCACACAGCCTAGAAGATAGCGAATCAATTGTTTCTACAGTTTCACGACACGAAGAGCAGTAAACAAACAAGTGTTTGGTGGCTTTGCGACTGTCTTTTTCTTTCTCTTTTTCCTTCTTCTTCTTTTTCTGATTTTCTAACTGGCCTCAAGTCCCCGAAGGCACACAGAGGCTGACTGGCCCTGGCACCTTGTGATGTGTGCGGGGCATACCTGCACATATATGCTGCGAAGGCCTGCTGCGGCCTCGTACATGTAAGATCTGTAACATTAGTTTTCTGCACTGCAATGTTAACCCCCCTCGAGCAGACATCACCAAGCATGTCCCTCTAGTAACCCAGCTGCTTTGGCTGACGCGTCTGAAATCGCTGGATCTTCTTCTCCTTCATTCATGTGTACTCGTTGGGTATGGCGAACCAGAACAACAAGGGTTAGTGGCTGCATTGTATCGCATAGAGTATTGCATTCGTTCCTCACCTTCGTTCTTCCACGGTAGTTCCGAGCCTGTCACTAGCCTCAGCTCGTCATCATTGCTAATTGAAGGCTGCTACTACCTACTACCATGAACGCCGATCTTCTCCAACACGCCTTGATGCTCAACTTAGAGCTCGTTAACTGACATCAACTTACTTTGAACCCCCGCGGCGAAATAATCAAAGCGATCAAGCAAGACCTGCGCCCCAACACCCCATCCGATATCTCCTCCGGCCCCATCTCCGGCCCCGATCGCAAAATACGGGGCCGAACCCGGCTTCTCCACCCGGACCCTGATCCAAGTCCCGTTCACACCACATCTCCCCCAAGCCATCCGCAGGAACACGGCGCCATCCCCAGGCCCCAACCACACAGCAGCTTCTAAACGCGTCCCCTGTTCTTCACTGCGATTTTAACGCCGCTCAATGGACTCCAGTCTCGGCCGCCCCGTGAGAATACCCAACTCAAATAGCTCGTATCATACACCTCTAAACGCCACACACGTATTCTGTATCTTGTACATCGCCGTCAACATCGTGAGATCAACAGCTCCCAGCCTACCTGACCAACAGCGCATCTTCCGTGGTAGTCGAGGTTCTGAACTGACGAGTCAAGAAAAAAACGACGCAGCAAGATCTCTTCTAGCCTGGCTCTGCTGCAAGTGCAAGATGTACATCTCATCCGCTTATCAAAAGTTGAGCCCGGGGGGCCACCGGGGTATACGAATTTCACTGCCCCGGCTTCCTTGCACTTCGCATTGAAGGCCTGGTCGAATCCGGACTCAATGAAGGGGGGACGCCGGGAATGTTGGATTTTCACTGCATTCTTAACCCCCCCCCCAACCCCGAAGTCTGCTCACATTAGGACTCTTAGTTGTAGCATAGCCGAGACTTGTAGCAGGTTGTCTTAGGATGCAGCAGCACTTCACTGCACTTTTAACCCCCCTCGAGGTCTGCTCACCTCGGGATTCTTAGTAGCAGTGGAGTCAAGACTTTTCAGATCGGCTACCGCACCCAGCCCATCTTTTTCTTCACTGCATTTTTAACCCCTCCCGAGGCCTCACCACACCTGAGCTCACAACAGCCCATCACAACAGGCCACGGACAAGGAGACCAACGCCAAGTCACAAACGGCTGGGAACAAATCTCTCAATCTCTCAGACACCCAGGACGTATCATTATGCTCGCCATCTATGTCAATCTCGGAACACCAGACGCCTCGGCCCGAATATGCAGGCGTAACTCTAGTACGTAACGTAACCATTTCCAACAATCAAAATACCAGCCACCCCAGCGGTCTCACAGTCCCGTCCATGAGAGACAGCCGCGAAGAGTCGCCCCTTCACGCCGAGCCCCTGTCTCTTTGCCGCGTAGACGCCCTCAAGAACCCGACGCTTCTATCCGGGTATCAATTCCACAAGTATGCCCAGTCCTGACGATAGCACTTCCAATGCCCGCTTCCAAAGCCGTACCGAGTGTATCGACTAGAAGCACATGTCGTCCGCCGCGGATGTTTCCGCTTCAAATGCTGGTGCAGCTCTCCAACATTCACCTTCGCGGGGCCGGATGCAAACGGCACAACGTGATCTAATCGACGCTACTCGGTACGATGTTTGTGTCGATGTGTCCGACAGACCGTGTCTTCCCAAAACATGGTGTATATCAGGGTATCAATCTTATCATATTGCAACAGGTGCTCTAAGAATCGCCGGCGGCAGGTCGTGATCGCTGCGCGACCACTTCCCGTGCGTAAAACTCCACCAACATGGTCGCATAGGCTTCGAGGTCCTCCACGGGCACCGCAAGCCTGAAGTCGTTCAACAACAGGAACTGCAGCTCGAGATGGTTGAGCTCGGCCAATGGAAGCCCGCCGACCTAAGAGCTATTAGTATTGATCCATCCATGCGTCGGCGGCAAACAACATACCTTTGCGTATCTAGAGTTGGTGTAAAAAACATCCGAAAAGAACTTGCTTGCGCATGTTACACCGGCGATAATCAGCCTATGGATATTAAAGCTGTCGACCACGAAATATGTCGCCGTTCCGGGCGCGCCCGGAGGTGTGGGCTGAGGCACAATGCCCCCGCCGGTAGGTTTCGCGCTCTTCTCGTCCATGTCGTCATCGTCGGCAAGATCCGAGTCCGTCTCGTCATCGTCTCGCATTTCCACGTCGGCAGACGGTGTCCGGGGAGTTGACTGCGACGTAGACTGTCTCCTGGCCTCTTCGTGCTTGACCACCATCTCATTGACTCGCTCCGTCATACGGTCGAAGTAGACCAGCAAACTCAAAAAGACCTCGTATGTGGTGGGACAGTACTTGTGAATACGGGACAAGTAGCTAAGAATGGTAATGGCAGGGATGTTCTTGCCATGGAACGCAAGGACCGAAGTGCTGAGAGGGCTCATGGGCGTGCCGTTGCCTGACTCGTTATTCTGGCTGGCCTGCTGCTGATGGGCCACGTTTCGCTGCATGGCGTCGTGCTGCAAGTCGTTTGTAGTTGTGATTTTGGTGAGAAGCGCAGCCACCATTTCGATGATATCGCCAATGGGCATAGCGCTGATCTCGTACTTCATCTGCTGCAGCGGCGGATCGCCAAGGATGCCGGGCCCGTTGCCCGTCACCATGTCGGCCTGGGCCAAGCTCTGGATATGTGCCAAGTCGCGGATATGAATTGTCGTCTGGCCTTGAGGCTCCTGGCGGGGAGACGAGGTATCGGAGAGAGGGTAGGAAGGGGCAGCGGCACCGTTGCCGTCGGAGGCGGGCGAGGGCTGCTGCTGCTCCTGGCGCAGGGCGGGGGCGGTGCCCTCGGGGGCCACTACGGAAGCAGCATGGCTGGTATCGCGAGAGTCGGTGGCCATGTATGCGGGGCTCTCGGCATGCTGAGGCCTCGCTCGCGTGGGTGACGAGGATGAGGGGGGCGAGGGGAAGCGAGATGCACCTCCACTAGGCGGCGCGTGCTTCTCCGGGGCCTCGGCCGATTCCCAGTCAGAGCGCTTTTGGCGGGTGGGAGTGTTGCTGGAGTATCTCGGACTTGAAGGGCGTCTCGTAGGAGCTTCTCTTGACCGGCTGGCGGATCGGTAGTGCGACTCGTGCGAGTGTTGATGTTGGATGCCAGAGGTGGCGATCATGTTATGGAAGTGGGAGGGATCGGATACGTAGTCACCGATCACAGCAGCCATAGCATCGTATTATTCCAGAAAGGACTGAATTACGATTAGGGAGTTGGAAGCGGCAACTGGGAACAAGTTTCAGTTAGCAAGTTGCAAGCTAAGAATCACGAGCATGCGCAGAAGGAAAGCAGCAGACAACACAGCAAGGTGGGAAGAGCAGCAAGGTTGAGCAGGGTTGGAGGTAGGTAGCTTGATGACGCCCGAGGCCCTGGACGGCGCGACGAATGGCGACGGAGTAGTCGAGACTGATTCGACGGCTGGACTCGTACGATGACGAGCTTGTGCGGCAAGGGTCATCGTCCTCAGGCAGAGGCTTATCTGCGATGGTCCAGATTGGCTCGCCAGGGCGGGCGGGACAACGACAGCGACAGGGGCGACAGCGAGTCCACCTCGGATTAGGCGAGCAGCAACGGTCGACGAGCAGGTGAGCGAGGCTGTTGCGAGACGTCGCCGTCGAGGTTCGCGATGTGACGAGCAGGCCGATTGTGGGCGCAGGTACAACCGACGTCACATTTGCGAGTCTCCAGGTGGGAAGGGCGACAAAGGGAAGAAGCACGTGTGAAAGAGGCGACGGCAGGGAAGGGTGTCGGGCGTGAAGAAAGCGCGACGAGACCAAACAAGACAGAAAAAGCACTCACTTAAGACGTCCAACAAGAGTAGAGGAGAGAGCAGGGCCTGTCGACAGGCAGGATCTAGATGGCAGTATAGATGTAGAGTATCGACGCGGTGTTCCAGCGAGGAGGATCTCGGAGATGTAACGGTGGAGAGGAATTATTCGTAGACGATGCAAACGAGGTCGTTGGTGTCGCCGGTAGAGGAGTGGCAGTGGTAGTGGTAGGGCAGGTTAGGTCGAATTGGGAATCGGAGGCGCTCAGCAAGTAGTGGAAGCCAACGCTGCGGTAGAATGAGGCAAAAAAAAGGCGCGCCGAGTCTAAACAGAGAGCGAAGACGGAGGAGGCGAGGCGAGTCGAGGCGAGGCAGAGGCGAAGGCGGTGATGGCGACTATCGCGGGAGGAAGAGGGGAAAATCGGTGTCGCGGTGGATTCGTCCAAGTGAGACCCGGCCGGTATGTGGTAAGGTAGTCGCAGTCGCGATGGTGTTTCTGTTCCGTTTCGCAAAACGTGTGCGATGGCCCCCGAAAAAAAGAAAACAACAAAACGGAAAAAAGAGCACTCCTTCTCGATGTCGTCGTCGTGGTTGTCAAGTCTTGGTGGTAAGACGAGACGATGGGCCAGAACAGAAAAAAGGCAGGTAGAAGCAGGACGGGACTGGGGGGGTGGAAGAGATCGGGGGGGATGGCGGAGGGATGGATGAATAGAGGAAGTGGATGGCGGTGGATGATGGATGCACCTGCGGATTGCGTGTGTGGATGCAATGTGTGTGATGTAGGGACGTGGATGGTTGGACAGCAGGAAGGAAGTACTGTGAGGTAGGAAGGTAGGAACCGGCCGGAATTGAACAGCAAGAGCAGCCGGGTCTTTGGTGTCGGGCAGGGAAGGCGCGATGGAGGGGAAATAGCAAGCCTGTGCCTGCTCTTTCTAGGTAGCTGCTAGCTGTCCGGTGCTAGGAAAATAACAGAGTGGAGCGCGACGATGGGCTGGAACGGCAGCGAGAAAGCGCACAGGCTTCGGGCTTGGGCAGCTGAGAGGTGGACACTCAAGCACTGCACCGTGGGCTGTAGCGGTTGGTCTGGCGCGCGGCGTAGCGTGGGGTCGCTGTGAGTCGTGTCCTTCTTCAGTGAAGTGAACACTCAATTCACTATCACTATCCGTACCGAAGTACAGGTGTTCAGAGGCAGATTCAAGACCCTGGACGGATTGGCGGTCTGGTGGAGCCATATGAGGTAAATGGCGAAAAAGGGCCGTCCCAAACAGATCAAGATGAGCGTTTCTGTGTCTTGTGGCTGATGCGACAAGACTCGTGTCCACGACCGTTTTGAAATGGCTTCGAGTGCGCTGACCTTGTGCATCGTCTGTGTGTTTCTTTCCGGCGTCTTCTTCTTCCTCTTCCTCCTCCTTTCCCAATTCCATCTTTTCAACGACTCTATTTTAGCAACATTCACTGAATCAACCCGCACTGGACTTACTCAACTGACGGCGTGGCAGGCGTGGCGTGGCGGGATGGCGAAAAAAAGTCGAGATCCACCCGAAACATCTGATGACATAAACACGCGCTAGCTGCCCACCGCCGCAGCCACTCACAGCTCGCGCATCAGCAACAAGTCCAAGGGTCCTTTCCTCTCTCGTGCAATCGCTGGCTCGTGCCACCCACCCTTCTCCCCCTCCATCGGTACGTACCTCACACAAGGTATCTTCCTCAATCCTGGATCTTCTTGGCTGCGTGCTGCCCAGTTCCCAGCTGGCGGGCCCAACCTACCGGCTTCCAACACCAGCACTGCCTCTCTCCGTCTCCGATGCTTCACGAAATGACATTGCGCCGTATCGATTCAGGGAGATTACCTGGTATTTCGCGGACGAACTAAAAGGACTGGACCCTGATTTCGCGTTGCCAATCTTGATGCGCGATGGCGATGCCGCCTGACGTAACGTCAAAGGTAATTCGCCTTTCGTTCTCCAGATCCTCGACCAGAACGTCTCTCTATGCAGGGCATGAACTGACAGCCCGCAGAATGTCCAAGCAGACAACAGTCTGAGCCCATTCACAACAGAGGAACCTCCCGGAGATGCAGCAGACAGACCTGTCATCGGAATCGACCAACCGATAAGACCTTCAAACGGCTTTTACAGGATTAAAATCACGGCACAGAAGCCATCCAGCTTCGAATCTGCGAGGTGTGCCAAATGCTCAATCCTCACTGGTCGCGCTGATAACCGATAACGCTGATAAGAGATTGGACCGGCAGGGATCAGGTAAGCTCGTCAAGGGAGCCTCGACTTCCTCTGCCGCCTGCCGCCTGCGTGCCATTCGAACGACCTAGGAGGAACGTACCGTCCCAGCTCCACACCGACCGCCAGCCCTGCCACCTCCCTTTTTCCCAGCGATTCGAACCAGCCAATTGCCTGCCGCAATGCAACGCAACACAACACGACCTGGGAATCACAATCCACAATCACGATGGAATCCAGATGCATCGCGGAACGGTATGCTCCAATACCTGCCGCGAACCCTCGAGAACACACTGGCCACTTTCCGTCATCCAACAGTTCTCCATCTCCGAACAAACATGCGCTCTGCTCTCCTGATCCCTGACGGCACCGCCCGACGACATCCGAATCTGGATCCTCACTTTCCTCCAAATTTGGCCAGACCAAGCAGACATATCCATATGTCTCCATCGCGACGACCGAGCCGACTTGTCTCCTCTTTTCCCCTTGGAAACTCTGGTCCTCGACCATGGCATCTCTCCAGAACTCCCAAGCGCTTATTTCGCGGCATCGCCAAATCAGGGATCCAACGTCGCATGAACGACACCTACGCAAGGAACGCCGGACCGGACGCCAACTATTACCATCAGAAAATAGAAACAAGCCGAGCCTGTCCTGACTCCCCGTCTCCGGACCGCCCATCAGGTACCCGTCCACCCGTGCTTCCCGTGCAGACACCCGCTGTTAGACGGCAAGTTTTCGCTCATCACTGCATTTCAGAAAGACGGCATATTTAGATGGGATGAATTTGACAGAAGAGCCGGCTTGCGGCGTCATCAGAGCAGCTAAACCGTCAACTTGCTGGCTAACTGATAGAGCACCCACACTCTCTACAAACCACACCACCAAGCGTTCTCGCGCTCGAATCAGACACCCAGTCGTCCTCACAGTTGACCTCATTGCTGACGGCCAACACTCAGAAAAGGGTGACCCCCTAAAAACAAGCTTTATCATCACCCATCCCACACCCGCGCGCCCCGACTTCCGCCAAACAACCACAACCCCCGGACGGCCATCTTGCCTGCTTGCGCCAACATCCCTACCCCCGTCCGCCAGACCTCCCGGCCAATGCCCGGCGTCGACTTCGGCACGGGGGATGATGCCCCCCCTTCCTTCCTTCCATTTCACACCGCAATGCCCCACGCCACATAATCGCGCCAGATACCGCGGGCCATCGTGGCACCCCGGGTCGCCAACAGCCCGTCCCACGTTTTCCCACGGATCCCCCGCCGCCCTTCCTAATCCATTCACCGACGGCGACTTACATGACGACCTCGCCTCACCTTACATCAAACACGCCCAGCAGAGCCCAGGCAGAGCAATCGCCCAACAGCTCCTTCTCTCACCTTCTTTTCTGGAAATCGTCGAAACCAATGACCCGGATGGCGTGCCCCATCGCCATCTCCTCTCCCGCCTCACTCTGGCCGCTGTACCTGTAGGTCTCACTCCCAAGCCATCTCGATTCTCGACATGATCGCATTCGAAAGGTCACGACGTGGAAAGATCTGGCGAGCCAGAGCAGAGCAGAGCGCGCGGCACATCGTTCCCTTCCCCGTCCTCCCCCGCATCGCCCTGATTCGCTCCCGCTCCTCACCACCCGCAGAACCGAACCGCGCTAAGAGCTGGGAGGGGTCCCTTCACCGCCTCCGAATCTGATCTGTTGTGTGTGAGACGCCAGCATCGTTCTGGACTTTTGTTGCTTCACCCTGCATCGTGCATATATGCGCCGTACGGATGGATGGGCAGACGGGCAGCACATCGCGTGTCGTGGCTTGTCAGCCCGGAATACGTATTGTAACATCGCATCCATTCTCACGCGACCTCGGAGCCTGATCGGCCACAGAATGACACCGGCTTGATAACTTCCATCATCATCACCAGAGACACTCGATTTTTCCCATGCAATCCTCTTTTGAAGAATCTCGTCTCGCGGGTAATCTATTTGTTGTACATTCAATGCTCGTCGCCAAGTTCTCGGGAGTCGCCTCGGCACCTGCTCTCAGGCTCGTTCATAACTCATGGCCAACCAGCATGTAAAACGTCCTTCGGCCTCGACGATATCGTGGTTGCGGTGGCCCCTTAGCACACGACCACAGCTTGCTTGCTCTTCTCTTCCTCCAGTCACGACGGCCTGCTCGCCTTCAACGCCCTCAGTGCTTCACCGTGTAGTCCTCGTCGGGCAGGTACAGATGCCGGTGCGCACCCTTGGCCGTCAGGACGACCATGCGGATGACACCACCGGAGCTTCCGTCCCACTTGATGGCCTCCCGCAGAGCGCCCTTGACGAAGTCGACGGCGTCCTTCTCCTCCATGCCCTCCTTCCAGTTGGCGTCGCAGTATCCGTAGATGTATGTCGAGCCGGAGCCGCCGATGGCGTATGACTGCTTGTGTAGGGAGCCTCCGAGGGGGATGGAGTAGACTTGGCCGCCGTGGCGCTCGTCCCAGCCGGCGATGATGAGACCGGCCCTGTATGGTGTTAGTAACTATGATTGTGTGATCCTCCCCAAGCAGTCCCCTAGCAGCGCTGGGCTCCACGAAGACAATCCCAGGCGGAAGCACTTACGACAGGCGGTCCTTGTTGGAGTAGCAAATCTCCTGGAAGATGGCGGCGGCCGTTTGCGTCGTGGGGGGCTTGCCGTTGCGCATGGCGTAGAGGCCGAGCTGGTACTGGACGATGTCGGCGACGGCCTGGGTGTCGGCGGCGGAGCCTGATCTGCAGCACCAGATGGTGTCGTGGACTTGTGTGAGCTTGTCGGTGACGCGGTTGGCGATGTAGGCGCCCGTCGTTGTCCGGGAATCAGCACCTGGAGCGTCCGGTGGTCAGTCAGTCTCGGCTCGTGGCGTGGTCTGCCGGGCGGGGGAAGGTGATGGTAGACGGGAGACGGGGGAAACATACCCAGGATAACACCGTCCTTGAACGTGACTGCCATACTGCGCAATTGTCAGGTCTCTCTCCGAGCTAGAGATGCGTTGCATTCGGAGGGGTAGCTTACATCGAGGTTCCGAGGCTATGCAATACGTCAGCGGGGGGTTCTCAATCATGGAATTGCTCAGTTGCACATCAACTTACTTGACCTCTCCCTTCTTTAATCTGTCCATGTCGACGTGGATGCCATCTATGTTATTCCCTTCGTCAGCCATGATTCCAACCTTCACTGCCTGCCACCCCCAACCGTCTCCTCGGTCCCGCAACGAGTTGCATCATCGAGGAAAAGGGAAAGCTCCCAGAGAGCGTACCTTCGTTGAGCATGCCGGTGGTCGTGAAATCCATCTTGTGAGTGACGCTGCGTCGGTTCGCGTGAATCGATCGGTTTGGATGGTGCGGAGAGGAATGGACGGGATTTCGGAGAGGATTGGTGGTTGTGTTCGATGTGTCGTCGGGGAAGGCGGCGGTTGCTGAGGGAAGGCTGGAGCTTGGTTGAAGCTCAGGCAGCTCCAGAACGCGTTGGCCTTGCCCGCCTGCGGGACTGGCCGCGGGTCACGTGAGATGGTTACGTAAGACAAAGGAGCTCTTCATGCTGGACAGCCACACGGAAATGGAAGGCGCAGATGCAAGTGCAAAGTGCATTTTTCTGGAAATCATATGCTCTGGACTTGATTCATTAGAGAAGAATTCGAGGTTCTGCTATGGGCATTTCCATCGTGGAAATGTAATTCTCAATACCAGCTCGGATCTCTCCCGCACGCAAGGATCATGATTCCTTGAGGGCGATGCTTTTGTCATGTTCAAATGGGTATATAAATTTGAGTGAGCTGGCCAATGTGCTGTCATGCGTTCCTCGCGCCTCATGCCGGAATCGGCATTTGTATGCCCTAGATATCAAGGTATGGTATCTGCGTCCAGACTGCCTTCAACGCCCGGCAAATTTCCTCCTTTATACAACGATATGTTACAACCAAGACGCAATATCATCGCTCGCTCGCCGCCAGGAAACAGAAACACGCGATCAACCACCCTTTGTCAAACTGCGAAACAACGTCAGCATGTCGACAGTGAACCACTCGTCCGAGAGACCTACCCGTCCCTCTCCAGCTCCAGACTGGGCTTCTCCCCGGCCTCGGCCTTCTTCTTATCCTCGTCGCCGCACCCGCAGTCGTAAAAGTCGCCAATCTTGTTGCAGTCGAACTGCTCCTTCTTCAGGCGCGTGTTGACCTCGTTGTGGACGAAGCAGGCCCACCCGGCCGCGGCGTTGCGGCTGCTCGTCTGGGGCGGGTACTTTGCGAGGAGCTTGCGGAAGTGCGCGGCGCAGTCGCCGCACGGGTAGAGCCGGGCGAAGAGCTGGATGTACGTCTTGAGGGCGAGGGAGTCGTCGGGCGTCGGCTTCTCGGGGAAGCGGGCCATCATCGTGTGGAAGAGCTTCCACGAGGCGCGACCGAGTTCGGCCCTGGGGGTTGCGTACACGGGTCAGCACATGTTTCGTGTCACTGGACTTCCACGGTATCCGAGGCGGCGGGGGTTGGGTTTGGGTGCGTGCAGATCGGGAAGAGGAGGAGACAGGGCTTACTTGGCGGTCGCATTCTCCAGCTTGGGGGCGATGGACTCGCCGGCGAGGATGCTGTTCGAGATGTGGCCGAGGTCGGGTGTGTCGTTGCTCGAGGAGGAGACGGAGTCGCCCTTCAGGGGCGCGGCGGCGGCGGGAGGTGCGGGGGACGCGGCATCGCGTGAGGAGCCGGAGAAGAGGTACGAGATGCTGAAGAAGGCCACGACGCCTAGGATGATCATCAACGAGAGGTGTTGTCTCCGCGCCATGGTGAGAAAGATATGTTCAGGAAAACATACACAAAAGAAGAAGAAGAAAAAGGTTGAAAGGAAGAGAAAGAGGGTCACACGAACCTCCTTTGAAGAGGAGGATTCGATTTCGGACGGATATCGCCTTTTGGAGCTTTACCTGACGGAGCAGAGTGCAGCGCAGGATAAAGTGCCAATGCGAAACTAACTGCCCAGCAAGAGACGAGACCAGCCTATCTTACTCCAACTTGACAGATGGAGATGGAGGGCTGCTGGGATATTTGCTCGGCCCACGACGCGGCGCAGCGCAGGGGTTATCATCAGGCGACGGGAAGCTATTATTTCCCTGCGCCAATCCCGTCGCCGCGGTTTTCTCGTTGCGCCACTTGTCGCGTGGCCCGATGTGCTCTTTGTTCTTATTTTCTTTCGGAGTCTGGCAAGTCAACCGGTTCGCCGATGGCGCATTCTCCGTAAGGTCACAGTACGACTCAATTCTCCATTTCCATCGCCGACAGGAACACCACTGGAATCGCAAATCAAGGGACACCCAGCCCTGTGGAATCCCCTGGGTCGTGCATCTGGAACCCCTTAACTTTCGTTCGGTTCCACTTCGGCCCCTACCAGCCGACACTTAATTGCCCCTAACCTTCTCCAGCCATTCGGGAAAATGTCCACCAAATAAACCACCTGCAATATCAGGGGTGAAGCCATTCCGAACTACATCTCCATTTTGTCTGCCTCGGTTTCTTGTCGCATGCTTTATCGAGGTGCTTGACAACGAGTCTGAAGTTCTTTCCAGTGGTGTAAGTCTCGTGACTTTCAATGGGGCTTCCCTTTAGTCACTCTAGAGGGAATGCCGATTTTCAGTTCCATGCTTGAAGTGACGATCTTGGTAAGCTACCCTAGCCTGGGAGAGCACGAAGTATTACTGAGAGGCCACGATGCTTTGGACTCGTGGCCGTGTACACATCATGAAAAACCACTATCAGGCTCACGCTGAGCTTCATATCATGGCTGTGATTACGAACAGACTAGAGTGACGGATCCTACGGTATGGCGGGAGGTCCACGAGAGGCTGGCAGTTCCCGCTCTCCCGATGTCAACGGAAGAAATCTAGAACTGTTGAAGTCTAGTCCATCACCTTGCCGAAATACGTTCGCTTGCAGTATGCGCGAGTATCCATTCCGATTTTCCGCTCTTCATATCAACGATCTTGGTCTCCTCAGATTTGGTGATTAACACGCGCTTGACGATGTTGTTTCAAGACAAGACAGATGCCATCTATCAGGACACCAATAACAACTGCCGACATTATACTTTATCTGACACATGTCACCGCATACATGGCCTCACTAGGTCACTGAATCTCTCATCACCCAAGCTGCCTCAACTCTGATGGAACATGGCAGTGAAAGGACCCGGAGACACACTCTACCAGGGGTTCGAAATCCTCGACGGCCGATGTGCTGTAAGTACCAAGAAGCCAAGAACAATAGAAAAGATTGTTCGTCAATTTCCACAAGAAAATCATTACGTGGTCAATAAAGATTGTGCGCACCATCGCTCGTATTGAGAACTTGAGGCAGCCCACCGTCGTCAGAAACACTGACGGAAGCTTGCCTTTGACATTACTAGTTCGGAAAGCGACTACCTAATCATCTTGAAAACCACCATGAGCCCGAATGCCTCCCTAACTCCGTAAGCCTCCCACACCTAGTTACCGATCAATAGGTTCCATAGCTCTACTGGCCTCGGTATTCGAAGGGCCTGCGGCCGAGAACATGTAGGAGCCGCTGAACTCGGGGATCGTCGGCTCCGGCAACGTCTGCTCTCTACGCCGGCTCTGGTCCCGGAGCTCGATGCCCCCGACCTCCTCGTCGCGGCGTCTAGGTTCTCGTAGGGAAGTCGATGGCAGCCTGGGCCTGGAGGAGGTCGAGAGGAAGCACCACGCCCGGGTAGTACTGGGCGTAGTGCGTCCGGATATGGCGACGGATCTCGTCACGCCTGGATCTCTCGGCGGGGCAGCGGTTGCAGGGGAAGCGCGTGCGGTCGCGGTCGTCGACGTAGGTGCTGGCGGGAGCTGCGTAGGGGATCTGGGGAAGAGCGTACACGACACCGGGAGGAGGACCGATGGGAGCCTGCGGGACGGCAGCCGGCTGGTTGGCGAAGGGATTGGCGGCCTGAGGAGGGACCTGGGCAGGAATCTGGGCAGGGATCTGGGCAGGAACCTGAGTAGGAACCTGAGCAGAAAACTGAGTAGGAACCTGAGGAGGGGCATGGGCCCGAGGAGCAGCCATGGTAGGGGCGACAGTGGGAGAGGGGTTGAAGTGAGGATAGGCGCCTTGGAAAGGAGCAGGAGCAGGAGCCTGAGTCTCAGCGGGAGCCTCGGCGGGAGCCTCAGCAATAGCATGAGTCTGAGCCGAGGCCTGGGTAGAAGCCTGGGGATAAGCTTGAGCGGGAGCGGACGCCATGGTAGGAGTGAAGGTTGGAGAAGGGCTGAAGTTGGGATAGACGCTCTCGATAGGGGTCATAGTCGGGCCCTGGGAGTAGCCAAGGCCAACGGTGGGAGTGTTTCCAGCCGCAGCAGCGGCGTTGGCTTCGAAGTCGTCCATCAAGCGAAGGAAGACAGGGTCGGCGACAAACTCGGGGATGCGGCTCTGGTCTCCGTCGTTGTGGTCGTATTCGGCAGATACTCCGGCAGAGATGGCGCCGGAAGACACCTCAGCCGTCGACTGCATGATGTCGTGGTTGTCACCGTTGCTTGCCCGGTTGAGAAAGCTGGGAGGGTAGGTCTGCTCCAAGCTATCTATGCGTCAGTCTACTGCATCTGGCCTGAGCCCCAGGAGGATATTGGTTTGATACTTACGAGGACAAATAGGACGGGCCAGCCAAGCGCTGCTGGTCCTGTCGGCGCATCTCCTCCTGTCGGCGCGTCTCCTCCTGTCGGTGCATCTCCTGCTGTCGGCGCATCTCTTCCTGCTCTAGATTCTGATTAGCCATGATCTGAAGAACCCGGTGACCAAAGGAGACACGGCTCAGCGACTCTGCCTTCCAGGAAGAGGCAGTCCACAGTAGGACTCCGAGGCAAATAGAGCAAAAGCGGGATGAAAACATACCAGTTGGGTCCATCTTCGCTGATCGTGGCGGTCGTAGGTAGGTGAGGCAGCAAAGCTTGGATGGATCGAGGCAGTGATTCTGGTGATCACTCGATGGAGAAGAATGGAAGCAGGCAGAGACTTCGGCAATATTCGAGTTGATTTGTTTTGTGGTCTTGATTATGTCGTCGAGGGCAATCAGATCCTAGGTCGTCATGTCATGTCATCCTGTGCGGCTGATGAGAGCAATGCCGCTTGGATTTTAAGTAGTCAATATCGTGCCAGAACTGAGTGACAGCTGCATCATAAGAAATTTGCACAAGCTTCTACTTGTTGGATAACATGAAAGGCATGAGACTGCTGAAAGGACTGCTGCCTCTATCAGACAACTCGATTCCTCGAGTTATCTCTAGTCTCGAGAGTGGGCAGAGTAGGCCTTGCTGGCCATTTCGGGGTCATGGACGGCCATGGAATGACCTCAAATCACTAGATTTATGTAGATTTTTCATTGGAAATGAAAGGATGACTTGAACTCGTTCAGCCACGGAGTTCTAGATACTTCATGATTATTGGCTTTGTTGCTTCCATGTACTTCCTTATTGTGAAGTCATCACCTCTGTTTCTAGCGAACTCGATGAATTCCATAGCATTCAATATCTACATTCTCATCAAGATCGCCCTTTGCGACAAGAGCAGTCGACAGAGGCTTCAACTCCGGCCCGGGACAGCTCCCGAATTACAGTGGGTCGTTGCCGAGACACCGGAGCGAATGGCCGGCGTACCGGTGCGCCTATCGGGTGAGACCCCCACTATCCTAACTTGGCAGGAACGGTGCACCAAGTGACGGGACCCTCGGCTTCCAGAATGCGACATGCCTCGTTCTCCCCACATAAGATTTACGTACGAGCAAACCAACAACCAAGGTTGAAAGGCTCGTGATGGTGAAACATGCGCTGATGGGAGGAGCTGCCGGATATAACCGGTAAGATGCGGTCAGGCAGGGACTTATTAGCCAAGCTGACCAGCCAACCCCGGCTTCGGCACATTCTAGCCGCACCTTACAGCCAAATCTTGACGAAATGACGTCAGATACGAGCGCCAACTGTATGTTGCTTGCGACGCTTTGTTGATCCAATCAAGCGCTTGTTCACCTAGTAATTTTTCCCTCTGTTTCCCCCCTCCTCCTAGCTCCTAGTCACCTACCGCAGTAGTCCAGAATCAGCTCGGCCTGTGATAATCTCGGGCCTCCCCCAACCCCTCGCACTCGGGTTACCTCCCAGACGCCTCCTTTAAGATTCTTCTCTCATCCTTTTCCCATCTCTCTCCATGACATGGCTACGTAACGGTTGTTTGATTCTCTCACTCACTACCAGACGCCATTGAATCATTCCCCCACTGTTTACCAGGATGGACGCATAAGCCACTGCTTCTTCCATCACCTTATCTCAATTAACGACATCCCATTAGAGCTCTGAAGCTGAAGGCGGATAACACGGGCCAACTGCCAAGATTATTGATCCACTGAAGACATCATTGGCACGCGGCAGTCCCAGTTCAGCCCAGCTCGCCAAACAAGGTGACCCCAAAAGTGATCTGCGGTCTTGGCAACGGCCACGACAGCCTGCAGGGTCTCGACGAGATCTCCCGCTACCTGCTCTTATTTTTTTTTACCCGAAGAATCTGTCTACCTTATTTCAGATCTCGCCAGTCCAGCCAACCGCCGGGGGTTTTACATATTTGGCCAGTTAGTTGCCGCGCGCCAGATCCTTGGATACTTCAGCCACGACGCCTTCATCTACGAATATTGTGCACTACGGAGAAGCTTATCTACCTTTACCTCGCATCTGACATCGCGCCGCGGGAATGTCGGCAGCTGAGGAGCAAAGGCCCAACGGGCACCCACCCACCGATGGCCCATCAGATGGACCCGGCATCTCTAATGCGACTTCATCTCTCGAGACCAGCAACGAGCCTCACGTCGCGACTGCTCCTCAGCAACAGCTGAACGGACACGCGCCTAACGGATATGCTCCCAACGGCGCTGCGGGAGATGGCTCGACAACCAACGGTCATCTACCCAACGGCACGTCGGCTGCCCAGGACGTCAACGGCCATGCAGCCAACGGTACTGCTCTGAATGGTCAATCGCCAGAAGGCGCGGGAGCAACAAGTGGCCAAGCCTTTGATGGCGGCGACTTGTCAGCAAATGGTGGGCCATCAACTCAAGGGGGCGACTCGTCGCGGCAACAAGAGCAGAAGGAGGCGGCTCTCGAAGACAGAATAGAGAGCAAGCAGAACCCCAATGCTGACGGTCACAAGCCCCCGAACGAGAAGCCGCACCATCACTCCAGCGATCTTAAAGGCTTGTATGCTGAAGGGAAGGAGAAGGTGAAGGACAAGACCAAGCCTTCCGGCGGCTTCGACACCACTCCCCTCCCCGACGCTCCTCCCGGTTACACGGTGCGCTTCATCTTCCACAGGGCGAGTAACCTACCCGCCGCAGACCTCGGTACTAGGTCTTCGGATCCGTACATCCACGTCACGCTCAAAGCGGCCGTTCCTAAGCGGCACAAAGAAGACCCGGACTTGACTCACCGGACGAAAACGATGAGGAGGACTACCGAGCCGGTGTGGGACGATGAGTGGATTGTCGCCAACATTCCCTCCGACGGCTTCATCCTGAAGTGCCGCCTCTGGGACGAGGACTACCCCGATCACGACGACCGCCTGGGCAATGTGACCGTCAAGGTGCCCTTTGTTGACGAGACATGGAAAGGTTTCCCGCCGCCAGGTCAAGAGTTTACCGCCAAGAAGCGCATGGGAAGCAAGCGGGCCTACTTCTTCAAGGCCATTACTAGCCACTTCGACCCGACCGTCGACATGTCGCCGAGACTGTGGATCAGTATGGAGGTCTTGGGCAGGTCGAACCCCCCGCACGCTCAGATGTACACGGTCGGCCCGACGACATATTTCAAACACTTCAGCCCCATGATCGGGCGCCTCACCGGTATTAAGGTCAACAGGGATGAGAACGACGATGCCCGATCCGACCAACTCTTCGATGAGCACGACAAAAAAGACAACAAGAAGACTACGAAATATGAGTAAGTCGCTCATGATTCCACCGTTCTGAAACTCATCGCTGACTGGCCTTAGCTTCCAATCTAATGAAATGCAGCTGTCGGGCCCGGTGCCCCCAGAACTGTACCACCGCTACGTCGAATTCAGGCCCATCATCGGCCTGATGTTCGCCCAGAGCGGCTTGAGAGGCAAGATTCTCAATAAGGCACTCCACAAGCAGCACAGCCGAGTGTACAACTTCGACAGCTCGACTGAGTACGGCGTCTTCAAAGCACGTTCCGAGGAGGCTTCGCTGCAGTTCCTCAAGATGGTGCACTTCGACGAAGGCGGCCGCGTCTTCACATACGTTCTTACCCTGGATGGCATGTTCCGCTTCACAGAAACAGGAAAGGAGTTCAGCATCGACATGTTGAGTAAACACACCATGCACAGCGACGTCGAGACGTACATCGCGTGCTCGGGAGAGTTCTTCGTCCGCCGGCTCGAAAAGCCGGATGCGTCCGAGGATCTCGAGCCCAAAGAGAAGACGCACCCCTCGGACGAACTCCCCGACGGTCCTCCCAATGGCCACCCTCCCCACAACCCGGCGCACTACCAACTCACCATCGACAACGACTCCGGAACCTACCGCCCCGACAAGTCCATCCTGCCTAAACTAAAAGAATTCCTCGAGGCCAACTTCCCGGGAATGGGTATCGTGGTCATGCACTGCGAGGACGAGAAGCTGCAGAAGCTCAAGCAGGAGCAGGTGCAGATCAAGAAGAAGGAGGGCAGGATGGTCAACATGGTCCTCGCCCGCAGCCCCAGCTCGAGCTCTCTTAGCTCTACCGAGAGCGCGCTGCAGGCGATGGAGGACGCGGGCGAGGAGGGGGCGCCGCACAAGAGCACCACCCAGAAGGCGCTGGACGCGTTGGAGGACCCGAAGAGCATAAAGAAGATGCTGAAACCCGATCACGGACACGGACACGGACACGGCGGCGAGAGCTCCGTCACGCCTCCCGTCGCCGCGGCACCACCGACAGCGGTTACGCCGGCTACGGCCGCCGCAAAGTAAGGATAGACTGGATCTGGAGGGCTCGGTTTGATGCTTTTACGGCCTAACTTTGATACCTGTGTGATTTGCGCTTCATCTTTGGGAAACTGGCGTTCTTGTGTTTCATATGCACCCTCTTTAATGATAGTACTCGGATCGTCCGCAGGATAGTCTGCCAGATCGACTATAATTGATTTAACCCTGATTATTGCGCAAGACAAAAAGACGCGTTTACAAACTAATTGGTGTTCATTTCCTCTCATATTCCGAGTTGCGGCTCTGTGCGACTGGCGACTGGCGACTGGGATGGAGGCCAGAAGCCTAGACCTGGCGCTTTCTTCCTCTCCACGGCCACCCACCGCCGCCGCCGCCCGGGCGCGGGAAGTTGACCGCCATGTTGGTCTCCTTCTGCCGATCGCCAAAGTACGTGTTGGCCGGGAACTTGTTCTGGCTGACGCAGTTGGGGTTGCACTTGTCGAGCGGCCCGGACTTGCCGCGGGTGAGATCGAGGACGTAGGTGTCGTCCTTGCAGTCGGGGAGGACTAGGAGTTCACATGAATGTCAGTCAGTGATTTCATGAAGCTTGAGATCTCATAAATGATCTTAGAGGGGCTGTGTTCCATCTTACTCACCCTTGAGATCGTTGAAGGGGATGGTGTTGAGGTAGCACTCCTTGAACTGGGTCGAGTAGGGGGTGTACAGGCCGTTGTAGTTCCAGTACCAGTTCCTGCACAGGTTGTCAATCGCCGGAAACTTTGTGAAGCATACGAATAGATAGAAAGGTCTCACTTGTTCGTGTTATCGGCCGCACAGCCCATCATGATGAGGGCTCCCGCGGGACCCGTCTTGACGACCTCGGAGGTGGTGTCTGGGCAGCAGTACGTCTTGATGTCCGCGGTTGCGGTGCAGTTGAGGGACGCCAGAGCACCCGAGGCGGCGGCTGCGAGGATGATAGAGTACTTCATGTTGGAATCTCTGCTTTATTGTGAAGGTAATGATGATGGAGGATTCTGTGCTTGGTAGCCTGACAACCCAGTCTCCGGGACAGAGACGAAGGCATGGTTTTATAGTTCAACAGTATCATCATGTGTGCCCTGAAATCTCAACTACTTTCAGAGATACGAACCTTAGGTCAAAGGAATTGGCTACCATACTCACGATTGACGAGAGGACGTTCGACAACTGCCGAATTGCGGAGATTTAGCCTGTTGTCGAGGACAAAACACAGAACCAATTCTGGTTCTTCTTGGAGAATGCGGAGAGCCATCAGTGACTCTTTGGGAAATCGCAACACAAATTTGGAAGATTGTAAAGAGGCATGTGCCAAGACGGTTGCATTCGACACAACAACCGGATATTGCGACAGCGGGGAACTACCGGTATACCTAAGCCAATCGTTGATAATGCCGGTGCGGTCCTTGAAGACTATGTTACAACAATTATGAATTTGAGAGCTGCTTTCTCAGAGGTCTGGCCAGTTGGATGAAGGCTCTTGATTGAGAACCGGCTATGCCATGAACGTGACTGCGCACATTCGGCCCACGATTGTCTTTGCCAAGTGAGAGAAGTACTCGACGTGAAATATGCATGTGGAAAGGCAACGTATGATTACATTCACAATATGATCGATTAACACTCTACCAAGGGATTCTCTATTTTGCCTGAAACAGCAAGCACTATCACTCTACCTCACGAGTTGAGCACACTCAAGAGTTGAGCACATAGGGACGGGAGGTATTGCCAGAGCATTATCCTCATCTCAGAGGCATCTAGTGGGAGACTGAGGGATACATGCGGCTACCAACACCTTCAAAGATCAACTGACCCTCTAAGAACGGTAAACTCAGCCACGATGAAAGCAAGATAGCCTACCAGCATCACACCGCCCACGGCGCCATCGAACCGACCGCCACCCCATACCACTGCGGTGAACAACACAGTAGACAGCCAAAGCACAGCCAGCTCTACGAGCTCCACGCCGCCAGCGCCGCCAAGCTCACCGTCGGTGCCAATCATGACGATACCCAGACACAGGGTCAACAGGAAGATGTTGCTGCCAACGGTGTTAGCGACGAGAATACCGCCGTGACCACGGTTGCCGCTGAGAACAGCGACGAACTTCTCCGGCAACGTCGTCCCGATGGCGAGGACGACGATGCCGAAGAGGACCTCGGACGCACCGAGGGCGTCGGCGACGTTGGTGGCTGCGTGAGAGAGGACGTAGCCCGATAAGCAGATTGCGACGAAGCCGGCGACGAGGTAACCGATGTGATACCACAGGCCGCGTCGACGTCGAGCAAAGTTCTCGGAGGGACGGAGGAGGGGTTGTTGTTCGCCGTTAGGTCTCGGACGGCGGCTGGCGGCAGGTTCGGCATCGTTTTCATCGTCGCTCGAGCTGTCACTGTCACTGTCTGAGTCCGATCCTTCAGGTGCAGCTAGAGCCCCGCGGCTGATGGCCCACCCCACAGAACCGATGTACACGACGAAGGCGGCGATGAGCACGATGCCGCCAATCTGCCACAGACCTTGGCGGGGGAAGTAGGTTACTGGGATGATGACGGTGGTCACGCCGAGAAGCAGCAGAGAATAGATGCGCGCGCTGCGATCGAATTGCATGTTCTCTCCATTCCTGCGGAAGAGGAGTCCAAGAGAGAAAGCCCCGAGAATGTTGGAAATAGCGGAGCCAACGATGTTGCCCAACGCCAAGGGAGCGCGGCCTTGTGCCAAAGCGCTGACAACTACGGCGAGCTATTGAGGTCAGTAACTCGTGTTAGGAGAGCTGGGCAGAAATTCACCGCGGGGCCAGTAAAGCCGTGCCGAGAAACCGGGTGTCTCACCTCCTCCCACTCGGCGCCGGCCGTAAGTAGAGCAATTAGCGTGTCCGGGATCCCGGTGCGGCGGGCCACGACGGCCGTATGGTCGACGAACTTGTCCGCTCCGGCCTCAAGAAGGAACAGCGTGCTGATGAAAACAGCCGCATTGTATGCCACCACATTGCCGTCGATCATTGTGTCGGCGATGACTAAATGAAGGCTTACGTCTTCGGATTGGTGAATCTGAGTACAGCGGAGTTAGAAGAGAGTAAAAAGAAGGGCATGAATACAGCAAAGCAATGGAATTGGGAGAAGACCTTGCGGCCTCAGCCTTGAGTCTCGATTAATCGACGGAAGAACGTGATCTGGAAGGTGTGAAAAACCCACGCGTTCACGCGTGCGGTGTTTGTCTCCTTGACTCGCCGCGGAGGTGTGGGGTCCTCGGAGCAGCTCCTCGGAGTTTACGCCGAGGTCTTGGCACGAACACGGTCCGGACAGTCGAAACAGGTTTACCTCAAACTCTTTGCTGCATAGGTTCTGAGGTCGACCGGGGCTTCAGGTTGTTGGTAAGGGACACACTGGTTTGGAGATCCACGTTGAGATTACTTTACAACCTTTCCGTATGTACATCTTTCGACGATGGAGTCTGGACTCGAAGCGATTTCAAGCTGCAGGTGATCATCTGCAATCAATCGGCGAAGTTTTAGGTTGTAATCATCCGATGATTCAAATGATCTCTTGAGGCTTGAAACCTTATTGTGACACCAGCAAAACGTGCACCATGCGGCGGGCGTTGACAGCTTCCATCCAAACTGCTGGAGTCGTTGAAACAAGACAGCCCTCGAGAACGACTCGAACAACACAACGGTCAAACTTGTCTGTGAGGTTTTAATCCAGACGTTCAAAATGGAAGTTTGAAATAGCTTCTTACAACTGGCTATGAGTTACAGAGGCCGCCGCCCAGGGGAAGCACCCAACAGGCAAGCCCTTGCCATGCAAACGAACATGCCAGGTCGCCAGCTTTGTCCGGTACAAATACACATTTCCGCCCCATGCTTTCAGACGATGCGACATATTATTGACTATTCTCAGCCTGTGTCATGTATCTCACCGAGAAGTTAGGAGACAGGCCCACGGAAGCCAAGGTGTCGCCTTCGCTGCCTATTGCGAGGCGTCGGTCCCGCGAAGATGACGTCGATATCTCGAGCTCGTCAATTTCGATTCCATCTTCGCCCAAGAATTACACGAATAGTGGTTTGATCGTCACTGCAAATGACGGACCGCCTATCGCTACCGAAGAAGATGTCGTCCGCAACGTACTCCACGCAGAAGATGACACGACACATAACGTTTGGACATTCCGCATGTTCTTCCTTGGTACCGGCCTCGGAGTCTTCGGCGCTGTTATGGAAACGATATATTACTTTCGACCCGTCACGATCGACGTATCAAACATATTCCTCGCCTTGCTAGGTTACGTTTTCGGAGTGGCCATGGAGCACGTCATACCGCGGAAGGGCGTCCCGGGTCGCTGGCTGAACCCTCATCCATTCACGCAAAAAGAGCATGCAGCCATTGTCGTGATGGCATCATCGGCGTCCCAAGTAGCTCTCGCAGTGAACGTCATTGCGGCCCAGAGGTTATTTTACAACGAGGAACCCAGTTTCGTTCTGGCAATCCTCATTGTTTTCTCGTCCCAATGCCTTGGGTACGGGTTTGCGGGGCTACTCCGACGTGCTCTGGTCTATCCGTCCAAGATGGTGTGGCCTAGCATTTTGCCGATGAATGCGCTTCTGGAAACCTTGCATCGCAACAAGAACGAGACACGAGACCGACTCAAGTTATTTTACTGGGTCTTTGCTGCCATTGCCGTTTGGGAAGTGCTACCCGAGTACATCATGCCAATCTTGACGGGAGTTAGCGTCTTTTGCCTGGCCAAGAGAGACAGCCTCATCTTTACTTTCATTTTTGGTGGCTCCAACGGAAATGAGGGGCTTGGGCTGCTGTCTCTCGGACTCGACTGGCAATTCATCACCAGCAAACCTATGTGGTACCCCCTCGAAACGCTTATGAACAACCTTGCTGGGTACATCATTGGCATCTGTCTCTTCGTCGGAGTCTATTTTGGCAACGTATGGCGAGCCATGGACTTTCCGTTTCTCTCGCAGCTTCTTTTCTCGAGATCATCTAATACCACGCTTTACGTTCAGTATAACCAGACTGCCATACTCGACGAGCAGAATGTCCTCAAGCCTGAGGAATTGGCCGAACAAGGCACCCCGTTCTTCACGGGTACATATGCCATGTTCTTATTGACAAACAATCTGGCCGCCACTGCCACCATATCTCACCTAGTTCTGTGGAACTGGGTCAGCATCAAAGCTGGTCTCTCATTAGCGTCGCTCTCGCAACTATGGAACAGGGTCATCAACCGGGAAAGATCAATCAGCCATTCTAGTAAGGAGAGCAAAGAGTACCCAGAAAACGAAACCGATGACCACTACCGCTTGATGAGAGCATATCCGGAGTGTCCAGACTGGTGGTACGCAACAATTCTCCTCGTCTCTATTGGCGTCGGGCTGTTGTGTCTCTACTTAGCTCGATCGACCCTACCTTGGTACGGTTTTCTCGTCAGCATTCTTCTCTCGGGCCTCTTTACTCTCTTCTTTGGTGCCCAAACTGCTCTTACGGGTTTTCAAGGCAATTCTCAACCCATTGTGCAGATGGTCGGCGGTTACCTTCACCCAGGGCGCCCTTTGGCCAACATGTACTTCACGCTCTTTGGGTACAACTCGGTAGTACAAGGAATCAGTCTTGTACAGGACCTCAAGTTTGGTCAATACGCCAAAGTCCCACCGCGGGCGACGTTTGCGACGCAACTTGTAGGAACCCTCGTGGGCGCCGTGGTCAACTACGTCATGATGGATCAAATTACAACAAGTCAACGCGGCATTCTTCTATCGGTGCAGGGGACCAACGTTTGGTCGGGTCAAAACATCCAGCAGTTCAACTCTCAGGCGATAGCATGGGGCGCACTGGCTCGCGAGCTCTTCTCTCCCAGTGCACAATACTTCGCCATCCCCCTCGGTTTACTCGTCGGCTTTTTCATCCCGCTACCAACTTATTTCCTACACCGAAAATTCCCCAAGGTTCCACTACTTAGACACATCAACACTCCAATCATCCTTGCGTACGCTGGCTTCTTGGCTGTCGGCGTATCATCTTACATGATGTCATATTTTGCAGTGGGACTTGTGAGCCAGTTGTGGCTGCGGAGACGACGTCCGGCTTGGTTCGCACGATACAACTATGTTTTGGCCGCCGCACTTGATGGTGGAACCCAGGTTTTGGTCTTTGTTTTGACGTTCGCCGTGCTAGGCGGCACCGGGACGGCTGTGCCGTTCCCAAAGTATTGGGGAAACAATGCCGGTGGAAATTTTGATTATTGTATGAGGGATCCAGCGGCGGCAGGTATAAGCGCTGGCATGGTCGACGACGATTGATCTCGTATCTACGCGATCGCTCGCCCATCTCAGGCGTCCGATTACACGAATATCAAGCGAAGGCCATTGGTTGTGTGCGTATGTAATGATGCTTCGGAAGTTAGAATATATGATCTATGAATGATATCTTACAACATACGCATGAACATTTGCCCGACCCTAATTCGAAATGTGAAGCTATCGTGAAGCTGGTACAGTGTGTACTACCCTCCAGCCATTACCGCCGTGATGAAAAGTTTCTCGCGCTTCATGAACAGGCTCAGCACTGAAACAAGAGCACCAGCGACCATGACCAGAATGTATGTGGTACCCATAGAGGTGACAATGGTTTCGAGAACCTGGGCCCGAACTTTCTGATTGAGGCCCTTCATGAAGTTCACCGCAACACCCGAGATGGCAGCTTCAATCTGCTTGGGGGAAAGCTCGGGAAGAAGCTCTTGGACCCTGGACTCGGCTAGGTTAAGAAAGATGGAGTTGGCGATAGCCAGTGCCATGGTATTGCCCAGAAACTGCGCGAGCGTGATGAAGCCGATCGCCGCCGGAACGTTCCCCGTGTCGACTTTGGCCTGAGCCACCGAAAAAGCAGCTTGAATCCACATGCCTACACCTATTCCGATGAGCACCGTGTATGCGTAGATGTGACCAGCGCTCGTGTACTGGTCGACCGTATACATCAAAGCACCTCCTGCCACACAGAGAAGCCCGCCAAGTAGGTACCAGGGCATGTAGTAGCCAAACTTGGCCATCAGGGCGCCGTTGACACCGATGGAAAAGATGAGGCAGATGATCAGCGGCAGCAATTGCACACCCGTCTCGAAGGCGTCGCTGCCCCGCGTAAATTGGAAGAAGAGTGGCACGAAGAAGATGGGTACAAAGACCCCGGCTGCCGATGCGGAAGTGCAGGCGAAGAGCATGAGGATGAGGGGCGACCGGATCAGCTGAACGGGGATCAGACGGCGTGGCAAGGTCACGAACAAAGTCAAGCCTTGCTGGAACGCCAAAAGCAGGAAGAGCACACCAGCGGCCACGAACAGGCCGATGATTTGACCCGACTTCCAGGGGTAGGTCAAACCGCCAAAGTTGATGGCCATGATGAGACAGACCAGACAGCTCATGAGCAGAAGCATTCCGGCGTAGTCAAACTCCCGAAGGCGAGTCTTGAGGGGAACTCCCGGTCGCGGATTCTTGCTGGGAATTAGGAACAGCCAGGCGGGAGCGCAAACGACCCCGATGAAGAGATTGATGTAGAAAGCCCACCGCCAACCGACCTTGGACTCCTGAAACGCACCGCCCACAAGAGGGCCCAAAACCGTGCCCAAGCCCCATGTGAAGCCGGTGCCCGATACGTAAAGGGGCCGCTCCGCCATTGTGGTGGTCTGGGAGATGAGGGTAAAAGCGCCGTTGTAGAGGCCCGAGCCGCCGATTCCGCAAATGACACGACCTACGATGAGGGCGTCCATCGTAGGCGCGGCGCCGCAGATGGCAGAACCAATCTCGAACAGGACGACATTGAAGATGTAGACCCATTTGGAATTGAACTGTCCATAAACCTGGCCCCAGACCATGTTGAAGGCGGTGCCGCCCATGAGGAAGCCGACGTTGATCCAGGCGAGGTTGTTCAGAGAGTCGAACTCGGCAACAATGGTGGCTTGGATGACGGCCACGATAGTGCCATCGAGCGAGTAGAGGAAGATGGAGGAGCAGAGAGTGAAGGCGGCCACGGCCCACTTCCAGCCGGTGATGTCCCTAGGAAATGGCTCCGAAAGATCTCCCTGTGGAGCGGAAGGACCCTCAGGTTTTTCGAGATTCCGAGGAGATTGGAGGTCTACCGAGTGATTCGGATTGACTGCCGTATATGAGTTATGGTCTAAAGCCATAGTTGCCGCTAGTATTTCGCCGAGATCGTTCAGTTGTTTGAGTCTCCAATGCCAACTTGTGATACCCGAGTTCGACGTCGATGTATTCTAGACAGGGAGTTGAATGTCGTCGTTGTTGACGCGATGTGAAAAACGACGAAATAGGCGGCCGAAGAGAGATTTATTTATAAGATCAATGGTTCTGTACGTGTCTCAACAAACAAGATTATGCTTTGCTCAATGCTCATCTAGTCGCGCCGTGTTTGCAAAAGGGGCCGTAGTCCGCCATCAGCCATTCCCCAATCAACGGCTGCTTGACCCAGGAAATATTACAAAGCGGCGATGGGAATTCTGTAATAATGTATTAGGAGAGCCATAGATGACATGCCTAGCTAGTGTGGTCCGTTCAGGTACACCAACGCAATTCTATCCGATATCTCTGAACACGCCGGATGATGTGGACCCACCTTCCGGCGTGGGAAGAAAATCCCGGGCCCCACGCCCGAAAAAGTCCCGATTAGGAAACGAATTCTCCGGCCTACCAAAGGCAATTCGTAATCAACATGTCTTATCCTACTTCATGTCGAGCACAGGTATATCCGTCCTGCGCACGCATGAATGATACATGGAAGCAAGCAGAGCAATTTATTTCTTTCCTCGGGCGTAGAAGGCATGGACGATAACACTGATTGTGAATATTCGGAAACTGAGCTACAGCATTCTGGCCATCTTCGTTTCCCCGCTGTTTTAGAAGTCCAGCCAGTCATCCAGGACTCCAAGAGCTGTTGTTGCTGTAGTGTATTTATGGACATGACTTCCCTATGCACGTGATGTGACGTGATGGGACGTAAGGTGATATTCTCACCGGACGCGGTGCAAGTTTCCTCCGCATCCAACCTCACCTCATGTTCTACCTTTCACCAAGACTATCTACCTACGTCTCGCGTTTCGCATCTAGCCACTACGCCCCCATTCCGTCCTAGATCCCGGTAGCGGAACCCGGCATTCATGTCATGCCGCCAAATCGCAGTGCTCGCTCGACCCGCGACAGCGAAATTCCCAACCACTTCATTGTGAATTGGCGCAAGTCAGACTCGCGTAGCGGGCCGAAGCAGCCCACCTTGGTGCGCCGGCCGATCACGGCATGCGAAAACTGTCGCACCGCTAAGGTACGATGTAGTGGCCAGCAAGACTGTCAGCGGTGTACATCCCGCCGTCTTGTATGCTCATACGGACACCGCCTATCACCTGGAACCGAAGAAGATCTGTCGGCCTCGCCATCCGCATCCATGCTTGCAACTGGGCAAGGTCAGCCCATAAACCCGCTTTCACTCGCCGGAGTGAGCGTTGACGGCCCCAATACTGCGGTGACTGCCTTATCTTATCTCGGAAGTGTGGCATCAGCCTATGAACCAAGCACGCAGTTGGAACCTACACTGCCTATCGGCTGGGACGACGCCCTCGACTTCAACTCGACACCATACATGGTAAATACAACAACCCACCATCCGATATGCGCCCATCAAAACTATGGACCCGGCTTGTCAGAGACGATTAACAGCGACCAACGGTCAGCGACGAAGGCGTCCGTTTCTTCATGTAGTCCTCCGTCCCTGGGACCGCAGACAAGTTCACAGGGCGTCCTTCATGACTCTACGGCCTCCTGCCCGTGCCGGGCGAATCTGATGATCTGGGTGCCCAAGATAGCGCGAGCCATGCAGGACAAACGGACAGATGAGGTTCTAAAGGTGACAGGGGAGGTGGCCAAACACTGCCAAGACATCGTGGACTGCAAAACAGACGAAGTACGATGCTCAGACCTTCTGCTCATCATGTCGGTTCTGCAGGAGACGCGGCCATGCTTTGACTACATCGCAAAGTCAGCCTTCCTCGAAGGCCAGGGCGACCATATGCCGGTCAAGCTAAATTTTGGCGACTACGAGGTCCTGTTGCACAACGCCGGCGTTCGCGCCATGCTGGCTATGGATCTAGTCCAGCGGGCCGCCGCCGTGGTGACCGCCATCAGCAACAAGGGTCAGAACATGATCAACGAGCTTGCAGAACCGTGCAATCTGGCCAAAGCCAACATCGCATATCTCGAGGCCAACATTAGCCACTTTCAGAGCATGTTGAACTGCGTAACCCGACATGTAGAGGGGGCGGTAAACAAGGACGAAGGACCCCCAGCGGTTTCAAACTTGGCGTCAAGAAATGTCTCTGAATGCTCAACAGAAGGGCATGGTTCGTAATGAAAAGGCGTTGTCGGAGCGATGAGAACAACGTACGATGCTTGCTATCGAGGTTCGTATAGGTTGATGCACGATCATTCGGCTGCGGTGGTTGGCGGGATGGTACAATGGAGATAAGGAGGCACCAGTACCGGCCCCGGGTCCGATGTGGGGCCGGGCCGTTCCCGAAATAATCAAGCAAAGAACGCGGATGTAAACCTTGAGTGTTGACGATAAACGATAAAAAGCTCTGTGTCAATTCATGCATGCAGTCAACTCATAAATCTCGATCGACTACTGGAATTTGGTGAACGAGTTTTCTCAACATTCGGAAAATACAATTTCTGGCGTCGGCAATATTTACAACGCTCACGTGAAACGTTCTGGAGACGAGATCTGTGCCGAGGTTCATTTGGAGCGCGTGCATGAACGAGTCACATTTCGACAACCTTCATCATTCATCAAAATTTCATCAACCACGCCATCCTGGTCCTCTCTTTCCTTCATTCTGCGTACGAGATGGCCGACCTTTCAAGGAAAGCCGCGAGCTCCGACAGTCTGCCGCAGTCGATCAGCGAGCTCGAGGCGATTCCTTGGTGCCGGGCCCTCATCTCACAGCCCGGCATTACGACCTTCATCCCACCATCCCGCGTGCCGGAGAACACCAACCCTCACGACAGATTCTTCGGCAAAACAATAAACAACCCAACCGGCATACCCACTTGCATTTGCTTTCACAATGAAGCGCCCGGCAAATCAATCATCACCGAAATGTCAATTCTTTTCGCACTCTCTCGCGGAGTTGACGGCTATCCCCACATTGCGCACGGAGGTATCTCGGCCGTCCTGATTGACGAAGTCTTGGGGTGTCTGATCCAGAGGAACATGGATACCGACAGAGACAGCCCGGTTTTCAGGATGAACACCGTGACTGCCTCCATGAACATCAAATATTTAAAACCAGTCCCCACTCCAGGCGTTGTCCACGGAGTTGGGCAAATCCATGAGATCAAGGGCAAAAGAATATTTCTGAGAGCAGCGATCAAAGATGCAAGCGGAACAGACTTGGTTACTTGTGATGCGCTTTGGGTTGCAATACCGAAACCGAAAATTTGAGGGCTCGCGTGAGCTGTGGGATGGTGAAGCAATATCAGAAGTAAAGACATATACCTAGAGAAGTATCCTGCCACTGTTCACTCACATATGAAATGAATATTTCGTTTTACTACAAATCAGTGCTCCTGAAAAGGCATTCATGCCTGTTCCTGCATGCTGAATATCTGTCAGAGTACACACAAAACCACGATGCTGCAACATGGGTTAGTTGAGATGATTCCTCGCGTTGGAAGCAAGTTGTAAGAACATTCACGTAAGCCGTTGAGACCAGATATGAAAAGCAACTCAGACCGCTATATTGGAAACAGAAGAAAAGCTAAATACATGCAAGCAAAACAAACAAAAAGCAATCCCAAACAATCATCAATGGTCGACCATGAAAAAGCGCGCTCGTAAAGACCAAGTCCAGTCATATCATGTCATGAGAGCAAGGAAACCTCAAGAAGACATAAAGCTCTTAAGCAGCAGTAGCCTCGCGGACCTTGGACTCGAAGCTGCCATCCTTGAAGGGAACATTGGCCTTTCCGAAGTCGGCGTTCTGAAGAGCAGTCTTGGCGGCATCGGGCATGGCGTCCCAGTCAGAGATGGGGTAGGTCTTGCCCTTGGTGTCGGTGAACTGGAGTTCGTGGTTCGTGGGGAAGGTGGTGAAGTATTCGACCTTGGGGCTGTTGCCGTCCATCTTCGGGGCGCCACCGACCTTGCTGTATCCGCTGTGGGAAGAAGCACCGGCAGCAGTGATCTTGGGGGTGGCGGCAGCCGGGTCGTCAACGCAGACGACAATGTTCTCCCAGTCGTGGCGGTGGCCTCCGGCAACGTCACCGCTGGTGGGGTGGTCCTTGGGGAAGTACCAGGAGTACATGATGCAGGTCTTGCCATCGACCACGCCGGCGCGGGCGTAGGTCTGTCCCTTGGCTTGGTCTCTGCAGCCGCCGGTGGCGCTGCCAGTGTCCTGAAGACCGCCGCTGGTGTCACCGTTGTCAGCGACGGCGGGGTACGGCTGGCAGCCGTGGGCGATGTGGAGGAGAGGGTTGAAGGTCTCGATGAGTTTGCCATTGCCACCAGTCTGAATGCGTTGAGCAACGGGCTGGATAGAGTCGTGGGCGACAACCGCACGAGACTGGAGGCGTTCGGTGGGGGCCGAGGAGACGGCGGCGGCGAGAGCCAGAACAGTGGAGAAGGTGAAGGAAACCATTGTGAATGAATGAGATATTCAAAGTGAGTGTGGTAAAGCTTAGAAAAGCGAATGTAAGCAAAGTCTGAGTGAGAGTGGAATGAAAGTGTTGTGATGGTGAGTGAGGATGAGATTGGTTGAGGGAGGAAGATTGGGCTTCCTTTATAGTTGATCGTGATGATGATTTGTTTCTACTTTCTCTGCAGTCTGAGTCCGAAGTCCGTGAAACACCGCAAGATTTATATTGGTCGTCTCATCTTGAAGATCATCAATCAAAAAAGACCTCTCGTGGTGGATATCTGGCCTGGCGACGTTGAAGGCCGTGAGTGGTAACGAGGCCTTCAGTCATAGGCTGAGAGCGATATTGAACCAAGAATGTCTATATTGAGGCTGTCTGTGCCTGACACCAGAGGACCCGTATTCGAGGCAGTGAGTATTCAGGGGCAAAGTTTACCAACTTGGTGGATGAACTCCCAAGGTCATGGCATCGGAGCCTCAGCTCACTTGACAGCTGGGCGCGGGTTTCGATTGCTTGTGACGTCCGAACAGTCTCTCTGCTGGATGGATCCGCCCAACTCACATTGATGAAATGCCAAGCTTGTCTGAACGTAGTGGTGTGCTGCGGCAGCCTAGTTCCATAAGCGTGACTGAGGCGGGATATATCCAGCCTTACCTTTTCATGCCTGTACGGCTTGGCAACCAAATTCCATCCTATGACGTCCCGTACTACCAGCCTTACAACATGGCTGGGCTGAAAGAAGCCCACTAATAGAGGGGATGTTGCTTGAAATCAGCTATAGGGCCTAGTCTGACTTTCTGTCGGCCTGCTTGATATCAATCTATTTTAAGTCCCTGATATCGCAGGGAATGCTTCTCACTGGAAGTTCACGTACGGTGGGCCTTAACGGTAATGCAACGACTTGCGATATGTGTGACTAGCCACCTCGTAATTCCCTCCATAAACTCACCCTTAACGCTAAGATCAGTTAAACGTTCATCCCTTGCCTTCTTTTCATCATTGCCGTAAGGCCGCCCACTAACACACTTCAATGTTTCCTCGGAGTTGACGGGGAGTTGACGGGCTGAAACGGCCGACTTCGGTTGGAGGCCGAAAAGTGACTGAGTCAAGCAGCCAGTCTAGACCACCCCCAGTACGAAAATAAACTCTGTCGGCGTGTAAGCGGAACCGCGGGAATATTTAGTGATCAGACGGGTCGCCCCCAAAATACGACTAGGGGTCCTTGGCGATCATGTATCCGCGACCTATATCGCCTAAGTGTTAAGCGTGGCATTCATGCGTAAGGCTATTGAAACCGTGGGAAGGGCCGACCTTGGCCTGCCGATGTTTATTCATTGGTCATGAGATTCAACATCCCACCGCTTACCATGTCGGCCGATTCACGGATTCCGGTGGAGGAGTACTCCGCGCGGCGCCGGCAAAGGGTTTCCTCGCCTAACAAGGCCGGCCTGTTGCCGAAAAGTCCGCACTGCCAAGATCTTGCAGCCCATAAGGTTTGCTACGCCGCAGCGATTAGCCATACTCGAAGCTGTTTGGATCTTGGCATCATCCGTCGTGGTTGCGTGATCTTCTATTCTCAAACTATGGTGTACTGCGCACGCAGCGGAGTCAACCACCATTAGCCAAGGTTCAAGTCTTGTGTGATTGGGATTCAGGGGGCACTGCAGTGTCATCTGCCCAGCACCAAGAAGCCATAGCACCACCAGAAGAGAGAAAAGAAGGTGATGAGACTGTGTTCTTTTCTTAATGAGAGCCCATGATAGCTGGGGCAGTCCGCGGTCCACAATCGTGAGTTCGCTGCCGCTTTTGTCGCGTCGGAGTGCCCCATACCACAGCACCTGAATATGGAAATAACACACGTCTGCTTCGTACATGGTATTCCCTCATGCAAGAGAGACAGTTGCTGGATTTAGTAACTGTAGCTTTGAATAAGTACTACTCATGGCCCTGATTTGGACGGTTAGCAAGCGACTAGTCTGCATGTAACCAGGACCTGAGCTAGGGTCCCGTCGTAGAGTCTACCTTGGTTCGCTGCGCAACCGGCTGGGTGCTCATGATGTTATGTGAGAGGAATGGGTTTATTGTGTGAAGTTCGTTCTCGTTTCCGGCGCTGCTCAATGCCGCGCTTGACGCTTCCACGAGTAATACTCGGCATTGACATCCGACGACGAATTATTTAACAGAGCATCTTCCGTTTTTTCATCGCACGTTTTCATGAGAAGCATCCCCTCGATTATACAAGTACATGCATTTCTCATATGGTCATGGTCAATAGTACTGATCACCAGAAGTCTGTGGAGTGAGTGAGAATGCACACTAAAGCTCACGTAAATCAAAATGTCCGCATGGTCGGCAACCACCAAGATGGAGCCAGCACGACAGTGCTTCCTTCTTACATGTAATCAGGCGCTTAGCAAGAACAATGCTGTCGGACGAGGACGGGAGACGGTGCCTTAAGTGCTGAATCCAGAGACTGCTGGACCAATTTAATCCGAGATACTCCTCAAAAGATGCCGCGGTTACTGCATTTTATATACCTCATTAATTGGAAAGACATTAGAGCATTTAATCTACCAGGACTTGGCATATTCTAACAGCACTTTACGGCTCACAAGGCACTGCATCCAGAGCCATGGGACAAGCATGGGTGCACCTGGGAGCGTGGGAATAGACGACAACCGTTGTCGCCGTATCTCCCGGATGACCTCAAAGTTGATCTAGTCTGACTGTAACAGATTGAGATGTCGAAAGCCTCACACAACAATCGTTTAAGCTTTTCAGATGGCTGTGAAGCTTGAACCACCTCAGGACCATGGTCTAGATCCATTATCAACCAAGGAGGTTCTCAAACAGGACTCTCTGCGGCTACATATCGTGGAACAGCTTCACAGCTCTCGAGACAGCACAGTACTGGTGCCAACTCACTTGGAATCAGCTGGCTAGCCTGATAGGACACACGTGCAGTTTGATCGGACCAGATAGAGCCTCAAAACAGATGAGCGACTTCGACTGTAAAATTTAAGACCGTTGTCTAACACGAGCTTGAAAAACCGGGAGGCCTGAAGAATCCTGAGTGCATGTGGGAAGGAGTTCAACTGTATGCGAAATAAGTAAATGAGACGGAAAATGATGGCATCCAATCAAATGGAGAGGCGAGAAGGGAACAGTCTCATCGAGTGCTAGCAGAGTATACAAGCCCACTTGGCTTAGAGGTGGACTGTTTTCATATTTGAAGTCACAGACGAGAATAATGAATACCCCAAGTGATGTCAAGAACATGTTCGTATAGACATAGAGGAGGTTAACACCTCAGTTTGTATTCGTTGCGCTATCGGATTGTGATCCCTTTTCTTTACGTGGAAAGAAGCCACCTCTCCAGCCAAACCACCGGACTTCACGCGGTCCTCTCGCCAAAGTAATCAGTATGGAACTTGCCAAGAATGCCATTCCGGCTATCCCTACTCCCTTCCAACCTTGCCGAACATATAAAGTGTTGCCAACCTTGGTCCCAATGGTTTGTCCAACGAATGAGCATGCTGTATAAGCAGCGTTGGCTTGATTACTTCCTTTGGGGACAGCACCATAGATTGCAGAGCGGTATGCAACGCTTGTGGAATCCACACCGAAGTCGACTGCCAGAGCGTGGAATACAAGTCCAACGAGACTGAATGTGCCGGTAAAAGTGCCAATGGCGACGCCTGCGATACCACAGACCAGGGAGATGCTCGCCGCTAGATACGTGGGAACATACTCGACGACGAGTGAGCTGTATAGGGGAACCATGACAACTGGAGCAATGGCCGTAAGAGAGAAGAGGCCAATCTGCAGAGGGGAGAAGCCAAATGGGGGCGAAGCAAGCAGCGCAGTCAGCGTGGTCCAAAAAGAAGACAATGCAGCATTGGACAGAAGCGATACAATGCACCCGTAAGCCAAAATCGGCTCAGTGGAGGCAAGACGAACAACTCTCCATAGCTGTTGGACGAGGTTGATGCTTGACTTTGCGTTTTTGGGCGGGTAGTCTGGGAAGAAAAGCCACAGTAACCCGAAGAGTGTGACCTGTAACCCCAACGCGGTCCAGTAAACGTATCGCCAGTTGACGAAGGATGTCATCGCCCCTGATAGAATGCGGGGGAGCACCTGACCAAACATGAGGCCGGCAAAGACAATGGACATGGCTCTAACTCGTTTGGCGGGGGGCGCAATAGAGTGAGCCAAAGGGAGCATCATCTGTGGAGTAACAGATGTGAAGCCCGCGATAAAGTGAAGAGCGCAAGAGGCAGGAAAGACTTTCGTGACGCACAAGCCAAGCCACATCAGCGTCGAAGCCAGGACCAACGTGAGGGTGAATGGTCTTAGTCGCACCTGGTATCCAAGAGGGCAAAGCAGCAGGATGCCGGCTCCATAGCCAGCTTGAAGAACAGTTGGGATCAGCGAGGCCGTCTCGTAGGTGATTTCGAAGTCATCGGCAATCTTGTTCAAGACTGGATATGCGTAGTAGAGATTCCCAACCGTGATGACACTTGCTAGGCTGAAGAGGAGGTTCAGCGACCAAGTGAAAGGGAAGCTTCCGTCAGGGGAATGCCGACAATTTGGTGGCGTCCAGCTGATGACTTTCAAAAGGCGTTTCCAGGGCTTTGGCGCTTGCGTCGGGGCTGAGCCGCGGTCTTCTTGGGTTGCGATCGTAGGCGATGACTTCCTCGTGACGGGACTCGACATTTCGAGTGAGTTCATGATGTTGTATAACGAGAGCTTAGGCATAGAATAAGCACATAATCCTGGAACGAGGGATGCGAGGAGAACCCCTATATAACCGGCCGTGCCTAATAGTCTACCAGAAGGAAGGGTTTTCAACCTTTCTATGTAGCTTCTTCATCTTATCGTTCGATTTGTCCACGGACGCAGCAAAACCATTGCCTTCATAGGTTTGGGAAAGAGACCCGCCGTTGCGTCAGAACCGGAACCCCAACTCTTGATCGCGGCAATCGTCGTCTTGCCGATATCTGCAAACTCGGCATCCATGCTTTATGCCGAGAAAGTGGGCCCGGCCGCTAACGTGCCCGAGGTTTGGGGAACACTTAAGATGCAAACGCCGCCTCGAAATCAAGACAATCTAGATTTTCTCTTCGGCAAGCGAACTGATACCGACATCCATTCACAAGGGAAATTTCATTTCCGTCAGCGGCCAATTTCTCTTCGGACCGTGAATCCTGAACTGGGCATCAGATTATGGCCCACTTAAGATCGCAATCAAAACAAGCGGCGAGTGTGCCGCCCGGTGTTCGTCCGCCAAGGCCGAAGCTCTCGGCGTATGTATATTCCTGTCCTACCTTTGCATCCACTGCGATCATTTGCTTGTGATGACACTAACAATGCCTTATCAGCTGCCACAGATGTCACTCGCGGAAAGTGAAGTGCTCCGGCGGCGACCCGTGCTCCAATTGTCGTAAATCGGCGACAAAATGCTCGTACCCGACAAGCAACCGTATCATCCGGGTCCCAGAAAGGTATGTGTAGCTTCCTACAACCCGCCGGAGTGCAACGCGTTGACAATCTGGAGTTACCTCAAAGAAATCCTCCACCAGAACACGAGTTCGCGATCCTCCAGCAGCAGCTCTCCTCAGTCTCGATCAGATGGAAAGGACAGTGGGTCAGTCCTCCCATCGGCAATTCCACGCAACTCCGGCAGCGACGGTATTGATCCGCACATTTCGCTCGATGTCGAATCATTATTCATCGATGCCGACCTGCCATACATGCCGATACCTGTCAATGAAGCCATGGACACGGCATTTGCAACACGGTTCCGTCAGTTGATCTCCGATTTCTCGGCCTCGCAGCAAGCCTACATCTGTCGTAAAGACTTTGCTTCTGATGAGAGGATCATGAATCTCGCTGAGACCTCCTGCCCATGGCCCAGCCCTCCAAAAGCACGCCTCTTGGTTGAGGTTGCGCTGAGAGTTGTCTCCGGTTGTTTTCATATCGTGCGTAGGAGTTGTGTCCTGGACGCCGTGGAGATGAGTCACCAGGTCCCGACCTGGAAAGACTACAGTGTGAAGTGTAAGATCTGGGCTTTATTCGCCATAGGTGAAATGTATTCTTCAAGAGCAACTCGCGTGAACCAGGACTTCCCGGGGCTGCATTACTTCGCCAAAGCCACAAAGATACTCAACTACCTCGGAGAGCGGCCTACCATGGACCTATTGGAGACGCGCCTTATCCTCGTAAGTCGTCCATGAATTTCACATCCTTAGTAACTGACACGACTTTTGAAAGTCCCTGTACTCGCTGGCAGTCAATCGTCAGTATGCCGCATACACTCTGGTTGGGAGTTCCGTACGCATGGCCATCATCATGGGACTCCACATCAGCATAACACCAGACCAGCTGGACGATGTCGCAGTCAGAGAACACAGAACAAGGCTTTGGTGGACGGCTCACGTTATGGACTGTTTGTGTTCATCACGGCTTGGCCATCGACCGACAGTCCATGACGATGATATTAAAGCCAACTTTCCGTGCAACGTGGAACCAACGGAGTCCACGTTGGCAGACTTTCCAGACGCCAGCTACCTCACCGCGAACGCGAAACTTTCGGCCATCATGTCCAAAATCATCCGCTCGGTGTACGGCAACCAAAGCAGCGGCATTAACTTGTCCGAACGAGTGAAACAAGCCTTGGATGACTTGAGCACCTGGACTCAAGACCTCCCTCCCGAATTTCACTTAGACAATATGACGGCATCGAAACACAGCAACCTTAGTCTCATTTACCTTCGCCTCACCTTAAACCAGGTGAGTCAGCTTTGCTTTGAGCATTCCAATTTCTCAATCTCGCTGATGCATCTAGGCTGTCATCTTGTCAACGCGTCCGATCCTTCTCTATGGCCTGCGCAACGTCTGGACTGCGGCGAAGTCAAGCGCGGAAGCCCACGGCATACAGTCTATCCAGAATAATCAATCCGCAATGCTCCTGATTGATTCTTGCATCCGCTGTGCGAGACATTCTTGCAGCACCCTGATCCAGAGCTGGATTGACGGGCAGTTTCCCACCTTTGACCCTTTTTTGACGCAATATCTTTTCTCAGCGCTCACTATCCTTGCTATTTCCAGCCTGTTTAGCGAAAATGAAAGCAGCAAGGACAGAGAACAGCTCGAACAGTCTGCTCAGCTACTGTCTCAATTAAAAGATGGGGGCAATTTTGTGGCCCAAGAACTGCATCAGCACGTCGATGCAATTTTAGCTGGATTGAGTGAAATTCAGCCAACGCCATCTGCTTGTGTAACGGATTCAGAGCCGAGCCAAGCCGCCCGAAATCCGCACACGGGCATTGCTGAACATCGAGATCAACATGAAATACATTGGCGCGATGCAAACACCATGACAACTGACGGATCGGTTGCTAACGAGCCTTCTATACAAGAGCTTCTCAGGCAGCCAGACTTGGATTTGCAGTTTCTTGACTCATTAAGCTTGATGGATCAAAGCTCATGGCTTTATTGGCCGGATGGACGCAGTAATTCATGGGGAGCAGGTCTCTGAGCTGGGCCATCAGCGTACAGAGCATTACGGACACAATACTGTAAAGCTTGTTTGCGCACCGGGAACCATGTCGATATTGTGGACCAACTGTCTTAGTCGCCCATAAATACAAATATCGCAAAACATCAATCATTCTGCATCAGACATCGGGGGGAACGCCGTCTTGAGATGTCCAATGCCCAACCGGCAACGTGACTTTATAGCCCAAGTGAGCAGACAGGGAGATGTCTTCCGAGAAGGGTCCACAGCTTATGCCTTACCAGACGATCCAGACATATTCCAAACATAAACTATGACGCGGGCACAGAGTTTCGTCTCAGCTTGCGGACAGCTCCGAACTACCAGGATGAATGAGACTATATTATTGGCAATGTGCTTCCGGTCGGTATTCAACTGTGATACATAACCGGTGTCTGGAATTACTTGGGATATTCCAACGTTTTCTTCTCGCCTTCTCATCTACAACGACGGCAGCACTCTCTTCTCAGTGAAAGCCCAAAGCAGAGGCGAGTAATCGGAGCACCAGGCGTTACCAGTGTAGTAAGTGCTTCTCTTACCCTGAAGAGCGTAGAGGTTCTTGTAAAAGCCGGCCTTGATGGCATCCGGGGAAACGTGGAGCTGCAGGTTTACGTGCTCCTCCCAAGCGCTGAACTCTGCGACGGTCGATGCGGACCCGTTGACGGACGCACTGATACGGCTGACAGCGTCGGTGACGAGTCCCTGAGCCTTGGCAGAGTCAGCCTCGCCGATGACCTTCACGGTCTGGTAGCCCGGCACGCCAACAGTCTCGAGACGCCAGACGAACGGCTTCTGGGGCAAGAAAGCAGGGGCGGTGACATCGACGTTGAGGAAGTTTGTCAAAGAAGGCAGGCCACTGTTGGAGACGACTCCGACGTAGTAGGGGATGTTCTGCCACTGGCTGAAGACCGAAGTCTCGGACTCATCCAGGTCAAAGGGCTTCAGGTTCTGGGTCGTCGGCGGGATGGTAACGAGAAGCTTCTTGGCCTTGATGAGCTTGCGGCCAGTGGCAGTCCTAACAACAGCCTTGACTCCGTCATCAGAGCGCTCAGATGCAACGACGGTACTGGAGTAGAGCACATCGTTTCCAAGGAACTCTCCAGCCTTGTCGTAGACTTGTTGGTTGCCGCCGGGGGCGTACAAGTAGCCAGCTGAGAGGCCGAGGAGATGAGGCTGGCCGAAGTTCTGGAGGACATACAGAGTCGGCGTCTCCAAGAGGTTGCCGACTCCGTGGGCAAAGATCCAAACGACTTGCACGACCTCCGTCAGGTTGTACTTGGCGACGAATTGACCGAAGGGCAACAGCAGGTCCTCCGGAACAGACTCGGGAATGTCATAAGCACCCTCGGCCAAGAAGTCGAAGTTCAAAGCGGCGAACAAGTAGTTCGCCAGGGGCCCAACCAGCTGATTAGGGTCAACAGCAGTGGCGTTCGGAATGGCGAAGCCAGTCTTGAAGTCGACGATCTGACTTGGGAACGGAGACAGGGCAGAGGCGTTCAGTGCGACGCCGAAACGCTCAAAGAACTGCGTAGTCTGATCATTCTGGATGTACGCTTGCACGCCGTAGTCGATAGGTGCTCCGGTGGCGGGGTCTCGGAAGGTGTTTACATGCCCGCCGAGCTTATCGGAGCGCTCGACAACCGCGACGGTCTTGTTCTGATCCCGAAGACGAACAGCGGCGTAAGTTCCCGTGGCGCCACCTCCGACGACGAGAACATCGCGCTGGATGATGTCTTCCGGCGCGAAGGCGGACTCGTCATAGCACCCGAGTGCAAGTGGAGAGGCGTTGATTAATGAGGCGCTTAATGCGCAAAAGGATAGGATAGAGGCCCGCATGATGAGATAAAAAGAGACAAGAACGAGTGACTGAGATCAAAAGAGCGACTGGTGGGTTGATTTCTAAAGATATCAACTTGGTGGACAGCGGCTCCTGCGGAAGCTATATACATGCTGCACCGGAGAACGTGGCGTGCCATCTGAGCCCGGCTCTCCGGTACCAAGCCAAGACCAATCGATCAGGAGAGTTTTGGCTCAAAGAGGTAATGAAGTTAAATTGATGAAGCGCGACTCGCGGCCACTTACACTCGTGGCTTTGCGCTACGCTCCAGGTCAAGGAAGTTTGTCCCTTGACTGCAGCAGCCTGCACCTCATCTCATTTCTTGATGAGACAGGATAGTCTCGTTGACATCTTGCGGAAGAATTCCCAAGAACATACGCTCACGAAATTTCGATGTGCGCTGAATTTTCGTCAAAGTTGAAGAATGGCAGCACAGTTTCCGGCTCGTCCGGTCCTTGTCTGCTGATGAATGACAGGGATCATCTGTGCTCGACATCGATCAAAGTTCAGATCTTTAATTGCCCTACTTCTAATTCATGGAGAAAACCAAAGGCCAAGAAAATGAGCACAGAACTAAGTTACGAGCGATGTGGGCTGAGTCCCCGGCATCGACGTTCGTGCGGCTACTTATGAGTGAGTGCGCCCGCCGCTTCATCGGTCGGGCAATTAGCGACCAAGTCCGCCCGGCCCGATCAATGAGAATCTGGCGAACTCAGCCACGTGGATGCCATTGTTCCATGAACACGGCGTGCCGAGTCAAACGGCACATATTGCGACGATAGATGGACTTGCGAATAGCTTCGCCTATTGCCTCATCGGGCAATGCGCCAGCCCGAACTCTTCACCAGAGCACACCAACATTTCAAAGAAACTTGAGATCCCTACTCTACCAAAGTCGCATGTCGCCGCTATTATTGACCCAATACTCAGTCACAAGTTTACACCAGCACCCGACTGAACTTCTCGATGGCAGCACCAGCCACACCGCATCCGACCACAACCCAAGTCCACTTGTTGTTGACCTCTCTAATGCCAGGCCAGAAAGAGTTCTTCTGCTGGCGATAACGTTCGAGGTCTACCTTCTTCTCAGGTGCTTCTCTGAGGTAGCGATCCTCTTGGCTCTCCTCGTTTTCTTTGTCACCTCCAACGTACCGTAGGAAAACATAGTTTGCCAGTGGTCCGAACAGCTCGACGGGAGACAGCATACCAGTTGCGTACAGCAAGAGGGGGAAAGAGAAGTGGATTAAAGTGTCGCCCAGGTAACTGAAACCCGTCAGTTGTGTTCTTCTATGGATGCTCAGAAAACTTTACTTACTTCGGGTGCCTCACGATGCTCCATACTCCGTCCTTGCACATCGTGTTTTCACCATTTGCATGAGTCTCCTTGAATTGGCTCAATTGCCGGTCGGCCGAGACTTCAAGCGCGAAACCCGCGCTGAAGAGTCCCACTGCCGCTGCATTGACCCATTCAGGGGACGCCGCCAACAACGTGCCAATGCCTTGGTGTCGGAAGGGAATGGTAAAAGGTAGCGCGATGATGGTCTGGAATAAGGCCTCAGGTAGGTACACACTGAACAAGGCCTTGTTCCAGAATCCCGAATCCTTCCTGGCAGCTTCGTATCTTGGCTCGTCGTGGTCACGCTTCAAGGAGCGCTCGGCGACGCGGTAGAAGAGACGTCCGCCCCAGAGAGTGACCCAGCTGAGAAGTAGAGTCTCGGTGCGGTTCATTGTCTGCCATACTGTCGACAGCGAAGCACCACGGACTAGGTGTCGGCCGACCGCCGACCACCACGCGTTGGCTACCTGGCCGGCCGGCCAAAGCCAATCTTTTGTTTCTATTCGATCGGTGGCACGACCGGCGACATATGCCACAATGGCTAGTCCGGAATGTAATTTGACTGATGGGATAATGGTATTCCTTAAAATGCCCACATCCAACGGCGCGGTGCCGACTGGATGGTGGCGCAGTGCCGGTCTTTGGGGCGGCGGCGACGGCCCTGGGCCGTAGGGCGCAGTTGTTATCGGCGCGCTTGTCATGCTGCAAGAAAACGGTGTTGTTGTTAAAGGCGCAGTTGGGCGCTCACACGGAAGGAAAATGGGCTTTCAGTTTTATCTGTAGCAGTTTTGAGGCTTACCGCGGCCCCCATTCATCACAATTGAAAGCTGCGCGACCATATGACGTGAGTGCTGCTTCATCGACAGCTCTGATGGATTTCACTGAGTTGACGGTGATATGACGCGATGTTACCGATAAATCTCGGGCAGTCGACGGGTGTGACAGGGCAGGGCGGATGCTGTTCCTTGACTAGGGGCAGCAAGGATTCCCCTCACCGAGCCATTTGGTAGCCATGTTGGCCTTCCAAAAGTTTAGGAAACTCTGTTTGTTGCTTGGAATTTGCTAGATTTCGTTCCCAGCAAGCAGTCCCAGGCTTCGACTAGTTACAATTGGTGCCTGTAATACGCGTTTACCCCTTGATAATACTGAAGCCTCAAAAGGAAGAGGAAATAAAAAAGGCATCAGTCTATCTAGATACTGTATTAGTCCGCATCAGCTTCGTCGTTCTAGCTAGAACATGGGTTTTCGGGTGACATCCGTATCAATACAGAGGCGTCGGGGTGCCTGGCGCCACAAAGCGAAAGGTTCAGGCGCTACCTCGTAGATGGTGCACTGATTGTGACTGGTTCTAGCGCAATTAGAGGCTGATCGAACACAAAGTTCCAGAAGATACCTTAGGTAGGTTCTCAACACAAATGAAGTCTATGATGAAGATCTTTATGAGTTCGAATTTCAAGACGTAATTAGAGTCAACTGGAATCTGAACAAGTTGTTTACAGGCATCTTTGCCAATAATTGATTAAAAATTAGGTATCCTATTCTAAGTCATGAATGATAAATGTCCGCAACACCACCCCCCTCAGATTTGTGCCATTGGCATCACTCAGGCACCCTTAAACAGGAACGATGATCAAGTCAACGTCAACACACCCTGTGCCATACGTGTTCGTACCGCTGTATGCGCGCATGTGCATACCAGCGCCCGAGTTCCCGTCACCGGTGGACACCGTTCGCAGGCAGAACTTCCAGTTCTTGCCACCCGAGCTAAGGGTAACCTTGGAGGTTCCATCGCCGAGAGGAGTGGCAGTGAAGCCTGATTGCGCCGCGCTCTTGGAGTTGGACCAGTAGACCAAGCTCATCTCGTAATTTTGGATGTAGTAGTATGAGTTGTTGGTGACCGAGTAGAGAGTGCCGTCCGCGGCGACGATGAAAGTCTCACGTTGTCCTTGTCTGTACCAGTTGTCCGTCATGTGAGTCGAGTCGTCGGAAAGAACGTAACGGGCGGGGGAGTTCACGACGGGGTTGACGGTAAGGTAGCCGATGGCACCAGTAGGCGCGTTAGGAGCCACGTTGATGGTAGTGGTGGAAGTGACGGTCTGGACGACAACGATGGTGCTTGTGGGAGCAGTGGTGGTGGCCAAAGCCGCACCACTCACAACAGTCTGGGTGGTGGTGGCTGAGGCGGTGACAGTTGTAGTCACTGGGGTGGCGACCAGGGAGCAAGCGGAGGAGATAACATCAGCTGGATTGAATGTTAGCATTGTGAAGTGTACTGTGGTGAAAGATGGGACATACCAGGGAATGCAGCAAGACCAGCAGGCGTGCCGTCGCGGCGAATCCTCCTCTTGGAAGGACTCGTGGTGTTTGTCATATCGACTGGGACATCCATATCGACGAAATGTCCATTCTCCGTAGTACCGTTGACAAGCGGGCTGTCATCGCGAGCCCGAAGACCTTGGGAAATCTGGTAAGAGTGGTCTTCAGGAGTCTCATCGTCGTGAAGGCAAGTGGTGGTAGGGCGAGGAGCCAGCGCACGCTTCAGCTGCTTAGTGACGGCAACGAGCTGGGTGGTGGTAGTCGTCGTAGAGGCCAGAGGGGTGACTGTGGAAGTGACAGTAGTCGAAGGGACAGTGGCGAATGCAGTCTGGGTCGCGGTGGTCGTCGGGGTCGTGTAGCCTAGGAGAGTCGAGCAGTAAGGCTGAAGGGTGGACTGGACAATGGTAGAGCTGGCACTGGCAACGGGGCAAGGAATTCTAGGCTTTCCGGGATTCGTCGAGTTGGTGTATGAGAAGCTGTGGAAGATCGTGTACCGGTCGTTGCCGCGCCATTGACCAGTGTTGGTAGCGTAGCTGACGTCCCAAGCCTTGGAGTACTGTGTGATGTTAGAGGTGTTTTGGATGATTTCGACGCTAGGGGACTGATGAAACTTACCAGTGAGCAGTATTGTCCCTCGGGAATTCCGTTCTTCAAGACGAAAAAGGTGTTGAAGAACTGGCAAGTCTGCGCCGGGGCGTTCTGGGGAGGGTGCGCGAGGTTGTATTCAGACTGAGCTGTGCAGGCAGCAGCGCAAAGCTTGGGATCGAAAGGACCGTTGGTGAAAATCTTGGAACCCATGAAAGTATCGAAGCCGGCGCAGTCGGAGGGTGCGTTGATGGCGGCATCTCCCAAGTTGATTGCGGAATTGTAGCCGGGCTGGTCCGCGGCGCGCCTGACTACATAACCGTTGGATCCAGCGATGACGACCTCAAAGTTGTTGCGCCACTGGCCACGGTTGTTGGCATTGTTCTGGTCAACGAGACCGCCCCAGAAGACACACTTGATGACGTTGGTGCTCGAGGGGTTGGGGCAGCTGTCGGCAGGTTCCTATCTCAAGTCAGACACTGGAGTGAGCTGCTCAGAACGAATGTAACTTACGATGGAAGGGTCACGCTCAAAGTAGATGTTGAAGGCGATGCAGCCGTTGATGGCGTCACACTTGGAAGCGCAGACCTTGGTGTCGTAAGCATTGAGGGTGGTGTAACCCATGTAGCCGTAAGCACTGCTGGAGGCCTGCAGGTTCTTGAAGGTGTTGACGTAGCCATCAGGGGTCGGGGCGTTGTTGGCAGCGTTCGAAAGGTCGGTAGAGCTCAGAAACGCGGCGGAGGTATCGGGGTTTGGCACGGGACCGTTTCCGGCGGGCTGAGGACTGCATGGGCTGCGTTGGACAAGACTCTTCTTCATCTTTGCGGCAGAAGTTGCCATCGCCGGCGCAGTCTCCTGAGGAAGCGGGCTGGCCTTGACATCGGAAGAGACACTAGCAGCCGCCGCGTTGGCATCGTAAGAGACGACAGTTGCGGCAGCAGCTCCGATGGGAACTGTGGCAATAGGCGGATCAGGGGCCGCATCGATCATATCGAAGTCAAGGCCAGACTGAGCCTTGACAAGGGCCGCAAAGGCAGCGATGAGAGTAGTGGACCTCATTGTTGATGCTGGTAGTTCGATTGAAACGATTGTCTGAGAAGGGCAAGAGCTGTCAGGTAGCGGAGCTCGAGATCTGAGGAAGATGTCAAGGAGTGAAGAAGTTGGAGTTGACTGGTGTGACTTTTGGTTCAACGAGGGGGATAATTGAGCTTCTTTAATACGTGAATCATATCATTCTTGATCACAAGGACGATTGGGCTAAACGATGCTATGAGATGCGTTTTTCTCGGCTCCTTCCACATAGCTCTCGATAATGCGCAGAATATTGTGAAAGCTGAATTCTCATCTCCACATAAGACGATCACCAGAAGCCATGGAGAGCTGAATCGTACGTTCAGGATAGTTAGCTGTGACTTCCTCCATCAGATAGTCCCTGAATGGCAGGTCTAGACCGAATGACAACCTGGAAACCCATACTGCCGGTCGCACAGACGGGGAACTGGGAGTTGTGTTATGCCTAATCCGCCGATAGTGGCTGTTGCTAGATCAACTCGCTTCGACTTTGGTGTAGTCTGGGTGAAGCTTGTGTTATTATCACACGTGGCCGCGAGGCACATCTAGGACTCCCTAGGAAAGAAACTCATGGGAAGTTACCTTTACCCCTCAATTCAGGGGTCATCAGCTTCTAACGGGCCTGAGAATGCAAGCTCATCAGTCTAAAGCTACTGTATTGAGCTAGAGTCCATTGGTAGCTACATCCGAGGCTAGTGTAGAGCCTTTCTCTGGCCTCGAAAGTCGTAGCAATTCGGCACTTTTCATGGTCAGAGGAAACGCTGCTTTTGCGCACTAGTCTTGACGGCGGGCATTAGCATCAGGGGCCCCGGGGCTATATGCGGCTGAGGATCAATAGTTTCGAGCAAGCAGCAACCCATGACACGTGCGATGACCAACACCATGCCCAAGGCATCTTAGCTTGGCGGCCTTCCCGACAGAACGGAAACCAACATTGAATACGCCACCGTTGACTGGCCGTCTTCCTCGCTCTACTGCCGCCACAAAATATGCGATTGGTGACTGCCCCAGGCTAGTTTCGGGGTTCAATAGAAAACAGTTTGGACCTGTTGCTCTATTAGGAAATTGAGGTTCCAATGACTTGGTTCATATATTCGCGGTCCAGACTGTCGGTTCGATCTTCGGTGTCTAGCAAGCATTTGAAGGACAGTGCGCAAAGGCGAGAACAATCCATAGGAAAAGCCGAACCCGTGAAAGGAGACCAGAATGCATGGAACTGACTACGGATTGTTGACTGAGGGCAATATGTACAACATGTATGCTCTGAATCTTTTCCCATCTCATGGGCCAAGTATTCCGCTCACGTTCCCCCTTAAGCTTAGGAGACCCTCCCCTCTTCCGGCAAGGCACCACTTGAAAATAATGCACGTTCTTACTGTAGTTTCTCCTCTTCAAAAGGAATAAACTTCAGGGGGCAGCTTTGCGAATAGGGCCTCGCAGAAATGATCTGATCGTGAGGCCTCATGTTCTCAGGGGCCATGCTAGCGTCCGGAACGGTCGTGTAACGACCATAGATGGACCGAAGGAGCAACTTCATTTCGACAAGCGCGAGACTATTACGATCATTAGCACCGGTTCATACATAACTGGCAAGACATATACTCACTGCTTGCCAACGCAACCTCTGCCACCATGGGAGAACGCAAACATATGCCTCTTTCTCTCGGCCTCCCCAACCGGTGACAGCCAGCGTTCGGGGTTGAAGATATCCGGGTTGGGGAAGACGGTATCATTGTTCCGATGAACTGAGTATGCTTGGCTGCTCACAATGCTGCCCTCGGGGATATAGAAGCTGTCGATCTGCTTTCCGCCCTGGGGAACCACACGAGGCAGGGACATCGGGATCGCGGGGAAGACACGCAGTCCTTCCTGAACCACAGCATCAAGATATGACAGCTTGTCAAAAGCGACATCAGGGTTTTCTCTGATCTCCTTTTGCAGTTTCCTTTGGAACTCGAAAGAAGATGGCTGCGAAAGTTCCCACATGAGAAAGCACAGCGAGTCTCCCGTGGTATCGATTCCAGCGACCATGTGGTCCATGCATTCAGCGGCGATGTCGGTGCTGTCTAGTTGATTGACGCTGCTGCTACTCTCAGTTTTGTCTTGGAGGCGGTTGAGAAGAGTGAATGGCGCGGGGTCGATCTTCGATGTAGCTCCAACAACGAAGTTTTTGGCCAGCGGCGTAGATCGCGGGTCAAGGAAGAGGTCGAGCACTTTCGAGAAGTACTGGTAGAAAATAGGGTAATGATGCTGAATGAGACGGTCTGAATTGTTAGACTGGGATTGAGAATGACACTCCTGAGAACTTACTTCGTAGGCTGTCATCGCTTGTAACCTGCTCCATCATGTCCGTGTCTTCTTGCTTTTGGAGGCTGTTGGTTCCGTAAGGGTGAAACAGATGATGTGTGATACAGTCGCAGGCGTAAGAGTGAAGCGAGACCTATGAGATCACAGAATAGTGAGCATTCAAGCTGTCATTTGTTCTGGTCACTCAGGGCACCTACATAAACATCCATGCTTGTCTGCGAGTGTCCGTCACACTGAGACGTAAAAAGTTCAGCTCGCTTCTCGATGCCACTCAGTTCCGCGGGCTTAACAACATTGCTGTTGGCATAGCGGTCGGCAATGATGCGTTTACGTTTCGCGTGCTAGAAAAGCCATTAGCACCAAATGTAAAGCCTGTATGGCATTTACTCACATCGCCCTTCTCGAGAGTTGAGAACATCGTCCTAAGCAGAGTCAGTCGCAATTCTACCCCTACGGAATGAGTCATCTCGGCCCATAACTTACCTCCGCTCAAAGACCCTGAACAAGTTGTAGAAGGTGGATTTGTCGTAGCCGCTTCCAAGAGATCCGTAAATCTCTTTGACGGCCTCGTATGACGTGAAGGATACTTCATTGGGGGCGATCCGAACTACGGGACCGTATTTGAGGTGAAGAGAGTGAACGTAGAGGGTCCTGTTGGAGTTGAATTCATGCCATCTCAGAGCAAGTGGCGTAAGTCTCGACCAAAACGGGCCTGGGAGTTTCCATAACGGCGACGATATGCAACGAGCCAGGTAGAAGACGAAAAGAGCAGCAAGGGCAACTGCCCCGACAACAGGACTGAACAACATCGTGTTGTGCTGGGAGTTGGCCAGAACTTGAAGATCCAAAGGTGAGCCCCGTGTGCTCCGCGTGGGCGGCAGCGAGGGGTAGATATAGCCGTGGTTCCCCGCGGGGTTGAACATTTCGTAAAAATGGGGCAGATAAGGGCATCTGACAAAACAAATCAAATTTGCCTTGAAACTGCCCTCGTCAATCGCAGTTGAGTCATGCTTCAACTACCCCGCTGGATCTAATTGATATTGTTTCGCTAATGTTAAGAATTGGCGAACTCCGGCATGACGGCTTGTCTCTTAGTTGAAAAGTGCACCATCCCACCGGCGTATCGGCCCCGCAATTGATCGCTAATGTTAAGACGACCCGACGATGCGGATCCGCCGAACTCCCGGCCAAGAGCCGTTCCCCTAATGTTAAGTGTAGCCGCAGCTTTCCCCGCGCATCTCCATTCCGAGAAGCCAACCTCCGGTTTGCTGTTTGAAATCAGGGCTTATCATTTGGTCTAGCCCCCTTTCAGTTAAGATCGTGCATACCGCACATGCTGCACGAAGATTGGCGGTAATTTGAACGGAGGATTGCTCGGCACATGAATTTCACAGACTGACCTGTGAGCCAAGGCCATACGGCAATTTGTCTTTCCGTGATCATGTCCAGATAGGCACGTGGAGTAGGCATTGAATTCGACGGTGACTGAGTGAGTCACTCAACCGGCAACTACCGATTCCCCGGTGAACCCACGTAGTTAGGAAAAGACTTCCATACAACATGACTCACATAACTCACCCACCAACTCGATTGAAGAAAGCACATCGAACTTTCACCTCTCGAATATTGTCCGTTTCAGCAAAGTAGCAAAAAGTGCACAGTTTCCTCCAGCGGTAGTAAATAGATTTGACAAAAGCAAAGAGATGAAACTATCCACTCCAAACGGCAGATCATCTGGAGTTTCATTGGGAGTTGCTGAAGATTAATAACAGAAAGTGTTGAACGCAGTCGGGCAGTAATTCAAATGGAGAAAGAACGCCGTACAAAGCCTCTTAGCGGGAAACAAGAATAATAGCATTTACATAGTAGGCCAATAAACTGACGCTTTAAGTTGCATATTACTACCCCATTAGATGCAGAAAATACATATCTGTAGATCAGCATGCTCTCATATCAATAACAGCCGATTCTGGGTGTCTCGGAAAGCTACTAGTTATCCATTTACCTCAACCTAGGCCACAGCGGCCTGGAAGTTACCGTAAACATAGCAACTAATACTATCCTTCAGAACTGCCATGTCCACAGATTGTAATAGTACGAACTATTTATATTGATACTCATGTTTTGTAATTCAGCCGTGCTGTCGGATTAACATTCAGCCAGGATGGGTGCTCTCTGCAGGCGCCATTGAGGTCATGTCGAGGTCATGTCTGCAACCACGACACCAGGTCTACGGAAAACAACGCGCTAATGCATGCCTTTGAAAAGTTTGAAGGCAGGCGGAGAAGGTCTGGACCTATCTTACGACGTGGACAGTTCTGTACCTGGGTTGCTTCAGTAGTCTCGATTTGAGGGCTGCGATGTCCAGTCAGCATAGTAAGTTAAGACCACTGCTTAAGCGGAAGCATTATCAATCAGCTTCAAGCCCATAGACTCAAGATTACTTAAGCGCCACGCACAAGAAAACATGCATCTTCCAAACCGAGAAAAAAAAGAAATAACAGCCAGGACATTCAAAGCATCCGTCGAGGTAGCTTGATGGCCTTTGCCAAAGTATGCCCAGGGGACGTCCGTGCAGAAGCCTTTTTCCAACAAATGAAGAGATTTCTTAAAAGCTTCTTCTGATTGAAGTAGTGAGGCATTAAAATAGACCTTATGGTAACGGGTTGGCATACCAGCATGATAGCAGAAGACCACATCAGTGACGTAGCAGTTTTCTGCTTCTACGCAGCGTCAACCATCCAGGTAGTAATGACGACGTGGAATTCCATGTGATACGTGAGCACACGTAAGGGGCTTGTATGGCTGAAGTCTGCCTCAGGATCATTGTGATTTCGAAGTCAGGTTTGGTGCAGATAGCAACCCTGATTACCATTCCAAAGAATTATTAATACGCATGGTTTCCTCCGATTAACTGAACGAAAGCCCTCGGGAGCTCCTAATCAATTACCCATTCGCAACATCCACGAATCATGCAGCTCTCTACTATTCTTTTCGCGGCTTTCCTCGGCCTGGGTGCTAATGCAGCTGCCGTTCCTGAAGCAGAAGCCATGGAAGCAAACTCTATCAGAATGGGAGACAAGCACTATGGAGTAAGCAATAACCTCACCAGCCTCAAAACAAATACCAAGTGATCACTAACAGTCGTCGCCAGAGGTGTCTTGTCAAGGAGAATCAGTGCGTGATTGTTGAAAAGCACGGAGAGCGCAGAATTAACTGCAGGCGCCAGGTTAGTAGCTTTCTGGATGCCCATTTCCTCTGTCAAATGTTTGATATTTACGCCGGCCATTAGTGCTCGAGAGACAACGCGTCTTGCAGAGAGGCGCACGTCAGAAACATGGCCCACTGTGCTTAGGCTATTCGGTTCCTACGCGTCAGAGAGTCTTGAAGATTTGTTGGAGTTGTTTGGACATACCCTCGGGAGCCATCAAGTTCTGGCTAGATGGGATCTTGGTTTCATGCTGGCCGTTAGCTGGAGGATGTTAGGGGGTGCAGGCAATCGAAAGACACAAAGCAAAACCTTTGGCCACGTATCTTATCTATATGTGTGTATGGTTGGCATATGAACCATTGGAAACCAAGCAGAGATTCGATAACATCACTGGCCGGCTTGCACTTCCGTACCCCCATGTGTATGACTGTCTGATAGCAGCCCAGAGAACTGCAGTCTTCATAACAGAAAATGGAGCATTGTTTGCCACTGAACATCCAGAAAAGCGGCAGAATCTACCCTAGGATGCCTAACATACGGCTGAAAATAATGTTATAATATCCTACTGTGAGGTTTGACGTAGCACGCGATTAAAACTCGCTTGGGGTCTCTGATCTGGTGCCCTTGTTATTACTGTTTGGGGGAAAAGCCCTCAGCACACGTACTTACACTCCAAGAAACTTTCCGGTCACTGTATTCATTTATAATTATGCCACCCAACATCATAAGACTGCTCTACGTTCTGGGTGCTGGCAATGTCGTGTTCAAAAGTTGAAATCACACTACTAACTTCACCATATCAGTATCTCTCGCTCAAACAAGATGGCACAATTATTTCCATCATTGTTAGACTTCGACTATGCCCCGAAGACCAAATCTTCATGTTTTTTATCCTGTTGTAGATCGTGTTCCTTTACTCTAAGCTGTATCGGTTTGGAACGGTTTGGAGTCTTGGCAAGGTGAAGCTAACTGCAACTGACAGTCAACTTGTGAATCAGTGGTCCTAACGGTCGTGCACAACTGCCAAGAGATAACGTTGTGTCTCTCAGTCCGGTACACCGACAAATCATAGCACATTGTTGCCCGAATCTCCTATCTCAAGTGGCCGAGAAACTGGCTAAGCCTTTTGGCATAATCGCCGACATTCAAGACAGTACTATTAGGCTTGGCTGCATGACATTTGCCGTTAATAGTCGGTCAAGTTGTCTCATTCTCGCAGGTAAGACCACGAGGTGAGCATACTATTTGCGAGAAACTAAAGTGGCGGGAAACGTTCGACCTGTTCACTACCACCCCGCCTTCGGAGCAGGGAGCTAGTCTGACTTGCAGCAATGCTAGGCCCAGATTTGGAAGGAGAAATCCAACTCCAGGCGCCCAGAGTAACATCAGCAGGGCTGATTTTCAGGGGTCGCCCAACGATTTAGCATCATTTGCTGTCAGATATGGTACCACGGGAATAGGGCCTGCATCTTTATTGCAGAAGTAGTCGATAAAAGACGGTCGCGAAGCAAATCTAGGCCCGGAATTGAAAGTATGTCAGCAGCACGTTGCAACGAGAGAGCGCAGTGTCTCGTATTCACAATGTCTTGGCGTGCAGACCTACGGCACGGGTGCCGGAGAGGATATATATCCCAAGGTTGAACTCACTCACTGTGAGCGTTTAGCTGGAATGCCATTCCATACACAATACGCTTTAATCGAACTCAGAATTAGCACTAACATGTTGTCAACTATCACGAAAGTGCTTTCAGCCGCTGCCGTTGCCTCGGCATGCACTCTCCCGACTGAGCCCATTTCCAACAACATCACCACAGGCTTCGGCATCCAGGTCCAAAACCCTGCCGCACCAATCGTTCACAACCGCTACATGAATCTTTGGTCAGCAGGAGGAGGTGACCAGCATCTCTACCTCAGCCCTGCCGGAGACGCAGCTTTCAATCTGACCCTTGACAACGGCGTCATCTCGAGAGGAATCATTCATGCCGTAATCAACGGAGAGGTATTTCCCAGCACTTACCTAGAACACTGTTCAGTCGCTAACAAGCAACCTTCAAAGTACACCGCTGATGACAACACTACCAAGCTGTTCATGACGCAGCGGGGTGACCCTAAGGCCTTCTTTCAACCTACCTACGGCTGCAACGCAGAGACGGATGCCGTACAGGTCGAGCTGGACTTCATCTCTAGAGCCGCTCTTCCTGGTGGCTTCATTTGTGTCAGAAGCGCGTCTGGCGACAGACACGAATTCCGCTACTCTCCCCCAGGAAACACTGGTGAGTTTCGATCAAGCTTGCGATGACAATACATTGCTGATTGCGTCTGAAAGCGGTTCGTGAGGACCGCCCTTGTTACGAAGTCACGCTGGCTCTTGTTGAAGCCCCGACTTCCTAGATATGCTGGTTGTGGAGACAAGATTTACACAAACACAAAGCCACCTTTACGAGTAATAATATCATCTTCTCATCTCATACGTAGTTCGTGTCCGTGTCTTTTTGATGATACTAAACACCAACGGTGCTCTGCAAAAGAGAATATTCGATTGGACCGTACTTATATCGCACGTGGAACAGTGACCAGCTAACGAAAACATACTTGGTCAGAAGGAATCATGACTTGGAGGCATTCATGATGAACACCCCTGCGACATATTACACGTGATCAATTCGGGGTCAATTGGGATGCCGAACTGCTGACAGAAATGTGATCCCTCATTTGATTAAATACCCACCGCATACCGCAAAACGACTTTCCTCATTATTTCCGTCATATTGTTTCTACCATACCCTGAATATGTCTCATTTAGCCGCACTTTTGATTGCTCTCCAGATACTACCATCTGCAGCAGCGAGGTATGGGTTCAGCGAAAGGGAAACCCAAAAGATCCTTGGCCCTGGGAAAGATGCGTTTGAATCGAATGGCAAACATCGCGCAATCCCCCAAAACAGCACCTTTTGCGATGCCGGCTCGAGCCACTGGGCGGGAACTGTTGAGATTGGATCAAAGAGCAGAGACATGTTCTTTAGTGAGTCTAAATCGAACCGGTGGATGTTATTGAGTGGCGACTGATGGTGTGACTGTCCGCAGTGTACTTTGAAAGCCGTAGCGTTCCCGCCATGGACCCCCTGATCTTCTGGCTGAACGGGTTTGTAACACATGTACATGACTGTACAATGTGAATCTTTCCAATTAACAGTGTAAGAGGACCTGGAGCATCATCCATGACCGGGGTTTTTTATGAGATCGGGCCATGTCTGGTGAATTCCGAGGGCAACGCCACAACCAAGAACCCTCTGAGCTGGACTAATTTCGCCAACTTAGTCTTCATAGAGTGAGTTGGTTTATCGATGACCTCTGCTTTAAGTCATGGGACTAACGTACGCAAGCCAACCAATGGGTGTAGGGTTCTCCCGTCCTGATGAGCCCGCCCTCTGGGCGAACAACCTTGCCGAGGCTACTGTCGACTTCGATAAGTTTCTCGATGGATTCTTTGAACTCTTCCCGGGTCTCGATGATGCCGAACGTGACATTCACATGGCTGGAGAGTCTTTTGCAGGTCACTACATCCCACACTTCACGTCCCGCACGCGAAGAAACTTTAGCTCTATAGTTCTTGTCGATCCATACATCGACTTGGCTGAGAGCGCTCTCGGGATATACGACCACTGCTGTGTTGGCGAGAACCCGCATCCAGGGTTGAACAAGACTGCATGCAAGGCCGTGGAGAAGAGACTTGACGTGTGCAAGACGCAAGGCGATGTTTGCCGATCAACTTACGACGTTTCGCTCTGTGAAAAAGCAGAAGACTCCTGCTTTTGGGCTATCATGGAATGGTTCGACAATGGCCCTGAGGGGCATCCCACGCATAATCCATTCGACGACAGACTGATTTGCGACAACCCAGAAAGATTGGGAATGTGTGGTGGCATGGGTAAGTCTTCTCCCATGTTGCTGACTTCTTCTTCTTCTTCTAAGAGGACATCTTAGGCACGGAAGAAGTCACCAGGTTCCTCAACCAGACAGCGGTGAAGCAAGCATTGGGACAGCCAAACGTGAGCTTCTCCGAGATCAACTACGCCTTCAACGCCATCTGGACGGGACAGCCCGAAATGAATTTGCCATCTACTCGGGAGATTTCTCATTTATTGGACATTAAGAACACCCCGATCATAGTGCTCAACGGCAATAACGACATCATTGGGTGAGTTGAAATAAAATGATCTCATATGATACGCCCAACAGATTTGGCTGACTTGACTCACAGTAATACTGAAGGCATGATCAAAATCCTGGACAGCTTGCCTTGGGGTAGCCATGATGAATATGAAAAGCAGAGCTTATCACCGTGGTGGTATGAAGACTCCCGAGGTCACCAGCGACGCGGAGGAGAGTTCAAGCAGTTCGAGAAGCTGGCCGTGGTCACGGTTGATGAGGCAGGGCATATGAACATGGCTGATCAACGAAGAGGCACTTCTGCGATTATCAAACGCTGGCTGTCCAAAGCCTCTCTAGGCAGAAATGAAAAGAAGGGTTCGAGCGGACGGAGTGGCTCCGAATAAATGTCAAGTATTCCGCAGGGACGCGGAAGATATCCGATAATAGCTCCACATAAAATGCTGGTTTACGTTCCGACGTGTCCGGATGTGACGGCGGAGCTAATTGCGACTTTTGGAGGCTAGACACGGCGACACGGTCTTCAAAAACACCGGCGCCGAGCCCAGGATGCCGGAAAATACGGGAATGAGACTTATCATTAAGGTTTCCCGGAGAACTTTAACGCATTTCGACCTGCTCGGGATGGAAATGCGGCCCAGGTTTGGCAAGTCTCGCCAAAGCTGAGGGTCCCGAGTCGGGCGTCGGACGTATCACAGCTAGCCATCAAATACACCGTCAATCCTTGGCATATGACAACATTCATGGATCCCTGACCCATTTTTCAATTTTCTGTAAGCTGACAATGTTTCTCCTGGTTTATAAACCACAGAGCCGGCCACTTTGATAGATTCCTGTTGGCTTGAGAGGATGATGTTAACGATCCGACAACGATGGCATCACTACCTCCAGAGCTCATCGAGCACATCTGCTCCCTCTTATGCTCCCATTGCCAGCAGCCCGGTGTCTTTCCCGATTCCGACTTGAATGATTTCCGCTTATCTCAAAAAGCCTTGGCGCATCTATCTCGAGTCTCAAGACGTTTCTGCGCAGTGGCACAGCCATTTCTCTTTCACCAATACTCGACGGGCAATCTACCTCCACAACATGACTCCAGCGCTCGAGGCAAAGGTCAGAGCTTGCCTCGGGAAGATGACAAACTACCGGCATTTCTTCGCAGTCTTACAACGCGACCCGATTTAGCAACTCATATTAGAACTCTTCAGCTAGTAGAGACAGACGAGACTAGCGGGTTGACACCAGAGCTTGCAACGGTCTTGTTTGAAGCCAGTCGACAAATCGGAGCCTCACGCCATGTCCCGAAGCTGGAGTATCTTGAGACTACCCTCTGGCGCCACTCAAGGCAAACGAATGGGCAGCAACGGATTCAGCGACGGAAAGTGCACCACTGGCTAGAAGAACTGGCGATCCTCCTGACGCCAAAAGTCGAGATTCTCCATATAGCCCGCGACAGCTTTTGTCAGTACGAACACGTCAGAGACAGCGGCGCTTCACTACCTGCTCTGAAGCTCATCCATCTGAGAGCTATTAGCAGAAACCAGCACGTCCACGAAGGTGCCGCTCTTTTCAATGCTGCCCCGAATCTTCGCACTCTTCACTCTATGCAGTGTAGCATGTTCGACGATCTGAACCCCTGGTCCGTCAGCAAACCATGGGCACTGAACCTGAAGAGCTTGGAAAGATTGGTATTAAGCGAGATCGGGTTCCGAGATCTCGCTCTCTTGATAGCGTGCTGCCCGAGATTACGGGAACTGGAAGTGACGGCTATCAACATCCATCGGACCGCGGGCTATGACCATTGGGACGTTTCTAAACTGTTGCAAACATTGGACCCCGTACGACACCAGCTTCGGAAGCTCCGCCTTACCCATTCCCCGAGCCAACGGTCTGGCGCGGATCAAAGGTTGACGATGAGTAACACATCATCCTGGTCGTTCCGAGATTTCGTCCAGCTTGAGGAGTTGGTGGTCGACCAGGGCACAATCAAAGGCTGGCCGGGATCCTTGCAGACCGACGATGAGGCCTCGCCTGAGCACAGTTTGATCGAGATGTTGCCACCATCGATAACAGTACTACGACTACTGTACGTGGAACAAGACTTCATGAGTGAGCTGAAACGCCTCGCCCAAGAGTCCGCGTACTGGTTGCCATCCTTAAAGCTGGTGCAAGTCAGCTTTCTTGACAGGGTAGACAAGAGAGATGTTGAGTTCAAGTATATGAAAGATATAGCGCCATCTCTTCTCGAAGCTGGCATTGAAGTGCACTGGGACACAAGTCAAGTCGACGATATGCCGTTGACAATGGCCCACAAATCAGTAACACGATCAAAACCGGGTCAGCTTTCACCGCTTGCTTCCGCAGTCTTGGGGATAGAGAGAATGGCATTGTGACCATTTCATGGGCGTTGAATCTTTGTACTTGTGAAAGGGGGCGTATAGGAACTGGACGGGAGTACCTGTAGAGAAGATAGATGACGGGGTTTCTCCGTTGAATTGGGAAATAGAGCTTCAACAGCAGCAAGGTATATACTTCGGCTCTTGAGCGCGATTGACCGCGAAGTTAAGTTATTCATCTACACGGAAGCATCGTTGACAACACGTCGCTAAATTGATCCACCTGTGTTACACGACATCCTGTCAAGCTGCAAGCAGTCCCCCCAAGCGACCACGCGTTGACGTCCCAAGACCGTGAGCTCGGTATAGTCTCCCTGCAAATCAGACTGTGCCGGCTCGGAAGGCATAATTTCACGGGCGATATAGCAACAGCGGAAGTAAATGCACATAACCCCGAATTCTATTGACATTCCCTTGACGCCGCAACTGAGAAGCTGCCGAGACCTCGCGACCAGGGTCATATCAAGGGGTTACAACAGGCGACCAGACGTTTCACACGCATGTTCAGGTGCAACCGGCATCGCCAGGTCGGGTCACTTATTTGTTCGTCAGTAGTTCGGATGTCAGTGAGCATGTAGGCAGCCGAAGCGAGTGTCTTTCCGTAGCCCCCGGCCCAACTCGTTCATAAAGGCCGAGTCGAAGTCTGGAACTGTCTTGTCGCCGGATAAATTGGTCGATATTTGTCTTAGATCAGCCCCAAAGTCAACGTGCCGCAATGATCCAGCACACTTAACAGATGCCAATGGCGTTTCCACTGCAGGCGAAGACTGGCTGTTCTCAAACGGCGTCGAGCCATTCTTCGAGTCGTTCCCCTGCATGGATTCAACGGTTTTGTGGATGGAGTCACAGACAGAGCTAGTGCTGAATAGGGTCGACAGAGCGAGAGACCAACGTCAAGAAGAAGACGTTGATGGCTTCTGGAGCATTCGAGACGACGCCATTGGGCAATGTGCTCCCGAGACATTCTGAGTTTTCTGATGACGCTGGTGCGTCGGATGGCGACAATGGCGCTCAGCAAAGCGATGTGAAGAGTGCGGCCGAAAGTGAAATAGTCAAACGTAGTGTTATCCACACGGATCCAGTGGATTCGTGAATGGGATAGAAGCGGTGGTGAGACGGCGCAGAGACTCGTGGCATAGCGCAGGGCCGGGCTGGAGGTCACACATGTCCTGAACAAATTGTAACGCAAACATTGAGGCGGCAAGGCAACACTGAGGCATGTATATGCGGTGGCCTAACCTCGTTCTGCTCGATAGGGCGTGACCAGTGAGGGCGAGGTACTCAATCATTACCAACTTCCACTATGGACGATTGTTCCTGTGAAAATCATTTTCACCTCGTTGATATAGCAACTCATCTCGCTTGTGCGTAGTACAGTCCTTGACTAGCCGGACGTTTGCGTATAATCTCTCGTTGCAGAAGACATCGTGTTGGGTTAGCTTCTTGAACCAGGCACCATAGCTAACTCGCCTCGCGGAAAGCTGTTGTTGGTAAACAACTTATTCAATGGAAGTGACAATAGCCCGAATCAAATTTTAGACAGCTCAATCCATACCGAGAATGACTTCCACGCCAGTAGGGAATGGCAACTACACAGGAGTCACACAGCCATGGAGCACAGCAGGAAGAAATGTGACATGAGATGGTGTCCCAGGTTGGCAGGGGCGGCAAAGATGGAACGTGGGATACAGAAACCACAGTACTGGGATCCTCGCATCTGTTGGGCAATCTGGGGTATCGATTCTATGGTGTAACCAGATCTGGTATGTGTCGAGAGGGGTGGCGGTAGGGGCTCTTTGAGAGGCTATGGGTCAAGATGTATTCCACCGTCGGGGAGGGATTCGGAGCTCCAAATTTGCAAATGAACCAGATCGAAATGTAATAGACGTTGAATTCCTGACGCCGCCAGTCCGTAGGAGATGAGCGGTGTCAAACCCAGGTCCTCTGAAGTCGCTCGGGGATATTGTTTACGGTGAAATTTATGACGGACGTATTATTAAGGTGATGATGTATGTTGTTCAAACACGAGACTCGGAGGAGAAACCCCGATCCATGGGGACAATTATGTCGGAGTATACTGAACGTGTCTCGATTCAGGAGTTCGAGAGTGGTGGTTGGAATTCGGGGTCGTGTGAGACCGAAGGCAGGGAAGAGACACAATGACCGCAGAGTACAGGCGACCCGCTGTGTTTAATAAGCCAGAAAAGTCAGATAATGTGGATGCGTACATCATGATCCTAAGCGGAATTGAGCAGACAGAAGCAACGACTAAAAAGTGTTCTGGAATCCATCATGACAGGTGCCACCGATGAGCACCCCGGTCTGATCCCTCCTGTTCATCGATCGAGATACTGCATTATCCATGCGTCAGTTGCCAGATATCTCAGAGCAACTTATTGCAGCATCGTGCAGAAGCAGCTTCCCGTTGACCTTGGTCTCCGTGGAACACCAAGATGCCCCCGCCCTTACTCGAGCATTGTCTCTTACCCTGATCCGCCTCTCATGTATCCATCCTCTCCCAATCATGCCTGTTCCCGTCTTGACCTATCTGCCAACATGGCCCGGGCTATACCAGCACTCCGTCGATGACGATTCGCCCGTCTTCATGTTGATCTTGCGTGGCCGCGAGAACGTCAACCAGTCGCACGTCACGCTGCACTTGCATAAGCCATGCCGGTTCATTGCGTGTTTGAAGAACCCATCACGATGTATGTACCCCAAGGTCCAACACCCACGCTATGCTGCCAGCCACAATAACCGCCGTGCATGATGACAGACCGCCACCGTCGCGTGTGGGAGACACCCTCCAGGATATGCGAGACAACGGCTACCACCGTCCATATCACCCTGCCCCGAATCACCGACTTTTGTCTGTGGAACTACCCAGAAACCGGCAATTCATCGCCCATGAGAGTCGGCGCAACCAGGTGTTTACCCCTTGCCAGGGGCGTGCTGGTGCGATATAGAATCCAAGACGACCGAATGTCTCGGAGACTTGCGCTCTCGACTCGCTCAACCCGGTCGTCGATGTCCGCTTCCGACACCAATATCCAGGTCCTCGGCAGAATCGCTTAATGACAATGCCGAGAGCCATATCTTATCGATTATGCGCATGATAAATACCGTTTGCTGCCCATATTCTATCGGCAAGAACTCTGGGCGTCAGCATCCACTCTGCCTTCAGTCGCTTCCCGAATTGTGTTACTATTGATCCCGAGAACCCCAGGTCTTCTCACCAGGCGTTGGGACACGGCACCTAACCCCTCATTAAAACCATCTATCCATTTATTCAGACATGTTCAACACTTTGAGGCCGTCCATCATGACGGCTAAACCTTCATTGCAGTCCAAAGCCTCTACGCTAGCACCGAGCAGCTCCAGCTTGTCCGAGATGGAAAAGGATTCGACGTTCTCAAGCTCTGCTGCCTCGTTACAGGACATTAGCTCTCCAGAAATGCCGTCAAGCAAGTCAGGACAACGTCGAGCCGGTCCAGTCGACAGTGATGAAAATGTCGAGTATCCTACTGGAATGAAGCTGAGCCTGGTTGTTCTGGCATTATGTCTTAGTGTGCTCGTCATGGCCCTCGGTACGCGGTTTCTGTTTTCTGATGTTCACTTCATGTTACTAAACATTGATCTTAATCTAGACAACTCGATCATTGCAACCGCAATCCCCCGCATAACGGACGAGTTCAACAGCCTCAACGACGTCGGCTGGTACGGCAGCGCCTATCTACTCACCACAGCATCCCTCCAACTACTGTTCGGAAAACTGTACACCTTCTTCAGCCTCAAGTGGATTTACCTCATTGCCATTGCATTCTTCGAACTAGGCAGCTTGATCTGCGGCGTCGCTCCAAGTAGTCTCGTCCTCATCATCGGTCGTGCAATTGCAGGGATCGGCGGCGCGGGCATATACGTCGGATCTCTCATCATCCTTTCCTACAGCGTGCCTCTAGGAAAACGTCCTATCTACACGAGCTTCGTCAGCAGTATGTGGGGGATCGCCAACGTTGCCGGCCCTTTACTTGGAGGTCTTTTCACAGATAGTCTCTCGTGGAGATGGTGCTTCTACATCAACCTACCAATTGTAAGTCTTCTATGATTATTTCCGTGTAATCATTATTAACACTATTCAGGGAGCAATCACCGTCCTTGTAATCGTCATCTTCTTCACCGACCCCGTGCGCAAAATGCCGGAAGAAACTTGGCGCACACGCTTCGTCCAGATGGATCCCCTCGGCAACATCCTCTTCATGCCGGCGATCATCTGTCTACTCCTCGCTCTTCACTGGGGCGGAGTCACGTATTCATGGACGTCACCTCGGATCGTGACACTGTTCGTCGTATTCGGCGTGGCCATGATCTCCTTCATATACCTACAGTACCGAGGGCAAGAAAACGCCACAGTCCCGCCTCGCATCTTCAAAAAGCGCACTGTCTGGTCATCGGCCTTCTTCGCCTTTAACCTCGGCGCCGCCTTCTTACTATCCGTTTACTTCCTTCCCATCTGGTTTCAAGCCGTCAAAGGGGCATCGCCCGTAGACTCGGGCGTTATGAACTTGCCCATGCTTGTAGGCGTGGTCATATTTACACTCGTAGCAGGTGCTCTCGTCACCAAATGGGGCTACTACACGCCCTGGATGATCGTGGGCTCCATCCTAATGGCCATCGGTTACGGCCTCATCACGACCTTCACCCCGGACACCCCAACATCACACTGGGTTGGCTTCCAGATCATTGCCGGAGCGGGAGTTGGCTTTGGTATGCAGCAGCCGTTGATGGCAGTCCAGGTCGTTCTCGAAACGGCCGATGTGCCGACCGGAACGGCCATAATCATCTTCGCTCAGACTATCGGCGGCGCCATCTTCGTCGCCATCGGCCAGATGGCTTTCACTAAAACACTTGTCGAGAAAATGCTGGAATTGATCCCTGAGATTGACCCCCAAACGATAATTGGTTCTGGGGTAACAGCGATCCGCGACATAATCGCTCCGGAACTATTGCCTGCGGTTTCGAACGCTTACAGTAACGCACTGGCGCAAGCATTTCTTGTCAGTGCTGTGACGGCGTCGTTGACCATTCTAGGAGCTCTATTTGTTGAGTGGAAGAGTGTCAAGGGCAGGAGTGTGCAAAGCAGCATTGCGTAAGAAGTTGCGGCATTCAGGTTTGGGTGGCCGTTTTGGTGGTTTTGGGTTGCGGCTTCTCATAAAGATTTGGGCTCATTTAGAGGCGGCTTAGAGTGCAAGTTGTGAACTTCATGGAGTACGGAGTATCTTGTTAAAGTGTTTTGGATTTGAAGGTGGCTTTGTTAGTGTCAGTCAGATGACTCTTCGTCATCGGAGGAATCAAAACCATGTCAGATGGATCACTCATCCCACATTACCACGTGGAAGCAATAAGCACTAGGCGATGGCCGATGTCATATTCCGAGATCTGATAGAGCCTCAATTTACCGTTCAACTTCAGCAAGACTGCCTCTTACTGGCCGTCGGCAATCCGAATAACCATCTTCTTCGCACGAACAGTACCATCCTTCAGGCCCTTCAAAGCGCCTGAAATGCCCTCAAGACCATTCACAACCTCGTACGGGTGCGGCTTCATCCATCCCGTCCTCAAGCCCTCAGCAAACACGCGAGCCCAAATCAAACCAAACAAGCGACCCTGTCCCTCTTCCTCATGAACATGTCCAACGCTGGTAACAACAATCTCGACGCTCTTATCGATCGCGCTGAAGTCCCTTCCCGGAAGCACAGTAGTGACTCTGGGCTTGAATCCCGTGGCCTCCTCAGGCGGTCCCTGAATAGCCTTTCCAAGCATCTCGAACGATCCGTGCTCACTCACGCAGTCGAACGCCTTGAAGCAGCGCGACCCGGTCCCCTTGATAACCTCCCTCAGCTTCTCCGCGAGCTTATCCTGGTTCTCGAACTGAGTGTAATCCACAAACACATCGCCGGCCTTCTCATCCAATAACCCCGTCACGAAGGCGCTGTTCTTGCTGCCGACCGCGATGAGTGGGTGCACGCCGGCCCTCTTCGCCAGCTTGACGCCAAACGCCCCGATGGCCGTGCTGACACCGTAGATGATGACGGGCGCCTTGGTCTCACGGTTGCGGTCCCAGGGCGACGGGATCTCGAGGGAGTGGAACAGCGCGACGGCGGCCGTGTACGCGGCCAGCGGCACCGTCGCGGCCTCCTCGAAGGTGACGTTCTTGGGGAGGTGGAACGTCGAGAAGGCCGGCACGATGGCGTATTCTGCGAAGCTGCCGTGCTCGGTGCGCATGACGTGGAAGCCGGCGACGCGGTCGCCCTTTTCGAACTCGTAGACCTCGGAGCCGACCTTCTCGATTATGCCGGCGACGTCATCGCCTGAGTTATGTGCGGAGCCGACCCAGGCGGGCAGCTTCCAGTCCTTAGGGTTCGTTCCTGTTCGTGTCAGTCTGGCTCTCACTCATGCGCAGGATGATTTCATTCGTACCTGAGACTAGGACCTTGATGAGGAGCTCGCCCGGCCCCGGCTCGGGGATGGGGGAGTCCTTAACGTCGACGGAAATGTCTGGGTTCACAATTGCTTCCTTCATCTTGCCGTTGCTGTGGTAACTATGTTTGTGGCTTTCAAAGTCGTTTTTCAAACAAAACTCGACGTATTCGTGGCGATATATATTCTAATCTGCAACTTAGAGGGCGTGACGTCAAGACTCCGGCAACGAGGAACCACGACCCTTCTTTATACTTCCATGCAAGCAATAGAACGGCCCCGTTCTTCTCCACGGACCAGCGCAGACTCTAAACCGTCTCAAGATACCCTCTCTTGGCACTTCTTCCAACCATGTCTCTGGTCTCGACGACAGGAAACGAAGGCCCGGGCGAACCGTCCATCCCGAGGTATATGTCCCCACCCGTTTTGCCTTGCCGGGGGCCCCGCCCGGTCGGTGATCGCACCATCACATCAGATGAGGGGATACACACTGAGCCGATTACAAATCCAAGTCCAGCCAAACTAGTGTGTATGAAGTCGTTCCACAGAGCTCCAGTTTCTTCAAAAGTCCGCAGCCCAAACTCCGCGGTTGTGGGGGTCGCTTGCTCTACCGAAGTGCATACTCCAGTCGGTTTAGATCGCTGAGACCGGCAGTGCTCCACATCCAGCATGCCGGGACGGTCCGCGAAGGAGCTCGTCCGGGTTCCTGGCGGCGCCGGGGTGCTCCGGGGCGGATGAGAATGGCTCGGATTCGCTTTCCAGAGCTGTTGTCTAAGTAGGCTTCGTTTCCGAGAGTTCCGATTGCAACGCCGCGGAGCTCCTCATGTCACTCTGCTGGACAAGCATCGACTGAAACGAGACGACCTCGATTCAAGACACAGTATACCTCTTCTGGTTTCGGCTTTCTGTTGGAACATAATCGACGTTCAATTAGTTTGTCCCTACACATAAGACCACCGGGATTCATCCGCGTACCAGACGGAACTCGTCGGCAATCAGGATCCATGTCTCCAATTTCAGATCATCGCGGACAAAGTCTTCAAACACCACTCATTGGCTAAGATATGACGACCGGGACTCAAGCAACTGGCAAGCAACTGACTTTTCGTGTGGGATCTCTATTAATCTCAAACATGCTTCTTCGATCAGATGTGGCTCTGGAAGAAGTCCACATAATCAAAGAAACTCCTCTTAATCCACCTCCCCAGCAGCGGATCAGACCGATTGACCCCCATCATCCCGTACTGATGATCAAAGCTCCCAAACTCGTTGTTATCAATCCAGCTCCACGCCAGCGCCCCGATGACATTCACCCCGTCCTCGTGAATCGCCCGCAGCGTCTCCGTCAGGAAGTTCTGGTAGTACATCGTCCTCTCGAAATCGTACCGCTGCGCCTCCACCGGCGTCTCCACGTCCGCGTACTGCGGGAACCCGAACTCGGTGATCATGATGCCCCCCGCCGGCCGGAACGTGTTCCACACGTACCCGAACTGCTCCCGCACGTACGCCGGCGCGACGACGGCGCCGCCCTCCGACACCGCGCCCATCTTCCAACCGTTGGCCTGCGTCGTGCTCAGCTCCACGCACGAGGGCCACAGGGGGTCCGACGAGTTGGACGCGCAGGCGTCGTGGCCGCCCGCCGGGTCGGTCGCGTACTGCGCGCCGTACGGGTCGAAGGCCCAGTAGTCCATCGTCCCGTTGATGGTCGCGATCTGGTCGTCCGTCAGGGCCGTGAGGGTGATTCCGGGCGTGTTGAGAACCGTCTCGGGGAACTGCTTTCCGAGGAAGAGCGGGTTGCTCATGACGCCCAGGATGAAGTCCTGGTAGCGGTACGACGCTGCGACGTCCGCTTCGTTCGCGGGGTCCAGCGGCACAGCTAGGTTGTTGGCAAACTTCATAGTCAGTTTGCCGGTGCCCTTCAACTCGTCCTTGTACCAGTGATAGACCTCGGCGTGGGCGAGCAAGAAGGCCGTCAGACCGTTGTAGTTGTTTCCGAGGTAGAACTGCACGGCGATGTTGGGCTCGTTGAAGGTGACCCAATACGGCACGCGATCAGCATACCTCGCAAGCACCTGCTTCGCGTAGTACGAAAAGTGCTTGGGGAACGCGTCAAAGTCGTCAAAGACTCCGATGGGGTTGTCGATGTGCATCAGCGTTGCGATCGGAGTAATTCCGTACTCCAAGCAGGTGTTAATGACATCGTCGTAGTGATCCAACGCCTGTTGGTTGACAGGGGAGTCCGCGACCCCGAACGGCACGACACGACTCCATGAGATGGAGAACGAGAAGTATGGCACACCCAACGCTGCAAGCCGGGCAATGTCCTGTTTGTAAAGGAAGTAGTGCATGTCTCCCACATTGGAGTCGTTTGTGCCTAGGGTACCCTGTCCGTTCACACCGGTTGAGTCAAGCAACGCGGGACCGCGACCTTCGAGCTGGAGACCGCCTTCAACCTGCCATGCGCTCGCCGCCACACCCCAAACGAAGTCCTTGGGAAACTTGAGCCCAGTGTTATCGTTGAGGGGTCTGGCAGGCAGCTGAGGAGGGTAGACCAGGTCGGCCGAGGGGACAGGAGTGGCCGACACAGTTGTGGTAAAAGGCGGCTCTTCGGTGTAAGTGTAATTTGACCAGAGCGCCACATACGCGCTTTGTCCGTACTGTCCATCCGGACTGGCGGTGGCAGATGGGTTGAAAGAGTAAGTCGTGTAAGTGACATTGGTCGGAAGCAAGGTGGACACCTCGGTGTAGTGCGGTGCGTAAGGCGTTGCGATGGTCAAAGGAGCCGGCAACGGTGTTGGATACCGGTCGGAGGTCATTTGCTCGTAGGTGAAAGTACTGTAAGACCATGTTGAGGCCGCGGTTGGGTGAGCCGTAACCACGGAGCCGGAACTCTCGATGGCGGCGGCGGAAGCCCCGGCCACAATGAAGATGGCTGCAAAACGCGTTGCCATGTTGGCGAGAGACTCGAAGTTGGGATGAGTTAGACAACGGCTTCACATCATTATAGTCTCGCCTAAGCCAAATGTTCTATTTGTTTATATAAGTATTCAATGGTCCAGACGACGCCGTTCACTACCGTATTGCTCTCCCGTACTCCCTACCGGAAAACCCAACGTGGTATTGCTCATCTCCTCGGAACCCACGCTTCCCCCGCACCCCAAGAGTACCCCAGGTTTCCCCATCAACAAGCGAACGAATTAGAACAAGAGTTCATCTCATATTGATCAAATATTTCTGCTCAAGACTTGCAAGCTTTTCGGCCCGTTGTTCGGTTCGGGATCGTGAAGCCAAGTCTTTCAGTTCATCTTGGCCGAAGACTCAGGTCTGGCACGTCTTTACACACAAACTACACAATATCGCGGCCACTACGGCGAACGTTTCTTTGGAGAAAAGGGCTTCATTGTGACACAAATTCGTGAGAAAAGGACTTCGGACCTTCCATTGAAGGTCGGGAATACACTCGCAATCCTCATACCCGGAGGCGATTCGACCATGAAGGTCCAAACAAGCGAGATGGTTCTGCTGCGGAGCTCGAGCTCAACCGAGCCGAAGGAAAACATCAAGGCGCCTCATTATCTTGATTCGGACAAGATCGAATGCAAAATGATTAGATGATGAACTTCCATAGTGAAGGTAGTCGGCCCTTTGGTGGATACATAGAGGAGGCCCGCTGCGGAAATCCCGGGCCCCCGCAAGTGCAGAGCCGGCAACCCAAGTCTCTTAGTTGGCTCTATGTCTTGGACATGTAGCGCGTCATACTGAAGGACATGTTCTCCTAGTCACAAGCTGCCGCCTTTCACTCTCGTCGTCGTAGGCATGATGGACGAAAAGACGATTCAAACTCCATTGGTACTGTCAGTAAGTATGTTACTTCTACTGCGACCTCCCCCAAGAGTCAGCTAATACCGATCAGGATAATCATCCCAGGCAAGCAGTAAACACTCGAGACTTGCCACTCCGATCCATCCCCCATCGTCCTCCACCCAATGGCAAAAGTGCGCAAACCCATGCCAAATTTTTAATTGATTCGAGGGCAAGCCAAACCGACTGATTGATCCAAGGGCATGCAGTCTAGCCATTCAAATAATACAATCAGAGACAAGGCCAGCGTCGCTCACGGCCTGAAAACCGGCGGGAATGAAGCTAGTTTCTTTGAGACCATCATTTGCCAATGCGAAGTCCCGAGTCTCAACATTGGTGATGTCTGCGCCAAATACCTTTCCCGAGATCGTTCTTCGGCTGGTCTTGGAAATAGGGAAGTCTTTCCGGAATGAAAAATCAAACGAAGGAACGCGAGTCGACGCATTGTAAGTAGCCAGAGGCAGCAAAGTCGGCTCCGATATGTGGCGTCCTTGTGTAAGTTTGTCGGGTTTGGAAGGGGCGTATGCAAACGCTGGACCCTTTGGGTTGCCGGCAGATTGCTGAGCGAGAACCTCCTTTCTCGATCGAACCTCGGATGCCGGAGGTGGAATGCCGCGCTCATGCGACGACGGGCTCGCCGAGTGCGATACCTGCGAATGTCCGCAGCAGACACCTGGCAATTATCAGTGGAACGATCTTGCAAATGCTCACAAGCAAAACTTACAATCGTCAAGCACAACCTGCGGGTGCATGTTGTCAAATGGTTTGGCCTGCGGAACCATGTTTTGCCCGTGCTGTGAGAGACCAGACGGGGCCCTTGCAGTGTTTGAAGCCACACGAGCGTGGGTGCTGTAGTGGGAAGAGGCATAATCAGGAAAGCTGGCATTCGAGGATCCCTTACTCGCGGCCCGTTGCCTTCCGTAGAAATCGCTCACAACCTGCGAAATAGCTTCGAGGGGCCCATTGACTCGAGGGTCATTCCAGCCTGACGTATTTTGGAAGTTGACTGACGCGGAAGAGCCATGCCCTTGGAGGTAGATGGGAGTGCTTTGTTGACCGCCATGGGATTGGGCTTGGGCAGCTAACATTTGATCAACAGTTGGACTTGAGGCACCGCTGGTCATTACGACGTCTTCTTGTTGAGCCTGATTTAAGTCCGGACGACAGTTAACACAGCCCCCGCAGTGAGCTGGGCCTGTGTCTGTCGTTTCCCTCAAACCGAAGTCGGGGCTGTCTATACGCTCTGTGCACACGAGTTAGCGAGGACTGACATGCAGCTGGAGGAAAGCTGACCTTGCGGAGCATGCTGGAAGGAGAAGACCGCGAGTGGTCTAATGCGGCTGCCGGACGACATGAACGAGTTCTCGGGAGTGACTTCGCTGATGATGACCTTGATACGTCCAGCGTTGTCGTGCGGTTTCCACATGTTCTGGAAGACCAGCTCGTTACGGAAACCTGGGAACCGGAGAGGCTCGGCTACGCCAGTCTTGGGGTGAGACACTGTTTACCAGCAGATCAGTAATGCCCGAAGAAGGCTCCTCGGATGAGCATGCATGGTGGTGACCATTCCCACTTACCCAAACTGTCCGTGATTGCCGCAGGCCATCTTGTGTGATGGTCGAATGTTGTCATGCTGTGTTTCTGTCAGCTTGAGGTTCCCAAACAAGTTCCAAGAATTGATCCTTACGCCGTCAAGGTCCCGTCGATCACAACTCGGGCCTCAACCATGTTTGGCAGGCCAGGGTGGCCATGATATACGTCCTGAGCTTGAGGCGGTGCCAAATTGTGGACATAGACAGTGAAGGGAGAGCCGTAGCACAGACTGGGAACGAATGCAGTGACAGTTGGTGGATCGAAGATTCCAAAGTGTAGATCTGTCTCCAGCAGTTCGTGGTCAGCATAGCTGTTAATTGAGCTGGTTGGTCGATAAGGTAGAATGACTGACCATGTCCAAGAGGATCGGGATGATAAGACTGAGTTAGGTACTCCCGCAACGGAGCCGCGTCCTTCGGGCCAACAATCTGGACCTCCTAGTTGTCGCACCGCATTGTGTATTATTCGCCGAAGGTGGTTGAAGAAAAGCTAAAGGTATGGGTGGTGATACAAGCGACTTGCAAGGGACCTGGAGAGAGTCTAGTAGACTGACGAGTTATGGAATGGGTCTAGTCGGATGATTGCGAAGACTGATTATCGATGGGACCAAAAATGCGTAGTGATGGAGAATGGACTGTGAAGGATATGGTCGTGAAGTTGGGATTGGGAGAAAATCAAATTCAAGGACGGCCAAGGGCGGACATCAGGCCGGATGACGCTGATATGGAAGGAAAGGATGAACGTCACTACTTGACAGCGGGAAGCCACATCCAGTATTGACAATGGAAGGTAGGAGCAGGCGGTCAAAAATGCACCTCCCAATATCAAAACATGACCAGAGAAAGAGCCCGCGGCATAAGCGAAATCAGATTCTGATGGCAAGTAGCTGTGACTCGGGCCAGGCAAATTGCAACATCAAGCTGAAGTACCTGCCTAGGAAATGCGACGTACTTGCTCGTTTCCAACGTAACCAGCTTGCTGGGTCGTACTTGAGGCAAGGTCAACATGAAGCCTTTCTTGCAATGCCATAAACGCTAACTCTTTCTGGTTCACGGTATGTCGGCTGATGCGGACGTTTAGTTTCGAGACCTGCCTCCAACTTCGGAAGATGGTCCTTCCTGGACATTTCATAAACCCAGTGCCCGGCGCCCCGACACGCCCTTGCAGTCTCGCCAATTCGGTGGGTGGAAAACATATGAACGTATTCTGGGGGTTCCCCAAAGGATTGCTTCTTCTGCTCTAAAATGTACAAGTGCTCTCCCATTCGTAACCTTTTGTTTCGTCAGATTCTTCAAGGGTCAGCGTCACCTTCCTTTCGCGCCTAAACGAGGGTCAGTAATGTGCTTCTTCCGACAATCTCTCGATTGCAAAACCTACCCGCACGGCATTGGCACCACCCAGCTCTCTCTCCAGTCCGCCAGGGAATTCTCTCGGGTAGGAAGGCTTGTCGGGGTAGGCCATGGAGACGGCGCCGCAGACACCGAGGAAAACGGCAATGAAGGCACCGATCTGGAGCAGACCGGGGCCCGTCGTCGTCCAGGTGTACTCGTGGGGGGAGAACATGCCGAGCAGATCGTGGTCCTCGTGGACGGGCTCGCCGAAGTTGCGGCGCTCCTGCTTGTCCCACCAGTTGGCGTGGGGGTCGCGGTGCTGGCGCTTGATGAAAGGCGGGTTGATGTAGCCGCCGTTCTGCGAGACGGAGCGTTAGCCATGTTTACTCGTCACTGGCACCATTCCTCGCCATTGCCGTTGCCATTGCAATTGCCATTCCACCAGCACAACACCACACTCGGTAGCCACCACCACCACTGACCATGTTGGGATCCTCGGCCTCGGAGAGTCGGGGGTACTCGGGGTACTTCTCCTCAAGGACCTTGCTGTCGTTGATCGAGGGAGGGAAGAAGGTTCGCTGTTGGACAACGGGGGTTCGGCGGACTGCCTGAGCAGCGCTGCGGATCGTCGAGACCCGCGCAATTCGTTGGGACAGCATCTGCATTGGCGCGCGCATGTTAGACGACATCTTTCTTGAGGGTCAATTGACCGAAAAGGGGAGGCGTACCGTGACTGCTAGGGTGGTTCCGACGCAGCCCAATTGCTTGATCTTGGAAGTGATGTCGTCGCAGGTCGAGGCCGAAGCTTCACTCGGTTGATGATTGACTGCCAAATCCCTCGTCTCTGGTTGGCTGGAAACGGGGGAGTTCCTGCCTGAGGCCTGAATCAGTGGTAGCCTGAGGTGCAGGGGTGGCAGGCAGCTGCGAATATGTGGGTCATCACCCGATGGCGACTGGCGCGTCGCTGGCTCCTGTCAGGCGCTCTCCGGGTGCTTGATTCAAGGGAGCCGTCAGAGCCAGAAGGGCGGGCATCTCTTTTTGGCTAGCCCCAGACGAGGCCGAGCTGCGTCTTTGCAAAAAAATCTATCTTCAAACTTTTTGCTGGTGACGCTGGTTTTGCACACGAATTCCAACGCTGCCAGCTTCACAGACGTGTCATCATGGTCAAACTTCGAATTAAGACTTACTGAGCATTGACAATTCCGTAGACATTAATTTTGATGCGTCAGATGCGCTTTTCGTCGAGATCACGGCATCTTCTCGCGTCGTCCGCCCCCCAGTTGCTAGTATGAACAAGACCGCGTCGCCCGAGCCCGAGCCCGCGCATGCAACTCCCGACGCCCTCGACTCGCAACTCGAACAAAAGATCGCGCCGGCTTTCCAAGATGACTCCGATCCGCCCTCTTCTCCTCTGGAATCTCTCGGGTCCGACGATTTCAGGGACCAACTGACACCGAACGGTAACGACTTCATCGGCTTTGGCCCACATTCGCCCGCGCCCTCAACACCATCCTCACCATCACCCCCTTCGCCTCCACCAGCCCCCGCCTCCCTCGACGACGACGACGATGCCGAACGACCTTCGAAACGACGTCGAACCACCGGGTCTACACCTCCTCCTTCCACCGGGAAAAAGAAGCAACAAATATCACCACCATGGAAGAAAGCTGGCGCCGAAGGCCCTACCTCCTACACCGAGAACGGCAGGCGGAAGTCTGGCCGCATCAACACCATCCCTCTGGAGATGCAGCCGCCCTCTACAAAGCGAACGACGCGAAACGCCTTCCACAGCAGTCCGCCATCCAAAAACAAGTACGCCTCGACGAATGGCCATGCGACGACGACGACACCAACCCCAAATGGGGCCCCGAAAGCTCCTGCGCGCAAGTCAACTACCTCGAAGCCTCCTCCCTTACAGCTTAAGACTTCCAATCGAAAATCCATATCAAACGACACCAAGCCTGCATCTCGATCCACGCGCAAACGATCGCCGTCTCCTTCCACGCAGCCTACGAGGCACTCCACCAGGACACGGCGCGGTCGTCGCAGCTCTATCGATGACCTCACGGCCACGACCTCTTCGACGAGCCCCAACCGAACGAGAATCAAGTTGAGAGTCCGGTCGACCGAGTTGCCGATAGTGCATCCCGAGCAAATAAGCAAGCGGCTGAGGATCGGTCCTTCTTTTGAGGAATACTGGGAAAAGGCACAAACGCTGCCCGTCGAGGAGGGCGGCGTGTACGTGCCGGAAGATGGCCCTACCTACACGGACGAGATGGCTCAGAGGGATGCCCAAATCATCCTCAGGATCGAGGAAGCGGTTGAACCAAGAGGTCTCTTGTCCCAAGAGCGCTGCTCCATCTTCGTACCCGAATCCGAAGAAGAGCCCCCGCGCCAGTGGGCTCGCGCCGACCACATGGTCAAGGCTATGTCCAACTTCCGGAAGCTGATGCTGGCGGAGCAGCAGAGGCATCGGGCGCAGGCCAAAAAGGTTGCTGAGGCTTGCAGAGACGCTTGGCTCCGACGCCAACCGAAGTCGGCCGAGGAGTTAGAGGCAGAAGCAAGGGAGGTTTGGATCGCACGATACAGGGTGGTAGTCAAGAGCATGTTCGGTACGTGGGAGAATATCCGATTCGAAATCAATCGTCGCAGGCTTCAGGAGTGGGAGGCCGAGGAGCAGCGCAGGGTAAAAGCTGCGTTGCAGGAGGCGGTCAACCTTTCCGAACAGAAGCTCCAAGCCCGACGAGCGCAGGCCGACTCTGATATTTCCGACGAAGACGATTTCGACGACCTCGACGCCGATGTCGACCTCAGTGACCTCGACAGCGATGCAGATGGCACTCAGGCGATGTCGATCGATGCCGAGGACGACGACTCAGGCGACGACGGCGATGAAGAAGATGACGATGTCATGTCATCATCGGATGAAGACGAAGCCGGCGATGATCACGTTGCAGACGCCGGCGACGAGAAGCTTACGCAAGAACAGCTTCGCGCGAAATACGCAAACCTTCCAGAGCTTGCTGCGGATGAGCAAGTAGAGCAGCTTGTCAATGGCGTTGGACCAGACGGAGACGCGAAAGCTGTCCCAACAGGTGCACGAGAGGACGATACCAGCGATGAGTCTGTCGACATGGACGATGATCTTGGCTCAACCGACATGGACGATAGCGACATGTCTGACGAGGATGAGGGTTCCGAAGAGGAGGAGGGAGAGGAGGAACCGGCGGGTCTGCTCGGTATGCTCTTCGGCAAGTCTGAGCTGAAGAAGATGAAGGACGAAGAGCCGAGTAAAGACCAACCGAAGACCGATGTTCCCGTCACGGATGCCCTTCCTCAACAAGGCGAAGCTTCTACTCCCTTCAGAGAAGACCCGGAAGACGACGAGGACGAGATATCCTTGATTCAGCATCCTGGCGCGTTACCCAAAGACAACGGGATGGAGGTCGACAAGACAACAGAGGGAGCAAAGCTCCTGCCGGCAGCAGAAATCACCAGCGAGTTGGTAAACGGAGTTGAGGCTGTAGATTCTGAGAATCAGCCCCCCGCCTCTTCACCAAAGACCAACACCGCAACACTAGACGGCACGACCAAGAGCGCGGAGGTCCCTCCCCCCACCGACATCGTTCAAGATGCAACAGTCATCTCAGAGGACGTTGAGATGGAGGATGCGCCCCCCAAGGCCGATGTTGCGAACGCGAACGCTGCATCTCCAGCAGAAGCCCCTGCCAAGCATGTTAGCCCCGATACCGATGTTGTCACTGTCCCGCCTAGTCCGGAGCAAAGCCACTCTCCTCCAACCTCAGACACGAAGCCCTCGGAGGTGGACACAATGTCTTTGGCAACACCCGGTGTCAAGGATGTCGTGAGTCGTTCGGCTACACCGAACACGCCGCAAGTCGCAAGGACGGAGATCCCCTTCCTTCTTCGAGGAACTTTGCGTGAATACCAACACGATGGATTGGATTGGCTTGCGGGCCTATACGCCAATAACACCAACGGCATTCTCGCAGACGAAATGGGTCTTGGAAAAACCATCCAAACCATCTCGCTACTTGCTCACCTCGCTTGTCATCATGAAGTATGGGGCCCGCATCTGGTCATCGTACCCACCAGTGTGATGCTCAACTGGGAGATGGAGTTCAAGAAGTGGTGCCCTGGCTTCAAGATTCTTTCCTACTATGGAACCCAAGAGGAAAGAAAGAGAAAGCGTCAAGGGTGGAACAACGACGATGTCTGGAACGTCTGCATCACATCTTACCAATTGGTTCTGCAAGACCAGCAAGTCTTCAAGCGGCGCAGGTGGCATTACATGATCCTGGACGAGGCACACAACATCAAGAACTTCAAGTCTCAACGATGGCAGAGCCTTCTCGGTTTCAACACGCATTCTCGACTACTCCTCACGGGAACCCCCTTGCAAAACAACTTGACCGAGTTGTGGTCGCTTCTGTTCTTCTTGATGCCAGCCGAAAATGGCGTTGGCGGATTTGCAGACCTCCACGAGTTCCACGACTGGTTCCACAAGCCCGAGTCTCAGATCCTGGAAAACGGCCGCGAGACCATGGACGATGAAGCACGCGCAATTATTTCGAAGTTGCACAAGGTACTCCGACCTTATCTTCTTCGAAGACTCAAAGCAGACGTCGAAAAGCAGATGCCTGCAAAGTACGAACACGTCGAATTTTGCCGCCTTTCGAAGCGTCAACGCGAACTGTACGATGGATTCCTGGCTCGCAGCGATACACGCGATACTCTTTCCTCGGGCAACTACCTCTCCATCATCAACTGTCTGATGCAGCTGAGGAAGGTCTGCAACCACCCTGATCTGTTCGTCGACCGACCCATCATGACATCTTTCAGGATGCAGAAGTCGGTGCCGGCAGAGTACTCGGGCACCGATGGATTTTTGCAGCGTTCTCTGCTCAAGATCGAGCCCATGTCCGTCGTGAGCCTTGGGGTATTGAACATGATTCCTGCCCAATTCGAGAGCATGTCTAATACGACGGCGGAGCGGATCTCGCAGCTGAGCCTGCACAGGGCGCTCATGGAGCTTCGCGAGACTCAGAATACGAGAGCTCATCTCGCTCGCACGAATCTTGATCCGTCAACCGTTCAGTCAAATATCGTGTATCTGGACAGTTTGGCGCGCTGGCGTCGCTTCGAGGAGTTGCAACACAGCGTCTACCTGAATGCTCTCCGCGGCCAACGTCGACCCATCTACGGCAAGCGATTGGTTGATTTCCTCACACTGGGACTCGACAAGCGACCTAGGAAGCCTCGCCCAAGAGTTCCCCAGGAGATCCTGAATTGGTTCGCGGAAGACTCTGACTTCTTGCGCGCAGTCATTCACACTGCAGACGCGCGAGCCGATTCATTACAAACCATAATATCAAAGTTCTCCTGCGTCACCCCCGCGGTCATCAGCCGAGACATGAACGAAGTCATCCTAGGCAGGAAGGGCGTCCAGGCCTTCACCGACGAGGACCTGAAGCTCTCCGCACCGGTCAAATGGGCACCTTTCATTCCTAAGCAGTCGCCAATCGACCCCTGGCACGAGTCTCGAATGCGTCACAGCATCCAATTCCCCGACAAGAGACTCCTCCAATACGACTGTGGCAAGCTTCAGGCTTTGGACAAACTCCTTCGCAAGCTGCAATCGGGCGGTCACCGTGCCCTCATCTTCACACAAATGACAAAGGTTCTGGATATCCTCGAACAGTTTCTTAACATTCATGGTCACAAGTACCTCAGACTGGACGGTGCCACTAAGGTTGAGCAGCGGCAGATTCTGACGGACCGATTCAACAACGATAACAGAATCCTTTGCTTCATTCTTTCGACGCGTTCAGGTGGCCTGGGAATCAATCTCACGGGCGCAGACACCGTTATTTTCTACGACCAAGACTGGAACCCGGCGATGGACAAGCAGTGCCAGGACAGATGCCATCGCATCGGACAGACTCGCGACGTACACATTTACCGCCTAGTGAGCGAGCACACCATCGAGGCCAACATTCTCCGCAAGGCATCCCAGAAACAAATGCTCGACGATGTCGTCATTCAAGAGGGCAGCTTCACAACGGACTACTTCAACAAGCTCTCCGTCCGCGACGTCCTCGGTGCCGAAGGAAACGACTTGGTCGACGACGCCGCTAATGCCGCGATGGATCGCCTCTTGGGAGGACCGGAAAGCGGCAGCACACGGAACGCTGGCGAGGCGCTTAAGCAGGCCGAAGATCAGGAAGACGTGGAGGCCGCGAAGGCTGCAGAGAAGGAAATCCAAGACGACGACGCCGAGTTCCAGGAGAAGAGCGGAGCGCCCTCCGGAGCTTCCAGTACTCGGCAAGGTACACCCCGGGACGACCCCAGTCAACCAGGCGGTCCCGGTCCTTCCGGTCTCGGTCGCTTTTCCGAGTCTGTGGCGCCGGACCAGGAGGAGATTGAGCATAACGCGTGGGGCGAGCGCATATATAATATCGACGAGTACATGCTGCGCACGATGGCGGAGCAGCTCAAGGGCACGGCGTTGGAGCTGCCCAAGGACAAGAAGAAGAGCAAGAAGAGGGGTAGAGACACGCGCAAACGATAGGCGCCGGTCGACGAACATGCGTCTTGTGTCAGTATCATCAGCATCATCACGTTCTGTTGATTTGTGTTTTCTTGTATTATAGCGGACTACGGCATTCGGGACAAAAGACGGTCGCAAAGTAGACCCGGCATGTACATTGGTAACGGCGTGGCCGTGGCATGGAGTTCTGGAGAACATTCTCAGGAGAGAAGACGGTAGTCCGGTGCGGATATAGACGATGAACGAAAAAGAGACTCTCCCACAACGTTTACTGGTCAATATCCATGTGATGTCTTCGATTCGGTGTTGGCTCACGCACACTCAGTAACACCCTTCCTCGCCTCCTCCGCCCACCCCTCGGCCTCCCTCTCCAACTCGCGCTCCACATACCAAAACGTCACCGCCGTCCAGACCCCCGCCCACACAAACGGCAACGACCAGCCGATCGTATACGCCACATCGCCGCTCAGCGTGAATATCAAGATGGTGCAGAGCACGGCGCACGCCTCGGCCCCGACGGCCCAGAAGACCCCCAGCCGCCTCAGCATCGCCCGGAAGACGTGACTGGCCTCGTACCGCCGGTCCAGAGCGGCGCGGAACTCGGTCCCGCCGGAGCCGTCCACGGCGCAGATGTCCTCGATCAGGCTGTAGATGCCGGGCCGGAGCTGGGCGCCCCTGGGGACGGAGGAGACGCGGCAGGGCGCGGGGACGCGGAAGGCGCGCAGGGCGTCGACGAGGAGGAGCTCGGTGCCGAAGACGTAGAGCATCGTGGTCACGGGCATGGAGAGGAGGCGGATTGGAGGGTGTTCCGGGACGGTTCCGCTGTGTTTTAGGTCAGCCAAGTAAGATCTTGGTCAGGGGTAAAGAGGGGGTGAACGCACACGATGAGCTCGATCATGATGATGATCCACGCGAAGGAGAAGTTCCAATGGAACCAATCCAGATACCACCGATGCGCGCCCATCACGCGACACGTGCTGCCCTTCCTCCACAGCCGCCAGAAGCGCAAAAAGTACTCGACGATACTCGCGCCCCCGACGGCGGCGGTGACGATGGAGAAGACGGCGTTGGGGCTCAGCTTCTCCCTCTTCTCGGTGGGCGTGTTGGTGCCCGGGCCGACGCCGTACCAGAGGCCGAAGTAGAGGGCGATCGGCATGGCGATGGAGTCGAAGAGGATGAGGGCCCAGAAGAGGGCGATGGAGAGTTTGCGGGTGCGGAGGGTGTAGTTTAGGGGCGGCGGTCTCGGTTGGAAACTCGGTGGTGGTTGTGCTGGTGATAAGGTTGTTGGTGATGGCGGTTGGTGTGTTGATGGTCGTGGTGAGGTTAGGGAGGATCGGCGGGCCATTGTGAGGAAGGGCCTGGCGAAGGGGCCGTCGTAGCGGCGGTCGAAGTCATGGCTTTGTCTTGTTTTTCGCTGTGTCGGCGATGTTGGGGGTATGTTGTTGTTGAGGCTGTCGGGCAGGCTGTTTGACTTCTTCTCGTCGAAGGATAGGGTTGGCTTGTTGAGGTTATTGTCGGAGTTTGGTCCGGTTTGGATTCGATCTGGATTAGCGGCGGGCTTGTGGCCCTGGGTTATTTGAAGACTGTGCCGGCCGAGGGTCGCGGGATCTCGGGGTGTGGTGTTGTGTCCGGCTTCAGGAGCGTTCGGAGACGGATGGCTCGGAGAGACATGGCCGTCTCCGGGCTGTTGCTTCTCATTCATGATTGATGGAAGATGTGGTATCTCTAAGGAACGTTTCAATTGACACTCTCCGGAGAGAAAGGAGAAAACAAAATCATCACGGCTTTGAACAATGTGCTGTAGTACTAGTGGGAATATTGTGTCAATTAACGATAGCGAAGGGTGGCATGTTCATGGCAAAGCACCCATCGCCAAGATACAAACGAGAGTCGATCATTACAATCAAACGCATCGGCCGGTCAATCAGAAGCACAAACAATACCACCCCAAGACGTAGCCTCCCCTCCGGAAAGATCTAGAGCACTGCGTAGTGGGACATGGGGTCACAGGAGCAGAGTCTCCGCCGCAGAGGCATGATGTCAGAATGAAGCTCGTGGCGAATCCCGAGATAACCTCCCCTGTCCGACGTCCGGGGTTGTACAGTGTTCCAGCGGTTCATCCCTCCCTTTAAAGTTTTCTCTTGCTTCATTGCATCGCGGATGATGTTGTTGCGATGCACGCACGAAGCAAGATAATTGAAGGTCTCGTGATGTGTGTGTTGGTGATGTGCCAAGTCGATGGCTGAAGAAGAGAGAACTTCGAGGAAAGAACGATGGAGGGCGGCCGATAAGATAAGCTCTTGCCGAGAATGTCGCCAAGCCCGCTTATGTCATCTGGTCTGCCCTTGAGGGTGGAGTCTCATCTCGAGATCTCATTGGGCATAATTGACAGAATGGAGAAGGCATCGCCATCTCACGCAACACCCCTCATCCCGGAAAGCTCAAAGTTACTATGTGACATCGCCAGTCTGGTTACTCCGAAGCGCCGATAATGCGCCTCATCAATTGCCATACGCTCGAATTCAAAGATTTCGCAGAAAATGGCCATGTCCCCAACTACGCCATCCTGTCTCACACATGGGGCGAAGACGAGGTGACCTTCAAGGACTGGCAGGACACCGCGCTCAGGGAGGAGAAGATCGGATTCGAAAAGATTCAATCAACATGCCGCCAGGCCCTCATCGACGAGTACGGCTATGCCTGGGTCGACACGAACTGCATCGACAAGAGTAGTTCAGCCGAGCTTTCCGAGGCCATCAACTCCATGTTCGCCTGGTATGAACGCGCCGCCGTCTGTTACGTCTACATGGCCGACGTCCCTCCATCTACACGGGACGAGATCGAAAAAGAGGACAGCCATTTCCGCAGGAGCAGATGGTTCACCCGCGGCTGGACCCTGCAAGAGCTGATAGCACCGCGCCATGTTGTGTTCTACGCCCAGGATTGGTCGTATCTGGGAACCAAGAAGGACCTCGTCGGGGTCATATCCGCCATCACGGCCATCGACAAGGGTTGCCTAAAAGGCACGAGGCCTCACGAATACAGCATCGCGGAAATCATGTCCTGGGCGTCTGCTCGAGTCACCACGCGCGCCGAGGATCAGGCTTATTGTCTACTCGGTCTTTTTGGTGTCAACATGCCGCTCCTGTACGGCGAGGGTAACAAGGCCTTCACGCGACTGCAAGAGAACATCATCGAGATCTCAGACGATCAAAGCATATTCGTCTGCGATATAGAAGCATTGGCCATGTGTGCTCCTCTCGCGAGCTCTGCGTATCTATTCGCAAAATCCGGAAATGTAGGGCGTTATTCTCTCATGACAGCCCCCATGACGACTCTCCCGCCTTTCTACACTATGACAAACGCCGGTCTCTCCATCACTCTGCCCCTTATACAAACACTCTTGCCTTACTTCGTCCTTGGAGTCCTCAACTCCACGGTGAAGAGTCACCGCGACAGCAACATTTGCATCATGTTGTCATCCCACGTCAGCCAGTATCGGCATCAGTACACAAAGGTTTCAATGCCTATGCCATGGTTTCCAGTGGTACCGACCTCGATCAAAAGTCTCCTCCCTCCCTATGAGGAAAGCTCTAAGTACCCAGAGAACTGGGCGGTCGACTTCATCCCGGAGGAGCCCACCCCGATTATGATCTCAAAGATGGACCGGTACGACCATCACAATCTGGTCTCAAAGATTCTCTATCCCGTGAAGCGCACGGAATCCGAGGTTTTCTGCTTCATCACGTTTCCCCGCGGGCTCGCAGGATACCGGCTCTACGCAGCCGACCCGCCCCAAGCCTTAACTGAGCGCACCAGTATGATGGCCATGCTCAGGCGGAACCCCGAAGACCGCGTAGGGCGGGGACTACTCATTTTCAAACGAAGAGGCTCCCGCCGAGAGGAGAGTAGATATGTCGCGGTCTATCTCGAAACAGCCGTCGATGACAACGTCGACGCGGAGAACTGGCCGCGCAGGTGTCGTGTCTTTCCTGACTGGAGAATCATCGACACTCTGGATGCTATACCGCCGTTTGTTGAGAGCGACTATCCGCCTCCTAAGGGACGCGCGAGTTGGGTTGGTGATTTGATGGCGACCGTGAGGACGGCAATCCCGGTCGACTCTTCTCACATGCCTCTGACGAAGGTCATGATGATTGCTGAAATCGTGTTTGATATGGACGAATATCGAGATGCCAGGGGCCGTAAAGGCTCCATTCATCAGTCATATGACTCGCCACATCACAGTCTCATGTTGCAAGACTGGAATGGGTTGGAAATGGAGCAGAAGTTCTCCATTGACAACAACGCAGAAAGCCCGTTTTACAGCCCGAGATGGTCACATGTATCACGTTCCACATCATACAGCCCGGATTACTCGCCCAAAAGCCCGAAATTTGGAAGTTCACCTCTTGCGGACCCAATGGTAGAAGATTAGGTTCAAATGCTTCATTTACTCAAACAGGCTGCAGCACAGCTGCTCCGGCAGCTCAGCTGACTTGCCAACTACCCCTTATAACATACAAATCGCTAAGAATGGAATCATAAGCCAACTCCGCCTCACAACCACTCCCATCTCGTTTACTGGGGCATAACCTCAGCCTTGAAGTCGGAAGGGCCGTTGGTGGCAGCGTTGTTGCCGCCGGCAGTGGCAGCAGGGGCAGCAGGCGCGGCGGGAGCAGCGGGGGCAGCGCCGCCCTGCTGAGCACCACCGGCGGACAGAGCCTGGATACCACCGTCGAGGGACTGGTTGATCTGGTCGACGGACTGCTGGGCGATGCCCTGGCCGATAGCGGGGACCTTGGAGACGACGGCGGAGCTGAAGTCGCCGGCGACGGCCTTCTGCTGCTTGAGCTGGTCAACGGCGATGGAGGTGGCGCCGAGCTTGTCAAGCTCGGGCTTCTTGTTGGTCAGATCCGTGACGGCGGTCTGGACGGCGGTGGTCAGGCCACCGGCGGACTGCTGTAGGGTGAGGGCGTCGGTGAGAGAGAGCTCCTGGGCGCCCTGGATCTGCGTGGTTCCCTGCTTCAAGCTGGTCTGGACCTTGTTGGAGGCATCGAGGAGGTTGGCGGCGCTGTTGGGGTCAGAGGCGGAGAGAGCCTGTTGGTTGAAACAGTCAGTATCGAGATTGGATATCGGGGAAGAGGGCAAGGAGAGATCTTACCTTGACAGCGGTGTCGAGGTTGCCGAGGGAGTCCTGGACGCTGGAGAGAGCACCCTGGATGGTCTGGAGTTGACGCTTGCTGACGAGGGAAGCAGGGGCGGCGATGGCAGTGCCGGCAATGAGAGCCTGGACGAAGACGTTGGTGAAGTGCATTTTGACTGGTGGTGGTGTGGGTTGATAAAGCGAGGGCTTTGTGAAGATGTTGAAGCGAGTGCTTTGATATCTAGAAGATGCTTTAGAGTGTAAGAGAGTTGTAGATGCTGATGAGATGAGAGAAGAATCCTGACTGAGACCAGGAACTTCATGCGCTTATTATACGAACTTCGACGTTGCCGCGAACGCCTCGAACATCGTCTTCCCGCAGCAGCAATCGACGACGCAGCATCCTTCATCCGAGCTGCATCACGGCCGGGAGGCGCCAGGAACCGTACGACTCCGTCAGTGTGTGTGTGTGTGTGTCCCGGAAGCTGCTGCATCATGTCTGGCGCAAAACCGCACATCTCACACAGTCCAAGTCGCGCGAGCATCGCGGTCGAGAAACTGTCAGAAGCCGTGTTCGCCTCAAGCTACTGCAACTTCGACGCCTCCCGGGCAGCCCATTCCGGCTTGGAAAGATCTTGGGAGCTCTATCGCATCGCGGCCAGTGACCAATTACCCAAAACCCCTGAACCCTTGAAACGCGGTGCCGTGCGGTGCGCGGCTCGGTCACTGACCTGGAGGCTGGAGGATCACGGCTTCGGTGCGCATCAGACGAAACAAAACACATCGCCCACGGACTCGACTGGAAACGTCAACTCTCCTCTACGTTGGCGATGTGAGCCACGAACTACCCAACACTTGGATCTTGAATAGGGAATCCCTTCTATTTTTGGCGGTTGGGGCTTTTTGCTGGTGTTCGTTCGCTGTGGCGTGCGCTTTCTCGATGTGCCATAGGCCCAGGAGTGAAGCTGTCGCCGTGACACATTCATTTCGGATGGCACAAATCTCTCAAAGCACTGGCTTCTTGAAATTTTTAATCGCCGTGAGGGTTTTCCCGACATGCTCGGAATGGCCTGGCGAAGCTTGCCACATGTGGTGATCTCGATGCGCGTGCGACTGAGGCCTGCCGCCAGTCAGTCTGCCCACGTTGACCAGCGCGCCACCGATGACTTGCACCAGAAAACATCGACAAGCTTTACGAACTGGTTCGTCAGTCTGGTAGCCTGGTTCGTGGCGTGGGTTCTGTTGACTTCGCTCATGCAGGAACCCCCCCGTCTGGCGCGGGAAGACTAATACCGAGCTACTCGGGGTGTTCCGTCTGTACATGATGTGTGTGTAGTCTGCCCTTAGCTCCCACCTTAGCTGAAGGCAGCTCGAACGCTCCTCTCACAAGTAGCAGACTGGCGTCTCTTGGCTGTACACAGAAAAGCAGCTAGTGCGGCAGTCAATGTCATTGAGCGTGCGCGCGCGCCTCTTAGTCTGCGTCGATGCACACGAGGGGGCGGCAAACAAGCTTAACCTTCAACGATAACCTCGGTTCTTGCTTGCATAGGTCGACATACTGGCAATCCAGACACCAATCGTCTGAAAGCTTCTTCGTCTTCTCTATGCGAGTGCGGAGGGTGGGCACGTAGTTGACAAATGTCTGTCAAGTGTCACGTCTCCCTCCACCCTTCCAATACCCAGGGTCCGTGCCTGAGCGCGGCTAACATTCTTGTCACCAATCCAATGCTGGGATGAGGGGTGGCTGAGAGGTGGCCAGTGAGAGAATCCCGAAGGCTGCATGAGCGACTGAATCTGTCATCATCGTAGAGGTCGGTGGCAATGGACAGCAACAACGCCACACAGCGGACGACAACGGCTGGGCGGAGTTGGGCCACTTGACGGGCCCAGTTCGTCGGATGAACGAGTTTCTCGCCTGAAGGGTGTCAGTTCGACTCGACAGGCCAGCTGGTGGCCACCCCTCGACCGGGAATCCGATTGGTGAGACGTGACATATCCCAATGCCAACTGAGCGTCGGATGTGGTCGACTTGGCGCTGTGCGCACGATACCCATCTCCACCAGCGGCACTTCACGAGCCCTTCGGTTGTTCGCCCGTTGTGGTTCGACCGAGGTTACGACTGGGTCGGACTCGCATTTGTCACATCCGATGGACAGTTCTGACGGGAGACCCTGGGCGGCTCCCACTTTGAGGTGTTCTAGAGTTTATTCCATCTCACGATCTCATATTTCTTTGGGCTCCTGTAGTCGGAATCACTCACGTCCGGACTTTGAGGAGCAAAGTTGCTGCACCAGAATGGGGTCCATCTGGAAGAGGTGAGCTTTGTGAAGGTTCTGGGAATGGAGACAAGACGATCGCTTTCGCTGCGAAAACTTTGCGACCTCGACCGAGAATTGCCACAATAGGAAATATGCAGCAACTCATATCAGATAGAACCTGATCCGGTGAGAATTTTACCATTACCAAGCGCTTTGAAGTCGCCGCCATCTATCCGAGCAGCGATACGGAACGAAGCTGGGGCATGAGCCACATCAGGTAGACCACAAGCAACTATCTGGGGTGACGGATCACGGCCCGACTGACAGGCGGGAAGGACTCAATGACAGCTTTGACGTAGGTTTCACTTCCCTATGGACACTCTAAGGTGGGAAGTAACACATCGTCGTGGTCTACTTCGATGCCAGAGGACAACTCCTGTGATATTCTTTTTGCCGCTCGAACGACTTTCACTCATGGAGCCGAGGATCATGCAGTTGGCAAGTCAGCCTTCTTCGAGCAATCACAGCGTCTCAAGTCTTAAGATTTCGCGCTTCTGTCGACCCTGAACTGCAACGCAGTAGCTTAACCTTGCGGAAGGGCAGGCAAACCTTCGTCCACACGGCCCTTACAGAAGGCATATCGACTTCATCGAGAGACTCTATGGCTACGTTGAAACTAGCTCGGCTGGGTTAATTCAAGATACAGCCGATTGGCAACTCTTCTCGGGAATTTCATACACATTTTCCAACACTCTGTTACCACGCATCGCGAACGAAGGATTCTGCGATATCTGCCATCTACCAATTCGTCACACAATATTTATTCCTCAATTACCTTACTGTAAGTACTTGTCGGCAATCTCCTCGGCCATCACATCAAACATCGGTTGGGCGCTGAACCACCCAACGTTAGGCGTGCCCACGCTTTTGGAAGTAAACACAGCATCTTCCTCGTCAATCTTGACAGGAGGTTCCCCCGTGCCGTGACCAGCGGCAGCTGCTTCTGCTAACATTTGAGCGTGACAACACTTATCCAACGACGCAAACCAAAACACAGCAGCCTCGACCGTCTGACCAACCGTCAACAGGCCATGATTTTGCAACATACAAGCCTTTCCAGAACCCAAAGCCCTCGCAATATTTCGCCCTTCCTCTTCAGCCAGCACCACGCCCCGGAACTGCTTGTAGATACCCAAATCACCGTGAAACGCACAGCTGTCCTGCGTCAGGGTGTCAATGGGCCGGCCCAGAGAGCAGAAGGCCCTGCCATAGAGGCTGTGCGAGTGAGCCGCGCAGTTGACGTCGGGGCGGGCCACGTGAACGGCGTGATGGATCATGTAAGCCGCGCGGTTGAGGAGACGGTTGGCGCCACCGTCGACTACCTCTCCTGCGCCGTTGACGAGGATGAGGTCGGAACGTCGCATCAAGCTGAAAGCTCGACCCAGAGGGTTGACCCAGAAGTGATCTGTGAGAATGGGGTCGCGTAGAGTGATGTGGCCGGCGACGCCCTCATCGAAGCCGAACTTTCCGAAAAGCCTGAAGGCGAGAGCAAGCCTTCCCTTGAGGTATTCTCGTTCCTCTTGCTTATTTGTGAACGCTGGAGGTGTTGGAATTTGCTGCAGTTGAACATTGTTACTTCGCTGCGTAGTAACTGTGCTCGTCGGTTCGGTTGACTGGAGCTGGCCCGACTCGAGAGATAGGGACGAGGAAGGCGGACTGCTGGTTGTCTTTGTTGACGTGATTGTCGTCATGGTAAGAGGATATGTTCTTGGTTGAGTATGCCGAAAGTTTCAGGAAACATGTGGGCCCCGTTTCTTCATGAAGTCGCCAAAGCCTCTCTTGTATTCAACATCCATTGGCATCGATGCTTCAATGGGTTCGCAGAAGCTACATCCCAGCAAGATCGTCGCTGACACGGAAATGCGTTCCTCAGCACCCATGATCTTCTCCGCAGCATTTCCCCAGATTCCACCCCGCAAATTACCATGACCTCGCATGCATGAAGCCCCGGAAACCCCGCCGGCTTGCGTTTCTCCACACGGAGGTGCAGTCCCGGATCCTGGGGGGATGTAATCCATGGAGACCTGGATATCAATCATGCAACAGCTCCGCTCCCGAAGAAACCTCCATGACAAACTCTACAGACAACAGACCAGCAATCCAAGATACGAATCATGCAACCCGACGAGGACTCTCAGGCGAGCAGCAACCGAACGCGGAAAAGTCGGCGCACGTCGGACTTGACTGGGACGCAAATTGCCCGCAAGCGTGCTATGGACCGTTCCAACCAGAGAACGCACAGGGCCAAGAACAAAGCTACCATCGCAGTGCTGGAGAACAAGCTTGCCGAGCTCACCTTTCAACTGAACGAGGCCAAGACCCAGCTTGCTAAGCAAGATGAAATTATCAGGAGCTTTGGTATGGGCGCGAATGACGGCTTCTCCCAGGACACCACGACTCTTCCTTCAGTAGCAAGTCTCGGCGGTCCTCCTGGAGCAGAGTTGCCACGATCAACAGCCAGTCTTGGCGAGCAAAGTGGTTCAGGGACACATGGTGTTGAGACATCCAGGCATTACGATATCTGTGATGAGACTCTGGCGTTGGACCCTCGTCAAGACGTGTTCAATCCCTTCACTGACATTGATAAATGCTTCGACGACTGGGCATTTGAGCTGGACTTTGGAGCTCAAACGGATTTCTTCAATCAAGACATGTTCAACTTCTTGATTGGAGCGAGACCGGATTCTCCCGATCAACAGAAAGCCTTAAGAAAGGGCATGACGGAAACAGACCCTGAGTTCAACAGTGACGAGCGTAGCCCGGAACGGTCTATCGGCTCGCCATTTCAAGCTCAAGAGGAGCTCTCTGAGAAGAATACTCCTTGGAGACTCATACCACCCAACCTCCCGCCTAAGACACCATTAGACAAAATCATCGTCAACAGCTCTCGGCGAGGGCGTAAACTCTTTCTTCAAACCCGCGGCCGACGACGCACTGAGCTATCTGAACCATGCTTTCCCAGCATCTCACCCTTGGTCAACCGGACACCTAGCGACGGCGTACCGCGTCCATTATCAGATGAGCTTGCTGCCCAAGTCCAGGGCTCGCCATTCAAGTTCCTGGTCGAGCGCTTGGCTTTCATGTACAAGCTCTCGCATCTCATTCGCTGGCTCATGTGCCAGACCAAGGAGACCTACGAAGCCATGCCGACATACATGCGGCCAACGCAGCTGCAACTGACTGTGCCGCATCCCGCATGGATCGATGCCATCACATGGCCAGGAGCGCGGGATGAGATCATCACGAAGATGAACTGGGAGTCGGAATTCAACCTCTTCCAGAGGCTGACCGGGCAGACCGTGTCAGTGAACTGGCCATATCCTGACTCGGGTGCGTTCATGGAGTCTAGCGACGGGCAGGTACTCACGCTACATCCGCTGTTCGAGGCGCATGTTAGACAGGAGGAGAACTGGACTTGTGGACAGGAAGTTGGAGCTGCGTTTGCATTTATGAGGAGCTATTCCACAAAGTAGGCTATCTTATACCAAAAGAGTAATGCGTTTCTTTTGTATGGTAATTTCATCATCTCAACGGAGGCACTGCTGCTGAGCCGACACCAGCTGCTCCTGAACGTCCATCTTCCCAAACAACGTGAAATTGAGTCCAGTCCTGAAATGCTTCTCGCACGTGGTCCTCATACTTGTTCATCCCTCCAATGTAGTTCAATTGTTCCCTCTTCTTTCCAGGAATGTTCGCTCCCATGTACCAGGAGTCGCACAGAGGGAAAAGGGTATGGTCGTTCATCTCCTGAATGATAGCGTTCCACTGTTCTTGAGCCGCAACTCGCGGCTCGATAGCATCGACCTTTGCGTCTCGAAGCTTGGTAAGAAAGTCCGCGATAAGGTCAACTTGGGACTCAATAAACACGGGTGCGTTTGTAAATGCCGTGGGCGCTAGAAGTCATCACATCAGTAAAGAAAACAGAGTAACCGTCAAAAGCCCTACCTTGAGGCCCAAAAACCATGAACATATTAGGACAGTCATGAACCATGATGCCCAAATGAGTCCGAACACCATCTCTCCACCGCTTTTTCATGTCAACGCCGTTCTTGCCCCTGAGGCCCATGCTCGTCAGGCTTCCAGTCATGTTGTCGAACCCGGTTGCCATGATGACGACGTCGTGTTCTCTTTGGACTTCTTCCCCGCCACTGGTAACGATTCCGTTCTTCCAGAACTCCCGAATTGGCGTCTTTTTCAACGGCACAATTTCGACATTTTCTCGATCAAGAGATTCATAGTAGTCTTGCTCAAGACTGCTCCTCTTGGTCGCGAAAGGGAATGGCGGCTCCAACGGTGCGACAATCTCGCGTTTCGCGGCGTCATGGATCCTCGCGCGAACCCTCTTGACCCAAAAGCCGTAGATCATTCTGTTCGCTTTCGCATCGACCAAGAAGTCGCAGTAGTTGGCGGCTTGAAAGCTGAAGCCGCCACGCGACCAGAGTTCGTCCCAGTAGGCTTCTCTCTCCGCCTGAGCGACATCGCTAGAAGCCAGTACTTGAGTATCGCAAGCCATGCCAGCCGGTGTCTGACGTGACAGCTCGAAGAGACCCCGCAAAATGCCCTTCTGGATATCCTGCTCCAGCTGGGATAGCTCGCGCTGCCTCATAGGCAGTGCGATGTTGGGGTTGCGGAGGTAGACGGTAAGGTGCTCGGCGTGCTTGGAGATCTCTTGCACCAGCTGTACTCCTGTGGCACCTGATCCAACGATGGCGACGTTCTTTCCCTGAGTTTCGACGGGAGATGAGGACCAATCTGAGGAGTGAATGACTTGGCCTTCGTAGTCGTCCATCCCATCGATATGCGGGACAAATGGCTTGTAAGAGTTGCCAGTAGCTGGAATCAGATACTTGCACGTTGCTGTGAGTCCGGTATTCGTGCTAATCGTCCATCTTGCATGACGCTCGTCGAAATCTGCCCCGTTGACCGTAGTCTTGAAGCTAGTATCCTTTTCTAAGTCTAGGACTTTGCCAACGTGCCTGAAGTACCGCTTCAGCTCGTCGTGGCCAGGGAAACGCTGGCTCCAAGACCAAGTTTTGTAGACTTCGGGAAGAGAAAACTGATAGTAAGGCACCTCTGAGTCAACGCGGGCACCGGGGTAGCTATTCCAATGCCAGACGCCGCCATACTCATATCCCGCTTCGAACAAATGGGTGGAAAATCCTAGCTTGCGTAGCTTGTGAAGAGAATAGCAGCCGCCAAAACCTCCACCAATGATTATTACATCGAAGTGGGATTGGGCGGTAATCCCATTCGACTGAGGTTGATCAAGAGAACCCATGGCTAGGTACTGAGTAGGGTTGAACAATAGACCAGACTGAATGACAAGAACGTAGATGCTGCAAAAGCTGAATGTATAAGTAAGCCGGTTTAATTGATCTTGTTGTTCCGATATCGATCCAACTTAAGAACAGAAGCTCAGAAGGATCGCCTGCATGGCACGAGATCTGTCAAGTGAGTCGGCACAGGTCAATAACTCAAGACAACCTTGGCTGGGTTGAAGTTAGCCGCCAAATTGCATTTTACCTATGTTGTAAGCCTGGATGACTGCCGACTTCGGTAGTAGGCAAAGTGCAGCCTGCATGGCGGAAATAGTCCTCCTCGGTGGGTGGGATATGGATCGTCTCGGGTTTCCCGTCGCGAACATGACACGACCTGCATATTGACCTCTTATGCTGCCAAACCACGCAAGTCACCTTAATTGACGCTTCCAAAAGACTATTCTCAGGAACGGCACCTTGGAAATAAATCCGTATATGCTACAGGCGAGAAATTGCAATTTGTGAGTCTCCTTAAGGAAGAATGTTCCAGGTTTCCGCTCTGAATCAAACACCCACTAAGTCAATAGTCACAAGAACTCGTCAACCATGACTGAAGTACTCAGCACGCAAGACGACCTGCTCTCAACGTACACGGGGTTGTCTACATCGTCTGAGCTTGATATTGAACCGGCGATTGCGTATGATTCACAGTCCCATGATCTTGAAAGCGGCTCTTATGGCGAACGTCTGGTTGTCAACGTGGTGGATCAACTTGCAAGGAAGCAGCCAGACAGAGTCTGGGCTACCGTATCGCGATCACCATTTCATCTCGGCGATGGTTTCCGCGACATCACCATGCGAGAGCTTGCCCAGGCGGTGGATGCTGCAGCCTGGATCATCGACAACAAATACGGAAAGAGCAAGACTTTCGACGTGATTGCTTACATCGGGGTGTCGGATGTACGCTACGCTATCTTCATGTTTGCAGCTATCAAGACAGGTCACCAGGTTGGTGCATTCTCTTCCTTACGTTGAGTCTTGACTGACGAGTAGGATCAGATCATGATACCATCCGTACGCAATTCAGTGTCACAGCACGATTCGGTCTTCAAAGCTGCGAACTGCACCAGGGTGATTCATACCCCCGAGATGAGTTCAGTTATTACGGCCATGAAATCATCCAAGCGTCAACTCGACGCCATCCTTGCTCCCACTCTCGATGAACTTCTCGAATCGGCTGGAACAAGCCCGTATGCATACGATAGGACTTGGGCTGAAGGACGGACTGATCCCATCATCATAGCCCATTCTTCAGGATCAACGGGCAACCCAAAACCAACAACAATCACCAATGGAGTCTACTCAGTCTATGATAATCACCGGAAAATACCACCAATTCCAGGACGCAAGATCCAGGGCTACCTCCTCCTTGAACTCAATGGCGGTCGTTTCTTCAATCCCTTTCCGCCTTTCCACTTGGCTGGTCTTTTCGCGATGACTATCATGCCCATCTTTTACACATGTACCGTTACACTTGGGCCAAAGGAGAAGCCTCCCAGCGGCGAAATACTCAGCCAAGCCATGCATCTCCTGCCTTCCATCCGAGCCGCTTGGTGCCCTCCAACCGTCATCGAACAACTCGTTTCTCTTCCTGGTGGCTTTGAACAAGCAGCGAATCTCGACTGGATCATGTATACGGGTGGCCCCCTTGCGCCCACGGTAGGCGACCGTCTTTGCAAAGTCACCGACGTCTGCCAAATGTACGGATCGACTGAGACTGGGCCGCACGTCGCCCTGGTGCCCCTACCCGAGAATTGGAACTATTTTGAATGGCACCCACACCTGGAGAACGAGATGGACCCCATGGGTGACGGCACGTTTGAGATGGTTGTGCGAAAAGATCCATCCTTAGACTGGATTCGCCATTTGGCTCAAGCCTATCCTCACCTGGACGTGTGGAGAACGAATGATTTGTTCGTTCAAGCACCTCACAATCCCAAGCTATGGAGGTTTGTCGGTCGAAGAGACGATGTCATTGTCTTGTCCAACGGAGAGAAGTTCAATCCAGTCAACATGGAGGGCGTCATAAGTGGGCATCCGCTCGTTAAAGGAGCACTTGTGACGGGCACGGCAAGATTCCAAGCTGCTTTAGTCATGGAGCCTGTCGAAGGGCTTGCTATGACCTCGTCTGAGTTCATCGAAAAGGTCTGGGACACTGTCGAGAATGCGAACATGGTTGGCCCAGCACATGGCAGAATCTTTCGGTCCAAAATCACAATGGCAACCCCCGAGAAACCTTTCATTCGTGCCGGCAAGGGAACGGTGATAAGAGGTCGGACAACGAAGCTGTACGCAGCTGAGTTAGACGCGCTCTATGACGACAATCGCAATTGTAGTCTTCCAGCAGGAGACCCAGCACTGCAAAAGTCAAGCTCTCTTGAGGATACGACGAAATTCATCAGGGAATGCATCGTCAAGCTTATGTCCCCAATCTCAATTGGGGACAATGACGACTTTTTTGTTCTCGGTATGGATTCTCTTCAAACACTTGAGCTTCTCAACATGGTAAAGCGCTCCATGGAGCCATCCACCAAGTTGACCGTTGCGGATATCTACGCAAGTCCTTCCATCAAACAACTGGCCCAGCACCTCCATGAAGCTCTGGGCGGACTAGAAACGACCACGACACCCCGCGTCGAAGACAGAATCTCAACGATGAACCGTATCATTGACAAGTATACCGCCGATTTCAAACGGTCTGATATCCCAAGTGGTCCACCTCGCTGTGTCGTCATAACAGGGTCAACAGGATCCCTCGGTACTCATCTTCTGGAGACACTGCTGAGCAATGAGCACATCAGCAAGATCTACTGCCTAAACAGAGACCCGCAAGCATCAGAGCGACAAAAAAGGGGTTTCATCGAGAGAGGGAAGGCCACCGCCAAGATGGACGCAAAGGCTATTTTCCTGACCATCAAGCTGGGGGAGCGCAACCTTGGGCTCAACTCGGCCGACTTCGAAGACATCAGACGCAATGCCGATGTCATTATTCACAACGCCTGGAAATTGGACTTCAATCATAAAGTCGAAAGCTTCGATAGCGTACACCTGCGTGGTACGCACGATTTCATCGACCTGGCCCTCTCATCTCAAAGGCAACCACACCTCCTCTTCGTTTCATCCTTATCTGCCGTTGGCAATTGGGCTGCTATTCACGGTGCAGCAATCCCGGTACCTGAGATTGTACCACGCCATTGCAATGTTGCCATGCCCATCGGATATGGCGAATCGAAGCATGTCGCCGAGCGTATGATCTCAGCTGCCGTTACCGAGGCCGGGCTTCACGGGAGCATCTTGCGGGTGGGTCAAATTGCAGGACCACTGGCTGCAGACGGAGGGGAGTGGCATCGCACAGAGTGGTTCCCCAGTCTTCTGCAGACATCCAAGGCTATGGGTTGTCTACCAGACTCTATGGGAACCATAGACTGGATTCCTGTGGATGTGCTCTCGGACATCATTGGCGACATCGTCCTTGGAGAGTACGCTAGAGGTTCGTGCCATGTGTTTAACCTGGTGAACCCGCACGAGGCAGACTGGAAGAGCATCATGTCAACGATACAAGCGCATTGGAGAGACCAAGACATCAAATCTGTGTCATTCCCGCAGTGGCTGGAGGCATTGCAGAAACTGGGTCCGGCGGACGCAGAAGAATTTCCGGCTGTGAAGTTGCTTGACTTCTTCCATGGTTACGCGCTCGAAACGGCTTTACCACGTCAGGGGAGACTGAGGTATGAGTCAAAGAATTGTATGAATGCTAGCGCATCAATGGGACAGCTGAAGGCGATTGACAATGAGGCGGTCTTGACTTGGCTCAAGCAGTGGGGGTTTTGAATGCTAGTCCGAAAAGATAGGGATCAATTTCAGATTACTTACGGAGCGAACACTTTATTTGGTTTCTTCTACTGTGTATATATAGCTGAGCAGATGTATCCTTCGAGGCTCATCAGTGGACGTGAGGGCTCGTTTTTCTCTAAGTAACCAAAAGTCCAGTCTCGGTTCTCATTCCAACTGCTTCAAATCTCAGTTATGAAAATTATGGGCCGTCACTCAAGTGAGTATCTTCAGTTCAGACGTTCATTAGGCCACACTGTGCACCCGCCCAGCGACCAGTTGATGAATGTTGTCCGGCGGCTTAATATAACTGATTGTATCCAAATCGCTTCAATCGAAAGCTCCGAAACTTTCAGTCAATTACTCTCTGCATGATCTTTGGTTGTGGTTGTTAGATCATACACCTCCTACATACTGTGTTACCCTCGCGGCACAGTCGTAACTTACAACTACAACCTCAACTGGGACAACTACAACCCCAACTGGGTAATGGCTTATCCTTGAAATATGGCAAAGTGGGATGAGTGGTCCGGGTCTCATGGAGCAGGTGGATAACTTCAACCGGCACTGACGTTCGTTCACGGGTGGGAGCTGTCATGGCTATGCGGGGAAACCTGGGCGCTGTCATCCTGTGCTGTCTGGTGGGATCCGACATCCGACAGACACACTTGGAATACACATTTTCAGTGATTTGAGGTTGTCAACGGGTACTGGGTTCTAAAAGTTGATTCCACCGTGGTAGGTTCGAAATTCGAATTGCCATGCTCTTGCCCAGTTGAAATACTTGCCGTCGAAACTGAGATGTTTTTGAGGGATCTACTCGAAACGATAATATGAACACTAGAAGCCCTCATGGTTCCTTTCAGTCTTTGCCCTCCATTTCATAGCTACAGTATTGAAACCAAGGATCAATAATTCGCTCACGTCTTATCCAAGATGGCCAACATGGGCGACCTGAACGACGCCGACAAGCATCAAGTCGAAATGATCGAGCAAGCAGAGCCCAGCCAAGACGACAGAAACTTCACATCATCCTCAGACAATGAGCATGAATCTGAAGTTCCGCCAGGCTACTGGACCTCCTACCGATTCATAGGTACAGTCATGGCCATCGTATTACTAGCAAACAACTTGTTCATCGGCTACGCAATGCCCGTGAGACGTCCACCTCAAGTTACTGAATCTTTCTAACAAGACCAGGCCAACATCCTGAACGTCATTAACGCAGACATCGGCCCTGACTCACTCATATACCTCGCAACACTCATGAATACGCTGATCAAAGGCGTCGGTCTACTCCTAGTCGGCAGCCTCAGCGACGTCCTCGGTCGCCGATATTTCATGGTGGCCGGCCAGGCGTGTGGCTTCATCGGTTCCGTGATCGCCGCGCGCGCAGACGACATCACGACGTTGATCGGCGCGAACGTCCTACTCGGTATGGCCGGGGCGACCCAGGTTCTGTATCCTCTTCTGAGCCAGGAGATCGTGCCAAATAAATATCGCGGGTTCAGCCAATCTGCCATCACATTATCGGTATTCCCGACGATCGGACTAGGACCCGCGTTTGCGAGGATGATGGTCGAATACACAGCTCAAGGATGGAGATGGTGCTTTTGGCTCAATGCGATTACGACAGGGATTTCTCTCGTGTTGTTCCTTGTCTGCTACTTTCCCCCGAATTTCGAACAGCTCACTACAGGCGTCTCCAAGATCGATCAGCTACGCCGCATCGATTACGGTGGTTTGGTTTTCTACTCAGGGGGACTTTTATGCGTATTGCTCGCTCTATGTATGTCACTCCTAACCCCAATGAATCTCGCAAAACTGACGTTGTGCTCTCAGCTTGGGGCGGTCGGCAATACGCATGGGACAGTGCCCATGTGCTTTCCACTCTCATTATCGGATTCGTCTTATTAGTCGTCTTTGTGTTATATGGTATGTTCTGCAAATTCCGCCTACTCGGAGACTCATGGATAACGTGTGTTCAGAAGTGTATTGGCCCTTGGCATCGCCACTCCTACCCATGAATCTCTTCAAGATCCGCAACTTCGTCGTCGCAGTCATCGTCGGATCCGTAGGGCAAATGCCCTTCTACGCCCTCAACGTCCTTTGGCCGACACAGATCACGAATCTCTACACGACGGACAACATTTCCATCGGCTGGATGTCCTGTACCACGGGCGCGGCCCTCGCAGCTGGCGAGGTGATGTTCGGCCCACTCTGCAAGAGAAGCGGTCGTTTGAAGCTGCAGATGATCGTATCCGTCCTTGGACTGGTCATCTTTTGCGGTCTCATGGCGCTTGGAAACGAGAACAGGCAGGGACTAGCCATTGCAGTGAGTATCGTCTTAGGTCGCCGTCTTGTCACAATGACTGACGTTTTATCTGGAGATGACGGTCCTCGTGGGGATCTTCGTTGGGTGGATAGAGCTCATTTGCATCGTGCTCGCTGGTCTCGTGATCCCTCCTGAGAACATCGGATCCGGTTCAGCCTTTTTCGCCTCTGCTCGGGCAGTTTCGGGCACAATTGCAAGTCAGTATCCCTCAACATCTCTTCAGGAACCAAAAGGCGTGCTAACGATGCGCTCAGCAAGTATTTACCTTGCCATTTACAGCAATCGAAGCTCCAGCTTACTGCCTGGCAAGGTACGAGTTGCTGCGGTGGCAGCAGGTCTCTCGGCAGACCGGATCGAAGAGGTCCTGCAAGCTCTCGCCAGCGGGAAGCCGGCTGGTATTGATGCTATCCGTGGCATGACGCCTGCCATAAAGACAGCCGTCCAGGCAGCCCAGAAAGCCGTTTACGCCACGTCCTTCAGTACAGTTTACTTGAGCAGCCTTTCATTTGGAATCGTTGCGCTTGGCGTATGCTTTCTCTTGACTGATGATGTCGATCGGCACTTCACTGCATTCTTGAACAAGACGGTAACGCCAAGGCTGCCGGATGGTGATGAGAAAGTCGACAGAGGTGAGTGAAAGGTGTAGAATTAGACAGAGTCAAAACACGATCAAAGTGGGACTTGAAATCCACGAACCGTGGCGTGAACTTGCTGAAGCCGGTGACGCTCCGGGCCGGCATCCGAGAGATAGCGGGACCGTCGCCGATGGTCCCACTTCGGCATGATTCTCGACCGTCCCTTGTCCGCGCCGCACTCCGGCGATGGCGGAAGCATCTAATCACACTGCTTTTCGTCCCCAGCCTCTTTCCCCGTATTATATTCTAAGTTTACGTCAAACCGAGACATTTCTTTCTCTCATCTTACCATCTCGTCCCGTCCAGAGAACCCAACCCCCAGACACGTCCCAGCGGTCGTACCTAACTGGCAGAGATGCGAACTGCATACGCGTGTGGCCATGGCAATAGGCTATTACCCTAGAAAGGTCTCACGTCAGAGCCTCGGACTCCAACACCAGCTCGGTTCCCGCGTTCCGAGGGGGACAATCATCAGCCACGACCGCTCCTCCAGGCTCCACGCACGCCCAATCGGGCTCTAGCGGAATGAAGATTATTACCGAGAACGGCCTGGACGTGGACGTCTCGTTTGCGGGTATCAGGATCTCACTACTGATCCTACGACCACTTTATATGCACTGATTACGTCTTGACGCTCTATAGACCGAACCCGACGGTGGACCATTGTATCGGCTTTTTAGGGCCGTGTAGAAGTCCGGTTGGCAGTGCTACAACTGCAGCAACTGGTAACCTGAAAGCGCCACATTCGAGACCACGAGCGAGACTAGTACTTCCTCAATATATATGTCAAAACGATCTCACCCTCGCCCATCTCACACCCGCTCCAAACCGTCAACCCACCAAACCGCCAAAATGCCCTTCTTCTCCCGCAACCCGGCCTTCCAAATCTTCTACCTGGACGAGGGCCCAAAGGACGCCGCCGCGACGATCCTCCTCGTCCCGGGCCTCTCCTGCGACATGCACGACTACAGCTGGCAGGTCCCCTTCCTCCTCTCCCACGACCTCCGCGTCATCTCTTTCGACCCCCGCGGTCAGGGCCGCTCCTCCGCCCCGGCCCCCACATCGCCCCACCGCCTGCCGCCCTCCTCCTGGCCCGGCCCCGACCGCTCCGCCGACCCGGCCGTGATCGACTACTACGCGCAGTCCACCGCGCTCGACGTCATCGCGCTCCTCAAGGACCTCGGCATCACCAAAAACCTCGTCGTCATGGCTCATTCGCTAGGCGACGCGACGGGGTACTTCATCGCGACGGCCCTCCCGGACGTCGTCGTCGCCTCCATCGCCCTCGACCCGATCCACGCCTTCCCCAACTCCGCCCGCGACGAGACGGAGTTCTTCTTCGACCAGGACCCTTCCGAGGTCATCCCGGCGCTCGTCGATCACTTCAAGACGAACCAGTACAGCCCCGCGTGTCCCGAGTGGCAAAAGACGTGGCACCTGCGCCGGATGCGGCAGCTCGACGACAAAGTCGCCTTCGCGCTGTGCTGGGGCGGCTGGGGCGACAAGGTCGACTCGCTGGGGCGGCGCGAGACGTCGGCGGCTGCGTTTGGCGGGCGGTTGAAGTGCCCGCGACTCACCTTCGGGTCGACGGATTGGTACGTCGAGACGGACAGGGCGCACATGCCCAAGGGCGATGAGAAGCTAGACGAGATCGTGATGATGACGGGCAAGGGTCATTGGTTTCATCAGCTTGAGAGCGAGGAGTTCAACGCGCACTTGGAGAGGTGGTTGAGCAAAGTCGGCGTGCTGTCGGGTAAGACTGCCGCGTAAGTTCCAATAGGGTTATCTACGCCGCGAGCATCTCGCCGTGGTTCGGCCGGGATGGATATGATGGTGGTGTCGTGAAGCTTCATCGAGGCAAGGCGAGGCAAGGGACGCACCGGGCCGGAAAGTGGACTGAATGACTAGCCCACCCATCCGGCCTTGTTTCCGATAACTATAAAAACCATGTTCTTGCCTCAAACCAAGGCATCATCAGTTGACCGAAAGTGAAGCCATGATCGATTGCCGGAGCTGACTAGAGGTAATAAACATGCTTGAACTCGTCGCGAGACAGGTGTTCGGCAGTTGAGATATCGAAGGCAAAGGCACAGGCGACAGACGCGCGGACTTGGGACGAAAAAGGAATGCGTCTCCTTCAGCCCTACACTCCGTTGCCGTCCGCCGCCGCCGCCGCCTTGGCAGAAGCGCCGACGGACGGCGTTTAGTTTCACGGCGGGTCACAGCAACAACACCGATTTGCCGACCAGCAGTGAATTGCCGTGGATCACCGTCTTCTTAAACGCCGACGCAACTGACAGCTCTTGGCGCGTGCGATTAGGTTAGTCGCGGGATGGCCGTTCATCGCAGGGTCACCTCGGCGAACCACTCTCGATTGTGATTGCTTCCCTGGTGCCCCCTTCACTGCCGTCGGCGTCGGCGTTTGGAAGGGAAGGCGGACGGCGCGGCAACTAAGATGGGACGAGGCAAAGACCAACCAAGACGGCATCGCGCCGAGCGGCGGTGCAGAGCTCCGGCCAATGGCGTCTCAGTCGGGCGTGGCATTGTCGCACTTCAAGTGTGGCGTTGGGCGAAACCGACGGGGTGGATGCCCGTCCGAAATGCCGTCGTGGTGAAAAGCTTCTTGCCATGCCGGCCGCTTTATTCCGTGCCGTTCAGGTCCCTGGGCTTGATCCAAGCTCACTCGCATGCCGCTGATCTTGATGGCGGGGGACCAGGATGAGGGGAGGAGCTTGGTGAAGAACCGCCGAGGGGAGTCAAGAGTTGAGGAGGATGAACGGGTTCGAGGACGGATCCAAGCTCCCTTTTTCTGCCTTTCCTACCCCCTCTTGATGCAACGACATCTTCCCCACCATAGCTACAGTATGAGGGGCATCTGACGTCAGGGCATGTCCGTTCAACATGAGGTAGGCAAGCCTGTATGATGGTGATGGCCGAAAAGGAATTCGTGAAGCGAGAACACACCCAATGTCTCGCGGAACACCCGTGTCGTGCTCGAGGTCTAATGACGGGTTCGTGAGTAAGTCGGCCAACCTCATCCCAGGTTCAGGCGACAAAAATACGGAAGGTCTAAAAGATCTCGATGCCGTACAGGAAAGCCAGTGAGGTTGAGGTTAAGCTACTCGTTCATCCATGGAAATTTAGCATGTGTTGAGTGCTAGCTATGCTTCATCTTTAATCCTGATTTCTGTACAGTTTGGGCTCATCCAGCCTGCTGGCTGAAGGTTTGCGATAACCTGAGTGGAAAGCCTGGCCCAAATTAGATCAATGTTGTGAGCCAGACAGACGGGTTGCATTTGCCAAGACCTGTAGTCGCCATCAACTGAAGACGAGACATCAACGCTCCCGCGCATTGAGTGCCACACGCCCCTCCGTGGCGACATAGTCACGACGGGACACAACGCGGGGTATGTTCAGCCTCTGTCAGAGACTGAACCAATTGTTTTGTTTCCAGCGGCAACAGCAGCAGTGGCGGTAGATCCTCAGGGTCCAACGCCATGCCATGCCGATGCCACACGAGCCAAGTGAAGGGACTGTGTGATTCTGCCTGGCAGGCTTGACCTGGAAGATGGGCAGAATTCGTGGTGTTGTCCGTGCGAGTTAAGCCTCACGTCCCGAGTCTGAGCTGGGAGTTTCAATTCGTAAACTCAGCGAATTGAAGACTCTTTGGGTCTTTGCCAGCGCTTCCAGTTGCTGGAGTTGACCAACTTATGCGTAGTCTTATTTCTCGCTGTTTCCCCCTGTTAGCCTTTGCGTTGTACAAAACTAGAGAAAATGATCGAACCAGAATAGGTGTTCTCCAACGAATAGAGACTTAGACTCGGAACAAAGAGATGAGATAGTATCAGTGATCTGCCATTTGACTGCCGAACACGCGCGCGTCTCAGGACAAAGAGTGCCCCAAGCCCAACCAACACAACATCCGTCGTGCTCGCATTTAGAGTTCGAGCCGTCTTCTGAAGGGTCAAAGTGACGTCTCACGCACGACCGCCACCGGACGGACGCTTCGGTTTTAGGCTTCGTTCCTAGCTTTGGGCACCCGAGGTCCATCCTTTCTCGCCCATAATTAGGATGCCGCATGCGCCTACTCTAGTAAGCTTCTCCTAACTTGGGAGGACGATCTGAGCTGGGATGCCGGCTTTGGATGTTCTCCAAGTTTCCACATTTTTTTCGTGGGGGAGGGGGAGCTCCGTCAATAATACATAGCTCCCGAAGCTGACAATTGAATGCCGATATCGAAGCCTGTTTTCCTCAAGAGCCGCTCGAATGACGGGGGACTTTCTTCGCGATTTTGACACGACTTAAGCCGTCATGGCCAGTCTGGCCAGACCAATTCAGGGTCAGGCGAGCGCAGAAGAGAAGCGCGGAAAGGTAGAGACTGATTCCATTGCCCCTTTTCCGATTCCGCCCTATTCCGCAACGTTTGATACTGACGCTGTCAGCTCGATACGCAAAAACAACGTCGAGCCTTATTCTCAGTTCCTTCACAGCGGAAAGCATCTGGATACCCTGCGTCGTGGGCTTCCAGGTGGAAACATCGTCAGCTCCCCGGAAATACACGAGCCACCAGCCCGAGATACGCGGAACTCGCAAGTTCCCAGGCACTAGTTCGACCACGACCGGCATTGATTACACCCAGCGAGGAGGAAGAGCCAGAGTTCGTGCCAGAGTTTGTCCTCTCTCCAGCCATCGATGTCGGACCCGAAGTATACACCTTGAATCGCTTTTATACGAATTACGCCACGAGCGCGAGCATCGTATTCTTCAATCGACTTCCTGTACACTATCAGAGCGACCTCTCAGAGGCCAGCCATACTCGCCATGCTACTCATGCGGTGGCACTAGCCAGTGCGTCTCGCCAGCTGCACCAATCTGGATTGATGCTGGAGGCGCGTCGGCATTATGGCAAGGCGATAACTACCCTTAACCAGGCCTTGCGGGATCCTGTAAGGGTGAGAGATGATTCCAACTTGGTGACTCTGTTCCTCTTTGGCATGTTCGAGGTAGGTTGAGACAACCCAGTGGGACTGGAGCGTGCGTAAACCGAATAGGACGGCTGAAATACACAGGTAATTGTTGGGATGCGGAGCTCTAAAGCGATAGATTTGGAGCAAAACGTATTTCCCCACGGTACGGGAGGGCTGCAGCTCTTCAAGTTTCGAGCTGAGCAAGGATTGACGAACGACGTTGACAAAGGCTGCTTTATGTTTTTCTGTCATGCAGCGGTGAGTCTTGCCGTCCTTGACAGACACTTCGAACCTGACAATGAGACCAGTTAATGGAAATGTTTATTCAAAGAGAGCACCTCGCTGGCATTTGGTCGGTGCTGGAAGGGGTCGAGACACCCTGGGGCAATGGTCCTATCTTAGAGCCACTTGTCCGCCAGGTAGTTGACTTCAAGAAAGCGTTCGATTTCAAGATGCAGGTGCAGGGTGACGCTTCAAAGTTGTCTGAAGATGCGGCTGAAGACCTGATAGAGTTGATCAAGACTGGCGTCGGTCTGAGTCACGATCTCGAGGCAGCCGTCACTTTGCTCGGATTTTCCGGTGCGTCGTCCTTTGCGGGACAGCAACAGAAAGTCTTCAACGGGCTCTTCTCGCTATCTAGCGAGGTATTCGTCGCCCTTGCGAGGAGTCACTACCGGTCACTTAAGATTTTCGTGCTGGAGAGAGTGATCGACTTGAAAGGCCTTTTGAAGGAGGCGTCTGGGAAAATAGGCCCAGAGCTGGGACAGGTGCCAACTTGGTCCGATGGCGTGGTAGTAGTGGAGGAAGTCCTCGATGATATTCGCACCGTTTTTGGTTTGGAGGGAAAGGAGGCGCCGACAGATGGACTCCCATACCGGACAATGACAATGTTCTGGCCTATGGTCTTAGTCCGAACGTCATGCTTCTCGGGTCCTCATAATGGGCGCTGGGTGGCGGAGAAGATGTTGGAGCTGACTTCAGAATCTGGGTTTGGACTCGGAGTAGAAGCCGCTAGTCTTTGATGCACACCCCTTTGCGATGGGTCGAGGGAATCTCCATAGGCGTATTTAGCCGCGCAGCTGGGGATTGCGAGGCCGTTGCATGGCATGTTTGGAAATCGGGAAAGGTGGCGTCTCGGTTATGGATGAATCCCAGACTGGAAATCCCTGGAAGCCACGAGGGTTCTCAGGATTCAACAGATACCACTCTTATGAATGTAACATTGTTTTCGTCGTTCCGAATACTCGAGACCGTGGCATTCGAGACTTCCAACAATGGCCAAAGCACAATGGCTTTTACGCTTAAGAGATTTGCTGAATCAACCAGCTATTACAGTCGAGCTTGGCCTAAGGGTTTTCAAGACTCCAAGAAAACCAAACGAGCCGTTCGGAATGCCCCCAAACCTTTGACGACCTGGGTCGTTGGTGTTGTCCCAAGTCCTGGTGGACACTGACGAGGATCGACAGGTTTGAGCGCAAGTTTTTGAGGCGTTGATGTCGAAATGGCGTCGCCCCTTTGGTGAACAGGGAGCGTAGGCAACCATGTCAAAATGGAAAACCAGGTGATCAAGCGATGCATCGAGTCAACAAAGCCAGCGGATAGTCCTGAATTATTCCATCGAGGTCGTTACGGCCGTATGTCTCTTGACAGCAAACTGCAGACGCCAGATTGTGGCCCGTACTCCATTGTCAACTTCGTCTAGAAAGGGAAGTGGCGCGACTTGTGATTATAATCCGGGGAGACCTGGTTTGGCCTGGGGGCACTGACAGTTTCCGAGATCTCGATTGGGAAAGTGGATGAGAATAGGGCACCCGCTCCAAATTGGATCGTATGCACGGGCGTCTTTGGATAGACGAGAGAGCATCTTGAATCCAATATCAAGACAATTCTGGCGAAGAATCGATCCCGTTGCTTACCTCGGACCGACATCCGTACTCAGCCTCGACCTCAGTCTAGCCGGCCTTCGTATGCCGTGCCGAGACTTGAATCATGTTGGACCTTTCCGAGGCTCCTGGGGGCGTCAGGTTTGGAAGGCCAGTTTTGCGTACTTGAACGGCCGTATTTGTGGAAGTCAGTGGTCGAACGGACGAGATGCAGCCAGGCTACGTGCATTCGCCAACGACACGCGGCCCATGTTTGATTGGACCGGGAGCAGAATGCGTAACACAACGCAGGCCTTTGGAACAAGGTAGTTCTGGGATTGGGCCGAATGCAAAGGTTGATCAGCGGTAGAGTTGAGCGTTGGAGGAAATGATATGAGCAGATGCGAGAGGTTCCTGGCGCTTTGTGGAGTTGTGGGCAGCGGTTGAGGGTTTTCCGATGGGCCTGTTGGTACCATACCATGCCGAGAGTTGCGACTGAAAATTGGAGGGGACAAACAAATCCTTGGAAGGTGATTTGTGGATGCGGGTGACGAGCGGCGATACGATTGCTGGTCCTGGCGGAAAGGCTGGCTGTTTGCTTGTGCTGTGCCGCTCACCTGCTTCTCTCCACGTTCTCCAGGGTCTCGCAGTGCGATTGTTCTCATGGAGAGAGGTGACAGGCAATTTGCGGACTGCTGTATTTGGTTCCCATGGTGTTGCATGGCGAATGAGGCGTTCTCCAAGGGCGATTCGAGCAGCGGTGCGGCATGCTTCATCTCCGCCTGGTCCGGGTTGGGGTATGGTGCAAGGCAAGACAATGCAGCCGCGACGTTTGGAGGCGTGGAGGCTTGCACATCTGACGGGGTGCATCTGCATCTGCCAAGTGGTCAGTTCTCATGTCGGGGTAGACTCGTCTGTTGGGAGCTGACTGACCAAAACAGCGGCTCTTGGCTTCGGCTTCGGTTCATGGGCCGGAAATCCTCTTTTGCATCTCGATTGTCGAGGCGGGTCGATCGTTGACAACGGTTCGAATCCTGCTGTTGTTGCTCATCGACGAAAGAGTCCGGTATTGCGTTGCTGACTCTTGTTTGGACGGAAGAAGAGTAGCACTTTTGACCGACAAAGCGGCGGGCTGCGTGGTGAAGATGCAAGATGGAAAGGAGCATGACAACGCAGCCTATCCAGACCGGAGAAGAGATTTTCAATTGGCGGTCAACGCATGGCCTGCTAACTTCCAATGCTGACTGGACATTTTGAGGCACACCTCAGGCATATGTGGCGTCTGCGGCATCGACTTCATGAAGTGGAAGGCACCTCTCCAGCTGGTGGTGGTGGTGGTCAGAAGGCAGGCACGCACGAAGGCAGACTAAACACGACTTCCTCTTGCCATTCTGTTGCCCCTTCCTCTTTCTTTTTTGGACAACCCCCACTTCTCTATTCTCTCGTCCAACCAGACATCACGAACCATACATTGCGTCGTTCTTTCTCCAAATGCGAGCTGATATTTTGGTCTCGTCCTGTTCCTGCCTCCCGTTTCATTCCCATCATCCCGCTGTCATCGCCATCCGAAATGTGCGGCAGCACTCCCGCAGGCAATCAGATGAACGATGATGGATCTGACTTAGTCGACCAACTGGGCGTGACATGTGGTCATTTAGTTCTTACACATTGTCGATGAGAGTCTAGTCGTCTCACATTCAGCCAACATCCATATGCTCATTCCCAGGATTCCATGTTTGCTCTTATTCCCTGTTTGAGCAGACGTTGCCCAGCCCTATCACCCCTCCGCAGAACAAGGTAGGTAGGTATGCATAAGGTGGGATCAGCCAATGCAAATGAGCAAACAAATGCGCCTTGCGGCCGTGATACTCTTGGGTGTTGCAATGTACTTCTTGCCCTACCGTGTGCTTGTTTTCCCAATATACGTTATTCTTAGAATCTTCCTGCCTTTGGTCATATGTTGCCCGTTCGGTATGTCTTCTGAGTGGGATTCCCCTCCTTCCTTCTTTTCCATCTGCCATGTTCCCACGGTTTATGGAAGTCACGGTCCACCGGCTCTTTCCCTCGAGTCCTGGTCCCAGACCCCAGACTCGAGCCACCTTCCCTCCACAGCAGTACCTTACCTAGTAGCCTTACGGACGATACATCTCCAGGAAGGTGCGGCAAAGTCGCAGTTTCCTCCAGTCCTCACCCAGTTCTCACCCTCGTCCCTGCCTCGTCTCATCTCGACGAGTCCACCACCACCACCACCTGCCCGCACCTTCCTTCCTACTCCCCCGGGTTCACTTCACAGTGTTCTATTTCGACTTCATCTCTTGGCAGTTGCCTCCAGCTGTCTCCTCTTGTCCCTGTCCTGTGCCTGGCCACCTCCTTCCAGACTTCAAGCAAGCACCCTCCTCTCTCGTGTCCAGATCTGGCCGACGCCATCTTCCTCCCCGGTTTGCTACCATTGCCAGCAATACCACTTCCAGCATCAGAAAAGGCGTTGCGCCAGACTCAAATTGGTCGTTATTTGCCCACCTTCCTCTTCTCGGCTTCTATCACCTGCAGTCTCCTGCATCTTCTCTTCGCCATCTTCCTCTTCCACGATTCGAATCGACCCCCGTTCATCAGAGCACCATCACCACCAGATCCATGCAGCCGTCGCTTCATGCCCTCTCGGCCGTGTAACCGGTCCTGACTTGGCCACTTTCCAAGCCAACGCTCTGTCATGCAGCTGCTCCAAAATCTGTGGCCACCAGCCTGGGCTGCTTGAGATTAATACACGACCTCGCCTACCGCCTGTCGATCTTTACTCGACTTCTCGTTTCTCGACGAGTCCGGACCAAAAGCTTTTCAACCCGCTTCAATTTTCGTTCCTGCGCCCTTGATCACGCAGTGGCCACCGGCTCGTCGCACGAAGCTGCCCTTCACCAACACAACATCCTGCTTGTGCTTGGGCTTTACTCTGCGCCTTCAAAGCCTACTCCGCCCTGCCCTGCCTTGGTGTCCCGACGCTCCTTCGAATCACCTTCTCGCCCCGAGCGTTCGAAAACAGTTTCTCCGTTCCTTGTGCGACGTTTGTCGTCAGTTCCATTTCTCTTTCACCCTTGTCTTTCGGTCCTATCGAGGCTCTTTCAACCTGGTCGAGTTGCGGCCTCTCGGCCTGCATTTCAGCTCCAAGTATGCTTGCAGCTCTGTCCGTCGTGCGGTCTTGTCGCCGTCGACAAAAGAAGACTCGAGTACTGACCATCTTTCTCAGGCGACCTGTCAAATCGTTTTTCCCACCTTCGTCTGGCAAGACGCCATTGTCAAAGTTTTGTATTCTATCCATCGTCGACCATGGCCGGCGACCATGGCTCCGCCGTCGCGAGGGCGACCTCGGACTCTCTCTCTCAAAATCAAATCGACATCGTCATTGCGCTCGAAAGAGTCGGGGCTTCTTTGTCCATGTTTGGAGTCAGCTTGATATTCGTCACCTATTGGGCCTTCAAGCGCATCAGGAATGTGCCGAACCTCTTCATTCTCATGGCTTCCATCGCCAACGTCGGCGCGAGTATTGCTTGCGCCATGGGGTACGATGGTATCCGTAACGGCGAGACCTCCGCCTTGTGTCAAATCCAAGCATTCTTGCTCGAAATGTTGGTCCATCCCTCATGTCGTGTCGTCATCTTCCATTGCTGACGACTTCACCCACAGGTTCATGCAATCTGATCCATGGTGGTCCTTCGCCATGGCCATCAACGTCTTTCTTGTCTTCTTCGCCGGCGCCAATCCTTCTTCTTTCCGCCAATATCTCTGGGTCTACTGCGCAATCTGTTTCGGTTGCCCCCTTATCCCCGCCCTCTGCTGTCTCTTCATCAGACCAGATGGGCCCAATGATTTGATCTACGGTGATGCTACCGTAAGTTGAGATGCTTTGAGTGTGTGCTGTTCTCTGTCTGACTCTGCGCAGCTCTGGTGCTGGATCAACGCGAAATGGGGCGCCCTTCGCATTTATACCTACTACATACCCATTTGGTGCTGCATTTTCGGCTCCTGTGTCATCTACTTCGCCGTCGGCTATCATGTATTTCATCAACGCAATCAACTCCGGAACTTGACCTTCAGCAACCCCGGCAAGGACGGAAAAGACGTCTCTTGTTCAGACGAACAGCGGGACTCTGCAGAAAAGGTATCTCACCGGTCGTGCGGGGCAATCCCAGATGACTGGCCACTCGTTGACACTCTTCAGAACCTCACAGGACGCGCCGAGTACTACGGCACTGCCGTAACAGAGGTACAAATTACCACCGTCACCCCGAGACCTTGGACGCCCCCCCAGGTGCCGTCATCAGCTGTAACAAAGGACTTTGCTTCCAATCAGCAAGCTCGACATGAACGCTCATGGCGTACAAGCGACGAGCAAGACGCACCGCCGAGTCCACGTTTCGAGACGACTTGCACTTCCACCCCGCCTCCGCCCCAGCCTCGGCGCTCCGTTTTCCAACGCGTTGGTTCGATCAATGAGAAGTTCTCGGCTCGTCTGAGGAGTCTCGATCCTGTCAAGCTCGCCTATCTCCGAACCAGTTTCATTTTTGCCATTTCCGTCTTCGTCACATGGACCCCGAGTTCGATCAACCGCGTGTACAGTCTCATCAGACCCAACCAGGTCGCATTTGGCCTTCACGTCGCCAGTGCCACGGTGCTGCCTCTCCAGGGTGTTTGGAACGCCGTCATCTTCTTCATGACCAGCTGGGGGACGTTCAGAGAGGAATGGCTGGAGATGCGACACCGAAATCAGGCCCGGAGGCTCGACAGCCAGTGCGACGGCCGCCTTGGTGGCAGACGAATCGAAGTTATTCGTGCTGAACGGCAGGAACGGTTTAACGGACGCTGCTTTGGGCATACAAAAGCCTTCGGTAGCGACCAGACGAGCGAGCTCGAGCTGACGTCACCTCCGGCAGTTGGGACTGTTCGTGCGCTGCGAGGGTCGTTTAGTATATGATCACTATGTGTACGTTGAGAAGCACGTCTTTCCAGAGGCCTGCACATTATTGGGAGTCTGGATGTCGATATAAGTAATGTTTGAGACGGGTTGGGACTGTGCCGGCAGCGTCTTTTGAGGGAGATACCAGCAACAAACATATTGGGGGATTTTGGGACTTGTATATCATATGGATTCGCGGCGGTGGTTCCGCGCGGCCTACTTATTTGCTTATGACCTGACGATGTTCACAACACATCGGCTGATAACTGTAGATATCAAATCATACCCCGTCTACCGTCCGAATCTTTCGTTTTTGTCGTGAAGTACTTTATGGAAATTGGCAGCGGAAGCTGTCGTTGCGGCCTGTTAACTGCTTGTTCTTAATGCAGACTAAATTTTGCGCAAGGGGGCCGTTGAAACTCGAGAAAAGTGAATATATTGGTCGCAGGAGAGTGACAGCCAACGCCGAAGTTTTTACCTCTGGTTGCGCTTATCATCCTGCCTCATGACTTCCCCAGAGGACGTCACATGCACAACACAGTACACCAAGAGCAGCATCTTGTACTCCCAGCTCGACTACCACTAGGAAGCGACGGGGCCGGAGAAGTTCACGAGGGGTAGCTCCGTGTTGATAGGTAGTTTTGGTTGTGAGAGCTCTTCCAGATTCCCAAACAAGCAGAAAATTGGTTTCGTCGTGGTGTAAGACAAGCGAAGATGTGGAGAGAGATCTCGAGAGGAAGGTGCGAGGCAAAAGGCGTGCCGTGCCGACAGTCCACTCAGGACAACACGCATGTGCATCTACGTATGATTATGAGTGGCAATTAAAGGTGAACTGAGTTATCGTTCGAAATGGATAATACCTTACGATATGAGTTGCTGGTTTGTGTTGTTGGTACGTGGAATTCGGGCCATCGGGCCTGTGGTTTAGTTACCAAGCTTTGGGAGGATGTAAGATCTTAGATGAGCTTAGTGAGAAGTCTTGGTTCGTGCTCATACCCATAACTCATCGTCGGCATGAGCCTCTCGTCTCTGATGTCGTGTGCTGTCGTCTCTGCTATCGTCTGTTGTCGTCTCTTTCGTGCGAGTATTCCACCTAAGGCTGTCACTGAGTACCCAAGTTTGAGGAAGATTAACCGTATGTCCATTGAAAAGAATATGTACCTCGCCGCAAACCGACGAAGGGCATTATACACAAAGAAGAAGTAAAGTGAGCGTGCTATATACAGCCAAGGAACCCGCCATCAAGCCGGACCCTTCCAACCACCACCACCACCACCCCATCTCATCCCGTTCAGTACACAGCCGGGACGAGCGAGTTGACGTAGATCTCAAGGTTGGCGTACCCGCCCGCACCGATCTTCATCCCATCCGCGGCATCGTTCGGGTTCAGCCCGTTCGCGGACTCGTACTCGTCGGGGATGCCGTCGCCGTCGGTATCCTTCTTCGCCGCGCCGGCCTCGATGGTGCCCGGGCCGCCCATGGTCGCCGGGTCGCTGATGAGGGCGCCCTCCTTGCCGTAGGACGCGACCTGCTTGACGAGCGCGGCGTCGACGGCGTCGCGCTTGAGGGAGGCGCCGACCTTGGCCATGACGTGGGTGACGGCGGCGGCCGGGGTCAGCTGCTTGGCCGGGCCCGGGTAGTCGAAGGGGGCGGTCTGGATGGCCATGCCGGAGTAGCAGGTGGTGGAGACGCAGAGGGCGGCGCCGTTGAGGACGCCGTCGCGGTTGGAGTCGTAGAAGTTGTCCTTTACGTAGCCGCGGAAGTTGGCGTTGCCGCGGGTGAAGGCCGTGACGCTCGTGGAGGGGCCGGAGATGAAGTAGTTGTTGACGATGTTGGCGTAGCTCGCGCCGTCGCTGTCGCCTGCGATGTAGCCGCCGCCTCCGCCCCAGTTGTACACGACGTCTAAGCGAGGGGAAAGTCAGCGCTGTTGTAGTCATTGATGATGGCGATGAGATTGATGGTGCTTTGGTGTTGATGAGGCCGATGGTGAGTGAGTGAACCCACTCCGATCCGACCACCCCTTTCCACCACCTCCTACTCAAAACGAAAAAGGGAGCAAACTCACTGTTCTGGAAGTCGTTACGCCCCTTGACCTTGGGGTTGCGGGTCTTGTTGTCGACGTAAAAGTTGCGGAAGAGCGAGATGCCGCCGTCGGTCTGCATGAGGCCGCCGCAGGAGTGGGTCTCGAGGCCCTGGGCGATGATGGTGTCGCTGATGGTGACGTTGGAGACGTCGCCGTTGATGGAGAAGGTCTCGTCGCGGCCCCAGGAGACGGAGACGTGGTCGAAGATCATGTTCTTGCCGTCGGCGATGGTGATGGCGTCCTTGCCGCTGTCGCCGCCCTTGCCCATGCGGATGCGGATGTAGCGCACGATGGCGTCGTTGGCGTTGGACCAGGAGAAGCCGTTGCCGTAGACGGTGATGCCCTTGACTTTTGTGTTAGACTGGATGGAGAGGGGGTGAGAGGTGAGGGATGATGACTTACACCGCCGGGGGCGGTCTGGCCCGCGATGTAGATGTTCTTGGAGACGACGATGCGGGCCTTGATGTTGATGACGCCGCCGACGTCGAAGACGACGATGCGGTTGGGCTGCGAGACGGCGTCGCGGAGGGAGCCCGTACCGGAGTCGCTGCGCGCAATTTGGTGAGTTCGACGTGGACTAACACGAAAGGGATCGCGGGAGGCTTACTTGAGGTTGGTCACCTTGTAGACCTTACCGGTCCGGCCGCCGACGGACATGCGGCCCATGCCCTCGGCGCCGGGGAAGGCGGAGGGGGTGGCGTCGGCGCGGGAGACCTTGGTGCCGGCCACAGCGACACCGCATCCGGCGCTGGAGATCCCCAAAGTGTTTGATTAGCCGGGCCAATGTCACCCATACATCGGACGATATAACTCACGAGGGGTCCTGGCACGGGAGAGCGGCGACGCCCTGGCACAGGAGTGCCGCGGCGGCCAAGAGGGTAGCGGAAGCCTTCATGTTGGAGTGAGAAGAATCGAAACAAAGAGTGTACCAGACAACTTGAAACCAAGAAACAAGGGGGGTGAATAGCGAATGAAACCAAAAGGAATTGGACTTTCTTCTTGGCTGGGGAAAACGGCAAGCAGAGCGAAAGCAAAGCAAAAAAAAGGCAAAAGAGAACGATAGAAACCACCGTGGGTCCCCGGATTGGTTTTGTAGGTGTCGCCGCGTAGCACCGGCGATGGGCTATTGTTCGCGGGCCCCTGGACGAAGTTGTCAAAGGGGGACGGCACGGCAGAGGTTCATCTGGTTCTGACAGGACGGGACATTGGAGGGTGACCAGCGGAAGGCTGGATCTGGCATGACGGTCGTGTTTGCTTCTTCGGGGTGGTCGATTGACCGGGGTTTGTTCAATATTTCAATATATTTTGGACTCAATAACTGGTGCGTATTCTCCGTGATCGATCCCCTTGATCCACGACGCCGTGGGCTTGCTGCCAGTCCACTGGATTTACCATTCCGTGCAGTAGCGCTTCTCTCTATCCAGGCGTAACGAGAGAGTCGGAGAGATCCTGAGACGATTGGTGGGAGACATTTCAGCGCGGTTCGGGGCCAAGACGAGGAAGATGGGTTCCCGATTCGGTTGTGTCGTGTGGGGAATCCCTGCGGACTTGTGCTGTTTGGGTGAACGGGATATTGAAGGGGCTTGCGACGGGGCTGCTCGGGGCCGGGGGCACGGCGCCACGGAGGGATTCATGTTGATGAAGGTGTGTTTTGGGTGACATGGGAGCTGGTGAGAACACGAGAAGGTTAAAAAAGGAGGTGGTATTCTCATATAAAAGTGTTGCTCGGTGTCGGTACCGCGGGTAGGTGGGCGATGTGAAAGTGAGATCAATCCCACCTGTAGGACGTCATTGTCGATATTAGAATTCGATGATGCTTAGATTGGCGATGCGACTGCCGTGGTGAGCGTAGGTTCTCGTGAACAGGACGTCCGCGATGGAAATGGCATGCAATTCATGAGCTGAGTCAACCTGGTCAGGCGATTGGTTCCGGGTATGAAATCCGCGGCATCCACGGAGAAAAGAGACCACGACCTCATCTTCATACGCTCAAATCGCAACGTTCGCGAGTCGTTGAATTGGACCGCTCAAATAATGAGGCTCAATCCGTGATGAGATGTCGTTCACCTGTCATCCGATCTCACATGAGATGCCGTGGCCAGTGACAGCCCCGTGTGGCTGAGATGGAGTCGAGCGTTTGTCATCACGGATGGGACGAGGAACCGGCGGTTACCGTAGCCACCCCTCCATCCTCATGAGGGCGGCATTAAAGATTCGACATTCCAAGACGGACGACGGTGCCGACCGAGGGAAGGGAAGGGAGCTTGGGGCGCCTTTTCGTGGGTTCCGATCCAGTGAGAATGAAACGGCAAAAAGAGGAGAGCGCCGACGAGCGCTAACGAATTCCCAAACGAGGGGGGCGATGTCGGAGCAAGGGTACCGCTGAGAAGGCGCAAAGCTTTTCTTCAAGGCCTGTCAGGTCGTCACGAGGACTCTGAGCATTCGGTGAGTGAAAGTGTCACGTGGGGATGGAGCTTTGAGGCTGTGGTCTTGCTTTTTGCCCGTTTCTGTCAGTGAGAGACTGAGACTGCCGTTGAAAGTCGGAAATGCAACACGGGCGAATCAGGTTTCTTCGGCAAGTCATTCCCAGGGTTTAGTGTAAGGCAGTTACCCCTCATCTGAGCAGAGGCGCATAGCGGAAGAAACATTTGGAAGACATGAGGAAGTGTCGAGAAGGCATCAGAATGAATGGAATTTGAGACGCAACTCAGGCTGGACATTAGGTCTGACAAGGCAGTCATGTTGGACTGAATTAGTGCGAGGCAGCCATGCAACAGGGTGCCTGACCGTGTTACTGTCGTGCTGTGATGAGAGTTGCACAATCGAGTCTCGACTCTCATTTTCTGCGAAGCAAACTGCTAGTAACAACTGCCGAGGACATTCAACTTTGAGTCTGCACATTTCATGACTAATCGGGCTTAACCCGGCCATCGAGGCAACTCACTCATCATCGTCTCACGATGCCTTCAGCCAGAGACACTCAGTCTCATCACCCACGTGTTGTTTCGTCTCATTTTCAACACAAAATGAAACACAAAGCATAAAGCACATTAAACAAACCGCTAGCAAAGCAACGGATATCCAGCCTCAAAAAGAACAAGACCGAAGACGGCGTCGGAGCAGCGCCCGTGAGGCCTGGAACTTCAATTCCGCCTCAGACCCGGTTTTTCTCCGATTCCCCGACACATAGCCCCTCCAATCAGCGTTCCGTATTCTGTCAGAGTAGCGGGGTTCCCAGCTGACTAAAGCACCTCGCCCGCGGCCCCACCGACCCCTCGATGCGAGCAGGCCGCAACACCGAACACTGAACACTGCACTCAGAGGGAAGCTGCGACACAACCAAACCGCCAACCGCCGCTTGCCCGCCCACGTTCGTCGTCGCAAAACACCGCGGGTTCCACCCCTCACTCACGCACGCTTCTTCGGAGTTAATACTCGTCTCTCTCTGTCTTTTCCTACGGATACCCCAAAACGAGATAATTTACCCCGACAAAACGAACGAACGAACAGCCACAGACTGAGTGCCATCTAGAACCTTAGTCACGCAATTCCATCCCTCCCGCCCCAACCTACCACCCAACCCATCTCAACTCGGCTCCAACTCAACCTTTTACGAAACCAACCCAACTCAAACCCTCGGAATACCCGATATCGCCAAAAACCCTCACTCTCAATCGTCGCGACAACCATCCAACCCGTTTTCAGCCACAGAGAGGTACGTTCCTAATTCTTCTTCAACGGTTCCTCTTAATCTATCGTCCGTGGCACATGACGTCGTCGGCGCAAGGCTGACGAAGAAAAAAAAAAGGTCCCCTTCATTCACAAGCAGATCCCGTCATCCTCCGTCCTCTCCCGCCCGCTAGGCACCGACCGATAGCCGCATTCCGAGGCCACACCAAACACCACCACCACAAGGGCCACACAAACACACACCTCTCTTCCGCATCACCAAGTCCACAACCGAATACCGGGCGTCTCCGCGGCGTCGCGCAAAATATCGAGCAAAAACCCGCAACCGAAGCAGCAACCGCAGCAGCCATGGTCGCCTCCCCAGAGACCATCGAGGCCATGACGCCTCCCGGCTACGTCTTCCCCGACCACCGCCTCCGCCTCACACAGTCCGAACCCGACCGCGAACCCCTCGTCCTCGTCGCCCCGGGCTCCTACTCCCCCATCACCTTCCTCCACCTGCGCATGGCCGTCATGGCCGCCGACTACGTCCGCTACAACACGAACTACGAGCTCGTCGGCTCCTACCTCTCCCCCGTCTCCGACGCCTACAAGAAGCGCGGCCTCGCCCCGGCCTGCCACCGCCGCCGCATGTGCGAGATCGCCGCCGAGCAGACCTCCAAGTTCCTCATGGTCGACCCCTGGGAGGCCGAGCAGTCCGCCTACGTCCCCACCGCCGTCGTCCTCGACCACTTCGAGCACGAGATCAACGTCAAGCGCGGCGGCTGCAACGGCAAGCGCGTCCGCATCGCCGTCCTCGCCGGCGCCGACCTCATCAACACCATGAGCCAGCCCGGCGTCTGGTCCCCCGCCGACCTGCGCCACATCCTCGGCGACTTCGGCGCCTTCGTCCTCGAGCGCGCCGGCGTCAACATCGACGAGGCCCTCACCAACCTCAAGGAGTGGGAGGACCAGATCTACTACATCCCCCAGGTCGTCCCCAACGACGTCTCCAGCACCAAGATCCGCCTCCTGTTGAGGAGGAATATGAGCATCGACTACGTGAGTCATTCTCTTCGTCTCTTCTCGTCCCTACCAAAGACTCTCTTTGCTAACCCCGACCGCAGCTCATCCCCGCCGAAGTCATCAAGTACATTGACGAGCACGGCCTGTACCACGAAGACGACACCGCAACAAACGAAAAGGGCAAGGAGAAGGAGGTGCAATAGCGTGTGACCCAAGTCAGGACACACGACGCCCTTTTCCGCCATTGTAGAAAAAAGAGAAAAATGAAAGACCAGCGAGAGATCAGATGAAGACCATTTTTAAAGAGAGACGAAGAAGAAGAAGACGAAGAAGAAGACGGCGAGGCAATTGGTGTGGATATCAGCGTTTGGGATTTTACGAATGTCCATCTCCATCGGAGATCGAGAAGGATGGATGACGACTTTTTTCTTTTTTTCTGTTTACTGTTATTACTCTTTGGGTTTACGGTGCATCGGGCGGGCTTTTCTATATCGACTACAGGGACATCTCCCATTTTGCAATCAGAGCTTCTATTCGGGCCGGGCTTGGCTCCGTCACTGCATCGTCTATCCAATTTCATTGAAACTGACCTGTTGCTCAGTGCTGTGCGCGCCACATCTTCTTCCCAGCAAGCCCCCGTAAGTCGCGGACCAAAGACTCGCGAGATTCATCTGCGATGATATCTTTCGCCTTCGCCGGTTTAACGAACGTTCAAACCTGGCACATCGTGTTTGTCTAATAATCACAAGAAACATGGGGTGTGCGAACTTGCTTTCGTGTCTGTGGACGAGCCGCTGTTGATTACAACTATTCTAATTTTCGATCACACCAGGGCAGGCTGTGGTCCTCCATGTTCAACCAAGACCGTTCCGTAATCCTTCGCCCGTCTCATAAGCTACGCAGAATGAACCTATTCCCCAACTAGTTTGATACTGCCAAGCAAGCGGCAACACAGTCCGCTACTTCGCAACCCATTGTCAAGCTCGACCCGATTGCTCTCCCCAATGCGCCCTGTAGGAGAAAGAAAATACCATTACTTGGCTTGGTGGTCAAGTTGTCCCAAATCGAAGTCGAAGTCATCGAGTAAGGGTGTTCGCCGGCCCACGTCATAGTACATGGGAATAACCCACTCCACGCGGGACACCATTTCCCCTGTTTTCCTGTCCAACTCAGATTCCTCGAGCACGAGGGTGTGCTGTTGTTTTTCCTCATCAAAACGAACTACACGTCGGAATACGTATTTGCCCTTGTGACGATGGCCGAGCTGGGCGAGTTCGTATACGGTCTTTCTCGGGGGGGAAGCATACGGCTCGCAAGCTAAGCAGAGGAATGAGTCTCTGTAGAATGTGAGTGTTGTTACCTGCTTGGACCACCACTGCGACCAGCGCTTATGGGGTTCCTTGATCCAGAAATACGATAATTCCAGTCTGCTGGTGTCACAAAAGGTGCGAACATCTTTGCGCTCGCGCACAGCCCAAGCCGCGCCCCGGACGGCCAGAAGTCTTCTGGCGATGCTGTGAGCGATGACTCCTTGATAGACTGACCAGTGGAAGTGGTTCACTCACCCATCGTCAAAGGGTGTAAAGTGCGTCCACCCGTACTTTGCGTGGCTCCTGACCACAGCCAAGGTCGCTGCCAACACGGCGTTGTTTCGATAACTGCTGCCGGTGAGGGACACGATAGTAGGAAGACCCGTTCTCTCTCTTTCCCTCATCTGCTGGTGAACAAATTCAAGCGGTTGTCTGAAGGCGGTATCCCAAAGATGAGGAGCTAGCATCTTGGAATCCCAGTTGCCTCCACTGCTGTTCAGGGTGAAAGGGGTCCTTCCAAGGTACGGATACTTTCTTCTGAAATCTGTCATCAACTCGGCGACATACTCCTCCTTCTTCGGGTGGTTGACGATAGCTGGGTTACCGGTGACTGGGTCACGAATGGCCTCTTCGATGGTTTGCGCGTAGACTTCTATGCCACCCAACATTCCTGTGTCTTATTGTTAGCATGCTTACAATGTCAGGGTCATTGTTGACTCTTTACCCCAGGACTTCTTGGAAGCGAAGAAGTCAGCATTGGAATTGACCCGATGCTGCTCGGTGTCATTCCACACCAGGGTGAGCCTGGTGCCATGCTGGTGCTACGTTAGTCCTACCACAGCAATACACACGATGGGCAGACGGGTGGAACTTACGAGGGCATGCCTACCGAAATTAATGACCATGATTTCATCGGGAAGCGGGAATTCATTACGAGGGTCTCGTACTTGGTCCATGGTGATTCCGTTGGTAATTACGCACCCGATTGCTTCGGCCTTGGGTACCAAAAAGATGTTACGTCTCGGGATAAACGGGAAAACGTCTATCAGGATTTCCATGAACAACCGCTTGAAATGCGTCGTATTCCAGATTGCAGAAATGGTAATGGCGACGGATTCGTAAAAGAGTTTCTCTCTCGTGCAACAGATCATCATGGAATGTCTGATCTTCTTGAAGTATTCGACGACAAGCTGCCGAATTCTGCCTTTGTCCCGAAGAACTGACATGCTGGCATCGGGTACCCCGCGATCCCTGAGTAGACGGAAATTGACGCCCACGTAGACGTTTACGTCATTGCGAGGTGAGGGATCTTCTAGACGCACCAACTCGTACATCAAGGTTTTGATCGGAATGCCAGCGACCAGTGCATCGTGCCCCATTTTTTCGGTGTTGACATCAGCTACTGCTGGGAATTCAAAGGAAGCGTGGTCTTTGGCGAAACCGGGAGGACAATCGACGTCGCAATAGGCACGACGCGCCGTGTGAGCAAGAGTCACGCGAGTGACAGCACTGCCCAGGTCGATGCCGGCGATTCTGTAGATGTTATGTCAGTCAAGAGTTCCGCCAAAGTGACCATGAAGCGAAGTTACGCAAGGCGATCTTCGGAAAGAAGCTGAGGTTGGTCATCGTGAATGCTCTCAGACAGTTCGGACCCCTGGGGGAGAAGAGAGTCGCATTTGTTATCGCCGGTGGATACCAAGGTGGCAGAAGACGTGGTATCGCTGTCCTCGGTAGGGCTGGGTATTTGCTGATCTAAGAGGTCATCCTCTTCTGATAGAACAGAGGAACTGTCGACTAGCGTGGCGAGGGATGCTGAATCGTCGGTTTGCATAGTGAGGGATGTTGTAGGATCTGCTGGATACTGATGCGCCAAGATTCCAAAGAGCAAGAAATGCGGTTGAACGGTCCGAGCAAGCTTCCAAGAAGGATACCTTATGGGGATGGAAAAGTGATGTTAATGGGAAATGTGTCGTTGACGGAAGAGTGTTGTTCATGGGAGGATGATGTTGACTTCCTGAGGCTTCTGGGTCTCCTTCTCCTTCCGGGGGAAAAGGAGTTAGAAGAAGTAAATGGGCAAGAGGAAAGAGCAATGGAACTGTGTCTTGCACTCTCAGAAATGTAAGGAAGGCTCAAACTAACAATCCCAACCACATCTTCAGGAGGGGAAAGTGCCATGTCACAACATAAGGTAGGCAGCATTTCGAACTGAATCCAAACAACTGCGATGAAAGATGCTCTTGCTATAACCATTGACTACAGGGCTTTCAATATCAAAGTAGGCAAGCAACATCACTCACAGCCCACTATCCTTGTGTGAAGATGCTGCTCCTTCTGGAAGCCAGAGCCCGTTGTTCAAGTTTCCAATCTGTTGTGCGATGAGAACCACGCCATACTGCCTTCTCTCGGCGACGCTTTAACCTGTCCATGGACTTAAAGGGGCTCCTTCCAATAGACCTCGCCAGCTACCTAGACTACCTCTACCTCATGACGCTGACCTTGCGACCTGGACTCCTTCCGTCAAAGTCCTGAAATCCGACTTGTCTCGGTAGCTCCCCTATTCAACGCAGAAGCCGCGGAGACGACATTGAAGACTCGGTCAGATTTCGCTCGTCACAGCTAGTGGTTCGCTCTTGGTGAGTCTTTTCGACGTATATCTACAGAAGAACGCTGAAAGAGGCGCGACTGCGACTGAGGCGGGCAGGGAAAACGGCGAGACCATTGAAGATATTGCTACGCTGGATGAAAGAGGGCGACGGCAAACCATATGGGTGGCCGGTTCTCGATAAGTCGGCATTTTATCAACGCAAAGTCTAAGTGGATGAACGGAGTTGGATGTCGGGCAAACTTCTTTGAAAAGGCTTGTCAACTACAGCGTAATACCCATAGGAGGCCTTCGTTGGCTCAAGAATGAGAGTGCTTCGGCCCAGGGGTTTGGAGTTGTCTCCATGGACAGAAACAGCTTGGCCATGGGGACCTCCGTGTCATCGACTGCCCTGGATGCCTTCGAATGACTTATCTTGCTGGTGTCAACTCTACTACTGGAACAGCCTTCATGACTCCAGCAGCAGAAGACTCAGACGCCGTCCTCAGCCCCGTCCTCACCATGATCCCAAACCCGGCAGTCTTCGACATTCCTTCCATTTCCATCAAGAATGGACATTCTCAAAGCCGATCCTAAACTCAAACCACTCGGCCCCGACCCGGAACCGGACGGGAGCATGGACATCGGAGCCGGCTGACCCAAGCCTCATGACCTACCCCCGAGAACTTCAACGACGTCAGTGACCAGAAACCAACATCACCATACCAAACCCAATCCAAAGGCATACCAAGATCCCAAGCTGATTCAGATCTCCCCAGCTCCAAACCCCATCCGCAATCTGCCTCAGCAAACACACACCAACACTGCACCCCCAAACCTAGGAGTTCACTCCGTCCAAGTAATTGACTTCCAAACTTCCCACACCCCTTCAAAACTCAAACCCCGTGTATGAGATATCAGAATCGCAGAAGAGATAAAGAACAAGCTCAACCCAATCCAGCAAACCCCCCGTACCCAACCACTTCACAAATCAGGCAGGTATCGTCGTCATAGACGAACTCAAAACCTCACATCAGCAACACCAGTCACATCGTCATCCCTTCCGCTCCCGTCTCGTCTCAGCACCGGCCCATCTGTAACCAGACATCTCAAATCGCTTCCGCCGGGGACATACCACACCTCGTCGCAAGCCTGCGTCCAAACCCCCCCTCGTGAACTCTCTGAAGTAGCCGATGGCATACGTCCAGCGACGGACGACGGGACCCTGGGAGGAAAGACGAAAGTCAAGATAGCCGCTACGCCGGAAGCTTTCTTCCCTCGACCTCGACCCGGTTCAACATACACATTTCACACGCAAAGAGGGAACTTGCCTGCTCACAGCCCTCGAGTCAAGCTTTCCTCGATACAACCAACACCCCCCCAGCATCTTCAGCTCCGTATCAGTCAGAATCAAAACTCACCAGCGGCACCCAACAAAATTCCCCGATTTTCAGACTTCATCACCTGCAGCGATGGCACACCGACCAGACCAGTCTCGGGTGATTATCCAGTTTATTCCCAGCTAAAGATCTGCTATGACTCCTACTCACCTCGTCGTCGTCGCCCTCGTCTCGATACCCGATACCCACGTGGGTCACCCGACAAACTAATCGGTGATTTTTTCTTTCTCTCTCGTGTTTCTCCCAGACTAGTGTCACTCGTAGTCATCCGCTTAATCAATCTCTTGCTCTCCCACGTGTCCATGCTACTAAACGCGTCAACGACGCGAACAGCGGCAGCCGCGCTAGTTGGGAGCCAAGAGGCACAAAACCCCGAAGACCACGCGAGACGGAATCATCGTCGCGCCTCACAATCTCTCTCTACACGTAGACACACCCAGCGCGGTCCCGCGCACTCGTCGCAATCCCCGACGGACGACCGAGCGTGGATGAATTCTGGGGCGCACGCCGGTGGATTACACACACGACGAAAGATTTTCCCTTGGGGTGTGCGTTGAACGATTGACTGCCCGGTCCACCGAAGGGAGGAGTCGTGGTTTCCCGGCTGCACGCCAAACGAAACACGGCACCGGTGGCGGCGGCGACGACAGCAGAGGTGGTGGCGGGCGAGTTGTACGGATTCACGTAACACGCCTGTGGCGAGCGCACAAAAGGGCCAAGGAAGTAGTGAAGTCGCACACGAGATGGATGGGCACGGCATCGGATGAGCTTCCGTTACACGAGGGAAAAAAAGACCATGCAGTCACGATAGCGGGTCTCCCAGCCAGCCGCCACGGCGGGCCGGTGCTGCTGCGGTATACTGTTGTAATTCTGGTGCACCAGTGACGGAAGAAACGCGGCGGCGGCAGAATGAAAAGTGATTGCGCGTCTACGGTATAGAAAAGTCGCCGTCCGGTCTCATCTGACCTCTCCGCCGCCGGCTGTCACGCCGTCCGAGTGCGCTGCAAGCGCCCCCCATCCCAGCTATTCAGTTCCACGGACGGCGGCGACCAGAGGATGATGAGATGGCCAACATCGGCGGTCTATTTAGGGTGCTGGGGAGCTAGGGGGGGAGAGCAGCGAAACACGGCGGCACGCGGCGAGATGCAGGGAAAGTGCCGGATTATCTCGACTGCGGATATTTCAAGCTTGTTCGTCACGGGGCAGGCGGGTGGGTTGAAGGGTTCACCGTAGTTGTAGTGTAAAAAACCATCGCCCACCGCCGGACGTGCGAGAGAGTGGTTGTCGTCGTTGTTCGCAGGAATACTCCGAAGCTCCGGTCTCGAGGCGGGGCAGCGGCAGTACAAGTCACGGACGGTATCACGGGATGGCTTGATGACAAGTTTTGAGGGCAAAAGCGCGCAGAATGTGTGAAATGGAAAATCCAGGGGGTTCATCCCTCCGGCAGTAGAGGAGACAGACAAACAAGCTGTACCTGATGAACCTGTCGTTGAGATGTGAGGATGTTTCGTGATAGGCCGCAAAAGGCGCCTTTCTCTCCCTCCCCCCCCGGTTTCCAACGTGCCAGATGGTCGCAGCAGGGCCATCGCCGGCCCCGGAAGCCGTCCATAGAAGCGCACCGAAAAGGCAGTTGCGGTAGCCGATACACTTACAATCCTTGGGCGTTGTCGTTTTATGACGGTGCCTGGGTAGCGGATGTCATTGGTCGACGGGCGATCGGCTGAGTCGGGCTTATTGTGGGATCGTCGTCCTTGTTCATTCTCTGGAGTGCCGGGCGCTGGTCTTCATGCTGGATACCGCCGATCGCTTGCTCTGATTGCCTCGTTGGGAATCTTGAGCTGGTCTTGGAGGTGAGGGGGAGGGAGGGGGGTGTGAAGGGCGCGAGGAGAAGCACGCACGCACGCACGCACGCACGCACGCAGTACAGCACTTTGGGGGGAAAGCCAAAAGAGAGCAGCGCGTATGAGAGAAAAGAAGGGGTCCTCTTTGGATGGCACGAATGGGATACGCAGGGTTACACACGGTAAAGTGTCGAGAAACCCGGGCCTTGGAAGATGGGAGAGTTTGGGATGTTTAGGAAATGCCATTCTGGCATTCCAGTTTCTTTTCGAGGTTAGTTTCCTGCCGGATGTGGCTTGCGGGACGTCCTGTGATGGGTGAGTCCTTGTAGGTATTGCGACCGTCTTTCTGGGTTTTAATTTCGGACGCCTCTGTTTTTTTGTTATTTGTGTCTGAGTGAGCATGGAGAAAGGAACAGGCGCGTGGAATGAGGTTGCCGGCCGGGGAATGCCTGAATTCGAGGTTGCAGCACAGGTTGGCTGGCTGTGCTGCCGTGCGGTCAGGGTAAAAAACCGGATGCTCCTCCGTGTTTTGTTGGAACAGAAGTCAGGGTATCGAGCAATAGTCAGGGAATCAGAGTTCAAGAGCACCACGGATGCGAATGGAGCCAGCTCCGAGGGGTTATGCGCGATGGAGACGAGGTGAGGTGTTGCGGCCGGTGGACCGCGACTTTTGTGCAATGATTCGTCAACCAACAAACCCCATCGCCAACACAACAACGATATGTTCCAAGAGTCAGTCAGTCAAGTATCAGCCAGACCGCCGTCTTGCCGTTTTGTGCACATGTAATGATGATGATCTTGTCTGGTCATCATCGCCGATACACTTGGCTGTTCCGGACATTACTGTGGCATCTGGGTGTGCGAGGAGCGGACATTGGATGGCACGGGGCCCTCTTTGATGACGATGATCTGCCTGTCACCATCAATGCCGCCTGAACGGACGGTACCTCAGGATCTGCTGAATGGACGATGACTCGACGAGAGGCGACTGAAAGAACGGAGGGCCTGG